TGTAATTGTTGTAATTTCATCGGCGATACATTCCAACTGTTCTACAACACTACACGTTCACATTATAGTTGTAATTGTTGTAATTTCATCGGCGATACATTCCAACTGTTCTACAACACTACACGTTCACATTATAGTTGTAATTGTTGTAATTTCATCGGCGATACATTCCAACTGTTCTACAACACTTTACGTTCACATTATAGTTGTAATTGTTGTAATTTCATCGGCGATACATTCCAACTGTTCTACAACACTTCACGTTCACATTTAGTTGTAATTGTTGTAATTTCATCGGCGATACATTCCAACTGTTCTACAACACTTCACGTTCACATATAGTTGTAATTGTTGTAATTTCATCGGCGATACATTCCAACTGTTCTACAACACTACACGTTCACAATATAGTTGTAATTGTTGTAATTTCATCGGCGATACATTCCAACTGTTCTACAACACTACACGTTCACATTATAGTTGTAATTGTTGTAATTTCATCGGCGATACATTCCAACTGTTCTACAACACTACACGTTCACATATAGTTGTAATTGTTGTAATTTCATCGGCGATACATTCCAACTGTTCTACAACACTCCACGTTCACAATATAGTTGTAATTGTTGTAATTTCATCGGCGATACATTCCAACTGTTCTACAACACTACACGTTCACATATAGTTGTAATTGTTGTAATTTCATCGGCGATACATTCCAACTGTTCTACAACACTACACGTTCACATATAGTTGTAATTGTTGTAATTTCATCGGCGATACATTCCAACTGTTCTACAACACTACACGTTCACATATAGTTGTAATTGTTGTAATTTTATCGGCGATACATTTCAACTGTTCTACAACACTACACGTTCACATTTAGTTGTAATTGTTGTAATTTCATCGGCGATACACTCCAACTGTTCTACAACACTCCACGTTCACATATAGTTGTAATTGTTGTAATTTCATTGGCGATACATTCCAACTGTTCTACAACACTCCACGTTCACAATATAGTTGTAATTTCATCGGCGATACATTCCAACTGTTCTACAACACTACACGTTCACATTTAGTTGTAATTGTTGTAATTCAGGCGATACATTCCAACTGTTCTACAACACTACACGTTCACATATAGTTGTAATTGTTGTAATTTCATCGGCGATACATTCCAACTGTTCTACAACACTACACGTTCACATATAGTTGTAATTGTTGTAATTCAGGCGATACATTCCAACTGTTCTACAACACTACACGTTCACATTTAGTTGTAATTGTTGTAATTTCATCGGCGATACATTCCAACTGTTCTACAACACTACACGTTCACATTTAGTTGTAATTGTTGTAATTTCATCGGCGATACATTCCAACTGTTCTACAACACTTCACGTTCACATATAGTTGTAATTGTTGTAATTCAGGCGATACATTCCAACTGTTCTACAACACTACACGTTCACATATAGTTGTAATTGTTGTAATTTCATCGGCGATACATTCCAACTGTTCTACAACACTACACGTTCACATTTAGTTGTAATTGTTGTAATTTCATCGGCGATACATTCCAACTGTTCTACAACACTACACGTTCACATATAGTTGTAATTGTTGTAATTTCATCGGCGATACATTCCAACTGTTCTACAACACTACACGTTCACAATAGTTGTAATTGTTGTAATTTCATCGGCGATACATTCCAACTGTTCTACAACACTACACGTTCACATATAGTTGTAATTGTTGTAATTTCATCAGCGATACATTCCAACTGTTCTACAACACTACACGTTCACATATAGTTGTAATTGTTGTAATTTCATCGGCGATACATTCCAACTGTTCTACAACACTACACGTTCACATATAGTTGTAATTGTTGTAATTTCATCGGCGATACATTCCAACTGTTCTACAACACTACACGTTCACATTTAGTTGTAATTGTTGTAATTTCATCGGCGATACATTCCAACTGTTCTACAACACTACACGTTCACATATAGTTGTAATTGTTGTAATTTCATCGGCGATACATTCCAACTGTTCTACAACACTCCACGTTCACAATATAGTTGTAATTGTTGTAATTTCATCGGCGATACATTCCAACTGTTCTACAACACTACACGTTCACATATAGTTGTAATTGTTGTAATTTCATCGGCGATACATTCCAACTGTTCTACAACACTACACGTTCACATATAGTTGTAATTGTTGTAATTTCATCGGCGATACATTCCAACTGTTCTACAACACTACACGTTCACATATAGTTGTAATTGTTGTAATTTCATCGGCGATACATTCCAACTGTTCTACAACACTACACGTTCACAATATAGTTGTAATTGTTGTAATTTTATCGGCGATACATTTCAACTGTTCTACAACACTACACGTTCACATTTAGTTGTAATTGTTGTAATTTCATCGGCGATACATTCCAACTGTTCTACAACACTACACGTTCACATTTAGTTGTAATTGTTGTAATTTCATCGGCGATACATTCCAACTGTTCTACAACACTACACGTTCACAATATAGTTGTAATTGTTGTAATTTCATCGGCGATACATTCCAACTGTTCTACAACACTACACGTTCACATTTAGTTGTAATTGTTGTAATTTCATCGGCGATACATTCCAACTGTTCTACAACACTTCACGTTCACATATAGTTGTAATTGTTGTAATTTCAGGCGATACATTCCAACTGTTCTACAACACTACACGTTCACATATAGTTGTAATTGTTGTAATTTCATCGGCGATACATTCCAACTGTTCTACAACACTACACGTTCACATTTAGTTGTAATTGTTGTAATTTCATCGGCGATACATTCCAACTGTTCTACAACACTACACGTTCACAATATAGTAGTAATTGTTGTAATTTCATCGGCGATACATTCCAACTGTTCTACAACACTACACGTTCACAACATAGTTGTAATTGTTGTAATTCAGGCGATATTTTCAAACTAGTATCAAATTCACAAGCGGCTTCTCATCGCTTATATTTCATAAAATACGCCCGGGTTAGGTTTTTGTGACAAGCTTTCTCATTGGCAAGGTTTGAACAATGGATTTTGATAATTTATCGTAAAAGAAATCAAAAGAAAAGATGAATTAATATTGCCGATAAGCGTTCACATATAAATTTCTTATATCGGCGACTGTTGTAACTGTTGCAGAAGTTGAACCGGATTCAACTTCTGCAACAGTTCCCGATTTGTCTGCGACTAAATTACAACAATTACAACGCGCGTTCACATAGAGTTGTAATTGTCGTAAACCTCTATCGCCGATAGAATTACAACAATTACAAGTATATGTGAACTAGGCTTAAAAAAACAATATTTTCTTTTTAATGCACCAGTTAAAAGGCAATATTAACTTTACGAAATGTCTTTAACGAGAAGCGAGCATGGAAACGAGGCATTGCATTACTTCGATATTGCGTAATGTGTATTTCCATTTTTCTTTATACCATTTCAAATATTTTACTAATTGTTGGAATGTTTGATCAAGATAATTAATTCCTTCACTTAACAAACTGAAATCATAATGTATGAGAAAATGGATAATTAAACATAGCAATAAATCTCTGGGAACGTTTGCAGAAAGGCCGAATAGCACTATCCACTGGATAGCAATAATTTTAAACGCTTCAAAAATCTCTTAAAATGGTAAAATCTGTATCACTTCAACTGGATAGTTGATGAAGTACAATATTGGTTCTAGAATTATAAAGTTTCATTATCGTAAAGAAAATATAACCACCTTTTTCGCAAGTTTAAAAAAAGTACTATCCAATCTTTGTGCAACCGGCGTCTGATGTATGCTCATCAAATTCTTATACCCTGGTTTTTCAAACGTAAATGGACAACTGCTCGCCCAATGTTCACTGCTTGGATTCTACGGATACGTTGCATGATTTTTTCTTTTCGTTGCAGCATTTCTCGAAGGTCTTTACTACTTTTGCATTGCTTCAGATGACGGAAAGAAATCATCAAAGCCGTAAACCTTTTACGGCCAATTCTACTGTAAACATCCGCTAAACCAACCAGAGCTTCAAGATGGTACAAAGACATTTTATATTTCCTTGCATTTTCAGCTGAGATGGCAAAATTCTTTATCGCTTGCTTGTAGTAACTTTCCTCTTGGTCTCCTACTTTCAGGTATAGCTCAGCTACAGCATTCATATGTCTGGACAGTCGAACAAGACTGCCTTTTTCCTTTTGGTTATCTTGACTTTCATACCACTCCAATATTCTTGTTACTTCAATACAAGTGCGGATCCCAACTTCAGAGATCGATTTTACATAATCAATAGAATTTGATGGCATTGCAAGTAAATTTTATAGCACTTCAAGATTTGATCGTAGCAAAAAAGCTTGCTGTGCATATCGCTCTTCGTCTTCTTTACGATTCCCATTTCAAAGAACGATCGCTGATCAATACTAAGCTGCTTGTAACATTCGACAGCATTTTCCAAATCTTTCTTTAGAACTTCAGAAGTTTTAGGCCGTTTCTTCTCGTTGTCACAGTAATCGTCGACAAGAAGATAAAGAAGTGCATTTGATTGAGTTAGATATCCGTGATAGACAGCAAAACCAGGTTCCATTTCTTTGCTTATTTCATTGGCCAGACAGTACGCCAGTTTCATAAGATCGATATAAAAACTTGGATTGTTGAGTGTTTTTCTATCGTGATAGAAATAGTTTCTACCATAGCTATAAATTAACGAGACATAAAGCTCGGCTAGGAACAAAGGACAATACTTTTCAATACTGATTGCCACTCTATGTTTTACCAGGTCAAACACCACGTCAGGTGATAGTGGTTGAGAAAATTTGACGATTTCTTTCAATCTTTTATCATTTTTGAGTTTTTCGGGGAACACATCAAGATCTTCTGCATGCAGGGTTCGACAAAACACAAGATTACAAATAATACTTTCTATGCATGGTATCTTGGAACTCTTTTCTTTCATCTTTTTCATTAATTTTTTAGCTACGCATGATGTAGAGTGAGTTATGCTGTATATTTCTTTCTTATCAACAGACTCCTCCCAGAAAGCGCTTGTAAACGAATAAAACGATTGAGCAGGTTGCAAGTCATCTTCAGTCACACCACACAACTCATGGAGAAGATCTCTCGACGTTTCGAAGAAAGTGTCCAATTTTGTAGCACAGGAGGTTGCTCTTGGGTGTACGTGAATCCAATGAGCTCTGCCAGTCTAGCTAACGCCATCTTTGTTCTGTCATCTTTCTTTTTATTCCTCCATTTATTTAAGAATATCTCTGCGTGCTTACGAACAATACGCTGCTGACAATCATTTTTTGAGAAACGATTATCTTTACTGATGTTTTTCATAAAAACTCCTGCTAACTTATAAAGTACTTCTGACTTAATGCTTTCTTTTTCATCGACCATATCACTGATAACGAGTTGGGTGAAGGAATGGAATGAAAAAAGGCGAACATCACCTTCTCTTGTCATTTGAATCAGCGACTTAACGTTATCGCACAGATCTTCCATTTCTGTTGTATTGATGTGGAGATCACTTGAAGGTAGCTGACTGCTTAAAAGGAATTCTGGAATTCCATTATTAGCGAGAAAAGCTACAGCTGCAATGACAGGAAAGAACTTATCGTCAATTTGTTCTAGACAGGTTTGCACTGCAATATACAAGTGCTTTCTTTTCTTATTTTGCTCTTTATCGCGAATTTTCTTAGCCGCTTCTTTGTGTTCTTGCATGGCTAGATATTTATCAATAGATATTTTGTTTTTGACGATGTAGTCTTTGGAAGCTGTTAAGCCAAGAATATTCCAGCTAAAATAGTCACAGAGCCGTCTTTTCATCTCTGGGTCATCCTCGAGTTCTTTAAAAAATTCTATTCCGCGATGAAATCGATCCACTTCAATTTTCTTGGAATAATTCCAAAGAAGATGGTTGAGGTCGCGATTGTTAGTGGTGATGAGAATATGGATTGAATCACGAATATTCAATAAATCGTCAAGCCATTCTTCTTCAATATTCTCAGACTCCAAGTTGTCGAGCAAAAAAATTACGTTCAATTCTTCGGCTCTTTTCTCAATAGATGCCAGCAATTCTTTATAACTCGTATTGCTTCCAAACTCTTTCGCTAATATTGTCAATGATTCAACGACTCGTTCGCTGTCAGAGTTCCTAAGATCCACGAACCAACTGATGTCATATTTGTTCTTGTTGACAACAAGATGATTAAAAGCAGCAGATGATTTTCCAACTCCAATTGAACCGTGCAAAATTATCGGAACTCCTTTTTGCAATCTTTCAAGTTGATCATCTAATTCGCTTCTCTGGAAATACTCAAAATCTGCTTTGCGCCAATTGGAAGCCCTGACTTTGCCATCTAGGATAAAATATTGATAAAACTATCATGTTATATATGTGTTGTGCATTTATAAAAGTAAAAATTCGAAAGTTTGATTATTAAGTGACATTGTTTACCCTAAACATTACATAGATTTCCTTGCTTTCGAGTAACTGTTATTTATGTCCAATTGAGCACACATATGGAAAAGTTACAAAGTACCTTTTGCAGAATTAGAACTCTTTACTTCACTGGAAATACCAGTAGGAGTAAGGTTAACTGTCATGTGATCACCAATAAAAACATTGCCACCTGATACAGATATATTCATTTGGTTTTCTGTCATCACTACTAGAGGAAAGAGATGGTTTTGTCATCAAAATAATCATTTTCATATCATCATGAATTATACTTGAAATGTATACTTCCGTACAAAACTGTGACTTACGCGATATGATGGCGTTATTTCCGGGTATTTTTCCCTCGCGTGCACCGAATGCATTAAAGACTTGAGAAAATGAGCTAAAATTCCTCACCATCTTTTGTTTTAAATGCATTCGGCTCATGTAAAATGTGACGTTTGAAACAGGCCTCAATGTGACTACTAGCTTTACTCTTTGATCCTACCTAACGAGCGCTTCACCCATTAAAGAAATGGGGATACACGAACAAACTACCTTGTGACAGTTAGAGATGGGCAATACCAGCTTTTTCAAACGATGCCGGCAATTTTTTGACACCAATACCGGTACTGTTACAAAAGTAGAAAGAAGAAAATATTAGCTCCTGTGTTTACAATCAAAAAATATCAACATACTAAAGCAAGTAATATTTAAAAGCAAGAGACAAGATTTCAATTTAAAAGCAAGAGACAAGATTTCAAGCAATATTTCGACTCTATTTCAAAGTCATTATCAAGCTAAATTTAATTTTTAGTCGTAAGCAATGAAAAGAAAGAAAGGAGGTGTTACTGTCTAGAATTATATCGATGAAATTAAGTAAAAATAACAAGTTCTTTCGAACTTAGCTTGATAATGACTTTGAGATAGAGTCGAAATATTGCTTGAAATCATGTCTCTTGCTTTCAAAACTCAAATCTTGAGTTAACAAGATGATGTTTTTTTGGAGTGTGTTTTCTTATATTTTTGAAATTGTGGGCTGGAAAAGGATCTAAACACTAAGTAATGTTTAATTTCTATATGTTCTTATTTAGAAACAACATCATGTTAACATTCTTAGCTTCCGGCCTACTTCGTCCATGGAACTGATGAGCCAGGTAAACATAAGTATTTTTTGGCAAGTTGTGACAACAAATTACAATTTACTTTTTGCGTTACCACTGGCAAAATACTGCGGGCCCGTACGTATCGAAAGTATTAAAGTATCGATATTTAGGTTGGTAGCATTGTTGGTAATGAGTATCGCCTTATCGATTTAGGCCCAACCCTATTGAGGGTTAAATTTAAAATCCACTACGGATGCGGCTGTGAGCGAGTTTGTTCTTGTTTAATCCTTCATTGCGCGTACCAAAAGTAGCTCGCGCGACAAAGAGTAAAGTATTCTTGCAACTCTTCGGTTTAGAAACCATCAGTTCATATATAAACTACACGTTATGACTAAAAGCTAATAATTGGCATCTGTCATTGTGAATACATCCAACAACTAGCGATCGTGATTGTACAAGTAAACAGCGTTGTTCGTAGCTGTTGATAAGATGTAACATAAATGAAATCTTTACCAGTTTACTTTATCAACTGTACACAAACTGACCCACGTCAACAATATAGTTCACTTACCACGGTAATGTATAGCAAAGCATTCGTGTGTATTTACAACGTTATTTCTTAATAGTTAACTGCGTTATTATTCACAATCCGGCGATGCAAGATAAAAAAATCCTTTTTGTCTTTATGAAAGACGTTTGCATGATCAATATTACATTATATCACATATGTTGATAAATGAAGATATTGTATAACTTGAGAGAGCGTTCCACTAATCAAACTTTATTACATTATTAACATTACTTGCACTTTTAATTTACCGTAGTAACCAAATACCGTTCTTCCGGCATAACATACAAAGATTTAAACTCGATTAATCTCCCCCTGCTTTGGAAAAAATTAAGTTACATTTCTACATCTTTCGCTTTCCTCTAGGGGGAGGAGTTTTAGGAGACAAATTTCGTGCACCATCCTAGTCTGAGCACATTACTTTCGATTTGTCCTATCGTTGTTCATTCGTCTTTTGTATTGGAAATGTGTTTTCTTGTGCAGTGTATATATTAATCAATTCGATAGTAGCCAATGGTAGCTGGTAGCCATTTGCAATAATTAAAAAAATCTAAGATATTGCTATATTGGTCATGTTGCTTCGAGGGTGACGAAATTTAGTTCAATCCTGTGATCATTCGCCATTTAGTGGTCAGTGTCTTAATTCGCAATTTGAGCAACAAGAAAGTGAAAGAATTCTTCCTAATTTGAATGAAACGTAAAAAAGCAACGTCGACATACAAAAGAAAAAGCAAACTTTTGGTTTACGTGAAAACGGTGAACACAACATCTTAGAAAGCAACCTGTTGTCAATACAAACGCATTTTCCATAATCGCCGGTGCTTTTATTGAAAAGCTATTATCGTAAAAGTTAGAATGTATTTCTCCCCCAATTATATTAATGCTGTTCAGTTGACGTTTGTAATCCATCTTGCAATGCTATGGACATTGCTTGAAGGTTTATCTCTTGATGATAGTGCACAAGTTAGTTGTGATAAGAAATCTACTTTGCCTGGTTATGGTCTTCTGGGTACTCATGCACCACCATCAGCCGCAAGTGGAAGTGTATCAATAAAATCTGTATTCAATGATACTCTCCTATCTGTTAGTTTTCTATCATGGAAATACAAATTGCAAGGTGTTTCTATTATAAAGACAATGAGGACAGGAACTAGCTCAAACCTTAATTGGCACTTTGCAAAAATTGGTCTTCACAAGGTTGCAGTTGTAATGAAGTTTTGAAGACATTCTAGTCATAAGGAATATGAGATGTCGAATTGCACTTATGTTAATGTCACTGGTAAGATTCAATTGAAATTTATTTTTTAATTAATTTCATTTTAATATGTCATATAAGTATTCTTAACTATTAGACAGTAAAATGCATTTTCATAGTTTAAAAAAAAAGGAAGCTCAATCGTTCCTTTCTAAAGGACACTAGGGAGATATTGTGTAGACTGACCATAAAAAGAATGAAGGAGCTACGAATAAGTTCACATTTTGTGACATAAAAAGTTTCTCCTTCTCCCTTCTTCTATATGTTTTTAGATTATCTTTTGATGCCCATTGTGCAAGTATCTACTTTGAATGGAGTGTCAAATGTTTCTGAAAATGACACTAAAGTATCTTTTGATGCACCGGGCTTTGCTAACCTCACAGTCTTGATGAGAACTACTGATCCTTATTTCGTTTGTAAACGGCTTGCATATTTGTGGAACTTTAATGATGGCAGTCACTTTTCTGGAATGCACGTCACCCAATACTACAATAAGTCTGATTATTTTTCTGTTAATTTGAATGTATACAAAGTCTTCGAATTTGAAAAGAATCGTCAGTTGGCTACAAATTTCTCATTGACATTATATGTGAAAGGTAAATAACAATTTGGAAAGAAACCACGAGCCTAAACAACTTTGTTCAACCTGTTAACTTGCTTTGGTAAATATCTTTGTGCACAAGACTTTTAAAATAAATGTTTCAATTCTCAGTAATATAAAAATTAGTGGGCAATTGTCATATGAGAGCCAAAGAGAATCCATTTTAAATATTTATTAAACAAAGCATATATGTTTTTGTTTTGACTCAAGACATCTTCAGACGAATTTTAGGAATTGGGTTGCTAGATTATTGTTTTCCTGTCAAGATTTGCCTTATTCTCATTCCTTAGTTATTGGTTAGCTCTTTTGGCTCTTGAGTCATATAGCTGAGACAGTTATAATATATGGATTTGTATTAAGAGCTTTCAGTAGAATAGCCAGTCTGTATTATTTAATCCTTTCATGTGATTTACATAGCTGAAGTAAAACTTGCTGGCCAGACCTCAACAATTTTATGGTTCTACCTTCCTCCGAGAATATTCATTTGTATATTTTTTGTTATCTAGAGGCAGAAAAGAAGCCCAATGGCAGTGATACAGCTATTGACATCACTTTGGTGCTGTCTATATTTATTTTTAATATGTTGATAAATGAAGATATTGTATAACTTGAGAGAGCGTTCCACTAACCCAACTTGATTACATTACTAAAATTACTTGCAATTTTTAATTCACAGTAGTAACCAAATACCGTTCTTTCGGCATAACATACAAAGATTTAATTTCGTAAAAGCACTATTGCTAATGCGCATTTAATATACACGACGACTTTTTTTAGAATAGACATGTTTCGACATCTCATGATGCCATCTTCAGTATGAGTGAGATAATAAATGATACAAGGTTTATATACAAGTAATATGATACAGAATTTACAACAATAAAAAGGAAATAAGATAAATTAATGGAGAGCGTCCGAGCATATTAAAAACTAAATATTGTATTGAATTTAAAAACTTGAACATTGAGGTCAGGGTTAATTTTGTTAATGTGGAGTGCTTCTTTGATTTTAAGGAGAATGAGGTGTCGGCAGTGTCGATGATTTTGAAGCAAGAGGGTGAATAGTTGGTTTTACATGAGTGAGATTTAAGAAGATGTCGGTAGATATGAGAGTTTTTGTCTGTTGTGGTATGTTCCCTGATTCTGGTGGATAAATGGCGCGAAGTTTCGCCAATGTATCGGGAATTACATCCCGCGCAATTGAATTCATATACCACCATGGATTTAATTGAATCAGGGATTGGGTCTTTGAATGAGAAAAGGTTTTTGATTTTGAATGATGTGAAAATTAGTCGAATGTCAATACCTGTGCAGAAGCGTTTCGTAATGTTTTTAAGTCTGCGTTGTGTGTGTCGTGAGTAACGTCCGATGTATGGTAGTTTGAAGTATAGAGTTATTTTGGAATTTTCATTTGTGTTGGTCGTGATCGTCGTGCCAGGAGTTTCGGTGTCTAGTTTGAGGTTGTTGCTTTGTTTGTTGTCGAGATATCGTTTTACGGTTCTGTTAAAGTGTAGTGGAAAAGAGTTTCGTAGAAGAGTGGATGTTTTTTTTTGTCTCGTTGAAAGCCATTGTTCGTATTGTTAAGTTTGTATGCTCTGTCGATTAGTGTGCGTATTAGTCCGGTTTTGTATGAAAGTGGTGTGAAACTAAAATAGTTCGTCAGAAGTCCTGTGTATGTTGGTTTGTGATGTGTAGATGTTGTACAGCTGTCATGGGATTTTGTTAGTAAAATGTCAAGAAATGGCAGTTGATCTTGCTGTTCAGTTTCAAATGAAAATCTAATGTTTGCGTGCTGTGTGTTAATGTAATTATAAAATTTCATGGCCTCAGTTTCGTTAGTAAAAACACATAAAATATCGTCGACGTATCTGCGGTAAAATAGTGGTTTAGTGTCGTTGTAGTTGTTTAGCCAGTTTCGTTCATGTGAGCCCATGAAAATGTTAGCAAGTATGGGTGCTAAGGGAGAGCCCATCGCAACACCGTCCGTCTGGTCATAAAATTTTCCATTAAATAAAAAATTGCGTCTGTGCTGTTGCTATTAAAAACAATTGTGTGAGATCTGTCCTGTTTATACTGAACCTGGGGTTGTGAGTGAATATTAGATCAATTGCTAGGTTGAAGGTTTCAGTAAGTGGTATGTTAGTAAATAGGCTTTCAACGTCGTAGGAGATGAAGAATTTGTGACAAGAAGTTGATGAGTTGAAAGATGAAAAGTCGTCGAGGAAAGCTTACGTTGATGACTGTTGAGGAAGCTTCTAAAGAAAGACTCGATTAACAACAAAGTTTATAATGATATCTTTCCCAGAGGTTCTCAACCCTCACGCTTCTATGGCTTACCGAAACTTCACAAGAAACGAGAACCAGAACAATCGCCTCCACTGCGACCTATAGTTTCATCAATGAACGCATACAGTTATAACTTAGCCAAGTATCTTAGTTCTCTACTAACACCACTCATGGCAGATGACCACTCCACTAAAGATTCTTTCACTTTCCTATAATTATAAAGTTTCATTATCGTAAAGAAAATATAACTACCTTTTTCGCAAGTTTAAAAAAATCACTATCCAATCTTTGTGCAACCGGCGTCTGATGTATGCTCATCAAATTCTTATACCCTGGTTTTTCAAACGTAAATGGACAACTGCTCGCCCAATGTTCACTGCTTGGATTCTACGGATACGTTGCATGATTTTTTCTTTTCGTTGCAGCATTTCTCGAAGGTCTTTACTACTTTTGCATTGCTTCAGATGACGGAAAGAAATCATCAAAGCCGTAAACCTTTTACGGCCAATTCTACTGTAAACATCCGCTAAACCAACCAGAGCTTCAAGATGGTACAAAGACATTTTATATTTCCTTGCATTTTCAGCTGAGATGGCAAAATTCTTTATCGCTTGCTTGTAGTAACTTTCCTCTTGGTCTCCTACTTTCAGGTATAGCTCAGCTACAGCATTCATATGTCTGGACAGTCGAACAAGACTGCCTTTTTCCTTTTGGTTATCTTGACTTTCATACCACTCCAATATTCTTGTTACTTCAATACAAGTGCGGATCCCAACTTCAGAGATCGATTTTACATAATCAATAGAATTTGATGGCATTGCAAGTAAATTTTTATAGCACTTCAAGATTTGATCGTAGCAAAAAAGCTTGCTGTGCATATCGCTCTTCGTCTTCTTTACGATTCCCATTTCAAAGAACGATCGCTGATCAATACTAAGCTGCTTGTAACACTCGACAGCATTTTCCAAATCTTTCTTTAGAACTTCAGAAGTTTTAGGCCGTTTTTTCTCGTTGTCACAGTAATCGTCGACAAGAAGATAAAGAAGTGCATTTGATTGAGTTAGATATCCGTGATAGACAGCAAAACCAGGTTCCATTTCTTTGCTTATTTCATTGGCCAGACAGTACGCCAGTTTCATAAGATCGATATAAAAACTTGGATTGTTGAGTGTTTTTCTATCGTGATAGAAATAGTTTCTACCATAGCTATAAATTAACGAGACATAAAGCTCGGCTAGGAACAAAGGACAATACTTTTCAATACTGATTGCCACTCTATGTTTTACCAGGTCAAACACCACGTCAGGTGATAGTGGTTGAGAAAATTTGACGATTTCTTTCAATCTTTTATCATTTTGAGTTTTCGGGAACACATCAAGATCTTCTGCATGCAGAGTTCGACAAAACACAAGATTACGAATAATACTTTCTATGCATGGTATCTGGAACTCTTTTCTTTCATCTTTTCATTAATTTTTAGCTACGCATGATGTAGAGTGAGTTATGCTGTATATTTCTTTCTTATCAACAGACTCCTCCCAGAAAGCGCTTGTAAACGAATAAAACGATTGAGCAGGTTGCAAGTCATCTTCAGTCACACCACACAACTCATGGAGAAGATCTCTCGACGTTTCGAAGAAAGTGTCCAATTTTGTAGCACAGGAGGTTGCTCTTGGGTGTACGTGAATCCAATGAGCTCTGCCAGTCTAGCTAACGCCATCTTTGTTCTGTCATCTTTCTTTTTATTCCTCCATTTATTTAAGAATATCTCTGCGTGCTTACGAACAATACGCTGCTGACAATCATTTTTTGAGAAACGATTATCTTTACTGATGTTTTTCATAAAAACTCCTGCTAACTTATAAAGTACTTCTGACTTAATGCTTTCTTTTTCATCGACCATATCACTGATAACGAGTTGGGTGAAGAATGGAATGAAAAAGGCGAACATCACCTTCTCTTGTCATTTGAATCAGCGACTTAACGTTATCGCACAGATCTTCCATTTCTGTTGTATTGATGTGGAGATCACTTGAAGGTAGCTGACTGCTTAAAAGGAATTCTGGAATTCCATTATTAGCGAGAAAAGCTACAGCTGCAATGACAGGAAAGAACTTATCGTCAATTTGTTCTAGACAGGTTTGCACTGCAATATACAAGTGCTTTCTTTTCTTATTTTGCTCTTTATTGCGAATTTTCTTAGCCGCTTCTTTGTGTTCTTGCATGGCTAGATATTTATCAATAGATATTTTGTTTTTGACGATGTAGTCTTTGGAAGCTGTTAAGCCAAGAATATTCCAGCTAAAATAGTCACAGAGCCGTCTTTTCATCTCTGGGTCATCCTCGAGTTCTTTAAAAAATTCTATTCCGCGATGAAATCGATCCACTTCAATTTTCTTGGAATAATTCCAAAGAAGATGGTTGAGGTCGCGATTGTTAGTGGTGATGAGAATATGGATTGAATCACGAATATTCAATAAATCGTCAAGCCATTCTTCAATATTCTCAGACTCCAAGTTGTCGAGCAAAAATTACGTTCAATTCTTCGGCTCTTTTCTCAATAGATGCCAGCAATTCTTTATAACTCGTATTGCTTCCAAACTCTTTCGCTAATATTGTCAATGATTCAACGACTCGTTCGCTGTCAGAGTTCCTAAGATCCACGAACCAACTGATGTCATATTTGTTCTTGTTGACAACAAGATGATTAAAAGCAGCAGATGATTTTCCAACTCCAATTGAACCGTGCAAAATTATCGGAACTCCTTTTTGCAATCTTTCAAGTTGATCATCTAATTCGCTTCTCTGGAAATACTCAAAATCTGCTTTGCGCCAATTGGAAGCCCTGATTTTGCCATCTAGGATAAAATATTGATAAAACTATCTTGTCATATATGTGTTGTGCATTTATAAAAGTAAAAATTCGAAAGTTTGATTATTAAGTGACATTGTTTACCCTAAACATTACATAGATTTCCTTGCTTTCGAGTAACTGTTATTTATGTCCAATTGAGCACACATATGGAAAAGTTAAAAAGTACCTTTTGCAGAACTAGAACTCTTTACTTCACTGGAAATACCAGTAGGAGTAAGGTTAACTGTCATGTGATCACCAATAAAAACATTGCCACCTGATACAGATATATTCATTTGGTTTTCTGTCATCACTACTAGAGGAAAGAGATGGTTTTGTCATCAAAATAATCATTTTCATATCATCATGAATTATACTTGAAATGTATACTTCCGTACGAAACTGTGACTTACGCGATATGATGGCGTTATTTCCGGGTATTTTTCCCTCGCGTGCACCGAATGCATTAAAGACCTGAGAAAATGAGCTAAAATTCCTCATCATCTTTTGTTTTAAATGCATTCGGCTCATGTAAAATGTGACGTTTGAAACAGGCCTCAATGTGACTACTAGCTTTACTCTTTGATCCTACCTAACGAGCGCTTCACCCATTAAAGAAATGGGGATACACGAACAAACTACCTTGTGACAGTTAGAGATGGGCAATACCAGCTTTTTTCAAACGATGCCGGCAATTTTTTTTGACACCAATACCGGTACTGTTACAAAAGTAGAAAGAAGAAAATATTAGCTCCTGTGTTTACAATCAAAAAATATCAACATACTAAAGCAAGTAATATTTATAAGCAAGAGACAAGATTTCAATTTAAAAGCAAGAGACAAGATTTAAAGCAATATTTCGACTCTATTTCAAAGTCATTATCAAGCTAAATTTAATTTTTAGTCGTAAGCAATGAAAAGAAAGAAAGGAGGTGTTACTGTCTAGAATTATATCGATGAAATTAAGTAAAAATAACAAGTTCTTTCGAACTTAGCTTGATAATGACTTTGAGATAGAGTCGAAATATTGCTTGAAATCATGTCTCTTGCTTTCAAAACTCAAATCTTGAGTTAACAAGATGATGTTTTTTTGGAGTGTGTTTTTCTTATATTTTTTTGAAATTGTGGGCTGGAAAAGGATCTAAACACTAAGTAATGTTTAATTTCTATATGTTCTTATTTAGAAACAACATCATGTTAACATTCTTAGCTTCCGGCCTACTTCGTCCATGGAACTGATGAGCCAGGTAAACATAAGTATTTTTTGGCAAGTTGTGACAACAAATTACAATTTACTTTTTGCGTTACCACTGGCAAAATACTGCGGGCCCGTACGTATCGAAAGTATTAAAGTATCGATATTTAGGTTGGTAGCATTGTTGGTAATGAGTATCGCCTTATCGATTTAGGCCCAACCCTATTGAGGGTTAAATTTAAAATCCACTACGGATGCGGCTGTGAGCGAGTTTGTTCTTGTTTAATCCTTCATTGCGCGTACCAAAAGTAGCTCGCGCGACAAAGAGTAAAGTATTCTTGCAACTCTTCGGTTTAGAAACCATCAGTTCATATATAAACTACACGTTATGACTAAAAGCTAATAATTGGCATCTGTCATTGTGAATACATCCAACAACTAGCGATCGTGATTGTACAAGTAAACAGCGTTGTTCGTAGCTGTTGATAAGATGTAACATAAATGAAATCTTTACCAGTTTACTTTATCAACTGTACACAAACTGACCCACGTCAACAATATAGTTCACTTACCACGGTAATATATAGCAAAGCATTCGTGCGTATTTACAACGTTATTTCTTAATAGTTAACTGCGTTATTATTCACAATCCGACGATGCAAGATAAAAAAATCCTTTTTGTCTTTATGAAAGACGTTTGCATGATCAATATTACATTATATCACATATGTTGATAAATGAAGATATTGTATAACTTGAGAGAGTGTTCCACTAATCAAACTTTATTACATTATTAACATTACTTGCACTTTTAATTTACCGTAGTAACCAAATACCGTTCTTCCGGCATAACATACAAAGATTTAAACTCGATTAATCTCCCCCTGCTTTGGAAAAAATTAAGTTACATTTCTACATCTTTCGCTTTCCTCTAGGGGGAGGAGTTTTAGGAGACAAATTTCGAGCACCATCCTAGTCTGAGCACATTACTTTCGATTTGTCCTATCGTTGTTCATTCGTCTTTTGTATTGGAAATGTGTTTTCTTGTGCAGTGTATATATTAATCAATTCGATAGTAGCCAATGGTAGCTGGTAGCCATTTGCAATAATTAAAAAAATCTAAGATATTGCTGTATTGGTCATGTTGCTTCGAGGGTGACGAAATTTAGTTCAATCCTGTGATCATTCGCCATTTAGTGGTCAGTGTCTTAATTCGCAATTTGAGCAACAAGAAAGTGAAAGAATTCTTCCTAATTTGAATGAAAAGTAAAAAAGCAACGTCGACATACAAAAGAAAAAGCAAACTTTTGGTTTACGTGAAAACGGTGAACACAACATCTTAGAAAGCAACCTGTTGTCAATACAAAACGCATTTTCTATAATCGCTGGTGCTTTTATTGAAAAGCTATTATCGTAAAAGTTAGAATGTATTTCTCCCCCAATTATATTAATGCTGTTCAGTTGACGTTTGTAATCCATCTTGCAATGCTATGGACATTGCTTGAAGGTTTATCTCTTGATGATAGTGCACAAGTTAGTTGTGATAAGAAATCTACTTTGCCTGGTTATGGTCTTCTGGGTACTCATGCACCACCATCAGCCGCAAGTGGAAGTGTATCAATAAAATCTGTATTCAATGATACTCTCCTATCTGTTAGTTTTCTAACATGGAAATACAAATTGCAAGGTGTTTCTATTATAAAGACAATGAGGACAGGAACTAGCTCGAACCTTAATTGGCACTTTGCAAAAATTGGTCTTCACAAGGTTGCAGTTGTAATGAAGTTTTGAAGACATTCTAGTCATAAGGAATATGAGATGTCGAATTGCACTTATGTTAATGTCACTGGTAAGATTCAATTGAAATTTATTTTTTAATTAATTTCATTTTAATATGTCATATAAATATTCTTAACTATTAGACAGTAAAATGCATTTTCATAGTTTAAAAAAAAAGGAAGCTCAATCGTTCCTTTCTAAAGGACACTAGGGAGATATTGTGTAGACTGACCATAAAAAGAATGAAGGAGCTACGAATAAGTTCACATTTTGTGACATAAAAAGTTTCTCCTTCTCCCTTCTTCTATATGTTTTTAGATTATCTTTTGATGCCCATTGTGCAAGTATCTACTTTGAATGGAGTGTCAAATGTTTCTGAAAATGACACTAAAGTATCTTTTGATGCACCGGGCTTTGCTAACCTCACAGTCTTGATGAGAACTACTGATCCTTATTTCGTTTGTAAACGGCTTGCATATTTGTGGAACTTTAATGATGGCAGTCACTTTTCTGGAATGCACGTCACCCAATACTACAATAAGTCTGATTATTTTTCTGTTAATTTGAATGTATACAAAGTCTTCGAATTTGAAAAGAATCGTCAGTTGGCTACAAATTTCTCATTGACATTATATGTGAAAGGTAAATAACAATTTGGAAAGAAACCACGAGCCTAAACAACTTTGTTCAACCTGTTAACTTGCTTTGGTAAATATCTTTGTGCACAAGACTTTTAAAATAAATGTTTCAATTCTCAGTAATATAAAAATTAGTGGGCAATTGTCATATGAGAGCCAAAGAGAATCCATTTTAAATATTTATTAAACAAAGCATATATGTTTTTGTTTTGACTCAAGACATCTTCAGACGAATTTTAGGAATTGGGTTGCTAGATTATTGTTTTCCTGTCAAGATTTGCCTTATTCTCATTCCTTAGTTATTGGTTAGCTCTTTTGGCTCTTGAGTCATATAGCTGAGACAGTTATAATATATGGATTTGTATTAAGAGCTTTCAGTAGAATAGCCAGTCTGTATTATTTAATCCTTTCATGTGATTTACATAGCTGAAGTAAAACTTGCTGGCCAGACCTCAACAATTTTATGGTTCTACCTTCCTCCGAGAATATTCATTTGTATATTTTTTTGTTATCTAGAGGCAGAAAAGAAGCCCAATGGCAGTGATACAGCTATTGACATCACTTTGGTGCTGTCTATATTTATTTTTAATATGTTGATAAATGAAGATATTGTATAACTTGAGAGAGCGTTCCACTAACCCAACTTGATTACATTACTAAAATTACTTGCAATTTTTAATTCACAGTAGTAACCAAATACCGTTCTTTCGGCATAACATACAAAGATTTAATTTCGTAAAAGCACTATTGCTAATGCGCATTTAATATACACGACGACTTTTTTTAGAATAGACATGTTTCGACATCTCATGATGCCATCTTCAGTATGAGTGAGATAATAAATGATACAAGGTTTATATACAAGTAATATGATACAGAATTTACAACAATAAAAAGGAAATAAGATAAATTAATGGAGAGCGTCCGAGCATATTAAAAACTAAATATTGTATTGAATTTAAAAACTTGAACATTGAGGTCAGGGTTAATTTTGTTAATGTGGAGTGCTTCTTTGATTTTAAGGGAGAATGAGGTGTCGGCAGTGTCGATGATTTTGAAGCAAGAGGGTGAATAGTTGGTTTTACATGAGTGAGATTTAAGAAGATGTCGGTAGATATGAGAGTTTTTGTCTGTTGTGGTATGTTCCCTGATTCTGGTGGATAAATGGCGCGAAGTTTCGCCAATGTATCGGGAATTACATCCCGCGCAATTGAATTCATATACCACCATGGATTTAATTGAATCAGGGATTGGGTCTTTGAATGAGAAAAGGTTTTTGATTTTGAATGATGTGAAAATTAGTCGAATGTCAATACCTGTGCAGAAGCGTTTCGTAATGTTTTTTAAGTCTGCGTTGTGTGTGTCGTGAGTAACGTCCGATGTATGGTAGTTTGAAGTATAGAGTTATTTTGGAATTTTCATTTGTGTTGGTCGTGATCGTCGTGCCAGGAGTTTCGGTGTCTAGTTTGAGGTTGTTGCTTTGTTTGTTGTCGAGATATCGTTTTACGGTTCTGTTAAAGTGTAGTGGAAAAGAGTTTCGTAGAAGAGTGGATGTTTTTGTCTCGTTGAAAGCCATTGTTCGTATTGTTAAGTTTGTATGCTCTGTCGATTAGTGTGCGTATTAGTCCGGTTTTGTATGAAAGTGGTGTGAAACTAAAATAGTTCGTCAGAAGTCCTGTGTATGTTGGTTTGTGATGTGTAGATGTTGTACAGCTGTCATGGGATTTTGTTAGTAAAATGTCAAGAAATGGCAGTTGATCTTGCTGTTCAGTTTCAAATGAAAATCTAATGTTTGCGTGCTGTGTGTTAATGTAATTATAAAATTTCATGGCCTCAGTTTCGTTAGTAAAAACACATAAAATATCGTCGACGTATCTGCGGTAAAATAGTGGTTTAGTGTCGTTGTAGTTGTTTAGCCAGTTTCGTTCATGTGAGCCCATGAAAATGTTAGCAAGTATGGGTGCTAAGGGAGAGCCCATCGCAACACCGTCCGTCTGGTCATAAAATTTTCCATTAAATAAAAAATTGCGTCTGTGCTGTTGCTATTAAAAACAATTGTGTGAGATCTGTCCTGTTTATACTGAACCTGGGGTTGTGAGTGAATATTAGATCAATTGCTAGGTTGAAGGTTTCAGTAAGTGGTATGTTAGTAAATAGGCTTTCGACGTCGTAGGAGATGAAGAATTTGTGACAAGAAGTTGATGAGTTGAAAGATGAAAAGTCGTCGAGGAAAGCTTACGTTGATGACTGTTGAGGAAGCTTCTAAAGAAAGACTCGATTAACAACAAAGTTTATAATGATATCTTTCCCAGAGGTTCTCAACCCTCACGCTTCTATGGCTTACCGAAACTTCACAAGAAACGAGAACCATAACAATCGCCTCCACTGCGACCTATAGTTTCATCAATGAACGCATACAGTTATAACTTAGCCAAGTATCTTAGTTCTCTACTAACATCACTCATACCAGATGACCACTCCACTAAAGATTCTTTCACTTTCCTATAATTATAAAGTTTCATTATCGTAAAGAAAATATAACCACCTTTTTCGCAAGTTTAAAAAAAGTACTATCCAATCTTTGTGCAACCGGCGTCTGATGTATGCTCATCAAATTCTTATACCCTGGTTTTTCAAACGTAAATGGACAACTGCTCGCCCAATGTTCACTGCTTGGATTTTACGGATACGTTGCATGATTTTTTCTTTTCGTTGCAGCATTTCTCGAAGGTCTTTACTACTTTTGCATTGCTTCAGATGACGGAAAGAAATCATCAAAGCCGTAAACCTTTTACGGCCAATTCTACTGTAAACATCCGCTAAACCAACCAGAGCTTCAAGATGGTACAAAGACATTTTATATTTCCTTGCATTTTCAGCTGAGATGGCAAAATTCTTTATCGCTTGCTTGTAGTAACTTTCCTCTTGGTCTCCTACTTTCAGGTATAGCTCAGCTACAGCATTCATATGTCTGGACAGTCGAACAAGACTGCCTTTTTCCTTTTGGTTATCTTGACTTTCATACCACTCCAATATTCTTGTTACTTCAATACAAGTGCGGATCCCAACTTCAGAGATCGATTTTACATAATCAATAGAATTTGATGGCATTGCAAGTAAATTTTTATAGCACTTCAAGATTTGATCGTAGCAAAAAAGCTTGCTGTGCATATCGCTCTTCGTCTTCTTTACGATTCCCATTTCAAAGAACGATCGCTGATCAATACTAAGCTGCTTGTAACACTCGACAGCATTTTCCAAATCTTTCTTTAGAACTTCAGAAGTTTTAGGCCGTTTTTTCTCGTTGTCACAGTAATCGTCGACAAGAAGATAAAGAAGTGCATTTGATTGAGTTAGATATCCGTGATAGACAGCAAAACCAGGTTCCATTTCTTTGCTTATTTCATTGGCCAGACAGTACGCCAGTTTCATAAGATCGATATAAAAACTTGGATTGTTGAGTGTTTTTCTATCGTGATAGAAATAGTTTCTACCATAGCTATGAGTTAACGAGACATAAAGCTCGGCTAGGAACAAAGGACAATACTTTTCAATACTGATTGCCACTCTATGTTTTACCAGGTCAAACACCACGTCAGGTGATAGTGGTTGAGAAAATTTGACGATTTCTTTCAATCTTTTATCATTTTTGAGTTTTTCGGGGAACACATCAAGATCTTCTGCATGCAGAGTTCGACAAAACACAAGATTACGAATAATACTTTCTATGCATGGTATCTGGGAACTCTTTTCTTTCATCTTTTTCATCAATTTTTTAGCTACGCATGATGTAGAGTGAGTTATGCTGTATATTTCTTTCTTATCAACAGACTCCTCCCAGAAAGTTGGTTCAGCAGGTTGCAAGTCATCTTCAGTCACACCACACAACTCATGGAGAAGATCTCTCGACGTTTCGAAGAAAATGTCCAATTTTTGTAGCAAAGGAGGTTGCTCTTGGGTGTACGTGAATCCAATGAGCTCTGCTAGTCTAGCTAACGCCATCTTTGTTCTGTCATCTTTCTCTTTATTCTTCCATTTATTTAAGAATATCTCAGCGTGCTCACGAACAATACGCAGCTGACAATTATTTTTTGAGAAACGATTATCTTTACTGATGTTTTTCATAAAAACTCCTGCTAACTTATAAAGTACTTCTGACTTAATGCTTTCTTTTTCATCGACCATATCACTGATAACGAGTTGGGTAAAAGAATGGAATGAAAAAAGGCGAACATCACCTTCTCTTGTCATTTGAATCAGCGACTTAACGTTATCGCACAGATCATCCATTTCTGTTGTATTGATGTGGAGATCACTTGAAGGTAGCTGACTGCTCAAAAGGAATTCTGGAATTCCATTATTAGCGAGAAAAGCTACAGCTGCAATGACAGGAAAGAACTTATCGTTAATTTGTTCTAGACAGGTTTGCACTGCAATATACAAGTGCTTTCTTTTCTTATTTTGCTCTTTATTGCGAATTTTCTTAGCCGCTTCTTTGTGTTCTTGCATGGCTAGATATTTATCAATAGATATTTTGTTTTTGACGATGTAGTCTTTGGAAGCTGTTAAGCCTAGAATATTCCAGCTAAAATAGTCACAGAGCCGTCTTTTCATCTTTGGATCATCCTCGAGTTCTTTAAAAAATTCTACTCCGCGATGAAATCGATCCACTTCAATTTTCTCGGAATAATTCCAAAGAGGATGGTTGAGGTCGCGATTGTTAGTGGTGATGAGAATATGGATTGAATCACGAATATTCAATAAATCGTCAAGCCATTCTTCTTCAATATTCTCAGACTCCAAGTTGTCGAGCAAAAAAATTACGTTCAATTCTTCGGCTCTTTTCTCGATAGATGCCAGCAATTCTTTATAACTCATATTGCTTGCAAACTCTTTTGCTAATACTGTCAATGATTCAACGACTCGTTCGCTGTCAGAGTTCCTAAGATCCACGAACCAACTGACGTCATACTTGTTCTTGTTGACAACAAGATGATTAAAGGCAGCAGATGATTTTCCAACTCCAATTGAACCGTGCAAAATGATCGGAACTCCTTTTTGCAATCTTTCAAGTTGATCATCTAATTCGCTTCTCTGGAAATACTCAAAATCTGCTTTGCGCCAATTGGAAGCCCTGATTTTGCCATCTAGGATAAAATATTGATAAAACTATCTTGTCATATATGTGTTGTGCATTTATAAAAGTAAAAATTCGAAAGTTTGATTATTAAGTGACATTGTTTACCCTAAATATTACATAGATTTCCTTGCTTTCGAGTAACTGTTATTTATGTCCAATTGAGCACACATATGGAAAAGTTAAAAAGTACCTTTTGCAGAACTAGAACTCTTTACTTCACTGGAAATACCAGTAGGAGTAAGGTTAACTGTCATGTGATCACCAATAAAAACATTGCCACCTGATACAGATATATTCATTTGGTTTTCTGTCATCACTACCAGAGGTAAGAAATGGTTTTGTCATCAAAATGATCATTTTAATATCATTATGATTTATACTTGAAATTTATACTTCCGTACGAAACTGTGACTTAAGCGATATGATGGCGTTATTTCTGGGTACTTTTCCCTTGCGTGCACCGAATGCATTAAAGACCTGAGAAAATGAGCTAAAATTCCTCATCATCTTTTGTTTTAAATGCATTCGGCTCATGTAAAATGTGACGTTTGAAACAGGCCTCAATGTGACTACTACCTTTACCCTTTGATCCTACCTAAAGAGCGCTTTACCACTTAAAGAAATGGGGATACACCAACAAACTAACTTGTGAGAGTTAGAGATGGGCGGTACCAGCTTTTTTGAAATGATGCCGGCAATTTTTTTTGACACCAATACCAGTACTGATACAAAAATAGAATAAAGAGAATATTAGCTCCTGTGTTTATTAATTACAATCAAAAAATATCAACATACTAAACACTAAATAAAAGAAAAAACACTCTCCAACAAATAACATCATCTTGTTAACTCAAGATTTGAGTTTTAAAAGCAAGAGACAAGATTTAAAGCAATATTTCGACTCTATCTCAAAGTCATTATCAGGCTAAGTTCTAAAGAACTTGTTATTTTTACTTAATTTCATTGATGTCATTGTAGACAGTAACACCTCCTTTCATCTCCTTTGAAGTAGACTTAATAATAATGACTTTAAAATAGAGTCGAATTATTGCTCTCGAATCTTGAGTTAACAAGATGATGTTTTTTGGAGAGTGTTTTTTCTTTTATTTAGTGTTTTGTGTGTTGTTATTTTTTGATTGTAATTAATAGACACAGTAGCTAATATTCTCTTCATTCGTACTATTTTGAAATCTTTACCAGTTTACTTTATCAACTGTACACAAACTGACCCACGTCAACAATATAGTTCACTTACCACGGTAATATATAGCAAAGCATTCGTGTGTATTTACAACGTTATTTCTTAATAGTTAACTGCGTTATTATTCACAATCCGGCGATGCAAGATAAAAAATCCTTTTTGTCTTTATGAAAGACGTTTTCATGATCAATATTACATTATATCACATATGTTGATAAATGAAGATATTGTATAACTTGAGAGAGCGTTCCACAAATCAAACTTTATTACATTATTTACATTACTTGCAATTTTAATTTACCGTAGTAACCAAATACCGTTCTTCCGGCATAACATACGAAGATTTAAACTCGAATAATCCCCCCCTGCTTTGGAAAAAATTAAGTTACATTTCTATTTTTCGCTTTCCTCTAGGGGGAGGAATTTGAGGAGACAAATTTCGTGCACCATCCTATTTTGAGCATATTACTTTCGATTTGTCCTATCTTTGTTCATTCGTCTTTTGTATTGGAAATGTGTTTTCTTGTTCAGTGTATATCTTCATCATTTCGATAGTAGCCAATGGTAGCTGGTAGCCATTTGCAATAAATAAAAAATCTAAGATATTGCTATATTGGTCATGTTGCTTCTAGGGTGACGAAATTTAGTTCAATCCTGTGATCATTCGCCATTTAGTGGTCAGTGTCTTAATTCGCAGTTTGAACAACAAGAAAGTGAAAGAAGTCTTCCTAATTTGAATGAAAATAAAAAGCGACGTCGAAATACAAAAGAAAAAGCAAACTTTTGGTCTACGTGAAAACGGTGAACACAACATCTTAGAAAGCAACCTGTTGTCAATACAAACGCATTTTCCATAATCGCCGGTGCTTTTATTGAAAAAGTATTGTCGTAAAAGTTAACATGTGTTTCTCCCCCAATTATATTAATGCTGTTCTGTTGACGTTTGTAATCCATCTTGTAATGCTATGGACATCGCTTGAAGGTTTATCTCTTGATGATAGTGCACAAGTTAGTTGTGATGAGAAATCAACTTTGCCTGGGAATAGTCTTCTGGTTACTCATGCAACGCCATCAGCCGCAAATGGAAGTGTATCAATAAAATCTGTATTCAATGATACTCTCCTATCTGTTAGTTTTCTATCATGGAAATACAAAGTGCAAGGTGTTTCTATTATAAAGACAATGAGGACAGGAACTAGCTCGAACCTTCAATGGCACTTTGCAAAAATTGGTCTTCACAAGGTTGCAGTTGCAGTGAAGTTTCATAAACATTCTAATCATGAGGAATATGAGATGTCGAATTGCACTTATGTAAATGTCACTGGTAAGATTCAATTGAAATTTATTTTTTAATTAATTTCATTTTAATATGTTATATAAGTATTCTTAACTATTAGACAGTAAAATGCATTTTCATAGTTTAAAAAATATAGCTCAATGTTTCCTTTCTAAAAGACACTAGGAGAGATATTGTGTAGATTGGCCATAACAAAGAATGAAGGAGCTACAAATAAGTTCACATTTTGTGACATAAAAAGTTTCTCCACCTCCCTTCTTCTATATGTTTTTAGATTGTCTTTTGATGCCCATTGTGCAAGTATCTACTTTGAATGGAGTGTCAAATGTTTCTGAAAATGACACTAAAGTATCTTTTGATGCACCGGGCTTTGCTAACCTCACAGTCTTGATGAGAACTACTGATCCTTATTTCGCTTGTAAACGGCTTGCATATTTGTGGAACTTTAATGATGGCAGTCACTTTTCTGGAATGCACGCACCCAATACTACAATACGCCTGGTTATTTTTCTGTTAATTTGAATGTATACAAAGTCTTCGAATCTGAAAAGAATCGTCAGTTGGTTACAGATTTCTCATTGACATTACATGTGAAAGGTAAATAAGAATTTGGAAAGAAACCACGAGCTTAAACAATTTTGTTCAACCGGTTAACTTGCTTTGGTAAATATCTTTGTGCACAAGACTTTTGAAATAAGTGTTTCTATTCTCAGTAATATAAAAAGTGTCGTACGTGAGCCAAAAGAGAATCCATTTTTAAATATTTATTGAACAAATCATGTATGTTTTTGTTTTGACTCAAGACATCTTCAGACGAATTATAGGAATTGGGTTGCTAGATTATTGTTTTTCTGTTAAGATTTTCCTTATTCTCATTGCTTAGTTATTGGTTAGCTCTTTTGGCTCTTGAGTCATATAACTGAGACAGTTATAATATATGGATTTGTATTAAGAGCTTTCAGTAGAATAGCCAGTATGTATTATTTAATCCTTTCATGTGATTTACATAGCAGAAGTAAAACTTGCTGGCCAGACCTCAACAATTTTATGGTTCTACCTTCTTCCGAGAATATTTATGTGTATATTTTTTGTTATCTAGAGGCAGAAAAGAAGCCAAGTGGCAGTGATACAGCTATTGACATCACTTTGGTGCTGTCTATATTTATTGTTTGTTTTGTGTTTGTCATTTGTGTTTCTGTCTACTGGTTTCGCCAGCGTTATCATCGACATACGGAAGTGGCTGCATTTGATTTTCGGCCTTTCGAACTTCAGAGTTCTGTTAACGGTGATCACTGCCACAGTTACAGCAATTATAGAAGCAGAATTCGAAGCTTAGTAAGTTGTCGAAGCGCAAACAAAGAACAATTGTTGGACAATGACTTTTATCGTTACAGTTATGGTGCTTGTTCTGGATAGTTTAATGTTAATTGTTTGAATATGTTTGTATTATTTGTGCATTGAGTTGATGTGAAGAAATAAGTGAGGTATTTTAGTATGAAAGAAATTTTGAACCTCGTCAAATAAATTATCAGTGTGATTAGCAAACTTATTAAATGTGTTGCATTGCTAAGGAAGAGGGTGGAGGGTGGAGCACCATTAAAGCTCTGGCGGGCTAAATTCTTTTCTAATTCTAAAAAGATTTTTGTGGATAATGATTTAACATATTCAAGTATCCTAAACAAATTTTGCGCATATTGAATCAATGGAATCATATGGAATCATAGACGTCAAATGTCAATACCAATGGTCACGTATTTACGTCTCAATACTAGATTGTTTGGCTTGGTTGAAATTCAGGAGACCAAGAAGCCCCTTATAATGAGTTTGGTACCTGCTCACCGACGCTGGTCTTCCCATTTACAAGTACACTGATTATTCCACAAAGGCAATGGTACCTGCGTTTGTCAACAATTGTTATGACGGCCGTTCATTGCTGAAATAATTACATCTTTCATTTAACTGCTGACCTTCTGTTCCACTCTTTCAAACTCGATGACATTGACAGTTGCAGTGTTGCCAAATGAAATTTCAATATAATTATGTTTGCTTACGTTTCAAGGTTTCAACATAAATCTGATATTGGTTTTAACACATTGATCACGAGATTTTTGGTTCAGTCATGAATTTTTATGCATTTTCTATATTAAGTTCGCGGCATTGTTACAAGTTAACAAATCATTCATGCTCATCAAACATTCATGAAGATGGCAAACCAATCAGCAAACAGTTCACAAAATCAATGAACTTTGTTCGCGATCTGGAGACTGGAGTGGATATCTGTCATCAAAAGTTGTGTTACATGAAGTATATCAAATTAAGCGGATTGAAAAATAAAAATATTGCCCCCATTGATTCACGGGACAAATTCAAATATTTGTTCTTTTCACTTTGCTCGTTGTTATCGATTGAGGTAGAAATCTTCTTCTATTCAATCCTTCGCAATCCACCTCTTTTATCATGCATATTTACCAAATATTTTCGAGATTGAAAATGCCATAATATAGCTTGCTAGTAGGGCTCGATTATTGACTGTGGCGTGCCATCCTTTTTACAGAATTACTTTTCAAACGAAGCATTTCTTTGTAAGGACTAGCATGGTTGACCATTAACAATCGAATGAAAGTTCCAGCTTCGATATTAACATATCTCTTGAAAATCACATATTAGCAAAATTTAGTATCAATCCAGAATACTTAAAAACTGTTTCTTGTATTAACTGAGACATTCGACTTTCGAGTTTAATATTTGTGTAAACCATTAAATTATAAACTTGGTTTCCTCACCAGAAACGATGAGAATTAGTGTGTTGGCCGACGCTCTTGTGTCCATCTGCAATGCAGAAAAGCGTGGTAAAAGACAGGTTTTAATTCGTCCAGCCTCGAAGGTCATCACTAAATTTTTAATTGTCATGATGAAACATGGTTAGTTTTAACAAATGTAAAAATTTATGAAGATTTAGTCGTGCATTATTATGGAAAGCTTGTCGACTTTTTGAAAAGATCCTTTGTTGAATCATGATGAAATTATTTGTGCGCTTTTATGGAAATACAATTTTTGAAATGACTACATGTCTGCTGTTAGACTGGACTGAAGAGTTGTAAACACCAAATTGTGCAGTTCAGATTGAAATTTGGCATGCATAAGTCCCACTTTTCTCTTAAAGTACAATCTTTCGAGTATGTTCTGAGGATGTTTTGAAACAACTAATTTTCCAGCAGTTTTTCAATATAAAACTTATATAGTATTGTCTAATGTGTGTACAACTTGTGGTTGGTGCTCAAGTTCACCATTTATCTCATGCAGATTGAAATCTCAGCGACATCAAGTTTCTTCTGTAGACTGCGGTAGATTTATTTTCTTTCCAAAAATCAATTAAGTCTTTTTTTCAACAAAAGCAAAAGATTGGAATAATCTCAATTTGAGGAGAGATTATTTGAGTTTTGGAAATGTTAATGGGAAATAAAAAGCTACCAAACATTTAGTCATTTCATACAATTTTATTGTGCATTGCCACTTCTAATAATACAAGCCAACAATTAATGCTATTATTCACTATGTGAGCATTCTCGGCTATGATTGGTCAACTACCTGAAGATAGTTCTCTATATCTGCAATTATGACATCGTACCCATAGATAATAGTTTGAAAATGGTTCTAAAGATAGCAAATACCATAGTGAATGGTAAAAGTAATATAATAAGTTGATAGTTCTTAAAAGAACTGTTTTAAGTAAAGAGCACTAACCCAATAGTGTGATTTGTCACCACAACAAAGTCTCTATTTTATTATTTAAGAAAATAGTTTCTATAAATATGGATTTTGGCATATATTTACGTATTTAAAGGGGGCAAATCTATTGGTAGAATTATACTCTATAGAAAGTACTTAAAATTTTAAAATGAGGAGCTTTAATTTATTTTGACAAATGCTTGATTCACTACTTGTTTAGCAAATCAATTTCTTTGAGCTCACATAATAATGAACCAATGTTTATATATAAATTTGTATTCATTAGTTTGAATTCGTTTTCAAGCTTCCCATAGCCAAATGTGCATGACAATACATGACTGTACATGATAAGTCCTAATCAACCCTTTGTCCTCTCGCTTTTTTCTTCAACTGTCATGAAATATTACTTTATGTGTTTGACTTCAGGTTACATCGGAGAGTTTGAAATTATTGATGATCATCGTGCTGGAAAAATTGTTGTAAATCTTAATGGTCGGTTAAATAAGGTAATTTTGTTCTTGTTTAAAGTAAATGGTTTGAATGCGGGAGTATTGTTTTCTGTTTGTAGATGTAGATCATCAAGGTTGGTACAGTCCTGAGTAGGACTGTTGATGTTGACTGATGTTTCAACAACCTTAGCGGTAGTCATCTTCAGAGTCAAATAGCTCAGTTAAGATGACTACCGCTAAGGTTGTCAAAATTAGCTGGAATTAAGAAACGCTTGAAACCAAGCAGATTGTTTTCTCAAGAAAACTCTCAATGCAATTGCAATGTTTTCATTTGCATTACTACTAAGTGACATAATAATGCAAGTTGTTTATTGGATTGTAAGGTTTTTAAATTTGTTTAGAAATTGTGTATATTTTTATCGGACAAAGAAATTTGTGATCTTAGTATGAATGTTTTATTTCAGTGATTGCTCAGTTTGACTGGTATGTTTTCCAGTTTTCAAATGTTCAAAAAAAATTTTGCCACCAGCCCTAGGTTTCAAATCATTCACTGTGAAGGAGCTCTTTATGTTGTTTTTAGCTTGAATTATTGAGAAAGCATTTCATCATTTATGTCTGGTCATTTTTTGACTATCCAGTTATGTATTTGAGGTAAATATATCACAATGATTACACTAAAAGAAAAAGTATTTTTATTTTAGTGTGGTGTGATCAGTCCAAGATTCGATATCTCAGTCCGCGACATAGAAAAATGGGCAACAAATTTGCTTCCTTCGCGTCAATTTGGATTTCTTGTTTTGACAACATCAAGTGGAATTATGGACCATGAAGAGGCAAGGAGGAAGCACACCGGAGGGAAAATATTGGGATTTTTTTACTAATCATGTTTTGTCTCCAAATGTAGAATAAATCCTTCGAAAATATGTTTGCTTGAGTATGTTTTCAAACAGAATAGTAACATATTTATTTTACAGCATTTGGCAACAATGTCATAGGGGTTGATCCTGGATGATTTTGCTGCAGGGAGTACTCTGGTTTGAATTTGATTTTGTTGGCTTCTTTGTGGATGATGCTGTGCCATATCACTGCTATGATTTATAATATTAATTATTAAATGACATTTAAGTATATGTAATTAGAATTTTTTATGATGATTACGTCACGGTTACGTATAGTATTCTGTGCTAGCGTACTCGGTCTTACCGGGAGTTGAATCATGGTGGGACTTTCAGCCCGGGAATTAAGAGCCGGAAAAGAATAGCCAAAGTTAAGGATATTTGACGGCGGCAGTACTTCTGGACAAACACGGAAGCCTTATTGCCCAATTCATTGTGTTAATAGGGAATCAAACGAGTTTCTTTCAAATGGTATTGTAAAAAGGTTAAAGTAAAGAGTATGAAATCAAACTAGGACAGTACGAAGGGAAAGGAGCTATGGGTAGTGAAACAGACAACGCGAATGGGCCGACGGCTCGTGCTGACTCAATCGATGTGGGAAATTTGGCAGGTATTTGTTGTTTGAGTTTATACACTAGTAGGTCTTTATATCCCCGCCTTTTCACATTGAATGGTCGTTTTATATTCATTATAATCGCATCGTTTTTTATACAATAGTGCTTTCAAATTGCTTTCATGCTTCGTGCTCTTTTTTTGTTTTACAGTCGAGAATATAAAGTAATATATTTCTTCGGTATTGACATAACGCCGGTGTTTCATCTCGAATTTTTTTGTTTTATCATGACTCCCTGTGTTAAAAATCTTAAGCGACTTCTCAAACTTGATATATCATCGTGTAAAGTGAAATGATCGTTCCTATTTTTGTATATCCGTATTGCGAATAAAGTTGTTTTGTTATGTTTGTTAATCATGCCGAGTCATAAATAATATTATTTATTTTGAGTGACAACAAGCAGTAACTCCAGTGTTGTCTGCGAATCTATTCATTTTATGTTTGACTGGAAGTTGAAAATACATAGTTTTCGGAAAGAATCTTTCAGAAAATCTGTCATCTTTATGATTACTCATGCTCCAATTGAGATATTACTCAAATATGAAATTTTCTACATTATTTATTCAGGAAGGGCTAGTCTGACATCGAGTCCTATATATGATACCATTTATGTCCATGTTTTAGCAAATTTGCTAGAAATTACTAGATGGAGCAATTGAACTTGATATTTAAGATATTGTAAAAACTGCTTTTTACATTTCAATTAGGTAAGCTGACAGAAGAAGAGATGAGACTATTGAAAGATATCAGAAGGCAGAAAGCTCTCATCTTGGATGAAATTCAGGTAGTAGAAACTTGATGTTTGACAAATATAATCCAGCTGTTGATGTTTAACAAGTATTATAGACAAGTTGACTTCGATTAGATTGTTAATGCTATAGTTGTTGAAATGCAGTGGCAAAACCAGCCCAACCTCTTTCTCCTACCTTGCAAATTATTCAGCAAAATTAGTGTGCATTTCTTTAGAAAACTATGTCCAATTCTTTAGAAACTTAGACCTGTTTTTTTCATGATTGTAATCGAAAATATTTGCATTGGGGGATGGCTTTTCTTCTATCGGATTATCTTTCAACAGTCTTGCTCTAGCTGGTATGATCCACATCATTCAGGGTTCAAACCATTCTCTGAACATGTTTGTTGCATTATGGGTATACATAGCTCTTGCTATGGGGATAATTTGATGTATAAATTCCTAAATTTGGCCTGAATAAATTATGTAAAACTTATTGACCTGATATTATGCATAATTAGGTACGCTGTTGTGATATTAAAAAAAACAATATTGATATATGGGAAAAAAATAGTGATATTTTTTCATATATTTTTTTCATTATTTACAATGTTGCTGGCGATGACTCATAACAGTGTGCGAATTAGTTCAGAAAAAACGATGTGCAATTTTTTTTGATAAAGTTGTTTCTTTCGAGGCATAATCAAATCGATATTACGTTAATTATTATATAGCGCTAATTGCTAAATTAATATTTTTAAACGTGAACAAATTCATATGATTTACGACAGTGTTTTTCATTAAAACTGCTGATTTTTGCACATCATTTGAAAAAGTGATGTGCAATTGTTTTCATTTTAGCTAAAACGATGTGCAAATTGCACATTGCACACCGTTAATTCGGACACTGCTCATAACTAGATCAAATTGAAACTTAGCAAAAAATTGTCGAGGTTGTTATGACTCATAAATCAAATTGTTGAAACTTAGCTAACACTTGCCCCGCACGTGGGATTGGGTCAAGATTGTCTAATAGTATACAAAGCCATGTAAAAAGCTGCTATAAAGCCCTTAAAAAAATGTTAAAAACTACCTATAATTACTAAATATATATTAACTAATTACTATATATATAATAACTATTTCTGTATTTTTTTTTACATTTTCGGTATATCTATGTTTTGATATACCGAAAAAACCAGTTTCAATTAACCTATATTTAAAAAAAACAATATTTATCAATATTTTGATATACCGCAACAGCTTACAATTAAGTATTATTTCCATGGACAGATTTTCTGGAGGGGGGCAGGAAAATGCCAAATTGAATTTTCTCCTCTCTAAGAAACATTTTAACTCCCACCCCAATTTTTTTAGCAAAACAATTTAGTAGTACAGTTGGACTGAGTTTTTCTTTGCAATGTTTCAACTCTTCACTCCTCTTGTGGTGGCTACACTACTCAACCGCCTCTAAAATTTGGACTTTTTACTTTGTCTTACATCACTTCCTGACCAGTTCACTCCTATAGAATATTTTGCACCACCCCTGTAAGAAATTAGAAAGTTCACCAGTGACAATTATTAATCCTTTAGTTGAAAATCTGAATAGAGGAATCAAAAGAGTAGGTTGAAGAGGACCTGTTTATGTATTTTGGCAGAATTTTTGTTGTTCGTATTATGATTCAAAAAACTCAAAGAATGAAGTGAAAATGATAGTAATTTGTTCAAGATTTATGTTTTGAAAGAATTTTGTTATTCTTTCATCTTCATAGCAATTGAAAGCAGAAATCAAAGATGTGAAAACTGAAATGGAAGCAGTTGGACAGCCAGAAGACAGGTAATATACTAAATTTCTTAAATTATGAGTTTTATTGCAAACCTGTTGACATTAGTATTCTCACATCACACTGTACGACACTCACACTGTAATTCTGTTGTTATTTCTGGCTCTAAGCATTGACAATAATCAAGACCTCACAAAGTATAGGATATTTATTGTGTCTTAGGGTACTTAATCAAAAAACATAAGCTGTTATAGTTTTTCAGTGTTCATCTCAAAGATACAATTTAAGACAAATGCGTAACATCATCTATGTGACCCACCAAAATAGATTGCTTGCTGAGACCTTTTTGAGAATTTTCACCACTTTCACACTTGGTGAGCATCCGGCAATCCTAATTTAAACAGAAATAGACATTATGACAAATATGACCTATCATCGGGTTTGCCATATTTGTTGTAACCTGACATTTACTCCTCACTTGACTCTGAAGATGACTACTGCTGAAGTTGTCAAAACATCAGTCAACATCAACACCAACAGTCCTTCTCAGGGCTCTAATAACCTGGGGCAGGTTGCACGATGCCTGGACAGTGTTATCCATTGGATAGCACAAATTTTCAATTTTGTAAAAAAGGTGTTTGTATTTAGCATTTAAAATAGACGACAAAATTTTTTTATCATAAACATGTTTCGACTTACATTAAGTCATCTTCAGTATGAGAATGAAGTAAGGTTGTTTACAATGCTGAATTTATAATAGCATAAATGATTTGTAAACTGAGCGATTCATAATGACTGCACCATTACATTATGACAAAGAAATTTTGTAATCTTCAAAACAATATTTAATTTCAGTGATTGAACAGCTCGAATCTCATATTTTTTGCTTTTTAAGAGGTTTTATAAAGGTTTCAAAAAAATTGGTATCCAATGGATAACGCTATCCAGGCTTCTAGCAACAAGCCCCAAGAGATTAAGCTATAAAACTGACATCATCTCGAAAGTTTGGGTTTCCCTTTTGTGACTTCTTCATAATGCCATGTAACACAGGCCTGAAATTTAATTATTTTCATCGGAAACAAAAGCCTTCGCAATTGACATCTACATACATCTACATCTAATAAATTACATCTACAAACATCTCATGATACTCCCGGGTTCAAACCATTTACTTCATAACATATCATATTAAAAACAAACAAACAACATTTGTATACCGGCCAGTATTAATCCCCGCCAGGGGGGTTGACCGATCCATTAACTTTTCTACGCCAAACATCTCTATCTCTCGCCATATCTCTCGTTATACCCATCGCCTTCATATCACTGTTCACAGCATCCATCCATCTCTTTCTCGGTCTACCTCGTTTGCGGCCTCCATCAACATTCATATGCAACGTTCTACGAATTTCAGCACTTTCTTCCCTCCATAACATATCATAACATATATATATATATATATCATATCATTTCTTTCTATAACATATTACTAGCTTTAAAATTGTTCCATGAAATCTCAATGTTGCATACTGCCCAACTTCATATATGTTTATTTTGCATGAAATAGCTTTAAAAGTAACCAGAAGCAGAATGCCATTGGCCGGAAAAAGTTCAACATGGATCCAAAGAAGGTGTCAATATTTCTTGTGAAAATTTTAACATGAAGTACAATCTGTTGCTGTGTCATACTATTTAGCGAAATTGTTATAACTTAATTTACTCAATATACCTTCAAAACTAGCAATAAAATATCAAAAAGATTAGTGTTCATCGCATCTTTATGAGCTGTTAAATACTACAGGTCTGTGTGTGGGGAAATTCCTACAGATGCCTATAATGTTATTGTGATGTATGGTTTTCAGTAAGTGGAGATTTGCTTTATAATTATTTTGCCTGTGTAGGGAATTGAATTTCTCATCGTAAACGATCAACTCAACGATACGCCGGAGGATATTGCAAAATTTTTGCTTGAGGAAGAAGGATTGAATAAAGGGATGATTGGGGATTATTTGGGCGAAAAGTAAGAAACATTAATTCTTTTGACCTACAATTCCGTCAATTTTGTTTTTCACTGCATTTTTTTTTTCTATTTTCGCCACAGCAAAGAACCGATGCTGTCCGTGCTGCAAAATTTTGTAGGGCAACAAGATTTCAGAAATATGCTTCTTGTTGAAGCGCTGAGGTTTGTGTATGATTGTGATAAAGGACCTCATATTCCCAGCATGTCTTTTATTGGAGGGTATTGACTTGCAAAGCTGCTGGTTACGAGTTGGGAATCTGGGGACAAATTTTGAATATTTAGGTATATGTCAAAATAAATATAATTTGTCAAAAAAATAAACAAATTTTCTGGGGGTTACAGCCAAGCTTTTCGTAAAACGTAAAATGTTTAACAATAAACATACCAACACGGGATTAAGTTTTGAGATATTTAAAATGAACGACAAATTTTTTCAAAGCAAACATGTTTCGGCATAGTTTATCGTACAGGCGAAGTGAATAGCACAGAAGATGGCATGAAGTATGCCAAAACATGTTTGCTTTGAAAAAATTTGTCGTGTATTTTAATTTTTAAATGTCTCATAACTATTTACGAAATTATGGAAATTGAGTTTTTTTATCCAGACGACACATTTTCAGAGGATTTATTTTTTACAAAAGAAACCTAGAGTGAGAGGAACCCTTGCGAAACAATCAGAATAAGAAAAGAAAAAAAATATCGTCTTTCTTAACCTCGCTTTATCGGTCTTTACTGAGAAATATGGAATTTTCGTCTTTTAGTAAAAACTCCTTACGAGCTCGATCTTTACAAAAGCACCTTTGTCCGATATTTCTCGGTAAAAACCTTGTACTTCTTGGTTAAAAAGGACTGATTACCTAGCCATCCTATCCAAATTATTAGTCAGGCGCGAAACTATTGTGAAAGGCTGAGCATTCATACATTCAGCTCTGCTTTATAAATTGCAATTTCAATAGAAATCGGTCGGGCACAACCGAATAATACGAATGTTCACTTCTTCCCCAATTAGCGTTCAAGTTTCGCCCCTGTTCCTAGCACTTTTTTGCTCATTTCTCCACAAAGATGTGCTACGTATACCACGGAACTTAATATATAACTGGACGGCTACTTCACGCCAAAATTTTAAGACAGCAATTTTACTTGTCCCAATCTTTCCATTATCGGTAAAAGAAAGTTCATTTTATGACAGTAAGATAAAATATGTGACTTTACCCGCAGGGCAGGCGTGTCTGCAGGTAAAATTTTGCTTCGTGCAAGTACAGGCGTGTGTACCTAAAGTTAGCATTCCAGTTATATATTTAGTTCAATGGCTATATCTACAGCCACAGTTCTTTAGTTTTGTGATCTGTTGATGAATTAGACTACTCTGTTGTCGCTTGGCTTTTTTTCTGTTTGCATCATATTTTATACTCTACTGGGGCCGGTTGCAAAAAGCACTATCCACTGGGTAGCAACATTTTTGAACGCTTCAAAAATCTCTTAAATATGAAAAATATACATGATTTCAACTGTACAATTTATGAAACACAATATTTTATCAAGAATTACAAAATTTCATTATCGCGAAGAAAATATAAACACTTTTTTCACAAGTTTTAAAAAATTACTATCCAATGGATAACGCTATCCAGGCTTCGTGCAACCGGCCCCTGAAGTGTACATGACAGGGAGAGAGGAGACAAATTTTTGTTTTACTATTATATAGGAAATTTTTATGGAGTTTTCGTCTTCCCGGCGAAGCTCAGAAAATTGACAGAATGATGGAGTGCTTTGCAAGTAAATACTGTGAACAGAACGAAGGCGTTTTTACATCATCAGGTTGACAACCTAACGTTTTGTTTTACTAATGAATAAATTAGCGCTGAGGAGGCATTTTGATTGCGATAATACACACCCTCCCCCCTCCCCCAAAGAAACCATGCAACCAGGTGCAGATCAACACTTCATGATTTTTGCAGGGATGTTAGGCCTAAGTTGAATAAGTTATGACTAAGTATGGTAATTATTCCAAAATTAATGCTGGTCGAATAGCGTTTGTCGTTAAATGCTCAGATAATTTTTCGAATAGTTTATGATCCAGCAAAGTAGTTCCTTCCAGAGCAGTGAGCAATGAGCTCCAGTCGATTTGTGTAAACTCCTTTGAGTGGACTGTGTACGTTTTCAGTCATATATTAATGGCGTGTGTAGTCTGTCTTCTGCTTGTTTTAACAAAAGAATTTTCAAACTCGTTTCCTCAATGGCCTTTACTGACGTCGCGTGTCGTCTTCTGCTTGTTTTAACAAAAGAATTTTCAAACTCGTTTCCTCAATGGCCTTTACTGACGTCGCGTGTCGTCTTCGGCTTGTTTTAACAAAAGAATTTTCAAACTCGTTTCCTCAATGGCCGTTACTGACGTCGCGTGTCTTCTTCAGCTTGTTTTAACAAAAGAATTTTCAAACTCGTTTCCTCAATGGCCGTTACTGACGTCGCGTGTCGTCTTCTGCTTGTTTTAACAAAAGAATTTTCAAACTCGTTTCCTCAATGGCCTTTACTGACGTCGCGTGTCTGTCTTCTGCTTGTTTTAACAAAAGAATTTTCAAACTCGTTTCCTCAATGGCCGTTACTGACGTCGCGTGTCGTCTTCTGCTTGTTTTAACAAAAGAATTTTCAAACTCGTTTCCTCAATGGCCGTTACTGACGTCGCGTGTCTGTCTTCTGCTTGTTTTAACAAAAGAATTTTCAAACTCGTTTCCTCAATGGCCGTTACTGACGTCGCGTGTCCCCACTATGCATTCAAGCAAAGTAGCCAATACACAACTATAGACATTACAAAAAGAAAACTGTTTACTAAAACCGTTGACAACAAGACAAAAAGTGATTATTTAGACTATAGCTTGTGATAGGTTTCATTAAGAATGTTTTTATTTTCCAATTTTCCATGAAGTCTGTGAATGTTTTCCTCATGATGCACGAATTGAAATTAAATGGGAATTAATGAAGAAGTTAAAGAAATGAGCGAAACATTTCATGGTAGATTCAAACTATAACACCTCAGGCAGTTGTTTTTTTAAACATCGCAATATTCTTGGAGCCTAATTTGTATTTTCGGTTTATTTTAAAATATTTGCCCGACGCTGACGAACACCTAAATTTTTTCCAAATTAATTGGCCTCTCGGAAACATTTTATCGTATCCACTGCTATTTAATGTATGCGTTATTAATCTTTTTCCTTCAGACACTTGTTATGTGTTGAGTTTTTCTCTCATCATGTTGAACACAAGTTTACACAATCCCAGTGTCAGAGACAAGGTGAGCAATATTCAGTAACATGTTTATCTTTATTTGCGTTCAACTGGTGGGCAGTGTACCGATCTACCTTTCAAACGCCATATGTTTTAACTCAAAAGTTCAGGTTTGAACATTGAACTAAAATACATGGAACGCTACCTGTAATAAAAAACCCTAATAATTTTTTGAAGCCAAATCTTACACTAAGACACGCAAGATTACACCCAGACACGCGTGTGTAGTAAATCAATTTTCAGTATCTCAAAACGCTAAACACGCGTGTCTGGGTGTAATCTCGCGTGTCTTGGTGTAAGATTTGGCTTTAATTATTTCCTTAAGATAGCGTTCTATGTATTTTAGTTCAATGGGTTTGAAATGGTAAACATCACGTTTACTTAGACCCATAGAACCATTCGAAAACTATGGGCTTATGACGTTTATGATTTTAAAATTTGGCTCCTATATTTTACGTGTTGCCCCAATCTTGGTTCTCGAACCAGTCCTCTCGTGTGGCTACGTCATACGTGTTTTCATGGAGTTCATTATTGAAGCTTATTGTGATCCTATTTTAAACATACAGAGAAGATATTTTTAAATGTTAAGCTTGATTTTAGATCTGCGTATTAGCACAGCAGTTGCATGTACGAATTAAGATTTTTGTTTATTTTTTGTTAGCCAACTGTTGACACGTTTATAACGATGAACCGTGGTATTAATTGTGGCGGGGATCTACCAAAAGAACTTTTAGTGGTAAGTCTTAGAACATTGAGTTGGTGATGCAGACCAGCGTAGTTGTCTACGATCTACTTAGGTCAGCGGTAGTTACCAATCTCTTGTATTACAATTTGCGTCGAACCAAAATGTTATTGAGTACATGAACTTTTTTTACATTAGAGTTTGTATGAAAACATTAAAAAGGAAGCGTTCAAGGTCCCAGAGGATGATGGCAGTGACATAACAAGGACGTTCTTCAATCCAGATAGCGAAGGATATTTAACGAAAGAAGGTGGGAAACTGGAAACGAGAATGACTCAGTGAACTCTAATATAAACTGGAACGCTAAACTGCGCCGCCATCTTCGAAGCCAACATCGATGCAAGTTTTTCTGAGTTTTTAGAAGTTTCATGAGATTATTTTAGAAAATAAACAACGATATACATGAAATGCAGTAGCACAAATGGCCACGATAAGTTTTACCTCACAAGATTAGGTAATATGCCTGAAAACGCAGATAAAAGGCATCATCGCTGGCTGTTGGAGTTAGCGTTCCAGTTGATATTACAGTCCACTGGTATGTCTGTTTGTTTGCAAGATGGCGATAACGAGTGATTTATCTTGCGTTCAGGTGGTGTACATAAGAACTGGAAAAGAAGATATTTCATTTTAAAAGATAACTGTTTGTACTACTTTAAAGAGTTCAAGGTGATTTTGCTTTAAAATTTTAACCAATTAACCCTCAGAGGGGGATGTCCGAATTGAAATGCATCTCAATGAGCTCAATCGAGATTTTGTGGAAATTTTGTAATTATTTTTAAAATTACAATCAGTCAACGCTCGAAAAGAGATGTCCGAATTTAAATGTATTTTCTGTGATCAATCGAGATTTAGTTGAAATTTTATAAATATATCCATTTACAAGAGCGAAATCTCCGTTATGAATTTCAAACGAAATACCGTATTTCCTCTAATACACGCCGGGGGCGTTTATTAACTTTTGAAGAAATTTGATGCAACTTGTATTGAAGGGAGGCATGTATTGGAGGGAAGTGTGTATTGGAGGGAGGCGTTTATAAGAGGAAGGTGCCTATTTGCAATAGAAAGCATGTCGTGTTGCTTCTAAAGCATCTTATTTCTTATCCAGGACAAAGAACCCCGGGGTATCATACCTTTAGAAAACCTTCAAGTTCGTGAAATAAACAACGATAAAAAACCGGTAAAGATGTTGTTTTCATACTATGGTGATCTCCCCATCGTATTGTAGCCGTCGCATTCCGTAATTGCTCGTTGAAACTTCGTCAGATACTTGACAATCACATGACCATCACTCTGTATTCCTGTTTTAAGTTTTGCTTTCAAATCTCCGCGTCCGAAGAGACTGGCGGAATGATAAAGGCTTGCAAGACTGACTCCGAAGGAAAAGTTGTTGAAGGTTAGTTATTAGGGAGCAAGAGTAGCAAGAGTACGACTATTACAACGAGTACGAAGTTTGACCGTGTAAGAGAATGGCACGAGGAAGTTTGTTGTCGTTGTTGCTTCGTCAAAATTTTGTTTTAGTTGTAAACAACAGAACGAGCCTTTTTATTGTGTAAAACACCAAAGTTTGCGAAGCAGCTACGGCTCCATTGGTCAATAATGATATCAACAAATCGGTAATACTGATTTTGCAAGAACATAGGACTCTTTAGAGTGAAAAATCTTCACTATTTTAAGTTTTATGTACGATATATTTGTACTATTTTATTGTTTGTTTACCTTTCACTTTGCGTACGAAATACATGAAAGTTTTGCAGGTCCTTTCTTTCATTAGTCTGATAATGTCTTTGGAATAAAGACGAAATATTACACCATCTTTTGTTTCAAACTCTTGTATTATCTTGAATATCAAGAAAACGAGATGTCCGTTTTCGGAATTTGTTTTATTTTGATATTCGTAATTTTCATGGAATTTGACTTCATCAAATTTTGCAACGGACATTCATTCCCCAGCATTTTGTTTTGTGTTCTCAGGTCGACACGAGTCCTACAAGATTTCATGTGAAACTGAAGAAGAGAGAGCGAAGTGGATGGAATGTATTCGGTAAGAAATAATATTTATGAGAATTGTTTAACAGATGTCTGCACGTAATACTATGGTAGTGAGGTTATTTGTTCATTAAATGTGCTCGAAAGCCGAAGAAGGTTGGGTAAAAGTCCCAAGGCGCTTGCTTTGTAATACTATGATTTGCCAAAATATTTCAATTTTAGCTTTACATACTGTCAACAATTGCGTAAATTAAATTCTTTTCATTATTGGGAATACTCTGTGGTTAATTTTATTATTTCAAGCTCAAAATTTAGGATTGTTACAGTAATACAACCAGTACAGAGGACATGCAAAGTCTTAATACGACCATTGGAATACGTTATTAATTTGTCTTGCTATTGAAAAATAGAAACTCAGGCGATCATAGTATTATTTATAATATCGCGCGTACAGTAAAATCCCGCGTTTAGAAACCTAGAGTTGTTTAACAACTTGTTCTAGGCTAAAATTTCTTTTATGTATACCCACCATATATATAAGTAAGGCTAAGATTTTTAACAGATTTTTTTTATTCTTATCACTTCAAAAGAGTTAAAACCAAATATATGACTCAAAAGAAAACAAACTCTTTACAAAGTAATGAAAACGAACGCGCCAAGTCAGAATCCTAAGTAAGTCATTGGCATAACACACCAACCGAAAATGAGTGAATTTTTCTTTAGAAAATATCACAATGAGCTCCATTTAAATAAGAACTTTTTAGGCAAACTTGCAAGGATCTTTGTTCTTATACGCGGGATTTTTCATGTAACGTTAAACCTTTCCTAACTTGTAGCTACTCCGCTAAATATTTGTATAAATTTCGTGAATATTTTCTAGGAAAAGTATGGTAATGGATCCATTCTATGATTTTCTAACCGCTCGAAAGAAAAAAAGCCACCCAGACTGTATCAAGTTGAGGTGAATCGTAGATTTTACATTCATCCTTTCCGTGCTATTTTTTGGTGATATTTGGGGACATGGGGAAAACCGGAAGAGTAACGCACTCTTTTTTTCTCGGCATTTTTAGTGACGTAGAAACTTGAGGCGGGTGGGTGGTGAATCGTAGATTTTACATTCCTTCTTTCCGTGCTATTTTTTCGGTGATGTTTGGGGACATGGGGAAAACCGGAAGAGTAACGCACTCTTTTTTTTTTCTCACCATTTTCAGTGACGTAGGAACTTGAGGCGGGTGTTACGACACCCTAATATATACACAAAAGGTCAGGTTGACTAGCTATAAGGTGGCCGTTTCCATTCGTTTAGAGGATCTGAATTTTCAAAATTTTAATGTTTCGACCCTCACAATTTAGGTGCGAGTTAAAATCTCGTCCAAGTCACATGTTTTTCATGTGCATATTAAAACCGTGTTAGGATTAATATATTACAATTTAGAAAGCGGTCTTACGTTCTTAGCGGCAATACACGTTACAAATGCACGCACTTCACATCTCCACGAAACTGTTCTCGTTAACTGAGAGGTTTACTTCACGGAGAAAAATAGATTTAATATGTTTACTGCGAGATAAACCATATGCTGAAGTTTTTGTTAAATAGGACATGATGTGATTTGAGTAAATTGTAAATGTATATTTACTAATCTTTGTCATATGTTGATATTTGAGATGAGATGGAGTCTAACATCCGACTGTTTCTATGATTGTCTTCACGGATAATCCGTGAAGTGGATGTCTTCACGATAATCCGTTATGTGGATATCTTCACGGATAATCCGTTATGTAGATGTATTCACGGATTATTCGTTAAGTGGATGTATTGACGGATAATCCGTTAGTTTTATTGAAGGATTCGTTATGAGTAAAGAGTAAACAGTGGTTAATCTCCTATAGGTGACGAGGTTTCCTAATATAATAACCATGGAAAGTATTAAACACGGGATTTGAAATTTGAATTGCACAAGAGGAGGATTGGAATGGTGCAAAAGGAAAATTCGAATGGCACAAAAGGAAATTTTAAATGGTAGAAAAAGAAAATTTTAATAGTTGAAAAGGAAAATTTGGATGGTACAAGAGGAAAATTCGAATGGTACAAAAGGAAAATTTGGTTGGATGGTACAAAAAGAAAATTTGGATGGTACTACGAGAAAATTCGAATGGTTAGAAATGAATATTTTGAATGGTATAAAAGGAAAATCATTTGTCTAGTTCATCCAACGCGGGAACCATCAATCTAACATACAAACCAAGTACTTCTCGCCCGTTTACTACGTGATTGAAACAAATACAGTGTAAACAGCTTGCGTGATTGACAAATTAACAATTACGTCATTGATTTATTAACTAAATCTCCGTGCTGAGCACCTAATGGCAGAGTACGTTCGCTTACGTCACTGATATGTATATATTATGGTCTTCGTGTTGAGGGGGGGTGTCGATTCTACTACATGTATTAAAAAGTCACACTTTACGGGTTTTTTCTTTTGCCAGAATCAGATACCCCCTTCCTAACAAAGTCTGCGAAATGAGACAACTTCCGGCTTCAATTTTCCTACCTATTTTATACGTGATTTTACACGATATATATATATCAGTGGGTTAATTGTGGTGAGGTGTCTCGCAGTCTCTGTTTTCACGTATCAAGGAAACCGTTGAATTAACTTGATCTATTGATATTTTGCAGAAAATTTTATTGTATGATGTAGCTATGGATAATGTAGAAACAAAAGAAAAACATTTATTAAATACATATCGTCATAATAGTAATAATACCTATGTGTTTAACAAATTATTGGAATATCTAAGTCTGTTGTCTGTTTCGTTGAAACTATGTCTTCGGGCTGACTGCTTGCCAAGTGGGATTCTTGTGGATATGGAGTTGACAAGAGGAATGTTTGGGTGTAAGTTGGGAAATGGTTAATGAAATAGGGTCACTTCATGACGCAATGAGTACACGAATTAAGAATAAACGATTGAATATTTATAACGGGGAAGTGAGTGAAATGAATATTTTACAACAAACACAGTTCTTTAATAGTTTTAATTAATGGTTTTAGTGTAGGTTTCCCTTGTGTAAGTCCAACCATTCAAATTTAGCCAATAAACCTAACCAATCAATGGGCTGTGGCAACTTGTTTATAGCCTACATCTGGTTTGCCTTGCGTAAAGAGGCGCCTTGGTAAATCGTTAACTTAGTGGGTATAATAATTTCAAACACCTCTCGCCTTTCTTAAAACCTGGCAACGCTTTCAGGCGTCGAACCAAATATGACCGAATCTAAAACATATGTGAAGTTATTTTTCAAATTGACTTGAATAAGATACACACACTTATTGAGTACGAAGCTGGAGGGGTGCGTTTTTTATAAGAAAGAATGTTTATTACAATAATTCTCTTTGTTATTTTAGGCTTAGCCTGCGTTCAGGTAGGTTTAAGAATGTTGACAATACCTGGCCCATGTTAAATACGTGTTTTCTTTATCGATTTCGTGACATGTTTTATTGTTGTTATCGCAAAGAGATGATTTGAACTGAGAGAAAGTCGAGTGTCAAAAATGATTAAAGAATATCGTATTTGTATGCCATTGAGCGTGGAAGAGGTTTGAAACTTTGTGCAAATAAAATATTAATCTTATTGAAGTGGTCTTTTCTTCGGAACAGCGTCATTTCGATTTATTAGGCTCTGCTCATTTTATCTGTTTGTCATTATTATTTAATGTTTGGCCAAAATATTTTCTTCATTACGCATTGAATTTTGAGAATTCTCTTACGTACTTTAAGAAATACATCTAGGATTCTAAATAAGTCTTCGATAATGTTCACAGCGGCAGAAATCGTGAAATTTAAGATTATAATCCCTGGGCAGTTCAACTTCGGCATTTTGTCGTGTGTAGCTGAAATTTCACGCTAAAGATTAACTCAAAGTATCAAATCGTGTGGGTGTGTTTGTGGGCATGTAGAAGTAGACACATTATGGAGATACTTTCACCCTTGGGAGTTTGGTAATTTTTATTGTCGTCTATTGTAACAAATTCTTTGACAACCAATAATTTGCGACTCTAAAACATTTCGCTAATGATCTTTATAAAGCATGCGAGTGTTTACAAAAACCGTCTGTATATCCTTGCTATGTTTTTCATAGTACAAGATTGGACAACTTTATATGATAAGCAAACACAGTCATCAACAGAGCGAAGACGGCGAAGGTGTCGAAGTTGTTAAAAATGAAGCGTGCGAACATCCTGTTCATGGCAAAGGACAGTACACAGAAAAAAAGATTCATATGTTTGGGTTAGTTAACTACAAGCATGTGTAACTTGAATAGATTGTACGTACATGTTTAACGGATACATGAAAAGCACAAAAAATATACTCAAAAGTTCGTATGTTTGACTTTTGCATTGAATATCGTGATTCAAACACTTCGCTTTATGTATTTAATAGACGACTGCCTTCTTGGGTGAAGGCTTGTATACCAAGAGTGTTTTATGTTGAAGAAAGAGCGTGGAATTTTTACCCTTACACAATAACAGGTTAAATTTTTTTTCAGAAAGATCATTTCTTCCCACGGAGGGAAAACCTTGATGTTTTTGGCATATTTTTTATGGCATTTTGCTAGACATAAAGGAAGTAGAGTTGGTGCAGTGTTTGTGATGGTCTGACTAAAAAATTTATAAGCTGTTTTCTCATTTGCCACTCACTTGTGTAAGAGTAATGCTAAATGTGTTTCTAAGAGGTGAAACATTTGGTGAATTTTCTGTATGATTGATTGATTGAGAAACACTAGCCAGAATAATATATGGGGTGCCAATATTCATATATCCATTTTATAATCCCTTAAAAAACAATGGATTTCAAAGGAAAATAATATTGCGTATGCACATATGAATACGCACTCCCCCTCCCCTCAATTATCGTTCTATGTGCCTGATATGGCTAACATCTATTTTGCTAAATGAGGCGTGAAAACCTGTGCAATGTTTTGTACTAGGTCAAATTGAATCTGTGGCAATTGGAGGGCAAAGAAGTGGGGGTAATTTTGGGGTGGGATGTATTTTAGGTAGTTAATTTTTGGACTTTCTGTTTATTAGAAACTCCTAAGTTTCACACTGGACAGTAGTTAGATGAAAATATCAGAGGAGGGGCATGAAAATATTGGGGGAGGGGCATGAAAATATTGGGGGAGGGCATGCCACACCCTGTATTGCAACTGGTTCTTTATTCTATTTTGTTTGATTTCTACAAAAACTCTTTTGCTAATTGTTACATTTTGTTCTTTTTATGATGAAAATTCAATCATTTACAGACTATACGGTACTTAGAGACATTCATGTCTATTCGTGTTTTTTTGTACTTTTCATACATCAATTAATTTTGAATTCTCTTGTGTTTTTTAACAGTGTTCCTTTGTTCCACGATTTTCAATCCACATTGAAACAGTGTATGAAAATAACAATGGCTCATCAATAGATGTATGTATATGAATGGTTTCTCATTTCCTCTACACACAATATGATGACACATAAAGCAGATAGCAAATATGGCAAACCTGACATTGGCTTCTCACTAGACTCTGAAAATGACTACTGCTAAAGTTGTTGAAATGTCAGTTGACAACAACATCAACTCTACTAACCTGCTTCGTCTTCATCTACAATATTCAGTGATTCATGCTACATATAGAATTGATTCACAAGAAAATATTGGAAAAAAGATTTTATTAGTTATAACATACAAATTTTATCACAGCCTTTTGTTAGGCAAATTAAATGGCCGTTGTCCCCTGCCCCCCACCCCCAAACGTGCCATGTTGAAACCCAAATTAAGTCTCTTGTCTTCATTTCCTGTGTTTGTGTTACATTGAGATAGTGTCCTTAAATTGCAACTAAATGTTTCCCTCTGTTGTGTTTTTAGCCATTTAAAGTTAGTTCAACACAGCTGGATGCGCACGAAATTGACTTTATTGATATTGCTTATGATGAATACCCAGAGAAACATTACGTTAAAGAAGAGGTTTGTTCGTGTTTTATTTGAAATAATAATGTGGGTTTAGGTACCCAGACTAACTATATGCATACATACCTACAATATCCCTCAAATTCATGGCTTTTTTTTCAAATTAATGCTATTGCTCTGCTCTACCAGGGGGGGTTGAGATCAGGATCAGGTGCTCAACCACCACTGATTTGAGAAAATGTAAAGACCAAAATCAAAGTTATTTTGACTTTCAACACATGTTGCACTTTTTCCATGCAGTCGCAAATGTTTAAAATCATGACGTCACAGGGGACTGGGACAAAATTTTGCCCCAGGCATCGCAAATTATCTCGATAGCTCTGCCTCTACTTGCTTTTATTATTGACATGAAATTTCAAAACACCAAAGATATCTTCACGTCAAAAAAAAGAAATTTTTTTCTTTTGATTTCAATTTTAACGAATTGACAACCATGTCGTGCGATGCATGATAAGTGGTTTCGTTTTTTATAAGCGTTTCGTTTTTTTCGTTTTCGATGAGAGGTTTCGTTTTCGTTTTTTCGTTAAGTATTAAACGGAAGACCACAGTCGTCAAAATCACTCATCTTATAACCAAGTAACGGCTAGCTCGCAGATGTTCCCTGGTAGAGCAGAGTGTACTAACAATAGTCCCCACCATAGAAAAAAATCCCACGGACGTCACTAATGACGTAGTGTATGACGTATACATTGAGTGCAAGTGATTCTTATTATTCAGAATAGAAATATTACAAATCGGTGGACTGTTATTTTTTAACACAGGTCTTCTAACATTACACTGCAATACATCTGTCACTTTACCGTTTTAGGATTGTCGTTATTTCAAATCGGCAAAAACTAATAGAGGTCCATTAAATGAGGGATGGCGGGTAGGTTCAACTATTCATTATCTACATCATTGCTATATAAAGATAGCTTTGCTAGTTTTGAATTATTCAAGGGAGGCTCGAGGCCTTGATTACTATAGATTCTCGAAAATAGCCTCCTCAAAAGTAACCGCCCTCTTAATGGAACTTTTAAGAGCTTTACAACATTTACACTCATTATCCATTCGTGTACATATATGTCAACCATCAACAACCCTACACAACTTTAAACACATTGAAAAATACCGTTCATAAAGCGTGGAGTAAGAGTTAACCATGAGGATTAACCCATGCCGAAAATAACGACCCCAAACTTAGCGCTCTCCACCCCACCCCCCTTGGAAAATTATCCGACCGTCGAGGCCATTAATTTTGAAAGTAGACCGGGCTGCAAATTTCAAGATTCCAAAGTGTGTAATAATAACATACAATGCATCCATAATTTCGTAGTCTCTTTTAATCTTTCGTAATCTCATTAAAATCTCATTAAATCTCATTCCTGTAAAACCAACTATTCAACCTCTCGCTTTTAAATCATAGACACTGCCGACACCTTATTCTCCCTGAAAATGAAAGAAGCACTCCACATTGACAAAACTAACCCCCTGACCTCCATGTTCAAGTTTTTAGATTGAACACGATATTTTGTTTGTAACACGCTTCCATTATCTCATTTCCTCGCGATTGTTATAATTTATCCATATTTATCCATATTTATCCATATTTATATATAAGTTTGAAAATTGGTAATCCAGGCATTTAATGCATAAAAAATGAAACTGAAAATGAAAATGAGATCCGGAGAAACTTTCATTTTTTATATATTTATATTTTTTATCTTATTGTTACTGTATTACTTTTGTAAACTTTGTATCATTTATGTGTTTATTCACTCATACTGAAGATGGCATCATGAGATGTCGAAACATGTCTATTCTCAAAAAACTCGTCGTTTATATTAAATGAAGTACAATGTATATGCATTGGTCTCGACTTGTCAAACTAAGCATGACTTGTTTATCTACTGATATACAATGCATAATGTAATGTGTATTGGTGTCATTTTAAGGATACGTCAAAACCGATAATGTGTTCGTATAAAATGGTAACTGTTTCTTTCGACGTTTGGGGGTTACAGTCAAGAGTGGAGTCCTTTGTTCACAAGGTACAAAATTCAAGGCACGTTTTATCGTTGTCGATTCCGTTTGGTCTCTAACATGTAGAGAATTAATGAAGTCATTTTTTTACCAAGGGCATTCGTGACGTGCTCTTAGTGGGTCATAGACAAGCATTTTCGTGGATTGATGAATGGTGGGGTGAGTATTGATGGGTATTTATTGATTTACTTGGAGGGTAGGAGGGGTCATAGACAAGCATTTTCGTGGATTGATGAATGGTGGGGTGAGTATTGATGGGTGTTTATGGGTTTACTTGGAGGGTAGGAGGGGATCATAGACAAGCATTTTCGTGGATTGATGAATGGTGGGGTGAGTATTGATGGGTATTTATGGGTTTACTTGGAGGGTAGGAGGGTCATAGACAAGCATTTTCGTGAATTGATGAATGGTGGGGTGAGTATTGATGGGTATTTATGGATTTACTTGGAGGGTAGGAGGGTCACAGACAAGCATTTTCGTGGATTGATGAATGGTGGGGTGAGTATTGATGGGTATTTATGGATTTACTTGGAGGGTAGGATGGGGTCATAGACAAGCATTTTCGTGAATTGATGAATGGTGGGGTGACTATTGATGGGTATTTATGGATTTACTTGGAGGGTAGGATGGGGTCATAGACAAGCATTTTCGTGAATTGATGAATGGTGGGGTGAGTATTGATGGGTATTTATGGATTTACTTGGAGGGTAGGAGGGGGTAATAGACAAGCATTTTCGTGAATTGATGAATGGTGGGGTGAGTATTGATGGGTGTTTATGGGTTTACTTGGAGGGTAGGTGGGGGTCATAGACAAGCATTTTCATGGATTGATGAGTGGTGGGGTGAGTGTTAATGGGTATTTATGGATTTACTGGAAAGGTACGACGGATAAGCTTCCCTCCTAGCCTTGGCTGAACAATCATCATCTGTTAGGAATAAAACGAATCCTTCACGACGAGAACCAAGGCGTGATTGTAAAATTAACTGTTTCATTTGCTGTCACACTGCGATGCTGTAACATCTTTGATAGAGTAACACTCGTTGTTCTGATTGTTGCTCTATCATGGCTAAAGCACTCTTCGGAGCAGTATTCAACCATTTATCCATCAACTTTTTCTTCCATCGAGTTTCACTTTATTTTGTAATTGTTGCAAATTTGCAATAGCGTCTGGTAAAAAGTTAAATTGTGTTCCGTGTGGGAGCACACTTGCAAAAGATATCTACGGATTAACAAGATTTGGAAACACTTGGAAAGTAGCCCCCAAAATCTAATCAAATCTAATCAGGATCAATCAATTTCGTGACTGTGTCTGTGTGTAAAATTTTTATCTTAATGATGTAATACGATGTTTTTAATTATGCTTGATGAATTTTGTCTTCTCAGACATGGAATTGAACGATGTCAGAGAATTTGAGAAGGTTAAGCAGAAGGAGACGAATGATGTGGTTGTTGGAGCTGACGTTGCAGAATCGTCGGATGATTCGGTGACATCACCCAGAAACTCGTCTGTTTAGATCGTGTAGTATTTATTCAAATTTTAAAGTTCTGGAACTTCTTTATGTAATCAACGATCTCTAGTTTTATTACAAGAGCGACGAAAGATTAATGATTTTGGGGGGGGGGTGTATCATATATATGAATATTACCCCCTCCCCCCTCCCCCCTCCCCAATTATCAATCTTCCGTTGCCTTTGACCTTCAAATGTGATGTAATATGTTGATCACAGGGGTGTATCGGCAGGTAGAAAGAGGGTTGGAATTTTCACACCACTGCCCTTGCTGTTAAAATGGGGGCTCAACTTTCCTTCATAATTCTTCAAAAAATTTTTTATTTCTTGTTTTTATCTTTTATCCTGGCAATTTTTACGTAACGTTTTATAAACTGTGAGCTATGAACGCTAGATAGACTAAAGGTGTTTAACATAATACTAGGTTTTGTGGTAAAAACGGTATACTGGCAAAATTTGACTTTATACTTTTTTGTAATATACGTGATGTATCGTTAGAAATCACCATGCTAAACTAACGCATGCGCATTATTGTGCACATTTTGCCGTTAAATGTTTTGTTAAACTCTTAAAAGCACAAAAGCTTCGGAGGCGTAGGAAAGAAGTGATTTTGGATTTGGCACAACCCGACATCATTGGGAGGGTTGAAGGAAACAACTGTAATATATATATATGTACAACAAACTGTATCTATCAATGTAACATCAACATATTATAGCAAGTATTTTACTTTGAGCCATCGAGGTACTTTTAAAAGTAAATCTGTGGCAAATTATTGAGGGGGTAGGGGAGTACCAATTTAAGTAAGAGTTTTATATCACCAGTTTTACAGCACGTGTTTTACAGCATCAGTTTTCAGTACCAGTTTTACAGCACCAAATTTACAATACCAGTTTTACAGCACCAAATTTACAATACCAGTTTTACAGTAAGCAGTAACAGAAAAACATCAAATTATGAGCTTGTGCAAATTGTTATCGCATCAAGATTTGCTCAATTACGGTAGAGAATTATGACGGTGGGCGCTCTGTGGAAAAAGGGATCCTTTGAAAATGTTTTTGAAAATAATTTTAACAATATATACTCTTTCCATTATTATGTGTAAATGCCGAAATTACAAAAATACACTTGTATATTATCCAATAAAAACGCCTACAACAGTTTTATAGCAAAGAAATTCACGGAAACTAAGGAATTATTGTTGCAAACAAAATATTCTATCTCTGACGAGGAAATTTTTGAAACGTCCTGAAAAGAGTTGAAAAGTGAAAACGAATCGTCATGCTAAGCAGGAAGCTTAAGACCATACACCGCTTCCCTTACTGTACACCAGTGCATAACTTGATATAAATTATTTACCAATGATTACGAAATAAATTACAAATTCCATCTCAAATATTGGAGTAGAAACAATATGCTGCAAAGATTGTTGATTGGTTTCTGTTTTTTTCGAAGTTCATACAGAAAACTCTCTATAACAATAAGTATCGTTGTTGTTTTATGTTTTACGTGTTCGTTGCTCTTTGAAATTGAGTATGCACCGAAGAAACTAGTATATAAACACGTAAGGTTTGACGAAAAACACGAATGTGTAGAAAATGCTACAACCTCGTACAACGGAGCTAAAAAACTCATTTTGTTCTACACAACAATATTCGAGGATCTCCCTATTTTTCATACCGACACGCTTCGTTGGCGATGCTGCCAACCATTCAACTGTCACATTACCACTGATAAAAGTCGATTTGGGGAAAGCGATGCTGTAGTATTTCATGCACGCGATTTACCTTCTGCCGAGCATATGCCTTTGAAAGAGAGACGAACTTCGCAACGTTGGATTTACTTTACGATGGAATGTCCTTATTATTCAAAGATCATACCCAAAGATTACAATGGTATGTTCAACTGGACGATGACTTATGATAGACGATCCGACATTCATCAACCTTACGGTTCTTACACGAAGAAGTTAATTGAAGACAAAGGTTGGTTTAATTTGTTTTTCCTTAGGAACACGCCTTCAGGGCCCATTACTAATCACTTTCTGTTGAGCAAGCCTCAAAAGACATGCTAACACATTTCCCTTCCTCCTGTCTAGGAATGCAGAGAAATTTCGCAACAGGGAAGGACAAATTACTTGTTTTGGTCCAAAGCCATTGTAAGACTATCGATGGCATCAGGGAGAATTTTTTCCATGCCTTGAATAAAATAGTGAAGGTTGATGTTTATGGTAAATGTGGAGGTGTATTTGGGAGAGTAGCTTGTCCAAGATGGAGCAAAAAGTGTGCTGAAACATTGAAAAGATACAAATTTTATATATCTCTTGAGAATAGCATTTGTGAAGACTATATAACTGAGAAATATTGGAAAGCAGCTTTCGATATCAATGCTGTTCCTATTGTTTTTGGTTTGTCATTCTTCAAAGAGCTGGCTATTCCTGGCTCATACATTGATGCTTCTGCATTTCCAACTTTGAATGGTCTTGTTGAGTACATCAAATATCTTGATAAGAACAACACGGCATATAATGAGTATTTTGCATGGCGGCAGCATTATAAAGTGACAAATTTGGAGCCATGGCCTTGTAGATTGTGCAAGATGTTACACAACAAATCCCTGCCTCTAAAAACATACCAGGATTTTGAAGTACTTTGATGCAGAAAAGGTTTGCAGAAGTCTCAGCAGAACTATCATATTCTAGCAAAGGAAAGAGCATAGATTTTAATAAAAACAGAAGTTTTATTTATATGAGGTTTTATTAATGCAATGTTTAACATGAAGAAAATAATAGTTATAGAAGTACAATGTGGTGGCACTAAGGTACAATGAAGTACCCTGAGGACAAGTTACTTAAAATGATAGTTATTGCCAAGGGGTATTTTAAGGATTTTATATTGGGAGGCCATTAACCTCAAACACAAGAAATTTCTCCAAAACTCCATTGTTTATGAAATAGATGATGTGTACTGTGTTTGCACAGGCTCATGAAAACCCAGAAGACCTTTGGGAGAACTCAAGAGCAGATCAGTGCAAGCCTGAGGCTGAAGGTCGAGGGTTACACATGCTTGAGAGTTTTGACAAACATCTCTGAGCTTTTTATAGGCCTGTGCAAAAACAAAAAACATCTTTCATTTCGTTTATAAAATAACAATCGAGCAAAATAGACAAATTTAAAACAAATGTTTTAATTTTTCCTCTACAATGTATTCATGATTGATTTGCAAATTCTCGTTGATTGATTGATTGATTGATTTTATTGGTTGTGCTCAGATCTGTTTTGCACAGGTTAATGCAAACACAGCTACATATTAATCAGGTATGGTGGTATGGTATGCTTTTATTGCATATATTTTGTAATGTGTTATGTAAAATCCATAAAGGTTTTTGAATATCCATAATGGATTTTCATAAATGAACATTCTCTATCCATGAATAGATATAATCCCCTTTACCATTGATTTACTTATTCAACATGGGAATTATGTAATAACGATGTGAATTTTTTAAAAATTTTACTGTGAAAAGGCCTATGAATCGTCAGCCCTTTGGCACTCCAAAACAAATCATGTGGTAAACTCAAGTCTCACTTATTGGTATTATAGTTCTTCAAACTGTCGTTTTCCGTCAACTACCGTACAGTACGTAGTTTTCATCTTTTTTTACTTTATAAGAAATTTTTGTGGAACTTTACTTTTAATATGCATAAGAAAGAATTCTGGCAACTCTTCTGCGAATATTACATTTAAGTCTTTTATTCCCCGAAAAACTCTTACGAAATTTGCGTTCGACACCCTGCATTGTTTCTCTTTAACAAAATTACATATTAAATGAAGATATGATCTTCGCACTTTTGCTGGACAATTTAAGCAATTGTCTCATGAACCTGAAAAATTCAGGTGACTCAACGGGATTATATCTTCATTTAATTTCAAACACCGCACTGCATATAACAATCTTTCGAAAAATTACATATTTTGATTATTTTTCTGCTTGTATATGCGGTTGGCCTTGTCTGTATTAGACTGGTATTAAATACTTAAGTTGCTTATTTATAAATAAAAAATGATGCTATTTATTTTATAAGCATTGAACAAAAACAAATTCAAAAGGATATTATTCCATACTGTACTTGGAATCCAAACACACTCATAGAGACCAAACCAGAATGTAAGTGTATTCGTTCTTAAAAAGAATTCTCGTTGAATTCCCCAAATGTCGCGATAGAGACCCAAAATTTCACTTTTATCAGTACTATCTTTTCTAAAACCATCAACGACTTTCATTAGCGTGCCAAGGCAGACTGACTTTGCTTTATGCAAATATTTCATGATTCACTGACTGCGAAAAGAAATTTTCTAAAGAAATTAATTATTTATGCTATGCAAACGCTCCCGGTGAAAGAAACTATGTATTTGTTGTGTTTATTTAAAAACATTCAGAAAAGTTCATTGTCCTGCTTCTACAAGTCGTACAAACTAAATCAATGCTGAATGCTGTAATGATCAAAGATGAAAATATTGAATTTTCAAGTTCCTTCGAGCAAGTTACAACCTGTTACAACTTTTACAACATGTTGAAACAACTTGTTTCTACAGCCAGTTGCAATAAAACGGAACGCTGAGCAAAGTAATGTGCTCTATCGACGGAAAATACTTTCAATTCTCGTAATTTTCTCAGAAAAATTCACAGCTGTCAAGGCATAATCAATATATCTCCCTATCTTGAAGGAGCATCTGAACTGCGCTGTTTAAAACTATATAAATTATTTATCGACTGAGACAACAGATGGAAGAAAAGTGAACAAAAAAGCAAATAAAGAAACAGCAACTGCGACTGTAATTTCAAGGAACTGTACTTGCTGTAGTACATTATTGGCTTCATAAGACTGGTTTTCACATGCTACACATAGCCATAAGGACAAGCAAAGACTGAAGAATATAAAATAGCGCACAATGATTGTTATAAGCCTAAGCACAAGCACAATAACTTGGCAATAGCGTAAGTTGAAATAAAAGCAAATTGAAAAGAAAGTTCGTTTTTGTTTTATTTCTTCCAGTTTCGGGAGAATGTGCTTTGCTTGTGCGTTTGTTTATGTCGTTAGTGAAAATCAATTTTCAGGATGTATAGTTAAATTCCCGGGAACAAAAATGCTTTAGTGCAGTTGTGCTTGTATCAAAGATATGTAATATATGCACATAGCTGAAAATACCTAGCATCAATTGGTTTAGCTGTTTAGCACAATGATCGATGAAGCATTGAAACTGTATAAGTATATATAACATTGAGACGTTAATTTACCAGGCATTAGAAATTTAAATTTTATCTAAAAATGCAACGGACTCTAAAATCTAAATTCTATGAAGGACACACACGTGATCATGTTCTTTTTCGTCTTAATGCCTTTTGGCTGTTCTCATAAGGGTGTCAATTTTGAATTATGTGCGCTTCTCAAAGTGCTTCAAAAATTATGATGTGTGCCTGGCTGTGAGGTTGGAGACACTAGATAACGTTCACAATTAACTTGATTAAATACTTTAAGAAAATATTTACAAACGATGTGCGAAGCAGGGAACATCAACACCAAAAGAAGGAGATTTTCAAATCATTTAGGAAACACAACGTGTGTAACAACGTTGTTCGAAAGTGTGCATGTTGATGAAAAAACAATAATGTCTCGGAGTGGTCATCAAAACAATTCGGTCAGATGTACCAAAAAGCAAAGTTTTGCTCTTGAGAAGACATTTCAAATGCATTTCAACAACCTTCACCTGTTGACGTTTCAAACTTTCAATTCTAAGGAAAACTAACGTCGAAATAAAGAAAGAAATATGTCCTAGCTTGCACCACAAATACATAAAAGATAAAAAGTTTGCTGGTTTTTCAGCATAATGGAAACACGTACGTCGTTTCATTTCAAGTGTAATACCATGGTCTTTAAAAACTTGTTAAAATTCCTTTTTTACTTGAATACTGCACGAACTCGGCATTCAGTTTTAAAAGATGATCCTGAAAGATAGTGAAAAGAGCTTAATGTGATTGTTGGATCCTGTAAGAACGTGTCACTGGGGGGAGACCTTAAGGGATATTTAATATTATACAAGATCTTATAGGATCTTGGTAGATCTTAAAGGATTTTATTGCAAGAAATTAAAAATATCCACGATTTGTTGACTTCGTTTTCGCGCATATATAATTATGCACCTACAGCATCATAAGATAATATTACCGTAGCTGCGTAAAAGCACTATTAATATTGCGCATTTAATAAAACGACAAGTTTTTAAAATAAACATGTTTCAACATTTCATGACGCCATCTTCAGTATTATAAGGAATATTATGTATGTGATGAATATATATATAATATATATACATATATAATATATAATATATATATAATATATGTATAATTTATATATAATTTTTAATATTATCCCCTGAAGAGTGAGCAATCACGAAACAGGCTTGTCCGGATGAAATTGTAGTTTTGTGTAGTTTCTTCTTATTATCAATATATATATATAATATGAATATATATACTGAAGATGGCATCATGAGATGTTGAAACATGTTTATTTTAAAAAAACTTGTCGTTTCTATTAAATGCGTAATATCATAAGATAAACAGCTCAGTGGCTGAACTGATAGAATACGTAATGCGGGTGTGAGACGTATTCTGATGCACAAATTCATAATCATTATGTGAATGTCATTCTCTCTTCTCTCTCTTAGTCAACTTGCCGATAAAAGTGAGAAGATTGTGATTTCTTAGGGGATCTTGGGATATATTTTGGGAGCTGATTTGCAGTTTGAAAATTACTGTAGGCAACGTTGTTCAATCTCTCGGTTTTTAGGCATTTTTTTATTAAAAAACCTACTCGAAACAATCCATCCCGTTAATTCCACAAACTTCTTCGAGAAATTCACGCAAGAAATCGTAATAAATTCACCTAAGCAATCGTGCAGTAAACGGTTGCAATGGTTGCAAACAAGTTATCGTTGCAAGTCTATCAGCTCCCGGAAATTGCTTGGAGTCTTAGCGCCCAACGATTTTGGCTTCATTGTCCAATGTCGAAAGTTTGTTTATGAAAATTTTGATTTTTACCATTGCCTATAACCTTGTCTAGCTTTACCAGCAAAATGCTTTCGACGTAAACTTGTTCTTTTGCCTCACGTTCGAGGTTCAGTCTCTATGGAAATCTTTCTGGAAACGAAATTGTACCCCGAATCTTAGCATATTTTGGTATCGGAGATGTTTGGTATGTGAGAGTTTCTTCTGTTGTGCAGTAGGAATGTCAAAAAGAAACGAAGTTATTTCGCTATATCGTCAAATTTTGCGAGTGGCTAAGAACTGGAAAGCAAGCAGTAATCTTGCTAAAGATACTTTGGAAGAAAGAAAGTATATTATGAAAGAGTGCCGGCAACAATTTCGAGAGAATTCAAAGGTTAGTTGCTGTATAAGTATTTCGTTTTCGTATTTTATTTACTGAATCTTGCACATGGTTGAATGTTTCGGACAACTTAGACAAGAAATTCGTTTGAAACTAAGTTGAAAGTTCATACGTATATCGATTGTATTGCTTATACACAAAACAATATGTTAAAAATATATCAGTCTGATAGTAAAACCTGTGCTTAGCTAAATTTCAAACATTTATGGTAAATAACAAAACAGGTGTATTTGGGAGAGTAGCTTGTCCAAGATGGAGCAAAAAGTGTGCTGAAAAATTGAAAAGATACAAATTTTATATATCTCTTGAGAATAGCATTTGTGAAGACTATATAACTGAGAAATATTGGAAAGCAGCTTTCGATATCAATGCTGTTCCTATTGTTTTTGGTTTGTCATTCTTCAAAGAGCTGGCTATTCCTGGCTCATACATTGATGCTTCTGCATTTCCAACTTTGAATGGTCTTGTTGAGTACATCAAATATCTTGATAAGAACAACACGGCATATAATGAGTATTTTGCATGGCGGCAGCATTATAAAGTGACAAATTTGGAGCCATGGCCTTGTAGATTGTGCAAGATGTTACACAACAAATCCCTGCCTCTAAAAACATACCAGGATTTTGACGAGTACTTTGATGCAGAAAAGGTTTGCAGAAGTCTCAGCAGAACTATCATATTCTAGCAAAGGAAAGAGCATAGATTTTAATAAAAACAGAAGTTTTATTTATATGAGGTTTTATTAATGCAATGTTTAACATGAAGAAAATAATAGTTATAGAAGTACAATGTGGTGGCACTAAGGTACAATGAAGTACCCTGAGGACAAGTTACTTAAAAATGATAGTTATTGCCAAGGGGTATTTTAAGGATTTTATATTGGGAGGCCATTAACCTCAAACACAAGAAATTTCTCCAAAACTCCATTGTTTATGAAATAGATGATGTGTACTGTGTTTGCACAGGCTCATGAAAACCCAGAAGACCTTTGGGAGAACTCAAGAGCAGATCAGTGCAAGCCTGAGGCTGAAGGTCGAGGGTTACACATGCTTGAGAGTTTTGACAAACATCTCTGAGCTTTTTATAGGCCTGTGCAAAAACAAAAAACATCTTTCATTTCGTTTATAAAATAACAATCGAGCAAAATAGACAAATTTAAAACAAATGTTTTAATTTTTCCTCTACAATGTATTCATGATTGATTTGCAAATTCTCGTTGATTGATTGATTGATTGATTTTATTGGTTGTGCTCAGATCTGTTTTGCACAGGTTAATGCAAACACAGCTACATATTAATCAGGGTATGGTGGTATGGTATGCTTTTTATTGCATATATTTTGTAATGTGTTATGTAAAATCCATAAAGGTTTTTGAATATCCATAATGGATTTTCATAAATGAACATTCTCTATCCATGAATAGATATAATCCCCTTTACCATTGATTTACTTATTCAACATGGGAATTATGTAATAACGATGTGAATTTTTTAAAAATTTTACTGTGAAAAGGCCTATGAATCGTCAGCCCTTTGGCACTCCAAAACAAATCATGTGGTAAACTCAAGTCTCACTTATTGGTATTATAGTTCTTCAAACTGTCGTTTTCCGTCAACTACCGTACAGTACGTAGTTTTCATCTTTTTTTACTTTATAAGAAATTTTTGTGGAACTTTACTTTTAATATGCATAAGAAAGAATTCTGGCAACTCTTCTGCGAATATTACATTTAAGTCTTTTATTCCCGAAAACTCTTACGAAATTTGCGTTCGACACCCTGCATTGTTTCTCTTTAACAAAATTACATATTAAATGAAGATATGATCTTCGCACTTTTGCTGGACAATTTAAGCAATTGTCTCATGAACCTGAAAAATTCAGGTGACTCAACGGGATTATATCTTCATTTAATTTCAAACACCGCACTGCATATAACAATCTTTCGTAAAATTACATATTTTGATTATTTTTCTGCTTGTATATGCGGTTGGCCTTGTCTGTATTAGACTGGTATTAAATACTTAAGTTGCTTATTTATAAATAAAAAATGATGCTATTTATTTTATAAGCATTGAACAAAACAAATTCAAAAGGATATTATTCCATACTGTACTTGGAATCCAAACACACTCATAGAGACCAAACCAGAATGTAAGTGTATTCGTTCTTAAAAAGAATTCTCGTTGAATTCCCCAAATGTCGCGATAGAGACCCAAAATTTCACTTTTATCGGTACTATCTTTTCTAAAACCATCAACGACTTTCATTAGCGTGCCAAGGCAGACTGACTTTGCTTTATGCAAATATTTCATGATTCACTGACTGCGAAAAGAAATTTTCTAAAGAAATTAATTATTTATGCTATGCAAACGCTCCCGGTGAAAGAAACTATGTATTTGTTGTGTTTATTTAAAAACATTCAGAAAAGTTCATTGTCCTGCTTCTACAAGTCGTACAAACTAAATCAATGCTGAATGCAGTAATGATCAAAGCTATATTGAATTTTCAAGTTCCTTCGAGCAAGTTACAACCTGTTACAACTTTTACAAGATGTTGAAACAACTTGTTTCTACAGCCAGTTGCAATAAAACGGAACGCTGAGCAAAGTAATGTGCTCTATCGACGGAAAATACTTTCAATTCTCGTAATTTTCTCAGAAAAATTCACAGCTGTCAAGGCATAATCAATATATCTCCCTATCTTGAAGGAGCATCTGAACTGCGCTGTTTAAAACTATATAAATTATTTATCGACTGAGACAACAGATGGAAGAAAAGTGAACAAAAAAGCAAATAAAGAAACAGCAACTGCGACTGTAATTTCAAGGAACTGTACTTGCTGTAGTACATTATTGGCTTCATAAGACTGGTTTTCACATGCTACACATAGCCATAAGGACAAGCAAAGACTGAAGAATATAAAATAGCGCACAATGATTGTTATAAGCCTAAGCACAAGCACAATAACTTGGCAATAGCGTAAGTTGAAATAAAAGCAAATTGAAAAGAAAGTTCGTTTTTGTTTTATTTCTACCAGTTTCGGGAGAATGTGCTTTGCTTGTGCGTTTGTTTATGTCGTTAGTGAAAATCAATTTTCAGGATGTATAGTTAAATTCCCGGGAACAAAAATGCTTTAGTGCAGTTGTGCTTGTATCAAAGATATGTGATATATGCACATAGCTGAAAATACCTAGCATCAATTGGTTTAGCTGTTTAGCACAATGATTGATGAAGCATTGAAACTGTATAAGTATATATAACATTGAGACGTTAATTTACCAGGCATTAGAAATTTAAATTTTATCTAAAATGCAACGGACTCTAAAATCTATCATGTTATTTTGACAATGTCTTCTGTAATTCTTCAAATTGATCATTAGAACTCTTGACCACATCAACTAGTCTAGCTCTTTTATTGTATCGTCTTTGAATTGAATTTCCAGCTCTTTTCTTGTATTTTGTACAGCAGCATCGTGACCAGCAGCATCATGATCAGCAACATCGAGATCAGCAGCATGATGATTAGTAGCATGTACACCAGTGACCAATTGACCAGTACAATCCTGTCCAGAGTCTTCTGTCTGTACCACACTTTCACTTTGAAACAACTGATCCTCAGGAGGATCATTAACCGGCCTAGTACCTTCATATTTAATCAATAATTATGTTTACATCAATTGTTTTCAGTATTTTCAAAACAACATATAACTGGTAGAAAACAAAGATTTTAGGTAGAGCTGTGATAATGCTATCTTACCGAGAATTCCATCCAGCAAGTCCCAGTGCTTTAAAGCCATTTTTCCACGCTGCTAAGAGCGCTTGAGAAGTATGGGTGTTCGGATCCAGATGTTTTCATTCTGTCCTTCAATTTTACATATCCACTTCGCAGCTTCTTCAGCTTTGTCTTAATTTGATCAACAGTCCTTTCTGTATGCGACTCTTCTTTCATGATTCTTTGTATATTGTTAAACAATTCTTTATTTGAGCTCATACTATCAATGTTGTTTTGCACAGTTTCCGAGTTATAAGCGTTCAAAAGAGCAACTGTTTCCTCGTTCGTCCATTTAGCACCCGCCATCTCTGTTGTGACGCCGTTCTTTGCGTTCACATTGGTGCCCGTGCCTGAACACCGTACTCGGGTACTACCTAATTTGGGGGTGCCCAAACCCGGGCACTTTGACTCAGGCACCATCAAAATGTTGTGTTCACATTGGTGCCCGTGCCTGAGCACCGTACCGGAGCACTCAGTCTGAACGCGCTGTTACTGTCTTTTTGCTGTTCTCACAAGGGTGTTAATTTCCAATTATGTGCGCTTCTCAAAGTGCCTAAAAAATTATTAGGTGTGCCTGGCTGTGAGGTTGGAGACACTAGATATGGTTCACAAGTAACTTGATTAAATACTTTAAGAAAATATTTAAAAACGATGTGCGAAGCAGGGAACATCAACACCAAAAGAAGGAGATTTTCAAATCATTTAGGAAACAGAACGTGTGCAACAACGTTGTTCGAAAGTGTGCATGTTGGTGAAAAAACAATAATGTCTCAGAGTGGTCATCAAAACAATTCTGTCAGATGTACCAAAAAGCAAAGTTTTGCTCTTGAGAAGACATTTCAAATGCATTTCAACAACCTTCACCTGTTGACGTTTCAAACTTTCAATTCTAAGGAAAACTAACGTCGAAATGAAGAAAGGGATATGTGCTAGCATGCACCACAAATACATAAAAGATAAAAAGTTTGCTGGTTTTTCAGCATAATGGAAACACGTACGTCGTTTCATTTCAAGTGTAATACCATGGTCTTTAAAAACTTGTTAAAATTCCTTTTTTACTTGAATACTGCACGAACTCGGCATTCAGTTTTAAAAGATGATCCTGAAAGATAGTGAAAAGATCTTAATATGATTGTTGGATCCTGTAAGAACGTGTCACTGGGGGGAGACCTTAAGGGATATTTAATATTATACAAGATCTTATAGGATCTTGGTAGATCTTAAAGGATTTTATTGCAAGAAATTAAAAATATCCACGATTTGTTGACTTCGTTTTCGCGCATATATAATTATGCACCTACAGCATCATAAGATAATATTACCGTAGCTGCGTAAAAGCACTATTAATATTGCGCATTTAATAAAAACGACAAGTTTTTTTAAAATAAACATGTTTCAACATTTCATGACGCCATCTTCAGTATTATAAGGAATATTATGTATGTGATGAATATATATATAATATATATACATATATAATATATAATATATATATAATATATGTATAATTTATATATAATTTTAATATTATCCCTGAAGAGTGAGCAATCACGAAACAGGCTTGTCCGGATGAAATTGTAGTTTTGTGTAGTTTCTTCTTATTATCAATATATATATATAATATGAATATATATACTGAAGATGGCATCATGAGATGTTGAAACATGTTTATTTTAAAAAAACTTGTCGTTTCTATTAAATGCGTAATATCATAAGATAAACAGCTCATTGGCTGAACTGATAGAATACGTAATGCGGGTGTGAGACGTATTCTGATGCACAAATTCATAATCATTATGTGAATGGCATTCTCTCTTCTCTCTCTTAGTCAACTTGCTGACAAAAATGAGAAGATTGTGATTTCTTAGGGGATCTTGGGATATATTTTGGGAGCTGATTTGCAGTTTGAAAATTACTGTAGGCAACGTTGTTCAATCTCTCGGTTTTTAGGCATTTTTTTAAAAAACCTACTCGAAACAATCCATCCCGTTAATTCCACAAACTTCTTCGAGAAATTCACGCAAGAAATCGTAATAAATTCACCTAAGCAATCGTGCAGTAAACGGTTGCAATGGTTGCAAACAAGTTATCGTTGCAAGTCTATCAGCTCCCGGAAATTGCTCATATTTCTTGGAGTCTTAGCGCCCAACGATTTTGGCTTCATTGTCCAATGTCGAAAGTTTGTTTATGAAAATTTTGATTTTTACCATTGCCTATAACCTTGTCTAGCTTTACCAGCAAAATGCTTTCGACGTAAACTTGTTCTTTTGCCTCACGTTCGAGGTTCAGTCTCTATGGAAATCTTTCTGGAAACGAAATTGTACCCGAATCTTAGCATATTTTGGTATCGGAGATGTTTGGTATGTGAGAGTTTCTTCTGTTGTGCAGTAGGAATGTCAAAAAGAAACGAAGTTATTTCGCTATATCGTCAAATTTTGCGAGTGGCTAAGAACTGGAAAGCAAGCAGTAATCTTGCTAAAGATACTTTGGAAGAAAGAAAGTATATTATGAAAGAGTGCCGGCAACAATTTCGAGAGAATTCAAAGGTTAGTTGCTGTATAAGTATTTCGTTTTCGTATTTTATTTACTGAATCTTGCACATGGTTGAATGTTTCGGGCAACTTAGACAAGAAATTCGTTTGAAACTAAGTTGAAAGTTCATACGTATATCGATTGTATTGCTTATACACAAAACAATATGTTAAAAATATATCAGTCTGATAGTAAAACCTGTGCTTAGCTAGATTTCAAACATTTATAGTGAATAACAAAACAAAAAAAAATATACAGTTTACATCAAGTGAACCTCTGTCTCACATTTGATTTAGCCATAAATAAAATATGGCAATATCTGTAATGAACAATGTCTGTATGCGTAGAAATCTAATACCAAGAAATTAGGATAGGATAAATGTATAGTGAATTAAGCCTGTGTGTTAATAGGTTTGTCATTAAAGTAGAATTTTTTGCTTATTATTATTTTTGCTCTTACATTATTGCATTTTACTTTGCTGAACAGGCCCCTGGTTGCACAAAGCGTGGAAAACATTATCCATTGGACAGCAAAAATCTTCAAACTTGTAAAAAAAGTGTTTATATTTTCTTGTGAGAAAGAAATTTTGTAATCTTCAAAACAATATTTTGTTTCAGTGATTGTTCAGTTCGACTCTTATACTTCATGCTTTTTAAAAAGTTTTATAAAAGCCTGAAAAAATTGCTATCAAATGGATAACACTATCCAGGCTTTGTGCAACCGGCCCCTGCATTATAGAAGTATTTGCTTATTTACATTTGTACCAAATATTGTAAATAAAAGGTTTTTGTCGAGGCATGCTGTATTTTTAAATTTTAATATTAAAGAATTTTTTATTATTTTATATGTGTTCCATAATTTGACAGTTGAAAAATCCTATGGAAATAGAAAGATGTCTTGAAGAAGCTAAAACAAGACTTGAACTCGGTCAGTGATTTTAGTTGCTTCTGTCTCATCACTTCATAATTTAAATGAATCATTTCATCATCATTTCAGCTCTTCATTATGGTAATCCATATCCACGACCTGTGAGTATATCAGTAATGTCACAGTGTTCTTCTCGACATATTTGATTTTTATTTGTTTTGTGGTTATTCAAGTTTTTCAAACATTTTAAAAATAATGGTGTTGTAGTTCATGCTTCTTAAAGTGAAAGGTATTGTGCTTGGCCTGTATGTTTGCAGATAATGCTGTTCTCCACTGTTCTAGTTTAGCAATGGAATGCTATGAAGGCTCATATTCCATTTCCATGGAAGACTGTGAAATTTCAATGCATGAAGCCAACTTGCAAATACTGTTTAATTTATGCAGCAAACTAATTTGATATGCATGCATAAATCTGTGTGTTGTGTTTTTTACTACACCTAGAGGGAGTGTCACAGTGCTATAGAAGTGGGGGGACGCTTGAGGGAGGAGTCTCCCCTTCTACCTTTGAAATGGGTAATTTTAAAAGGGCACTTATGACAAAAACGTCAAGAGAGCCCCACTCTGATAAATTTAGTTCTACAGCACTGGAGTGTCACATCCTAGAATGTGCATTCCCGGCCCTGTTTACAACCTTGTCACAGAACATTTTCTTTCTGGTGTGCATATCTTCTACTACAATTGTGTCTCCAATCATATCACTTGCAATGAATTGTGGGTCTAAAACCGCATAAAGTGCTTTTATCAGATGATGTTATAGTGGGCATAAGAAACCTTGTATTTGGGACTGGGACTGATTTTTTTACTGATTTATTGAGACATAAGAGTTTAGTGGAAAATAACCAAGTACTGGCTTGGTTAAATTGTACACCTTGACAGACAACATGTACATGACTGAGCTTAGTCATGGAGTTTGCTTTAATCATGTTTGAGAAAACACTGGGGTTTGTAATCGGAATTTCATATGGGTATCGGGTTGATGGGGTTATCTTGGTTGACATTTGGTGTACATTTCCATGGGTTGCAATATTTAAATAAGAATCATTGAGCCACTATCTGGTTGTCAGTGGTAGGCAATTAGCCAACTTGATTATTGCAGGAGGAAAGATATTCATGTGCATGTTCTACTTTTAACATTAAGTTCTTGTGAAATCAATTGTTTTCTGTGGATTATAACATGTGCTTACGTGTATGGCATCAAGGCTTCCTAACAATACCAGTGGTGATCTTGGGTTAGTCTAGTAGAATTACATTCATTTTAAATTCAAAAAATCAGATCAACACCAATGCCCTTAGAAATTTCCAAAGAATTAAAATATTTCAATAAGTTTGTTTCGAAGCATGTATTTTGCATTTAAAATGTATTTATTGATTGAATTCTAGCTACTACTATAGATGGTCCAATTTTCCTCTCCGTGGTAGAGAGTGGAATATGGAAGATGCAACCTTTTCTGTTATTTTCATGGTTGCATTAAAATATTAAAATGAAGTGTTACATGTTTGTAAATGTAGATCGTCCAGGTTGGTATTGTCCTGAGGACTGTTTTTGTTGTTGTTGACTGACGTTGACAACCTTAGCGGTAGTCATCTTCAGAGTCAAAAGAGATGACTACCGCTAAGGTTGTCAAAAAGTCAGTCAACAACAACAAAAACAGTCTTTTTCAGGACTATACCAACCTGGATGATCTACATTTACAAACATGTAAGGATACTCCCGGGTTCAAACCATTTACTTTAAAATGAAGTGTATTGAAAAACCTTTGTGAAAGAATCTTGGTGTGATGCCTTGAACATTACCACCACCATCATGAACTGCCCTTGCTATCACCCCCATTGTCCCTTGCAAGCCCCCACCATAGACTAGTGTTATATTGCGACGAGCCAGTGCCTTGCCAAGTTCTATAAATAAAGAGTTTAGAATCATCGATTATTGTTGAATAAATATTTATTTAAAGTAAAGAGAAGAGAATGCCCGAGGCCAAGGAGCCAACGACCACAATTACCTTTTGCAGCGACGTTGAAAGCGTCGTTTTCGATTGTATTTGCTCCGCAAAACACAACAACCGTTTTTAGGGCAGAACACATTGTTAGATTTCATTAATATTTTGTTTTTGATAAAATATATAAAAACTAATGTTGGCCACGTGCTCAGCGAATACTACAAACCTTAGGATGAAGTTGTACTAGATGGGCTTCAGTTCGCTGACCCCCCCTGATCCTACATGGTTTTTGGCGTTTTGATTTTGCTCAAGGGGAGCGCATTTTTTATTTAAGGGGGGGGGAGGCTATCGACCATTGAAGTCGGGTGGTTGGGTGTCTCAGGCACTGATATGTATATTACGCTGGATAACGCATCCATGTATAAAATATATTAATATAAGATAATTGAAGCCGGAAGTTGGCTAATCTGATTATGACCTTCGGGGGGGGTATCGGTCCTACTTTACTATACTTTTGTAGTACAAAATCACAGTTTTTGCGCTTTTATTCGTTCTACAAACTTTTGATTCGAGCAAAATTTGAGAAAGGGACAGAACAACCGGCAAAGATATTTAATCCTAAAAAGTTTGTCTTCTTGCTTTATAATGGCAGAAAATTGAGATGGTACAAGGTCGACCTGCATTGTTTTGAAACAAACTGGAGATTATATGTTGCTGCAGCTTCTTAAAAAATGTAGAAATAATACAGAAATTTTATCTGCAATGACGTTTATGGAAGATTGCTACAAATTTACGTATTTAACAACACTTTCTTATTTACATCGCTAATATCATAATAATTTCAAATTACGTCTATTACATCAGTGAAGAAACAAAACAAATCGACAAAGAAAAATAATCAGAATGACATTTTGATGAACAATAGTAAGTTGAAAACGGTATCATCAAACTATACGAGATGTACATCATCAAAATATGCGAATTAAAGTACCTCTGTTGTCATTAAGCGAAGCGAAGTTTTCAACCAGTTCCTATGTGAACAACTTCAATATCGATGAATATGTTGAAGATATGAATACCTTTGTTCTTACTTTGTTGTAAAGTTGTAATTCAGTATTCATCTTCTAAAAATGCCTCGTGCGGCTGAAATTGTTCTCGTCACCTTCAACTTTTAAATTTCAATACAACTTGCCATCTTATTTTTCAGTCGTTACAAAGCCAAAAAAACAGAGCTTCAGGACTAAAACTCTCTACCGGTTTTCCTCTACATGTCAAAGTGGGACCAATACCCCCATGAAGCCAGTAGCAAATGATCGATCTTCCGGCTTCAATTTTCGCAAGAGATGCGTTATCCAGTCTAATATACATATCAGTGGTCTCAGGAATAATTATAAAGATGCAAAAAATTAAAAAATGGGCTAAGGCTGCTAAGCTCTCCCCCAACCTTTCCCTGCTCCGCGGTGCCTGCCCTTGCCTCCTTTTTAATGTCTATCGTCAGTGTCTTTGCCAACTACCAGTATAGGCTGCAAAGATGCGATAGCAGCGACGTACTAAAAGAGAAGAGGAGACAGCGTTTCGCCCCAAACGGCAGTTAAGCATGTAGTTGGAATTATTGGGATGCATTGAACAATTGAACATCGTATTAGGAAACTGTGACACAGCCTTGTGGAAACTGTAAATAATATAATTTGAGGTATTTGCGGTATTGAGAACAGAGTTTAAAGCAGGCGATCCGTAAAAATTCAGATATTGTAACGACGCATTGATGGTGAGTACGTGATTGGTTATCGCGACTTTAAATTTACCTACTTTTTACGCTAAAGCAAACTGCGCATGACTAGATGCGGAGGTCGAGAGCCGTTCAAAGGTTTAGAAAATGGCTGGGGGGAAACCATAGCGGTCCATCTCCGGAACGTAGTCATACACGAGTTTTTCCTCTCACCAAAAAATATTTAGCACCACCCTGTATGTTGTATAAAAATCTGTCCATGCATAAAAGACTTCGGTTTATATCGTATGTGCCCCAGTGCGTAAAGCTGGAAATCCCTTTGCTTGCGGTGTAGTGCTCGTCCTGGTTTACTAACACTGATGTTATAGTGGGAATTCGTTTTTTACATAAGTTAAGGCATTATGTTGATCTTATCGTCTGTTGTGAATATATAAATCACCACTTGACATATTATATTGTTTATGGTGTGCAGATCATGGCAACGATGTACTTCATATTACCAATTTTTATAGTGGTGCAAATTTAACGGCGCTGTTTGTGTGAAATTTTAGTTACGTTTCAAGCGTAAATACGTTTCTTTGGATGCTGCGATTTTGAGGCATGGAATTTTGATTTTTTACCTGATTTAACTCGTTGTGAAGTTTAACCACATGTTTGCTCAGGATTTACATAATGGTAGCTTGCATCGCGGACGCTTGGATGAAATTCCTTTATAAGTTTAACCACATGTTTGCTCAGGATTTACATAATGTCCAGCGTGCATCGCGGACGCTTGGATGAAATTCCTATATAAGTTTAACCACATGTTTGCTCAGGATTTACATAATGGCCAGCGTGCATCGCGGACGCTTGGATGAAATTCCTATATAAGTTTAACCACATGTTTGCTCAGGATTTACATAATGGTAGCTTGTATTGCAGACGCTTGGATGAAATTCCTATATAAATTTAACCACATGTTTGCTCAGGATTTACATAATGGCCAGCGTGCATCGCGGACGCTTGGATGAAATTCCTTATAGGTTACATAATAGCTAGCTGAGCTTATGTTTTAACGACAGTAAATGTGGCGTATTTCACACGTAGAACTTTCAATGTGCAAAACGGACAAAAACAAAGGTAAAATCGCAATTCTTTGTTATATATATTTTGCTATTTAATTATGGTCTAAAAGAAAGTTTGCATTGTTTTAGCACGCTCTTATTATAATTTTACAAACATGCAAGATTTTAGTTGAACTTCCAAGAAATGCCAGTTTGTTAGACATCTATTTGACTTGAAACCATAGTCGAACTGGGATATCAATCGAAATCACCACACAATATTCATATGTACCCTTAGTTCCGTTGTGATTTGTATAATGAACACCATCGTATGAAAACAGCACGAAAACTTTATTCGTCTTCGCGATTATGGGTGCCACCTGCACTAGGGCAAAGGGGGGGGGACGGGACTATTTTGTTCTTGTAACCCTCATCAAAGTTGTCAAAAATAGAGACGCGAGCGACAGCTGTTAATGCACACGTGCTTTAAAGCAACAAAAGCACCTATTGTTTTATGAGCAACAAAAGCATCTATCGTCTTGCAACGGTCAGAACAAAATATATTTCCAAGAAGACTGAAGTTCTGTATTCGAAGTCTTCTGGTTGACATGTCTTCAAAGTCAAAAGACGATGACTACCGCTAAGGTTGTGGAAACGTCAGTCAACAACAAATAAAACAGTCCTTCTCAGGACTATACCAACCTGGACGATCTACATTTACAAACATGTAACGATACTCCCGGGTTCAAACCATTTACTTTAGAACATACTCTATATATGTGAGACGCCGAAGTTCATCCCATAAATATCTTATCCATTAAAGAAGTTTAAGGATGAAGCATGGCACTATACCGCCCTCCCGCAGTCTGGAAACAAAAGTAAAATATGATAATGTATTATATATTTACTGAAACTCCTGATATTTGTAGATAACTTCGGTTTTCAAACCTCGTGCTGATAATCTTAAGTAATGTATAGTTTTCAGACTCAAACGTGCTTATCGGCAATGAACGATAAAAGATAACAAGAAATCCTAACCGATTACATCTTTTGTTTACGTGTTTGTCTGCACGTGTATCGCTCCGGGGATGTTGCTAGAACATTATATGGAGGTGTTTGTTTATTTATATATTCAGTTGTGCCCCATTGATTTCTTTTGAAGCCACTTTCACGAGGAATCAGTTTCGGAGCAAATGAATGTATAATTAACGGACCTCCACAAATTATTTACAATAACTTTAATAACAGTAACTTTAAAGCGACGTCACTGCAACGGTCGATGTTTGATTGAAGCCGCATGTATATATCCACGGTGACTTTTCCTCGCGTGTAAACGTTCTCATTTTGTATGAAGATCAGTTGTCTCACGGCAGCTGCGTCCTAAACAAAAAAGTTAACTTTATTTTCAATTATCATGTAGTGTTCTAGAAAACAATGATGAAAATTTATCACGCTGCCAAGTCATTATGCTGTTGGAATTAAAGCAATTTGTACGTTATCAGATTTTCAACGTCCCTTTGATGAGATGTTACTTTGTAGATGAATTGAAGGCTTTACTGCAGCAGCAAAAATATTGAACAACATTTGCCATTGATTCCTACAGATAAAACCAAACCCTAATTTTATAATATAGACGCTTTTTAACAGTATACAATTTTACGACGGCAAGTTTTTGGGGACAAAACTACTAAAAGTGGCACTTACACATAATACTTAGTTTTGTATTTTAATTGTACAAATGAAGGCTTTTGTCTTGATAATATTGTCCCATGACCCTCCTATTCAGGCAATACGCCATCTTGCGCTTGCTTAATTGCAAAAGATTGCCACAGATAAAGAAAACATTTAATGTGGTTAATGGCTTGTTATCACGAAATACAAATGTAGAAATTGCTGCAAATACTGCTACAGTTATACAAAATCTATGCTAGATTTCTTACAGTAACGACCATGCCCCATGTACTTAAGTACGTTTTTGCAAGGGTCCTCGCCCGTATAGATAACATTGCCGTCATAAAACATTTTTTACACTTCATGCGTTTTCTAAAATTGATAATGCCAAGTGATGAGTTTTCACGACATCTTGATTGGAGGGCCAATCAGGGAGCTGCAAGAGGCAGTCAGATCTAATGGGAGGGCACTTAGCCCTTCCGGGAGGTCTGCGTGTATCCCAACAGGGACAACAACCATGCTTTTTATTGAGCAAGACATCTGGGAGTCAATAGCTTGATCACATCGATTCAAACAAAAATAACTAATTATATAATCATAGTGGGACGCTTATAGCTCGAACTCTTAAGGGAAACGGAAGATTATTTAAGTTAGCCGGAGTGATTAGCGAAAGTGTTGTTAAATTTCGTTATTAGGTCATCGTCAATACGAAAGCATTAGCAGTTTTACCGTTCTACTTTGCAACATGATTGCACAAATGAAGACTATAGTCTTGATTATATTATCCCCTCCCCCTTGCTAGCTTACGTCATCTTATGCTTGTTAAGTTGCCAAAGATTGAGACATTAATGCAAATGTCGAATGTGTTTGATAGCTATCACGACACGCGAATGCTGGAACTGCTAAAACTTTAAAGTATTGTAGAACTGCTACACAAAATCTATGTAAGAGCAAAAATCATTGCGTACAGCGACGTGCAAACTGCGAAATATTAAAGAATTTGTTTGCAAACACTAATCTTTCGAGATCCCGTGTCAATTGCTTTTTATGAACCTTTGAAGCTATATATTGCAGGTATAAATGGTTAATTTCTTGCCGTTAAATTGAATTCACATTTTCACTTATTGAAAATCAAGGCTTTGATCTTCACCCTTTAGCGCCTTTCGCCTAAAGTTATTTAGAAAATTTTAACCGGGGGAAAATGAAATTTGTTAACCGAGTTAAATTAACACAAATTGTACTATTAAAATGCTAGGGGGGATGAGTTTACTTCGATTTAGTAGGGATTTTGAGTTAAATTAGATGGAGTGGTCAGGGTTCTCCATGGAATATTTTCAAGCATTTTACATTGGGAGGCCATTCATCTCAAAAGGTTCCGTGAAGCGCGAGCCATTTGTGATAGGGTCCGGAAATACCCTTCCAAAGTGAAATTTAAAAAAATGACAACGCAAAAGACTTATTATGAAATAAGCATTCTTTCTTCAAGCGAGCGAATATCAATTATCTGCAATCACCATTTACGAAAAAAAAAACGCTTAAAGGGCCCTAGAAATGGGGTATAATTTTGTTTTAGTGCGAGGCCAACCATGGAGAAAGCCTTTGACAATGGCCAAATGTCCGTCCAGTACATCTATTCTAAAATATGCCTTGGTTCTACTGTTTTTTTCGTGTGATAAAGGCATGAAATATTAATTACCCACTTTGTTTACGTTATAGCGATGGGCGATGAAACACATCGTCGACAGATGCTTTTATTTGAAGTATTTTTTTCTTTTTATTTATACTTTTCGTGGTTTGTCTTTTCAAACTGAATTGATAACGACGTTGTTTCAACGAAAACTCATCAATTTTATATGAAGATGAATAATAACGTGGGACTTTGTCGTACATATGCCATTTACCGTGGTAAAAAAATCTGAACGCGACATTATTTCTTAAACATCTTCTTAAAAATCTTGATCGTGTCTTTCTGTCAAAACTCTGTTGAAGCCATTAAATGGAAAAGGGGTTCGACCTCATTTGCCTGGCCTTTAGTGGAATAGAAGGGCCTAGTCTTCTCGTTTCTTAACTTTCTTGAAAATCAATAAAAATATAGTGTTCTGTAAACTTCGGTTCAGTTCACGAGTATGAAATTTGACATAGACCGTACTTTAGGTTAAGAAATTTTGACTTCTGGGGTTAAGTTAGCAATTAGTGCCATTGTACAAAACTCACAAAGTTTCAAAGAGCTGGTTGAATCAGGAGCGGATTATCCAGTTGGCTAAGTAGGCTTAAGATACAGACCCAGGCTTTCGAGAGGCCCGTTGTATCTAGACATGATTAGGATTTGGACGTTTTTGCTATTCAGTGCAAGCTAAATGCTGATGAAAACCCATACGAGACTACAAGCAATTGAATGCAGAGGAAAAATGGCTTTAGTGCTATCTACTGTTCAAATGCGCAATGCTCAGAACGCATGAAGTATTGGCTTTTCCCATTTTCCTGACTATGTCAATGATTTTCGATATTTCGTTTGAACTTTAAAACGAACTTTTCCTGTTTTTACCCTGTGCGGTTACAAATAGGAAATGCCAAAGCAAAAGAAAGATGAACTCTGGTAGGAATAAATCGAGAGCTTTAGCAAGAGTAAGACTATGACAACGAGTACGAAGTTTTACCGTGTAAGAGAATGGCACGAGGAAGTTTGTTGTCGTTGTTGCTTCGTCAAAATTTAGTTTTAGTTGTAAACAACAGAACGAGCCTTTTTATTGTGTAAAACACCGAAGTTTGCAAAGCAGCTACGGCTCTATTTGTCAATAATGATATCAACGAATCGGTAATACTGATTTTGCGAGAATGTAGTACTCTTTAGACTGAAAAATTCACTATTTTAAGTTTTATGTACGATATATTTGTACTATTTTATTGTTTGTTTACCTTTCACTTTGCGTACGAAATACATGAAAGTTTGCAGGTCATATTTTCCTTTTTAATGTACATCAAGCGCTCAAAAAAGGTTCTAAATTAAAGCCTGGATGCTCGAAAATAGTACTGTAAACTAATTTCGTACAGAATGAAAAAATATACCTACTTTATTTGCTTAAAAAGACATCGTGTCGCGACTACGAATTTTTTAAAAAACATCGTACTCAGATTGATGAAGGCTACGTGTTTTTGTTGTCGCAACAATGTTTTTGCGGCAAAATGACGTAAATCGTACTCGTAGTCGTAGTCTTTGCTAAAGCTCCGTAATGAGTCGTACTCGTAGTCTGTGCTAAAGCTCCCTAATATCTCTTAAAATCCCACAACTTTTTCTTATCATACAGGCCCAGTAATTAGCAATCCGTCAATGGGTTGAACAGCTGCAACATGCATACAGTTTAACGAGTAGCATTTCATTATCTCATGGGCAAAATGGCCCCTGAGCGTCAACAAGAAAACTAATCTTCATTCCTGGGGAAAGCACAGAGGTTACTGGAGAAAAAGCTTCTGTTGTTATAAGATAAAAAGTTCACTGCTAGATGTTTTCAAACCGACATTTTTTGTTTAGCCTGACCAAGCACACGTTTACTAGAACTTAGAAACCACATTTTAGAGGAAACAAAATTATAAACCGTGAATGATTTAAATTTTTTGGTTTTTTAGAAACGCAATTCGGGCTTTTCATTTAACTTGATCATGCTACTGGCCTGTTTGTATATTGCCTTATATTTCCATTTTTTTCGTTTTTATTTTGCTATACATATGTTGAAATCGAATATTTGTCTAATTTATATACCTTACATGAAGTATTCGAACGTACTTGGGCAGACAAAGCCATTGAGTTCTATAATAACTGGAGCGGCTATCTTTACTGGGGCGAGGTCGCCAAAAAAATGGCGGCCAACGGACGTATTTCCGCTGAAATGATCGCTTTGCAGAAAAATAATATTCTCGACCTCCCCCTGGTGTCTATAGTAAATTATAAAGAATTTTTCAAAAACAAACACGATATCACAGAATATGGATATCGTTAGTTCCATATTCTGTGACGATTCTTTTTTGGCATTTCTTTTATAATGCCAACACTTCAATCGTTCAATTGTTGGATGTCGTAGTTTCCACAAAAAGGTACATATCGCTTCCCACAGGTGAGGTAGTTGTTTGTTTTGTTAGTCCGTCAACGATTGAAAAGCAATTATACATGCACTTGAAAAGCCATAAAATACATATTAAAGATCGTATTTTTTAAGACTGACTTGAACGCCAAATATACTGATGTTTTCCTGTTTTTGTCTATAAATTTCTGCATACTTTTCTGTCATTTGTTAATGCATGAAATCGTAAATTTACCTATCTATTTGCAAAATAGTTTCCCTAAAGCAAAAAAGACCCTGCACACATTTTGCTCTGTGAAAAGTATCAAGAAGAAATGATCAGCCCCAACAGTACCCATGATTTGGAGCAGAGCTTGTTATGTTGTATTTGCTGACAACATGCAGGGAAGACCAAGAAGTAAAGATGACTGGAAGATGTTATTGATCAGGCAGAGTCTTAAAAAAATGATAATGCTGTAAAGATAATTGATTTATTGTCTGCCTTATCCAGAGTTATTTAATTTGATCATGGTCAAATTCTATGGATGGAGACAATGGATTCACTAATGATGCCTTGAATGCTTTGAAGTTGAAGTTCATGAACCAAAAAAAGATGGCAAGAAGGTTGTGTGTTTTTGATGCTTAATTAAATGTCAATTCACAACATATAAAATGGAAAGGCCATAAAGTTTGTGTCTATGTAAACATTTGTACTGAGATTGATGATGACTTGATGCAGATGTGAAGCATTAAACTGAATAAGCCATTGGGTTTTATATAACATAATGTTTAAATCATGGCATATCTTTATCAAAATATTTTAGTTGAGTGTTGTTTAAATGTTACTAATATCTAATGCACTATACTGAAGCATTAAAGATTCAGTGATGAAACCTTTAAATTTACTGTACTGTATATTTCTTATATATTTCTTATATTTCTTTAAGAAACAGTTTGAGCTTATTTACCTATTAGAGTACAGAATGGGATTTATCATATGCATCATTGCTGCTTTTTAAATAAATGTTTTCACTTTTCAAAGCTTTTCTACAAATATTTTGCTTCTTATTTCTTTTCATGAGATTGATGATATAGAGGTAATATAATCCAATAACTTTATAATTTCTAGAAAGCTGTTAAGCTTCTAGCATAAAAGTACACTATAGGTATTTAATTCATTTGGTTTTATTGCCTTGTTATGACATATCCATATGCATTTCATCATTCATGTATGAAGAAAACACCAAATGTGGATACTCAGAGAACAAAATGCACTACCAACTGCTTATGAAATTTATTATTGAAGTGAAAACTGTTTTAATCATTCAAATTGTGCACTTATATTGAAAATATAGGAAAAACAAAACAAAGTGAAAAATAAGGGTAGAAGTATTAAAACTAAAATGAATTATAAACACCATTGGAAGCATAAGTGTTTTGATGATTATTTGCATTTTGCCCAATTTATATATCAATACAACAAAATCAAAATGTGCTACAACTTTACAAGTATTTGATGCAGTTGCACTTCAGAACATCACAAAAGGTTACTTAAAGTAATTTCTATACAATATTGTTTGTTTTCATTTACCAAACCTATGCAGACTTGAGTCTTTTGAAATTTAATATGAAACTCAATTACAGAAAATACGTAAATATCCAGAGATTTAATATTTACTTTTTAAAGAAACAAGTAAAAGAAGCAAAATAGCAATGATAAAAATAAGCTAACTTCTCTCTCGTGAACCACTGTGGAGATGAACTATGATATACTTTTTTGTATAGACTAAAGAGTTTAATCGATCAAACAAGTTTGACGCTGGTAAGAAAACGACGCATATCTGCATTCATAGATGTGTAGCCGACATAAAGCTCTTTCATCGATAGTTATAAATACATCCTCGTAGGAGCCGATAACTGGAAAGCTATGTTGACTCGCTGTTACGAATTGTAGGTTTTTATCGTGATTTTCATCAAAAAATTGCTTGCCGAATCCCAAATACACACATACATTTTCTTCACTCTTTCCTCAGGAGGGAGTGGGAAATTGTGAAATTTTCGGAAAAGCGGTCAATTTCGGTAAATCTCAGCGGCAACGGACGAAATCCGCCATTTTTTTGGCGTCACCAGATATCTAAGGCCGCGCTTGAGATAGCCGCTCCAGTTATTATAGAACTCAATGGACAAAGCTCGTTATTATTTCACGAGAGATAACATTTTACGCATAAGATGAATGCACTCTTTATGTTTGCTTTTAGAACCAGAGTTTGTTCTGTTTTAAAAACCATGGGTGTACGGAACATGGGGGGCTGGGAGGGAGCCCCCCAAGAAAGTTTGAAGATTGAAAAGTTGGCAACTTTCAAAAATACGGTGGAACTTTCATTGTGAGTTGGGGGAAATATTCGCCGCCCCCCCCAGAAATTATAGCTCTCGACGTCAAAAACATTTTATATAATTGACCAAAATAAACAATGTTTAATTGCGACACTTTGCATGCACGACTCAACCGTTAATTTCTTTTTCATATTTTCTCCAACGTGGAAAGAATCTTGATATCAAAGATTACATTCGATAAAAACAAAGAGCAAGTTGTCGGCAAGTATCTTCACACCTTTTTTTATTTCGAGACTTGATATGATGGCATAGCGAATAATTGTTGCTAATAAGAACTTTCAAGAAGCTGAATGATATCGCGTCTGTGTTTTAAAATAGCTTTTTGAACTGCACATCAAATGTTCCCGGGTGGCGACGTGCCGTTTAACGTATAAATAAACCATATGTTGTCTCTACATTCCTTTTAAGCAATTTTTTTTATGGAAGATGTTTGGTATGTACAAAACAAACATTCGTTTTACTATGCGTAGGTGTTTATAAATTCCGTGTCGGCAGCCATCAAATAAAGCCATTTTCTCTGTACGTGTTCATCTCCAAAGCTGCATTACGCAAAAAGGTGAGTCGTTATTGTCTCATGAAATTCACCTTACGATGTATGTAGATTTAGATATAATAGTGGAGAATATGCTTCAAAAGTCTGCATTTTAACTTCTTAAACAGCTAAGGGTACATATTAAGCTAGATCTAGAAGTTCACAAGCCCCTGAAGATATTTTTCCCAATGCACAGTCCTGACGCGTTAACGATATAATTTTAAGGAAACTAACACAGATATAAACTCAGAGAACGGCGTCAATGCTTTTTTAAGAAATTCTTAACCTATTCTTATGTGTGTTTTGAAAATGCCAGCAAGATATTTACATTAAAAACGTAGATTCCACAGTCTGCAGGCAGACTATAAGTTTGACAATGGCGAGGCTAATTTATTGTACCCAAAGAATGCGTTTGTTGACGTCAACAGAAGAATGGCGAAGTAACTTCCTAAAACGTATAAAGCTAATCATAAATAAGGCTCAAAAGCTGATGTGTGCGTGCTACATTTTGAACAAATACAAATGGAAAAATGTGTTCTGTGGTTGAAAGGTTCTCGTGATTCAGCGTTGTTTATTCGTCATTATCTGACTGAACTTAAAAATTTTACAATTGCTTTTTTTGTACATTTTCTCTCCGCTGTACACGTTATTATATCGCGGGCTACTACAGCTTATTCTACTCAGTCGTATGGGCATTAGCCTAGAAATTCATGACAAATTTTTTACATGAAATAATTGTCTGTCAAAAAGACGCGAGAACAGTTTTATTAACAAAAGAGTACAACTTTGACTACAAAGTGACGTCTGCGCATATATAATTGCAATTTTATCAAATTATCCATAGAAACATATGTAACCTTAAAGTGTTTGAAAATAAAAATGGCTTAAAGTTAAATATATTAAGACTAAATTGGTCATCTTTAATGTTGCTTGTTACCATGGAAACCATAAATGGGAAGTGTTTAGGTACGTTTCGCAATAAGAAGACCGACGCTGTCACACTGTTTCCCTCTCATTTTGCATTATATACCTGCAGAAACCTGTCCAAAACATTCGCATACATGTTACACTCAGAAGGGGGTCACCAGCACCTGTAGGTGTCTTCCTTTTGAAAGTGCAAAGCAAATAAAAACATCACGGAAAGACAATGCCCTTTTGACCTTTAATGACGAAGACTTTTTGCCGATGCTATTTCCCATCAACGACAGGTCGTATGAATGATCGTACGTTACGTGTGACAGGTTTAGCTAGAAAAACTGTTGGCCGTCAGGTGTCTGAAAGATCGGATTTGGCGTTTTATAACTTTATACTCGATGATAGGTTTGTGTATTTCTCGATGCCTTTGGGGAAAGATTTCCGGCCATCACAACGACGAATTTAGCCTATTCAGCTTTTGTTGTTTACTACGAGCTCTTCGGTATGTATATCGGTATAGTATTGGTATTTTCGTATATGTTTGTTAACACCGCGATACAGTTACTCGTTTTATCATGAAAATGTACAGCGGCTTATCAGCCGTTTTCTTTTTGTGTTGTATCGCGATAATTTTTAAGAAATAATTGTGCTGCGTATTGAAGTGTTAATGCTTCACTGGCTTGGATGAGAGAGGTATTTTTGTCGTTTCAAATAAACTCTTTGGCGAGTCTTTGTGTGTCTACAAAAAGAACACCTTAGGTACTATAAAATTCTCCATCTTATCTTCATAAATACTATTTTATTCAATATTAATTGCGAGTTAAGACGTAAAGTTTATGTTTACTGTCGTGTATCTCCGACAGCGCGTATAATTCGGAAAGAGAAAGCGATAGTATTCAACAATTTAGACTGTGTCTGTGTTTTTTTTTTATAATAACCTTTGCAAATGACGGTACTCGATCGTATTAACGTCTGCGTGTTCTAAACTTCTTAATGACTATAATAACCGTCGTGTTTATAGATTCTAAATAAAATAATTCCATTTGAGCGGCCACTAATTGTCACTAAGAACACTTGAGCGAGTTCTAATAAATAATTAGAAAAACATCAAGATCATTTGAACGCGTTCTAATCAATAATCCCATTTGTGCGTGTTCTAACCCATAGAAATGACAATGATTCCATTTGAGCTCGTTCTAATGATCGTAATTATTCTAAGCAATCGGTATGTGTTTTATTTTTACAGCTAAAGCACAAAGTTAAACAGCGATACTCATATTGTTTGTGTGTCACAACCTTCAAATATTGCGAACATTGTTTTCTTTCCCACGCGTTAGTTTATTCACGTTGTCTTAAATATTAGCATCATTTTACTGATGTTTATTTTTACCAAAATCTTTGCAATGAAGTGTAATATTGTATAAACCAGTGGTTAAAAAAATTCAGCGCGTATTCCATCAGTGATTTTCGTTATTGATCGTCTATGCTAACCATCGGTTAACGTGTTTGAAGTTTGAACCGTGTCACATTTGTATATTTTATGTACATTTTACCACTTTGTACAAAAGACCGTGAGCTTTGAAATTTTTTTGTTAACACCTACGAGGAAGCAAGATTATCACAAGGTTTATTATATGGCAATAGACATTCTTATTTTTGCAATTTGCATTGGAAAATGTATTTGCCTTTTTCTGATGAATGAAGTTTTTAGAGTATATAAGTTTGACTACTTCACAAGCACATTTCGCCTCTTCCAAGCACAAGATCTACGTCGTAAACACGATTTACAAACAGTTTTGTGATGACGCCAGCTCTCGTTGTTTTTTATTTTTTTCTTCTCCCCTGCTTAGATCACGAACAAGTAAACAACGCTATGGTCACGCAATCATCATAAAAATGACAAACATTTAAAAATGAACGAGCAAGCAAACCATTTTGCACTTCACGTACATGCAATATGAGAAAAATTTATATATATAGATGCTCTCATTTTACTTAATATTGTTATAATAAGCTGTTATAAGCTCTGTTTTTGCATTCTTGATTATTGAACTCTCTAAAGCGCATTCCACATTGGAACACGTTCCCATTATTCTTGCTACAGTTAAAGGGTTGTTGATTGAGCCATATAGACGTTTCATGAAGTCAGCTTGCTTTACTGAAGACTTAATTGCTTCATTATGTTAGTTTAAGTTTACATTCCGTGCATTCGTGTGTAATTGATCAATTAGTAAATGCTAACAGAATTAGAACAGAATTACGTATTACATTGCATGCACCTTAGAAATCGAATAACACGTGCGCTGCCGCAAGGAAAGCTCCCATGTGGCGAGAGGCCACAGGAATGTTTCGAGAAAACAGCGGAGCTTCGCATGTTTGTCATCACCTCGCGATCGTAAAAAAGATAGGTTATTTTTAATATTTCTGCGACTTAATCTTTTTCCTCGTGCTCTGGATTACTGATGCGACGAGATCAGATGAATGTGGAGAAAAGCGCGATGTATATAAAAAAAGTTTATAAAAATACCTTACGAGGACTCGTTTCACGATTGCGCGTGCAATATTTGCGTGATATTTTGACGTTGCAACTTGCAAGAAACTGTGCACAGTGTGAGACAGAAAACGTTTTGTGCAGAAACGTTGTGCGCAGAAACAGTGTGTTCGTGCAACGCACTGTTACCTTGGAACAGCGTTTACATTGTTTAACAGCGAATGACGTAAGTAAATTTTGACAGACAAAAACAAGTATTTTTACTAGGACTTGCTTATTTACGTAATGTTGGACTTTAAGCTGATTATTGCAAGGTCGATGACTGCTAGTGTTGTCTATCTTCAACAAAAATTTCGCGTGATTGTCATCACTAAGGGAGTGTTTACATGAATCCAGAATGACTTTAAGTCCCGATCGAAACGTTATGTCAATCCGTGTTTACATGGGAAATCAACACAACGATTGACATTTTGCGGGAATTTTGAAATTTGAAGATGGAGAACATAAACATAGCAACCCTTTTTTTTCTGTTTCTCCTGCGTTAATACAGCTTAACACTTGCATGAAACTAATTGTTGTTTTTCTTCGCACTCATTTTAGCCCATTTAGCTTCTTTATTTGCTTCAATTTGCCTGAAGACACTTTGCATGGCGCATGCGCGCTTCGTCATTAATCACAATATCATTCCAGAATGAAACTCAATACGCGTTTACATGAGATTAAAACTAAATTTCGATCCGGAATGAAAATAGGAATGAACTCAATTCTGACCGAGTTGTAACTCATTCCGGATTCATGTAAACATGCAGTAGGATTTCTTTTAAAATGGAATGAGTTCATTCCGGATCGAAAGTCATTCCGGATGCATGTAAACACCCCCTAATTTTACTACAGGTATTTTACTACAGGTACTTTTTTCACTGACAAACGTTTGCTTGATTTGCAGGCTGTTGTGAATCAATTGTTATCCTCTTGTACCTCGTTTTTATCGTGTAAAAGGACTCGGGTCGCTTATAAGGATAACTGTTGATCCATGTGTTGATGAATGAACTGTTATCCTTCTGCCCCTTCCCCTTTATGTTGTTTTGGACGTGCTGTAGATCTGTAGATTTCCAGGCTGTCGTGAATAACTGTTATTCTCAATTGCAATCTCGTTTATTGTCTCGTAATAAAAGGATTGCTTTCCATGCAGGATGCTACTGTTTTACATCTCTCATTTATCATGTATTGACGATTACCGCCTAATTTCCAGGCTGTTACTATTCGACTGTTATCTTTACAACATTTCGGGGAAGCCGCCGGAACTACGATTATTTCCCATGTCAATTGTATTGTTTATTCTCGGCTATGTGGCAATATAAGCGCGTGTTTTAATTAAGTAGCTTGCCTAATATTGGGAACCAAGAATAAGGCACTGTTTACACTAAACCGAATTGCTATAGTAGCAGGTTGAATATTCTTTGTATTAAAAGGCAACGAAATTGTTCAAACACAATCAAATAGACTAAATCTATCAGCTTAATAAGCTTTTACTCCGTACAGTTACCCTTTAAAGCAAATGACGACGTCGTGATCAGGGAATCCGGTATAGTGTAAACGCAGCCTAATATAAAACGTAAAATAAGTTTTGTGTTCAATTAGGTATTAAGTTGCGACGCCATGCGAGGCGTTTGCCTCTAATTTTTTTTGTTTTACGTTATTGAGCGTTCGTTTCCTGAGAACATTGAATCTCTGACGTCAATTGTGGGCGGTAGACGTGACGTTTGGTTCACCACTTGGAAATAACGCGATTAAATTTTCTGTACTGAATGGTCTCTTTTACTCAGTAATTCCCCTTATATTTATTATTAATATATTATGTATAAAATTACAGCTGATTCGACCGACATATCTTTGTGTGATTCTTCGCAAGACGTCGATAGTCGTATTTTGACCTGTTTATTGTTTCGTGTTTAATTGTCGATTGTTTACATCAAAGTTTTCACCGCTTGTCCCTTTCACAACTTTACTTTTCCCGGTGATCATAATATTGGCGTTGCAGTGTCATTGCATCACTGCTTTTCGACATTGCCTGACTTTCATTCATGCAGCGAGGCTATGTTTTTCTTCGTCAAATGCTCTGAAAACTAGATTGTTCTGCTGCTGGTTTTGTTTGTTTCATACTCTGAACATGCGCAGTAGTGTTGTCGTAATTAAGCAATGGCTATCTTCAGCTGGCCAATCTGTTCGGCGCTATTTAAATTAGGCTGTATAATAACGTCAATTTTGTTATAGCAGGCAACCAACAGGTTTCAACGTCTATCATATATGTATTGGTATATGTAATTGGATTAGACTGCCAAGGCAAATTATTTCTAACCAAACGCTAGATGAACTGCAGGTGCAAATGAAATACGTTTCGCGATGACGTTTGATAACCTAAATTGAACCATCGAGAAGGTTATTAGCACCTTCAACACACCAGCACCGAGTCACACGCGATCTCTGCGGGCATATCACCGACCTTGTATTCATGTTCTTTTTAGAGTTTGCAATTTGAAGGTATTTTGAGAAAGCGGAGAGGGAAATCGTCGCAGAAAAAACAAGGTTTGTGATATTTTTTATCTGTAATTCCACCGCAAAATTTCAACTTGTCGGTTTCACAAAATATTCCTACCAAGAGAAATGTCCCTTTAATATATTGCGTCTGTAATTGGTTCGGCAATCTGATTTGTATAAACAATAGTTAATAAATAGAAAGAGAATATCGATTACCGAATACATGAAAGTTTAGCGGCTTCCCGAATTTGAGGAATTTCTCTGTGTCTTGTGCGACTTTGGCTTTCATGTGATTTCTAATGATATAATTAGGAATTCCTTATGATCTATATTTGTACATTTGTATTTTAAAAATTGTTTAGTATCATTTGTGTGTGTATTTCTTTGTATTTGCATCCTAAGTATACTTATACTCACCTTATGCAAACCTTTTAATATACAGTATGAAGACAACTAGCGTTATCTTAGTCACAAAGCAAAGGTAGCCATCGAATTTCAAGCATTCGATCAGTTAAAATTGACATTCCTTGATTTTTCTGTTGAACTGCATACTGTTTACAATGACTCTGCTTTTTATATAATGCTGCGTCTTGTCTGTCAAATTACGTTGGATTAAAATATTTGCGCTGTCGGCTTTTGCAATCTTTGCCTGTTTTCTAAAAACGTATGTAAACATAATAAGGTGAAGGGGGAAAGTTAAAATTATAGATCGTTTGCTTTACTTTTCTTGACTATCGCGTGATTATTTAGTTGATGCGCTTTGCTGTGTATAATATCTTGGGGTGCTGTTTCAAGTGTGCGTATTTCCTGTAAATTCCCCACATAAAAAGAAGTAATTGTTATCTCTTAGTTCAAATTTGTATTTTTCCACTATTTCGCACAATTTACCGGTGTACATGCATCGCATTGTAGGCTATTATGGAAGGCTATTATCGTTTTGAAATTGTATATGATTTTTGAATTGAAAATATGCGCATTTTAATGTTCGCCCTGAAGCGTAACAAGTGAAAAGAATGCGCATGTAGGTAGCATAATCAAAGCATGTGCAAACACAATCACAGCATGTGCGAGAGGCACATCTATTGCATGTGCAATCGGACTACATATTTTATAATCAATTTTACCATTATTTTTTGTAAAATATTCCATTTAACCTTACCCCCCGGAGTTCACTGACGCCGTTGCTTGCCATTATAACTCATTTGCATTTGTTTGAACGTGTACCAGTTATTTACTCGAGTCAAACTAGAAAGTTCAAAGAACAATCTCTTGGGTCGTGTTTATTTAATAAACCAGAAACCCCGTTTTTCCCAAGACAAGGTTATTCTCGTATCACAATCTTTTTAAGACCAAGTTTACTTCAGGATCTCGTCAATTATAGGAAAGACCACTTGTTATCGTGAAGACTGTTAAAGTCTTTGTGTTGTTCTTTGTGTCATGTGATCACTTTTAGAAAAGTGATGAGGTGAATTTTGTCGTTGAGTTTGTCTTACGAGTTTGAGAATGTCAGCATTTTTATATATGTTCATTGGATATGTTTCGTTATAAAAACAATGCATTTCAAAATAAATATATAACGACATATTTCGAGAATTTGCTATGCAAAGACTAAGACATACGGGTTGGCTACACTGCTTTAAACAAGCCATACTGTCTGCGTGGCAGTTTTTGTGGAAATATTTTGATTGTGCGAGAGAATTTTTCTTCATTTCTTGAACCAGCGCAGTTAATTGCTGTACTATAGTTATTCATCGCTTTAATTCATTTCATTGTTATTTCGTTTTCCTTTAGTGATTGCTGTTATGGATAAGACACAAGTCTTTCTCTTGCTCGTCAATTTGATAAAATTTTGCGCTTCTTACCATCTTGGCTTTTTTGTACCTATCTTCGAGGAAGCCGACTTCCTTGGTACGAGAGAGGAATTCGCCGGACAAAGCTTTGCGCATGCGCTAACGATTGCTATTGATGACGTCAATACCAACTCCACTATCCTACCAGGTCATAACCTAACCTACAGTTGGACAAATAGCAAGGATAATTTGAATGCGCTAAGAGCCATGCACGAAAGGTACATTTCCCCTGCCAAGAATCCTGTTGACGTGTTCATTGGGCCCGCGCACAAGTGTGCAGCGCCCGCTCGTGTTGCAGAAGCATTTCATGTTCCAATGATATCTTATGTAAGTCTATTGTTGTTATCATTTTGTTTGGGTCCGGTAGCGGACAGGGATTTAGAACCCAATCCCCTAGATTTCTAACTACCATGTCAATGTCATATGTGGTGAGGCAAGGACGCCATCTTGAATAGTGTCAAAAAAGCGAAACTCTTTATCAAAACTAAGTTAAAAGAAAATTTGAAAAGCAATCTTATCAAATATTTGAAAACAAATCTAGACTATCAACGCATAAGGAGATTTTACTCTTACTCAACGTCAGTTTTACCACCTTTCATGACGACGGTTTGCCTCATTTGTAACTATTGAATTTCGTCGGAGTCAGGTATCTACTAGACTGGGTTCTAGGTTAATGCTTTCTACCTATATGATCAGTTTTATTAATGATTCGGTGCAATACCTTATAGAAGCGGTATCGTTATTGTTTGATTCAACATTAGCGTAGTCATCTTCATTGTTAATTGAATACATTGACGGATTTTAATATTTTTGACAAAGGTGTTGCTAAAAATTTTAGGGAGTGAAGGGGTTGAGTCATTGAACTAAAATACATGGAACGCTACCTGAAGTAAATAATTGAAGCCAAATCTTACATCCAGACACGCGAGATTACACCCCAGACACGCGTGTGTCGTGTTTCGAGATTCTCTCGCGGAGTGAATATTGATTGACTTCAGACGCGTGTCTGGGGTGAAATCACGGCTTCAAAAAATTATTACGATTTTATTTTACAGGTAGCGTTCCATGTATTTTAGTTCAGTGGGTTGAGCTGATAAGGTTGTGACGTAAGACAATGTAAGGGTCTAGATTTCAGGGGTGGTCTGGTAGTGCAATCATCTTAGGTAATCTAGAAAGTTGTAACATTGCCCAAAAAAACTAAGTTGAAATGTACTACTGTTTTCTTTAGCTGAAAAACGGAGGGGTTGGGGGTTAAGATGTTCCTTAGAGAGGTGAACAATTTATGTAAGGGATGAAGTTTTGGGGGGGGGACACCCCCTGCTCCCCTCCCGAATATCAGTCGATGCTTGAATGCTTGAAGATGACTACCGCTAAGGTTGTCAAAACGTCAGTCAACATCAACTAAAACAGTCCTTCTCAGGACTATACCAACCTGGACGATCTGTATCTATGAACATGTAGGATAAGATTGCAGTATATAGCTTCCCTTACAATTGATCTAATTTATATATTGCAATGACGCAATGATGTTGTTTATTTAAAGTTTTGCTCCGAATCTGCTCATTTCACGAAGCAAGATTACCCACTATTCGTTCAAACATATCAAAACGTTAATTCGCAAGCGTACACCACGCTGTTGGATCTTCTGAAAACCATGCGTTGGTCGAGAATTGGTGTTATCAGTGAAGAAGGCGACACCTACTGGGAAAATTTAGCTGGTCTTATTTCGAGGAATATTGACATCAATGTTGTTCGCTGGGAAAGGGTTCCAAAAGAAGGGAAATTCGACAAATTCGGCATGAGAATGAATTTTGAAAATTTATATAAAGAAAGAAATAATTCTCTGGCTCGGGTTCGTCGTGCTCTCCTCGATATGACGAAGGAAATGCGTATAAAAAGTAAGTTGAAATCATTGAACTGATTACAATGTTATGGCTACTTTCCGCCAAAATTTGTCACCGCATGCATTAGGGAGTTTTAGCCTGCGACGAGGCTGGGTTTCACCACCGTATTAAGATTACGGAAGGCCTGATCAATGAACTGTAATGTCAACTGGAACGCTAACAACGCCGCCATCTTTGAGGCCGAAAATGAAGGTTTTTTCTGAGTTTTTAGAAGTTTCATAATATTGTTTTAGAAAATCAACAACGATATACATAAAATACTGTAGCACAAATTGCCATTAAAAGTTTTAACTCACAAGATTTTGTTTTAAACCGAAAGACTCACATATAAATACATCATAAAGCGCTTCATCAAAATGGCGTATAGAACGAGCATTAAAGTTAGCGTTCCAGTTTATATTACAGTTCACTTGGCCAAATTGTACAACTTTAGTTTGTCGGATAATCATTGGGTGACAAATCTGGAAAGCGAACTTAATGTCACTTTTTGTCAGTTTGTCGGTTGGCATTGACGTAAATTATGAAAAATCAGAATTGTATGGAGAAACACAAAAATTAAGGGCTTTGCCTTATTGACGTCATTTCCTGCAACACTTAAAGACGTAGTATGATTATTGTTCGGGTGCAGGCGTCGGATTTCGGAAATGACGCTTTGTTTTTCATCGCATTTATTGTTGCAAGTGTGTTCGAGCCATTGAACTAAAATACATGTACAGGAACGCTACTTGTAATACAAAACCCTAATAATTTTTTGAAGCCGTGATTTTACCCCAGACACGCGTGTGTAGTAAATCAATTATCACTGCACGAGAGAACCACGAAACACTACAAACACGCGTGTCTGGGGTTTAATCTCGCGTGTCTGAGTGTAAGATTTGGCTTCAATTATTTGCTTAAGGTAGCGTTCCATGTATTTTAGTTCAATGGTTCGAGCGAAGTTTGTTGTATCCAATGAATGCTATTGCTGTTGGTGTCGTATTTATCGGCATGAGAAATTTGTCATCCAATGCTTGTGGGATAAGGTTTTGACAATGCGCATTTGCACATGCGTATAGCGTGAAGCCGTCGTGCATGTATTTGTGCATTGACTGACCTCTATGTTTTCAATAAATTTAACCTGACGCTGGAGTAAACGCCTGAATGCAGGCGTTTGGTCTGTTACAAAACTAGAAAGGTATATAGATAGGTAGATAGACAGTTAATCTGCTAAAAACTTTGCTGCCATAATAGATAAATTACGTATAGTATAAACACAAATATCTTTAAAAGTAGATTAATCATTATATAATAAAAACATTAAAACGAAGTCTATAAATCTTGTTAATTTCATTATTGTTTTTTTTCAGTATTTGTTCTGCTGACCTCCTTTCCCGTTGTCATCGAAATTATGTCTCAGGTGGACATCTTGGGGCTCAATGATCTTTCCCAGCCACGTAGGGCATTCATTGCGTTCCAGTTGGACCAAAAAAAGCGTCGTTCTGACTATTTTGGAGAGACTCAGATGTTTTATGCACCCCTTGCGGAACCCGTTAAGGAAGTGCAGTTCCATGCTACAAAAGCAGCGAGGTCACTGCTTGTTATTTCGGCTGGTGTCCCACAATCTCGTCTGAGGTACGAGCACTTTCGACAGGAATTAATTCGTAGAACGGAACACGAACCCCCTTTTAAAGACGAATCTATCTATGACTTTAACACGGTAGGTGTTTTTTCAAGGTCAGATTTTATGGTCGATTCGTTTTCTCTTCATGTTCCATGTAATTTAGGTGTGATAGCTGTTTTCACACGCTGTGTTATTTTTACATCAGTTAACATTGCGGCTTTTTTCACATAAATTGTGCGGGGTTTTAACACGGTGCATTTTCAAATGTTTTTACGTGTTATTTTCACATAAATTGTGCAGGTTTTTTAACACGTTACGTCTTCAAATATTTTAATGTGTTATGGATATGTTGTGTTTGCTTAAATACGTTAACATGTTTTTACTCACAGGGGCAAGTGGAGATTTGTGGGATCGCGTGTGATCTTTAGTGTTTTCTTAAATATGTTAACATGTTTTTACCCACAGGGGCAAGTGGAGATTGGTGGGATCGTGTGTGATCTTTAGTGTTCTCTTAGATACGTTAACATGTTTTACCCACAGGGGCAAGTGGAGATTGGTGGGATCGCGTGTGATCTTTAGTGTTCTCTTAGATACGTTAACATGTTTTTACCCACAGGGGCAAGTGGAGATTGGTGGGATCGCGTGTGATCTTTAGTGTTCTCTTAGATACGTTAACATGTTTTACCCACAGGGCAAGTGGAGATTGGTGGGATCGCGTGTGATCTTTAGTGTTCTCTTAGATACGTTAACATGTTTTACCCACAGGGCAAGTGGAGATTGGTGGGATCGCGTGTGATCTTTAGTGTTCTCTTAGATACGTTAACATGTTTTACCCACAGGGGCAAGTGGAGATTGGTGGGATCGCGTGTGATCTTTATGATGCTGTCTATCAATATGCACTTGCTTTGGATCGTCTTCACAAGAAAAACGCTACCATTACTAGCGAGAGTGTCCTTGAGGAATTTCGAAGTCACTCATATACAGGTAAGCCATAATAACGATTGAATACCGATGAAAACCGAGCATGCTCAGTTTCTATACAGGTAAGCCATAATAACGATTAAATACCGATGAAAACCGAGCATGCTCAGTTTCTATCTCTGTCAGCTTCTATCGCACAGACTCGTTACACAGCTCATTCTAAAGCTTTCAATGAGAGCTTTCGATCACAATAAAGTAGATTTATAATCAACCATGTTAACTGTGTTTTTTTTTCACTTTGATCGTAACATTGTGTTGTACTGTAGGACTGAATGGACGTCAAAACTCGACTGAATTTTACCGAAACTTGTTTTATTGTTTTTAATTTATAAATAAAACGTGTTTGTTGTGTTTGCACAGGCTTATGCAAACTGAGGAGACCTTTGGGAGAACTCGAGAGCAGATCAAGTTTCACCTGCTCGAGAGTTCTCACAAACATCTGTGAGGTTTTCCTAAGCCTGTGCAAACACGAAAAATGATTTTACAACGGCGCGTGTGAATTTACAACGGCGCATGTGAATTTACAACGGCGCGTGTGAATTTACAACAACGATGAATTTACAACAACGATGAATTTACAACAACGATGAATTTACAACAACGATGAATTTACAACAACGATGAATTTACAACAACGATGAATTTACAACGGCGCGTGTGAATTTACAATGGCGCGTGTGAATTTACAACGGCGCGTGTGAATTTACAATGGCGCGTGTGAATTTACAACAACGGCGAATTTACAACGGCGCGTGTGAATTTACAACAACGGTAAATTTACAACAACGATGAATTTACAACGGCGCGTGTGAATTTACAACGGCGCGTGTGAATTTACAACGGCGCGTGTGAATTTACAACGGCGTGTGAATTTACAATGGCGCGTGTGAATTTACAACGGCGCGTGTGAATTTACAATGGCGCGTGTGAATTTACAACAACGATGAATTTACAACAACGATGAATTTACAACAACGATGAATTTACAACAACGATGAATTTACAACAACGATGAATTTACAACGGCGCGTGTGAATTTACAACAACGATGAATTTACAACGGCGCGTGTGAATTTACAACGGCGCGTGTGAATTTACAATGGCGCGTGTGAATTTACAACAACGATGAATTTACAACGGCGCGTGTGAATTTACAATGGCGCGTGTGAATTTACAACAACGATGAATTTACAACAACGATGAATTTACAACGGCGCGTGTGAATTTACAATGGCGCGTGTGAATTTACAACAACGGCGAATTTACAACGGCGCATGTGAATTTACAACAACGATGAATTTACAACGGCGCGTGTGAATTTACAACGACGCGTGAATTTACAACGGCGCGTGTAAATTTACAACGGCGCGTGAATTTACAACAACGGTGAATTTACAGCGGCGCGAATGTGTTGAGTTATTATTTTAGTTTGCGGGCATATTTCATCGAATGGCCGATAAAATTATTCGTTTCCTTTTGTTTTCTGTAGTATTCTAATACATATACATGTCAACTTTGTACAATTTTGCTAGAGTCATGTATAATATTCAAAGGTATACTGCTCCTATTGTAATACGTAGTTTTGGCTAAACTTCTTTCTGCTTTAGCCTGTGGTAAGGCATCCGACAGGAAAGGGTTGATGAGAGTTCTTGAAACTCATTACTGAGATTATAACAAAGTGTATTGCTTCGTAGGTATTTGTGGTTATACGGCCATATTCTCAAAGAATGGTTTATTGAAGGTGCATCTAAGTTTGTTACATGTTCAAGACGATGTGACAAGGGAGAGTTTCGAAAATGGTAAGATATCAAGTGTATTTTTGAACAGGATTAATATATTATGTATATTCTCTTGATGATGGCTTTGGAATAAAATTGTGTGACCAGCTTTTAAAGTAAGCAGGAATTTTCGATTGTCCCTCTATTTTTCATCGCTTAGTCAAGACGTGCGCTAAAAGTAAAGAACCTGCAAAACGGGTCGTATTGGTGAAGGTTTAACACCCCACCTACCAATGTTTCATACTGAGCTTCAGTTGGCAATTTTTGAAGATTTCTAGTGTTTTTTTTTAATTTCCTGCCGAGTACAGATGCAACGGTCGTTTGGTTTACGTCATCTGACATTTCTCTCCTTAGGTCATAATCCCCTTCTCCCCATACATCAATACAAACCCTTCCCACTCGAACTCACTTTAGGCAGTTCTGTCGTCATGAAGTTAGCCCGTGACGTCAGGGCGAGGGCTGTGTCCCCCTTGTTAGAATTCTTCGTCGTTTTAAAAAGAAGCATTCTGGGAACGTTTGTCCTTCTTTTCTGCTTTGATATTGTGTTTCTTTGCTCGGAATAAACATCTTAATGATGATGTTTGCATTCTTATGTTTTTAGTGACAGCAAAGACTGCTGGGAAATTCACCTACTTGGAAAACGACAATATTTCTTTGACTCTTTATAACGACCAGCAACCCATTAAGTGGCCATGGGGATTGAAGACACCGACCGATAAATTAACCTGTGAAGACGACAATCATGCGTGCCCGCAGGAGGGCTTAAAAAGTGAGGAAGTACTTCATGTAGTATGGTCATGTTATCCAAACATGGAAATTTTCATTGTTTTTGCAGATTCGTTGTTTTTGCAAAAACAGTTCATTTAAGAACTATTAACTTATTACTTTTACCATTCACCATGGTATTTGCAATCTTTAAAATGATTTTCAGATTTGTCATCACGACAAAGTTTATGTTTTATTAGTGTAGACATTCAAAAACTATTTTAATTTTTTCAATATTCTTGATTATAGCTCAAAATTAATGGCGTCTAAAGTTCATATTCAAGACTTTGTTAGCCGACTGTGGCTATCCTCTAGCATTTCAGCTTAATTTCTAGCTCCTTTCCCCCCTGTTCTGAGCACCCCATGAATAGATACAGGAGGGGTGCTTCATCTTAACTAGACGGCACCACCACTGTTGTAAATTATCGATTAATGCATGATGCTGAAAATAGATTTTGTCTTTGATTAATGCATGATGCTGATAATATATTTTGCTTTGATTAATGCATGATGCTGATAATATATTTTGTCTTTGATTAATGCATGATGCTGATAATATATTTTGCTTTGATTAATGCATGATGCTGATAATTTTTCAAAAATTTTTTTTTTAGTTCAGTACATCATACCGACTGGAATCTCCGCCGTTTTTATCGTAATATTCATTGTTCTGATGCTTCTGTTCTTCAGGTAATTAAAAAAATATCGCGGTCACGTTCTTATGATCAATCATAATGCTTGCTGGGGCTTTGCTGCCTCTTGCCAAAGTACTTAGTGGTTCATCAAACAGCCTGTCAAGCCACCAAGTCTCCAAAGTAGGAGGCTTTGAATTGTTGTTATGACGTGTAGCGAAGCACTTTGAAAAAATGCAAATTACAATATTATTACAGACAATGGAAACGTGAACGTTTACTTAAACGTTCTGTATGGCAAATTGACATCAACGAAGTTCTCTTCGATAGAAAAGTTTCTACGGATTCCAAGTGTTCCAATGACAGTGGGGTAAGCTCTTCTTACTTACGTCCGACTTCTTTGTCTTTCAAAGCTTTTCAGCCAATCAGGTTGCAGTATTTACAGCGCAAATACACATCTCTGTAGTGCAGTTTCTTACTTACGTCCGACTTGTTTGTCTTTCAAAGCTTTTCAGCCATTCAGGTTGCAGTATTTACAGCGCAAATACACATCTCCGTAGTGCAGTTTCACAATTCAACAGTGAATTCACTGCATTTACACATTTCAATCGTGCATTTACACAATTCTGTCGTGTATTTAAACATTTATATACTGAAATTACACATGTCTACTGGTAAATTACACAATTTTACTGTACAGTTATAGGCAAGCATGCCCAGGTCGTAATAGCGGATGTTTACGGTATTTCAGTAAAATACTCTGTAGATTAGACAATTTCCATGAGCATAAAAGTACAGCCACAATCGAGAAATATCATGAAGTTTATCATTATGGGCGAAAGATCGCTCTTCCTCTTATCATTAAACAAATGGCTTCATGGCTGAGCCAGAATTCAGATAAACGTTTATTATTTTGGCAAAGTGAAACATGTTTAAAATCGACGTGTAAAGCGCTTTATTCTATTCAAAATAAACTCAAGCTCTCCGCCAACCAGCTTTAGCGTTATCTTCTCTAACCTTGAATATTTTTTGTCTAGATCCGTGCATCTATGTTAGATTTAGAAGCTTCAACATTGCTGGACTTCCCGGAATCCAAGGTTTGTGACATGAAAATCAATTTATGATCTGCAGTTTGGCTTAGTTTGACTATTACTTATCGTTTAATGTAATTAAATGATTGTAGTTGATGTTGAAATTTTTGCAAAGTCGTTTATTCTGTGTTCTACGAACATTTTTTTGTGAATTATTTTCGAGTACTAAAAACAAAACATTTGAATTTTGGTTGAAATATTTGTCACCTCATGGAAACAACATTTTTAAAATTAGTCGTAAGAGAAGATTGTAAAATATTGGTAATTTCTTCGCTATTTTTGTTTTGGCGGTCATTTTTTTCTGCCGAGTTTATAAGACATCAGTCACCAGACCTGTCCAGATATCAGATTAAAAAGGTGTTCGTATTTTCTACACAATAATTAAACCTTGTTTTCTTTGAGTAAATGTTTTATTCTGTTGATAACCCTATTTAAACTTTAGCTTTTTGCTACCGAAGAGGTAATCGATGAAAAATCGAAAAAAATGAATAAAAAACGTTATTCGTGGTTCGTGCCACCAGCAAAGTATAGTGAACATACAGTAGTGCCACTCCATTGAATTTTTTTGTGCCACACATATCTCATTGCGCATGTGCATACCAAAGTGGCTGCCAGTCAATTGCAATTTCTGACCAATAGGAATGATGAAATGGCTTACGGCAGCCAGTAATCTTATTAAATATACAGCAGCCAGTTGCACAGCGAAGTGGCCCTACTGTATATTCCCTATACTGTGCCACTGGCCTTTGCTTGATGAATTACGTAATGTTGCATAACTGATTAAAAATTCTGATAACTTTACCATAATATCTTTCTCACTATTCAGGATCTTTTTTCGAACCCGAGTGCCATTAAAGAAGACGAAATTTGTGATTTCATTTCAATGAAATCTTTCTCTGCCATGAGGAGTGTTTCAGGGACTTACATGGTTAGTGACGATATGCTTTGATAATTTATCCGTGCAATGCCTTTTGTATCCCATAATGCTATGAAACCATGTGTTAGTTAAGTACATTTGTGTAGTTAAGGGGTCTACACCACAAAAACGAAAATGGTAATTTTGCAAAAGATGACTGGAAACTGGTAGGGGGGGGGGGAGGGGGAGGGAAGGCTGACAGGATTTTACAAAAAGTGAATTGATTATGACGACCTTAAAACATCATTGCCTTGTTGTCTTGCGTTTCTTTTGAGCAACGTCAATACAACGAGCTTCGTGCGTATAATAAAGAGAAAACGATTAATTTTATAAGTCCATTGTCGATAATAGCTATTAGTGTTGCTGATTCAAGTTTAACCTTTATAAATATGAATTTATTATTAATCATTCATAGTAATTTCGTTTTATGTACTTCTCACTTTGAGGAAAATGTAATACATTTTGTTTATTCAAGGCTGATCGGGTATTTGTGAAAATCCTGCCAAAAAATGTGGACATTACGAAGCCTATGCAAAAGGAGCTACGCATGGTACGGCTTGTTTACATGTGACTGGATGGTTGAGAACGTTTATTTTCAGTCGTTAATGTTCCTTATCAGTAACGCCGGATGATTGGGGGAGCTAAATTTATACACTCTAGCATGCACTATTCACACTGTAGCATGCACTATTCACACACTCTAGCATGCACTATTCACGCACTCTAGCATGCACTATTCACACACTCTAGCATGCACTATTCACGCACCCTAGCATGCACTATTCACACACTCCAGCATGCACTATTCACCCACTCTAGCATGCACTATTCACACTCTAGCATGCACTATTCACACACTCTAGCATGCACTATTCACGCCCTCTAGCATGCACTATTCACACACTCTAGCATGCACTATTCACGCATCTAGCATGCACTATTCACACTCTAGCATGCACTATTCACACACTCTAGCATGCACTATTCACGCCCTCTAGCATGCACTATTCACACACTCTAGCATGCACTATTCACGCACTCCAGCATGCACTATTCACACACTCTAGCATGCACTATTCACACACTCCAGCATGCACTATTCACACACTCTAGCATGCACTATTCACACACCAACATGCACTATTCGCATCTAGCATGCACTATTCACACACTCTAGCATGCACTATTCACACACTCAGCATGCACTATTCACACACTCTAGCATGCACTCACACACTCTAGCATGCACTATTCACACATCCAGCATGCACTATTCACACTCTAGCATGCACTATTCACCCATCCATGCACTATTCACACACCAGCATGTACTATTCACACACTCTAGCATGCACTATTCACCCACCCAGCATGCACTATTCACCCACCCAGCATGCACTATTCACACACTCTAGCATGCACTATTCACACACTCCAGCATGCACTATACACACACTCTAGCATGCACTATTCACACACCCATGCACTATTCACACTCTAGCATGCACTATTCACACAACATGCACTATTCACCCACCCAGCATGCACTATTCACACACTCCAGCATGCACTATTCACACACTAGCATGCACTATTCACACACTCCAGCATGCACTATTCACACACTCTAGCATGCACTATTCACACATCCAACATGCACTATTCACCCATCCAGCATGCACTATTCACACACTCCAGCATGCACTATTCACCCACCGCATGCACTATTCACATCCAGCATGCACTATTCACACACTCCAGCATGCACTATTCACACACTCTAGCATGCACTATTCACACACTCCAGCATGCACTATTCACACACTCCAGCATGCACTATTCACACACTCTAGCATGCACTATTCACACACTCCAACATGCACTATTCACCCACTCCAGCATGCACTATTCACACACTCCAGCATGCACTATTCACCCACTCCAGCATGCACTATTCACACACTCCAGCATGCACTATTCACACACTCCAGCATGCACTATTCACACACTCTAGCATGCACTATTCACACACTCCAGCATGCACTATTCACACACTCCAGCATGCACTATTCACACACTCAAGCATGCACTATTCACCCACTCCAGCATGCACTATTCACAAACTTCAGCATGCACTATTCACCCACTCCAGCATGCTCTTTTCACACAGTCTAGCATGCACTTTTGCAGCTGCTATTCACAATAAAATTAAATGACTTTAAGACGTTGAAACGATAAAATACCAAATTGAAAATTTACTGTTGTATTTTTACTCTATATGTAATTTATCACAGTCATTGTACTTCCACTTTAGTTACGGCACATCCACCACGAAAATTTGAATCCATTCATCGGTTTGGGCTGCGAGAGCAATTATTTATGGATTGTGATGCAACTTGGTTCGAAAGGAACACTGGAGGTTAGTATTCATGGTTTCTCTCGTCTCCAGTCCCCAAGTGATCATTTACGGCCAGTTTGTTTTGACATACTCGCGAAATGTTCAAAAAAACTTACATTTTATGCCATCAAAAATTGTTATAACAGCAGAATATTCGAGATTATAACTGCAGATTGAAAGCATCGTTTTTTAACTTTCTTGGTTTTTGGATTCTGGTTTATATACATTTTATATATTATAAAAATAACGTTTTAAACTCCATGCTACGTCAGTGTGAAAAACGTTAACCCGAATTTCTATACTTTCAGGAAGTTTTGGCCAATTCAGATATCACTTTAGATCATCGCTTCGTGCTTTCTTTAGTCTATGATATCGCAAAGGTTTGTGGTATATGTTTCGATGTACATCACTTACGTTCACATCTTAAATGAAGTAGTTCAGAAATTTATATTCTCCTACGTCATATCTTTATTAAGGGAATGAGCTTCCTTCACAACAGTGAAATAAAATCTCATGGGAATTTGAAGTCAAGCAATTGTATCATCGATAACAGATGGGTGCTAAAAATCACCGATTATGGTATTCCTACCATTCGCTCTCGTCAATTGCGATATATGGGACCTAATAACGAGGAGAAGAAGTTTAGAGGTACGATTGTCATGCATCAATGATTTAGAACCCAATCTCCTTGATGTCTAATTACCGTGTCGAGGTGAGAAAAGGACGCCATCTTGAAAGGTGGCGGCAAAATACCAATTCAAGATGGCGGCTTGCCTCATATGTAACTATAGAATTTCGGCGGAGTTTTAGGTATCTAGTAGATTAGGTTCTCGGTTATTGCCATATAATTGAGCATGATGACGAGGATAGGAAATTTAGAGGTGAGAGAGCGATACATGGGGACTCATAACGAGAATAAGGAATTTAGAGGTGAAACTGCGATACATTTCGGACTGATAACGAGAATAAGGAATTTAGAGGTGAGAGAGCGATACATTTGGGACTGATAACGAGACTAGGGAATTTAGAGGTGAAACTGCGATACATGGGGACTGATAACGAGACTAGGGAATTTTTTGGGATAAAGCATGATTGTTGAAGTCAGTTAAGGGAACAGTGGCATACATACGAACGAAATATATTCAAAATCAAGTCTTCTAGATTGTGTTGAAATTATAAGGATTACTTGATTTCTTTTATTTAATGGCTAATTGCTCTGTAGAAAAGTGTAAATGCATTGTACGTACGTATTTCACAAGTGTGTCCGGAATATACTTGCTTAAAAAGAAACCCATTATTGTATTCGAAACCTACCCTTATCCTGAAGAACTTGTCGTTGTTTTACTTCCAGAGCTTCTGTGGAAGGCTCCCGAGTTGCTACGCGACACTGATCCGCCGCTCTTTGGAACGCGAAAAGGAGACGTTTACAGTTTTGCAATAATCTTGGAAGAACTACACACGTTGAAACCACCTTACTCGAACAGTGGTATACCTGCTAGAGGTTAGCTGTTGTTATAGCTTTTGAAAGTGTTGTTTATAGCTTTCGAACATAGGCTATTCTCTTGATTAATTTGCAGTACTTTGTAGCGGCGAATTTTACTATGTAGTCATGTTACTGTAACGTTTATGCCATAAGATATTTTATGGAGTTTTAGGAAAAAGATAAAAGAGTTAGTATGATTTAAAAAACTGTCGAAGTTTTTCTCGAATGTATATGATGTTTTGAACATTTTTAAGTCGTTTTGATTGGTCAATTGACTTCGTCATTAAATAAAGAATACACCGGTGGTGAATATAGTAGTTTTGGCCGAACTTTCAAAATTGAAAAAATATAACTTCGACAAAAAAGTTAGTAACGCGACGACATGATTGATATAAGTCTCGCTCCCATTCTCCATCAGATATTGTCGAGCGTGTCGTTGATGGAGAGGTTCCTCCTTATCGACCTGTGGTTGCGCAACCCATCGAGAATGCTCAGCGGTTATTGCCACTTATGAAAGAGTGTTGGCGCGAAAATCCTGATAAACGGCCTGCGTTTAATGAAATTAAATATGACGTGGAGAGCGCCATGAATAGATGCGGATTGTAAGTTTCAATTTTTCGTTACTATTGCGCTTATAACAACCTTGTTATGTTGTGATAAATGTAATGAATGTGCTCTGATATGTAGTGACGTAATGCAAAGAATGCCCCATTAGTACATCCCCTCGAAAGTTCCTACTCAAAGTTTTTTTGCTTACGTTCTAGAAAAACAGACATTTGTGATAACATGATAACGTTGTTGGAAAATTACTCCAACGATCTTGAAAACGTCGTATCACAGAGAACGAGACAACTGCGGGATGAAAAACATAAAACAGACGCTTTGTTAGATAGGATGTTACCAAGGTAATGATTGATTTGAAACTTGCTTTGTCAACTTTCTTCTGCTTCCGTTTGTCAATTTTGCATGTTTCCTTCATGGTTTCCTTTTGTCAACTTCACCGTGTTTCCGCTTTTCAACTTCTCCGTGCTCCTTTTTGTTAGTTTTGCATGTTTCCTTCATGGTTTTCTTTTGACAACTTCTCCATGTTTCCGTTTTTCAACTTTTCCGTGTTTCCGCTTTTCAACTTCTCCGTGTTCCTTTTTGTCAATTTTGCATGTTTCCTTCATGGTTTCCTTTTGTCAACTTCACCGTGTTTCCGCTTTTCAACTTCTCCGAGTTCCTTTTTGTCAATTTTGCATGTTTCCTACGTGGTTTCCTTTTGTCAACTTCACCGTGTTTCCGCTTTTCAACTTCTCCGAGTTCCTTTTTGTCAATTTTGCATGTTTCCTACGTGGTTTCCTTTTGTCAACTTCTTCGTGTTTCCGCTTGTCAACTTCTCTGTGTTTCTTTTTGTCAGTTTTGCATGTTTCCATTTGTCAACTTTTGTTTGCGAATACTTCATGTTGTCGTTCTCCATTCAGATCTGTTGCGGAGCAACTGAAGAAAGGCAACATGGTTCAAGCAGAAAGCTTTGAAAGCGTGACGATATACTTCAGTGACATTGTACAATTCACCGCTCTTTGTGCTGAAAGTACACCAATGGAGGTATGTTTATTCATGATGCTTTTATAGTAAACTTGTTCTCAACGATAAATTTCCCGAAGCTCTAATGCGTCAAGAAACACACACACACACACACAAGCTGTAGCAGACCTGCCAATTCTCCCGGTTTCGCCGGGAGACACCCGCTTTTGCTGCATTTTTCCCGACCTCCCGACAAAGATACTAAATCTCCCGGTTTTTTTAAAGCTTAGGATTTTAGAATTTTGTTGGCATTTTTATTCATCGCATGGAAGGAAATACTCGATGAATAGCATTCAAAACATAACGTATTGTAGCCGCGGTGCGCCGGGAACTGGGCATGACATTGATTCTCGTTTTTTCGTATAATTATGTAACACAAAATGGCTGCCAGTTAAAATTTTTGTGCATAACACTTGAGGTAATCATTGCCATTAAAATCAATGAGGTAATCATTGCCTAATAAATCAATCTATAAATATGTCGTATACAAGAATAGAAATCTCCAGTTTTTTGCCAGATCTCCAGGTTTTTCTGCATTAATCTCAAGGTTTTGTATTCCTTGGGGTTGGCAGGTCTGCTGTAGGGAAAGTGTGACACATGACGGGGGTTGAAAATGATTATTCCAAAAAGAATGGTTCGGTAATTGGGCAAGTGTCACATCCTTCCATCTCGATGGCAATGATTTCATTACTATATATTTTTAATTCAATTTTATCAAACACACACACAGGCAAATGTAACATCCCGCCACATCCTTCCTTTTAAGGGCAATGCTTTCATTACTGATATTTTTTAACACGGTTATTTTCATTTTTTTAGGTCGTCGACATGTTAAATGATCTATATCTATTGTTTGATGATATAATTACTGATTATAGTGTATATAAGGTGAGTACTTCATTTAATAATTCACTTAGGTTTCATTAATGAGCACTCCGTCAGTGACGGCGGAACATTTTATATTAATATATTCATATGTTATAGTCCGTAAACACAATTGACTTCATTTAACAAATAAAAGATGTTTACTGTGTTTGCACAGGCTTATGCAAACCGAGGAGACCTTTGGGAGAACACGAGAGCAGATCAGTGCAAGCCCGAGACCGAAGGTCGAGAGTTGCACATGCTTGAGAGTTCTCACAAACGTTTCCGAGGTTTGCCTAAGCCAGTGCAAACACGAAAAATATCTTTTGTTTCTTTTATAAGAATTCCCGACCCCAACCCAACATCATCCCAGTTTTGAATGCCATATTTTCGTGCTATTTTTATGAAAGTTGAACAGATTCTTCGTTATATTGTCATAGGTTGAAACGATAGGCGATGCGTACATGGTCGTTTCAGGATTGCCGAGGACAAATGGGAAATTACACGCCTCAGAGATATCTTGCATGGCTCTGGAAATTCTCGACAGTGTGAAGAAGTTTAAAGTCGGTCATAAGCCTAAGCACGAACTTCAGATAAGAATTGGAATCCATTCGGGTAAGTAAAGAGGACTGGGGAGAGCGTTGGAACCTGTCGCGAGGGAGATTTTATATTCAAATCTATGTGTGCTTTTTTAGGTCCGGTCGTTGCCGGTGTTGTTGGCATGACAATGCCGCGTTATTGTCTTTTTGGCGACACGGTGAACACTGCTTCAAGAATGGAGTCGAATGGAAAAGGTAAAAATGCGAGTGGACTGGAAACGAGTTCTTAATTTTGAAACAATTTAAGTAAGTGATGGCGTTGTTTTGATTTTATTTCGTAGAGCTTCAGATTCATGTCAGTGGCTCGACAAAAGAAATATTGGATGAGTTAGGAGGATTTCATTTAGTCAAACGTGAAGAGGAAGTTTATCTTAAGGTATTTTCCTTCGTTATTCAGTTTTTCCTTAGTTTTTTCCCTGTAGACCTCACGCGCAACACTGATAGGTCCATTTCTCTGGAGAGATAGCATTCCAGTTCTATATTGAGTTCAATGTTCTCAACTCTCTATCGCTGTTTACATTCATAGGGTAAAGGTCAATGTACCACATACTGGCTACGTGGTGCATCCTCTGACGTCCCTCGTTGTCCTAGAAAACTTAGCGAGAAAGCAATGAAACCTCTTTTTCAAAATGTCAACAGTAGGAAATTCTCACAACCGTACAGAACACGCAAAAAGACACAGATTTCGTTCCCGCGTGCTTCTGTCGCGTGATGATGTCATCGTTCTTTTCAAATGACGTAATCAATCCGTATGTTTGATTTAGCAACGCTTGTGTTTTGCGCAACAATGACTTCTGGTTTGATAACAAAATCACATCATTTTGTACAACAGAATAAGGACATGTTGCCATTTTGTATAAACTGCATCAGTTTGCCTCCTGCTCGCAGGCACCGCGATAAGAACACCTTTATGTGGGGCGGGCGAATGACGCAATGATTTTATGAACGTACATAAATTGAAAATTGTAAATATAACTTTTAAATTTACGAATAAGGTTTGGGGAAATTTTGGTTTTTTACTAAAAATATCAATGTCGATTGGGTATAGTAGCAGCTAACACTGCTTTTTATGGATTGTAAATTAGAAATGTTATTAATACTTAATCTAAACTTAGCAATCAAAAATATATGAAACGTTAATTCAAAAATGCATTGCTTTAATTATGTTTGGCGATGGCGAGTCAAAATTAAATGAGCTCTTAAAAGACTGTACGTAAATTACGAGAAGAATTGGTTTCTGGGATGCCGTACAAACAACAGGACAGTGGGAGGGGAGGGAGGGGCAACTCTAGCGTACGGCCATTCGAAAGTGAATTCTTTCGAATGTATCGATCAAAGAAATTAAACACTTTGTGAAGTTTTTGTTTGAAAAGTTCAAGCTAGTTTCACTGAAACAAGAACAAAAAAAAATACATACCAGCTGAACTCAAAGACTAACGATTTGCAATGTACTTTAATTACTTTAATGACTAACAATAGGTACTCCCTATAGGGCTTTTCAGTAGCTATTTACAAAATTGAATACATATACATCTTTGTCTTATAAATGTATGTAAAAAGATTATTATTAAAAGGATTTTAAAGATAAAAGTAACATTACAAGATGGAACTACAAAAGATCTTTTAAAGCTTTCTTAAAAGAATCAAGAGACTTGGAATCTTTCACATCTTTGTCTAAATTGTTCCACAATTTGACTGCCCTATATGAAAATGAGCGTTGGCCCGTGAGCGATGTATGCATATTCACTGAGACAATAATTCACAATTTTTCTGTCTTACTTTGTTGTGTAATGTAGTAATTCAAGTTCTATCGATTGTATTCTGCTAATGACACGTTAAAAGTAGATAAAAACAGAAAAGACAAGTATGTACTAAGTAACAACAGTTGTTTAAAGTTTGATAAAGTGCAGAGAGGTCGAATGAATCATGAGTGTATGCCCTCCAGCCCGGCCTCCCTGGTTCGTTGAAACTTCCTCAACTTTCTTATACTCCAGGCAATATACCATGCAATTTATCTCGAGTGAAGTATCATGAAATTTTTGAAATCAAGAATTTCCCGCCAATACCAGGGTAATAGGGAGTATCGTAGGACCAGTATTCGATGGATGACCATCAATCTGATGGATGGTAATGTGGAAGGACCATCAATCTGAAAGATGGTAATGTGGAAGGCTGTCATTGGTTGTACGAAGGAGGCAAGATGGCGTCATCTTCAACTAATTTCGAACTCGAGACTTTAGAAGCTCTTTTGGGTAAGTAACGGTCAGTTCCTTTCACAGAGAGATTTTTTTTTGAGTGTTTAAACGTCTTCTCTATCACAGATACAATTCAGTTTCGCTAATTTCTGAAATCCCATTTTTGTCAATTTATTTCCGGTTTAGTACTTCAGTTCACTTAACCAACGACGACATGTTTTAAAATTTATGAATTGTACGATGCAGACTTATAGATGATATTTACTCTTGCAGATAAATGTACGGATCCTGCCACTGGCAAAGAAGACTGGCGTTACATAAACGCATTTTGTGATCGAGTGATCAAAGATTATGACGGGTAAGCATGTGAACTTCACGAGAATTTATTAATTTAATGGTACCTTGACACATTTTCATTTGTCATTGTATGAAATAGCGCCCTTTACAATTTAAAGTTGTATAATTGAACAATTCATTACATTTTAATTCATACAAATTTCATGAAATTTCAGACCATTAATATCAACAAAATTGATAATTCGTAAACTTCAAACCTTTGAGGAAAAGACATCTTTGATGGCACTGTCTGTAAGTTGAGTAGCTTTGTGCAAATTTTCACCCTAATCTCATGTTGTTGTAGGAGTAGAGGAAAATTTTTTGTGATTGTCTTGTTTTCCTATGCTTTATTAAGGTCTTGGAGTCTTGTGTGAAGAATTGTGGACAGAAATATCATCAAGAAATTGGAAAATTTCGATTTTTGAATGAACTTATTAAACTTCTTTCAATGAAGGTAAATATTTATGATTTTGTGTTTTATATGTATTGCTCATGAAAAACATCCTGTGCTTTTGGAGAGTGGAAGAATGCTAGAAAAGCAACCTCTCCACACTTCAAAAGTTGAAAATGCTAGAAAAGCAACCTCTCCACACTTTGAAAAGTTGAAAAATGCTAGAAAAGCAACCTCTCCACACTTCGAAAAGTTGAAAAATGCTAGAAAAGCAACCTCTCCACACTTTGAAAAGTTGGAAAATGCTAGAAAAGCAACCTCTCCACACTTTGAAAAGTTGAAAAATGCTAGAAAAGTAATCTCTCCTTGAAAAGCAACCTCTCCCACTTTCTATATAATGAGAAAATACATTAGATATACATTACTACATTCATTATTGTTATGTCTTCCTCCCCCCTATGTTTAGTATGATGGTCCTCGTACACCACAAACTGTGAAGAACAAGATAATTGAAATATTTTACTCTTGGAGTGTTGGCTTGCCTGGTGAAACAAAGATAAAGGAAGCTTATTTAATGTTGAAGAGACAAGGTTAGCTTATTATACAACCATTTTACTTGTTTGTTGATGTTTCGTGGTGTGCTTGCAGCATCTTATTTTGACAATATTCCATTAAGTTTTGAAAGTATCCTCCCCCCTGAAAATAATAGTAGCCACCCTCCAAAGTACCCCCTGAAAATGATTACTCCCTCCAAAGCAGCCACCTTTTTTAACACTTACTAAGGATTCATGATAGTAACCAGCTTCTTTATAGAACGTTTATAAGCTTTGCAATATTTACACTTTCATCAAAATAAAATTTTGATGTACATTGGTGAAAACCACCAACAACCTTACACAACTTTAAACATATTGAAAAACACCATATATAAAACCGTAGACTAAGAGTTAAACATTGATGTTAATTGATGCTGAAGATGACGACTTGAAACTTAGAGCCCCCTCTCAAGGCAACTAATTTCAAAAGGAACCTTGGCAGCTACTTTCGAGACTTTACCGTAACCATAGTATCAATCCATGTTTGACACTTATTACTGATTCAGAAAACTAGATTATCTTTCAAACACTTGTATGTTAGTCAATGTAGACTCTAGTTCTGATTTAAACAATTATGATCCTTAACTAGCCATACTCTCCACAATCTTGACTCTCCACCTAATTTACTTACTCTTTTTAATCTAACTTAAATACTAAATCCTAAATTACTTACTTTTCCCAATCTTGAATTTAATCCTAACTTACTCTTTCAAATCTAACTTAATTACTAAATCCTAAATCACTTACTTTTCCCAATCTTGAATCTAATTCTAGTTTACTTGGTTAGCCTTTCTAATCTAAAGATTAATTCCAAGACTAGATTATATTGTATCATATCAGCTTTTGTTGTATACAGAGCGCTGAATAAATAAACCTTTGCTAAGATGGTTGCTTTGCCAGATTTTTCAGAAGCTTTGCAACATACGAAGTTCTAGCCGTCAATTTATACCATGTTTTTTTTTTGTTTTAAGGTGTTGTTACTGCTGATCCACATTTACCAAGTCAAATTGAAGAGGTGTAATGCAAACTTCTTAATACATTGTATCAACTTGTTGTGATGTAAAATTTTCACACAAATGTAGCCTACCTCACCTTTAAACATAAACTTGCTGTGATGTAAAATTTTCACACAAATGTAGTCTACCTCACCTTTAAACATAAACTTGTTGTGATGTAAAATTTTCACACAAATGTAGTCTACCTCACCTTTAAACATAAACTTGCTGTGATGTAAAATTTTCACACAAATGTAGTCTACCTCACCTTTAAACATAAACTTGCTGTGATGTAAAATTTTAACACAAATGTAGTCTACCTCACCTTTAAACATAAACTTGCTGTGATGTAAAATTTTAACACAAATGTAGTCTACCTCACCTTTAAACATAAACTTGCTGTGATGTAAAATTTTCACACAAATGTAGTCTACCTCACCTTTAAACATAAACTTGTTGTGATGTAAAATTTTCACACAAATGTAGTCTACCTCACCTTTAAACATAAACTTGCTGTGATGTAAAATTTTAACACAAATGTAGTCTACCTCACCTTTAAACATAAACTTGTTGTGATGTAAAATTTTCACACAAATGTAGTCTACCTCACCTTTAAACATAAACTTGCTGTGATGTGAAATTTTAACACAAATGTAGTCTACCTCATCTTTAAACATAAACTTGCTGTGATGTAAAATTTTCACACAAATGTAGTCTACCTCACCTTTAAACATAAACTTGCTGTGATGTAAAATTTTCACACAAATGTAGTCTACCTCACCTTTAAACATAAACTTGTTGTGATGTAAAATTTTCACACAAATGTAGTATACCTCACCTTTAAACATAAACTTGCTTTGATGTAAAATTGTCACACAAATGTAGTCTACCTCACCTTTAAACATAAACTTGCTTTGATGTAAAATTTTAACACAAATGTAGTCTACCTCACCTTTAAACATAAACTTGCTTTGATGTAAAATTTTAACACAAATGTAGTCTACCTCACCTTTAAACATAAACTTGCTTTGATGTAAAATTTTCACACAAATGTAGTCTACCTCACCTTTAAACATAAAATTGCTTTGATGTAAAATTTTCACACAAATGTATCTAGCCTATCTCACAAGCGCCGTAAATATTATTTCAGTACAAACCGAATCCACAACCGAGAATGGCTCCGTTTGAAGATGAAGAAAAATCAAAGGTATTTTCTTGCAACTTTGCACTATTTTTGCGTGAAGAGCGATCAGTGTTAGTAGGCGACATGTCAGATTTCATTAACTTTTTCAAAGTCGTGTGTTCGACATTTTCGACATTTTCGAAATTTGTGTTTTCCGTATGTTTATGTTTTTTTGTGTCTGGAAATTTGTGTTTTTAATATGTTTTCAAATTTCAACCTTCTTCCTCTCTCAAGCAGATGCTACACTCGACCTTCGGTCTCGGGCTTGCACTAATCCGCTCCCTCGCTCTCTTCTGCTTGCATAAGCCTGTGCAAACAAGAAATGTATAAAACATTTTATGATTGATTCAAATTACGAGTCAAAAGGCAGTGTTTGCCCCCATCCTTGGATATCTGGTTAACCATTGTAACGATTGATAGAAATATTTAAATATTTTTTCTCTTGGTAGCTTTTATCACGACTTCTGGCCAGCAAACATCCCGATGATCTACAGGCTGCCAACAGACTGATAAAGAACATGGTTAGACAGGTCAGACATTAGAAATTTTTTATATTTTTTTTATCATTCTGATTCTCATTATCCTCATGTAATCTCCGTCATCCGTTTATATCCCCGTCATTCCGTTGATATCCCCATCATCCCGTTGATATCCCCGTCATTCCGTTGATATCCCCGTCATTTCGTTGATATTGCCGTCATTCTGTTGATATCCTTGTCATCCCGTTGATATCCCCGTCATTTCGTTGATATCCCCGTCATTCCGTTGATATCCCCGTCATTTCGTTGATATTGCCGTCATTCTGTTGATATCCTTGTCATCCCGTTGATGTCCCCGTCATTCCGTTGATATCCTTGTCATCCATCCCGTTGATGTCCCCGTCATTCCGTTGATGTCGTTGTCATTCAGATGTAACCTACCACCATCCTAATGTAACCTCCTCATCCTCATGATATCCTCATCATTCTCAAAATATCGCATTATCCTTACGTAATCCTCATTATTCCGATAATACTCTTGTCATGGTGGCGATATCTCCTACGTTCAAATCATACCTCCCATAATCCTCCAATTTTCTGATGATATCTCATTTTTTTCATAATATCCCTGGTGATCCCTCACCTTTAAAAATATTGATCCATACCCTAAAAATGATCTGTATCCTCCGGATGATCTATACTCTCCACATTATTCATACCCTCTGGATGATCCTTCTTCTCCAGATGATCCATGCCCTCCGGATGATCCATACTCTCCAGATTATTTATATCCTTTGGATGATCCCTCTCCTCCAGATGATCCATACTCTCCAGATTATTTATATCCTTTGGATGATCCATCTCCTCCGGATGATCCATGCCCTCCAGATTATTTATATCCTTTGGATAGTCTATCTCCTCCGGATGATCCATCTTCTCCATCTTCTTTGTTTATGTTATCCTCCATCTTACAGATCACTCTGTTGTCTGCGGTCCAGTTATATATATAGATCACTTTCTTAGTCTTCATGTTTCTTGTACAGGATGAAATAAGGGAAGAGAAGTTAAGTTTACGTATTAAAGAGCTGGAAATGGTGCAAAATAACACAAAACTTTTGAACGAGATGTTGAAGAATTTTTCTTCCTCCACGTCTCGCGCAGAAATCGATCTTATGAAGGTTGCTATAGTAACAACTATTGTCATAGAGATGTATTTATGTGTATATGTAACTGTTGTCATAGAGATGTATTTATGTGTATATGTAACTGTTGTCATAGAAACCGGGTCATATCTATTTAACCGTTACCATGGAGACCTATCTATATCTTTACATATAACCGTTGCCATGGAGACCTATCTATATCTTTACATATAACCGTTGCCATGGAGACCTATCTATATCTTTACATATAACCGTTGTTATAGAGATCTGTACAGATCTATTGTAAAAACTGTGTTCTTAGAGATCTATTAACGGACACGATTACCATTTGCCGATAAAGGTTTCTTTATAAAAACAAAAACATATTAAAAACTGCTCAGGTTTTTATTTCATCCACTGTACACTCTTCTTACATTTATCTTCTCCAAAATTTTCCTTAGGAACTTTTTGACTCTTGTGAAAAGTTGCGAACCGATCTGTTCAAGCTTGCGGGCGCTGCCACTGAAGAAGGAGAGGAGACTTTATGTACGTATAATCAAAGTGTACACCTTTAGAAATGTTGCATTTTTATTCATTTTTAATGTGTTCAGCGGACATACTTCGGGCAAACGACGAACTGGCGACAGTTATCGCAGATTACCGACGTATCGTTGTCGGCCCAGGGGGGAGTGCCACGCCTTCCACTACACCATCATCTAAACCAAGTACTGCAGAATCTCATCCGAGTAAGGACGCTGACTCATCCTCTAATCTGTCTTCTCTCATTGACTTGGATATGAGTGCTGGTGGCAATACTCAAGCTGCAACTTCTGACACTGGCAACTTGCTTAGTTATGATCTTCAGGATTTAGGTAGGAATGTGGGAAGGTTGGATAGCTAAGAACGCGCATGATCGGTAGGTGATGTCGTCATTATTTGTTTGACAACCTATCGTGTTGCAAATTAGATTTTGCGCGCGAAAATTTCGCATTGTGGAAAACAGCTTCGTGAAACTCATACAAGATTCGTTCTAATACAGCGGTTGATTTATGCTACATAAATAATTTTACATGAAGTACAAATGATATAGTTTTGAATTATTGGCGCTATCAGTCGTTTGCTTGTAGCAAATGAAGTTTAAAGTGAAAGAACGTTTAGCGAGTGGTTTTAATCCTGGTTTTGCATTGAATACTTTAAAGTTGTTGCTTTCCTTTCAAAGCGAATACACAGCATAGGAATATACAGTAGGGCCACTTCGCTGTGCAACTGGCTGCTGTATATTCAATAAGATTACTGGCTGCCGTAAGCCATTTCATCATTGCTATTGGTCAGAAATTGCAATTGACTGGCTGCCAAAATGGTAATCACATGCGCAATGAGATATGCGTTGCACAAAAAAAATTCAATGGAATCTATACTGTGGTGAAGGGTGGGTTGAAAACAAGAAGTGAATAAAATTGAATAGAAAAGTGTAGAAAAACTTTATTTGAGACATGCTGACCCCGATAACTTAAGCTAATTACCCCAGGGGAGGGGGGGGGGTTGCGCAAAATACATTTACAAAGCGTCTTTTTGTAGGTATATGTACAATAAAAAACATATGTGAATGAAATCTGACTATTAGTATTTTCTATGAGTTAAACGATAAACAATAATATAACTATTTACAAGAAAGTCTTCACATGAATGCTTGTATTTCAATGTAAATTTTTGTCTTGTCCGGAGGTGAAACTGTTTGAGACGAGGCTTGTGGGGAATGCAGTAAAGCACGATAGTTCTTCTAAGTTGCACATTTTGTTAAAACATTAAATTATTGTTGCATCGCGGGCTCCAAAACTTAAACTTGGTCAGCGGAACTATTCGACCTCTAAAATGTCACGTGTTATCATTTTAGTTGTTTCTCCTGGTACCACTCAACGTCCTCCTGCAATGTTACAACACAATCCCGGCCTTAGTTTTGTTCCTACCCATCAAAACACCGCTAGTCCCAGGCCTATGTTCAACACATGGCACACGGCTACTGTAAGCTCTGGTTATCCCACCACCAATATGACGGTAAACGCTGTCCGGGGGGTGCAACCATACAACACTGGTGTACATCGCACGATGTACCTCCCTGGTCAACAACCAATGATGATTCCCGGGCCGGCTCAACCTTTGTTGCCCAGCGGAAATTCGTCATGGTCGGCCAATATCGTAAACCGGATCAAAACAGAAGAGCCGAAGTCTAGGGAACCATCACCGTTGGATGTATTGGGTCAAGAGGCTTTATCTGCTCATAAGGAATCTCAGGGTCAATCAAAAATTGATAAATCCCAGTTTCAACCAAAAGACTCCATGTTACTTGATATTGGAGACTCAACTTCATCACAAATTACACCAATTCCTCCACCTCCATCCGCTGTACAAATGACGAATGGACCAAAGGCTAAAAACGATTTTACATTCGACCAAGTTACCTTGTCTATGGATAAAATACAACCTGGTTAGATGTAGTGACGTCAATTTTTATTTGAAACAATTGTACCAACAACGATAAATTAACCACAACAACAGCTACCACAACAACAACAGCTACCTCGACAACAACAGCTGTAACTACAGCTACAACAACAGCTACCACAACAGCAACAGCTACCACCACAACAACAACAGCTACCACAACAACAACACTACCACAACAACAACAGCTACCACAACAACAGCTACCACTACAACAGCTACCACAACAACAGCAGCTACCACAACAACAACAGCTACCACAACAACAACAGCTACAACAAAGCTGCCACAACAACAACAGCTACCACAACAACAACAGCTACCACAGCTACAACAACAGCTACCACAACAACAACAGCTACCACAACAACAACAGCTACCACAACAACAACAGCACCACAACAACAGCTACCACAACAACAACAGCTACCACAACAACAACAGCTACCACAACAACAACAGCTACCACACAACAACAACAAACAACAACAGCAACAACAACAGCTACAACAACAACAACAGCTACCACAACAACAACAGCTACAACAACAACAACAGCTACCACAACAACAACAGCTACCACAACAACAACAGCTACCACAACAACAACAGCTACCTCGACAACAACAGCTACCACAACAACAACAGCTACAACAACAACAACAGCTACCACAACAACAACAGCTACAACAACAACAACAGCCACCTCAACAACAACAGCTACCACAACAACAACAGCTACCTCAACAACAACAGCTACCACAACAACAACAGCTACCACAACAACAACAGCTGTAACTACAGCTACAACAACAGCTACCACAACAACAACAGCTACCTCGACAACAATAGCAACAACTACAGCTACATGTTTAGTCGTGCTATGTAAATTTTAGATTATTGTCATTGAGCATTTCATTAAAAATGTGTTGAATGACTTACATAATTACAAAATTAAACATTGAATGACTTACATAGCTAGACCAACGGCTACGCTATTGAACAACAATGACAGCAACTCTTGACTTTTCATTAAAATGTTGAATGATTTTTAGGTAATTTACCACCAAAGACAGTGTTGGAAAAGAATGACATCAAAACGGTTATGCATTTTGCAAAGGTACTAACACATGCACAATGTTTTACATTTATAAAGCGTATTGCAATGAGTACAACATATTATTACATACTGTAACCTAAGTAGTATTGTAAACGGCTATAAACTTTGTAGAATTATTATATTATTGTTTTTTTGAAGCTCATTTTACAACTACGTTAGATATAATCGGCATTTACATTGCTAAACACACTTTTCTGAATGTGTGTTTTGTTATTCAACATCTCTATTATTGAAAAATATTACTTTCTTATATATAACTCCTTTTCATAAAACCCGAAACTTGATTCAAAAGTTGATTTATTTTATCAAGTGTTTGCTTGGCTCAAATCGTTTCTAATTTTTTCATATTTTAGGATTCGTCTGGCAGTCTAAGAACGGATATCCACGTTATTGTTGTAACGACAATGAGCACAAACACATCACCCATAAAGTCTTTCACCTTTCAATGTGCTGCACCCAAGGTAAATGTCATTGTTACGTCATCAATATTTAAGGCCAATAGTATTGGTTGCAATTGAGGTCATATGATCTATTTGATTGGACGAAAATTTTATCTTCATGGACCTTTTGGCCTAGAAGTATGTGACTCCGCACCGGATGTGACGTAAAAGGAGAACAAATGCATTGAAGATATAGCTTTCATTATAGTGAATAGTGCTGTTATAACAAACCGGATGTGACGTAAAAAGGAGAACACGTGCATTAAAGATATAGCTTTCATTATAGTGAATAATGCTGTTTTAACAAACCGGATGTGACGTACAAACTTATCATGCTGCATAAGTATAGATTTTGACGACATCTGAGCGAATTTTTAAAAAAACGTTTAAAAAGTAGAACTGCCTTTTCTCCTTCTTACGTCACTTCCGGTGCACAGTCATCCACTTTTAGGCGCGAAAAGTACATGAACATAAAATTTTCGACATGTCAAATATATTGCAAATGTTTTAAAGTCGATTCAACCATTTAAAAGAAGTCATTTCCGTTACCTTCATATGGGCACTAAAAGCATGCAAATTATCGTTTTGAGTCGGCGTTGTCATGTACATAGACCAGCGGTTCACGATATTCTCATTTTCTTTTTTCATTCCAGTCAATGAAAATTAAACTACAACCACCTACATCGAATGAGTTACCAGGCTATAATCCTATCACTCCACCATCAACTTTAACACAAGTCATGCTTCTATCAAATCCTGTCAAGGTAGGTCTCTAGGTTTAGCTGTTAATCGCGTTTCATTTTAGTATTTTTATCCAATGTCACTGGAATTAAATGTGGGATTGTGTTAGGTAAGGCATTTTGGATAGAATTTTCCTGATTTGGATTAGATTAGATTAGATTAGTGTCAGGTTAGATTAGTGTCACATTAGATTAAATCTTTTATAAGTTGGATTATAATCGTCGACTAGATTTAGATTAATCTTTGAATAGGATCAGATTGACTATCTCACAGGAGTCACAGGGCATAAAACTGAAGATCAGCTTTGTCTGCTTTGAATTAATTGTTGCGTCATATTATTCCAGGATCGGATTCGATTAAAGTTCCGCATATCATACGAATTAAACGGCGAAAAATGTGTGGAAACTGGAGATTTGGACAATTTCCCAATTCTATGAAATTGCGTGTAAGTTCATTCAATAAGCTGAAAGGGATTTGTGTTAAATGAATGATGAAACAATGTTGATCAATGAGTACAGATGATACAGCGATTTATGTCGTTGATTGAGAATGCATTCCTTCGTGGAAATCTTTTGAATTTTAATCTCGTTGACTAAAAGTTGTGATGATTGCTTTAGAATTTACAATGAACGTTGCTGCTCAGTGTTTACATGACAATTTTTTGACGATTATTATTTGTGTTGCATTGCAAAGAACGTATAAAATGACTTTAGAATCTCTTCTGTGGAATGTTTTATTTTACTTTTTTAGCGATATTTAACTTTGTTTGTTATGCAAATGCATCGTTATGACATCGCAGAGTTTAGCAACATTTTAAAGACCATCAATTTCCCGCATTTTTGGACCGTTTCATGCACAAAGACAACAGTATTTCGACGCATGCGTACGTCGATGACATTGCGACAAACATTTGTGAATGTCGAAAGCATTGCCAATGCTAAACAATGGGATGTCATAGTAAGTTTATTTAGATAGTGAAAAAATTAATTATTACGAAAACGAAATTGACTAACACTAGTCTATAACGATTCTATTAAAGAATTTATTGAGGGATTTCAAATTATGACTTGGTATCATAAACACTTTAAACATATAACGAATAAGTCATCACAACTCATCAAAATGATTTTGGTTCATGCGTTTGTCATTAACTTTTTCTATTTTAAACGGTCCCACTAATTTTCAATGGAATTAAGAATTATTGACCAGTGTGGAAAGTTCGAATAAGGATACTTTGATGCCATTTTTCGTTTGTATTAAAAATTCATAACGACAATGCCTTTGGTCAGCGCAAATAAAAAAAATTCTTTACTTCATGTTATTTCGGGCTATGCTGGATATTTCTTCTTCATAAAATAACATACATGTCAACAGTAGCAAAGCCAGACCGTTTTTACTCCTATAATGCAAATATTTTAGTGCTCAATCACTGGAAAATAATGAATTGAACAAATTTTCTAAAGAGACGACTAATAATTTTTCGTAAAAATTTTCCATTTATAAGTAAAAGACCGAGCTGGCTTTGCCACTCTATGTCAATTTGACTTCATTCTATGTCATCTTAAAACACGAAAATACGTCCGTTCAAAGCGTCTGCAACAACTAAGGCTTCATTCTTAGCTCCATGTCATCTTAAAACACGAAAATACGTCCGTTCAAAGCGTCTGCAACAACTACGGCTTCATTCTTAGCTCTATGTCATCTTAAAACACGAAAATACGTCCGTTCAAAGCGTCTGCAACAACTACGACTTCATTCTTAGCTCTATGTCATCTTAAAACACGAAAATACGTCCGTTCAAAGCGTCTGCAACAACTACGGCTTCATTCTTAGCTCTATGTCATCTTAAAACACGAAAATACGTCCGTTCAAAGCGTCTGCAACAACTACGGCTTCATTCTTAGCTCTATGTCATCAAAACACGAAAATACGTCCGTTCAAAGCGTCTGCAACAACTACGGCTTCATTCTTAGCTCTATGTCATCTTAAAACACGAAAATACGTCCGTTCAAAGCGTCTGCAACAACTACGGCTTCATTCTTAGCTCTATGTCATCTTAAAACACGAAAATACGTCCGTTCAAAGCGTCAGCAACGACTACGGCTTCATTCTTAGCTCTATGTCATCTTAAAACACGAAAATACGTCCATTCAAAGCGTCTGCAACAACTACGGCTTCATTCTTAGCTCTATGTCATCTTAAAACACGAAAATACGTCCGTTCAAAGCGTCTGCAACAACTACGGCTTCATTCTTAGCTCTATGTCATCTTAAAACACGAAAATACGTCCGTTCAAAGCGTCAGCAACAACTACGGCTTCATTCTTAGCTCTATGTCATCTTAAAACACGAAAATACGTCCGTTCAAAGCGTCTGCAACAACTACAGCTTCATTCTTAGCTCTATGTCATCTTAAAACACGAAAATACGTCCGTTCAAAGCGTCTGCAACAACTACAGCTTCATTGGGACTTAAAACTATCGCAGTTAAATTTATATCAATATTTTCGTTTTCTTTAAAAGTAATGTTCGTTAAATGCCCGCCTAGTCGGGTAAACACCTGAACCTTGTTCCCAGATCCCGTCACCAGTACGCGCTCGTCGTTGTCCGTCACTAGCCGGCAAAGTGTCGGCTCTGCTCCTGCGTATGCTGGAGTGAAATACTCTCGAATAAATGCCCCGCTGTTGTCGTAAACTTCAACCACGTTGTCTTGATTTGTCCGCTGTGTGATGCCTGAATTTAAGGCGCGAAAAGTGACGTATGTCTCGCCTGTCTGGTTGCAGGCAACGTCTTGTACCTCTCCTCGTCGGATGCTTGTCGACGATCCCCGACTTAAAGTCCGTTGCCTGATGGAAATTTTGAATAAAAAAGCTTCAAAACATAAATTTGACCAACCCAATAACCTAGAACCCAATCAACTAGATACCTGATTCCGCCGAAGTTGTATAGTAATGAGTGAGGCAAGCCGCCATCTTGAAAGGTGGCAAAACTGACGATATTTAAGACTAATATCTGCTTTTGCTGAGTTGATATAAAGTTGCAAAGTTGATAGTCTAGGTTTATTATTAAAATGTTTGACAGGATTGGTTTTTTAAACTTTGTTTTAACTTATTTTTCATTTTGAGTTTTGCTTTTTGCCACCTTTCAAGATGGCGTCTTTGCCTCACCTTGACGCGGTAGTTAGACATCTAGAGGACTGGGTTCTAAATCATTGGACCAATCCAGACTGATAATCAAACCGAGCAACTCACTGACCTTTCACCCCACATTGATATGACAACTACACGATTTTGGTCAGCGTCCGCCACGATGACATTATCATACAGATCAGTAGTGACAGCAACTGGTCGCATTTTGTCTTCGAGACTCAATTCTCGAACGAAATTTCCATTTGGAGTAAAAAACTGTAGCCTTCCATTCAAACAATCTGCGACGATCACATGACCAGTCCTTGAAATTGCGACATCAAAAGGTTCGTTAAATTCGCTCTCCCCAGTTCCTTTACGGCCATACGTGAACAGATATCGACCATACTGATCAAAGACTTGTATTCTATGATTTCCTGTATCGGCAACAATAATTCTACTGAGGCGATCCACTGCCAAACCTAAACAACGAAACACAATTGCTGTCAGAATTGTCGAGTGTGTTCGGTTCCAGTCCTTTCAACACCGTTGCTAGACTTTTCGTCGTTATCTGTTTTGAAGTAAGCCTCTTCCGTTAGTATCTATGTATATAATCAGTATTTGTGATTGGTCCATTGTACAATGAAGTACAATACCTAGGTATAGTGTATGTCAAAATATATTACTGCTTTTCATTCGAAATCAATAACCAATAGTTCTTTTCTGAAGGAATAGATGACTTGCCAGCAATGTGTAAACAAGGCAAGTCATTTATTCTTGAATTCAAAACTGAGCAGTTGTAATGTATACGTATGTCTGAATTGTCACTGACAATACAGTATAGAAATGTACAGAGCAATTGAACCAATCAGACAACCCATTCATATTTGGCGCTAAATAGTGGCTGCTTTTTGACGTCATAAAAAACACAGGTTTTGGTGGTCACGTGATTGTCACATCTGCAGTATACAATGACATATTATAGATTGCTTAATCACCTTGTGGTCGACACAATTCCCCCTTGTTGCTTCCTAATCGACCAAATTTCGTTACCAGTCCTGCTCTACGTGAGTAGTCTGTCGAGCCATGACACAGAATCTCAAAAGGACTGCCTAGAATCTCCTCGCCGCGTAAAGTGATTCGCAACAGATGCAGACCGGCAGAATAGCTTCGATAGCGAAACTTGAGCCTGCCATGCTTGTGTTCGATCAATTCCGCCAAGAAATAACCTCCAGTTGGCGTTTTCAAACGAGCAACAATGGAATCACGTCCTTCCCAGCATGCTTTATTCTCCACATTCTTTGTCATAACGGTAAACACGCTGTCTTTACCGACCGTAGCATCAGCGATCCCTTCTCCCGTAGAAAAACAACAACTTGCACATCCTCGTCCTCTCGTAATTTTTGGTTCGTTTCCATGAAATCGTTGTAGTTCTTCAGCGCTGCGCAGGTTTTCAGCCTTTTCCAATGTAATGAAAGAGTCCTCCGGGCACTCTATTGGAGCTTCCGGTGTGTTTTGACACAGTTGACCCAAACTCTCTATAATACAGCCTTCCAAAATGAGTATCTCGACGTCCGTTGCGTTAAGACAAAGACGGATTGTGAATTTTTGGGCGCTTTGAATGAGTGTTAAAAGGGTGTTTAATTTTCTCCGATGCTTCGCCAAGATATCGTGCTTCAGTCTGGCCATTTTTCTCAAGCTCTCTATGAGAATTTCTTCAACTCCCTTTATGTTTTTTGATGTTTCCTGAGTGTGTTTGTTTCTTTGTGATGATACTTTGGTTTTTTCGTGAACTTTCTTGCTCATTTCTTCACTGTCTGTTAAAGAACTCGATAAATCTTTATGCATATTATGAAAGCGATCTTTGAATAAGCGAATGACGTCATCGTTTATTTTAGTCTTGTCTACGCACTGGTCTATTGGGTTAACCTTCAATGCCCGCAAACAGTGGATTTCATCTGTGATATCCTTCATGCGTATCCTTAGTTTATCCTCAATGTCCATAGTTTCCCTAAGAGCATCACTAAGATACAATAATCGTAACATGCTCTGGCTCAGGAGCGTTCTCATTTGTGCTCTACAGCTTGGAGCCGCGTCCGAAACAGACAGGAATATGTGAAGAAGATGTTCGGTAATAACACATTCTTGACACACAAGCTGCGAACAACTGCTACAGAAAAAACGTAACTCTTCATTTTCGTGTTTTTTGCATTTGAACAGTGCGTGTATTCGCTGATTTTTGCGTGAAAACGAAATTTTGTGTCGTCTCGACGTTATATCGTTCTCGTGCAACGTATTCACCTTATCGTCTTTGATGAGTATTGGATTTTCGTTTTCTGAAAAAACTTCGTTTTCCATAGTCAGTTCTCCGTTTCCATTTAATTTCGTTGTCATAGACTCGCTCTCCAAATCTTGACGCTTGATCTCGTCGTTATTTTTTATTGAACCTAAACCTATCATCACATCTTTTTCCTGCATCAAAACGCCTTCGTGAACGTCTACACATTGCAAAATACCCAAGCCGCCATCAACAAAACACGCTTCCCATGACATACCAACATTGCACGCGTCTATCTCACGTTTCAAAACATCCAACACGCAAGAAAGAAAAAAATTATCGCTGTGTGACCGTATAACGCAGTTGCATGACGGACATTTTGCCGGCTCTTGTCGTCTTGATATTACTTTCAAACATTTTCCACAAAGTGAGTGGCCGCAGCTTAAAATTTTCGGATTTTTCAGTAAATTTTTGCAATTGCTGCAAATCAGCAAGTCCCACATATTTCTTGAGACACAAGGAATGTTCTGTTGAAGATATTTTGAATTCCAACATAGTATGTTGACTATTTCATTCGCTTTATTTGTTTCCTTTCTTCATCATCGATATTAGTTCAAGATTTTCTGCTGTACATAACTTCGTTACATTTTCAGTTCAAAATTATTCCTCGCTTTGATGAATAACATTAAGAATTAATAATCATAAAATTGTCCAGTTACTCGGTTCTTGTGAACATACTACATCGATTTAAATCGTTCTTTACCGTAAATAATGCTCTTTTCATTTCCTTGTTAACGCTTCTGTCAGTTTTGTTTATTCCCCGTAAAGCAAAACGTTTAGCATTCTACAAGAGTATCGCGTTCGTCCATTCATTGTGGCAGAGCCTTTTCAAAATCACTGCACTCTCTCATCACTTTGTCGCATAATTAATTGCAGTATTATATTGCAAAGTCAACTCGTGTGTGTGGTGTGTTCTTTCATTTTGCTATATCTGAGCGTGAATCATCCAAAATCAAAGCTTGCAATGTGTAATTATGTTTTTTTGCCTGCTATCTTTTAGCAGTTACTTGTTTGTCATCCAGAAAAACTAAATATATTTTGTACATTATTACTAAATGATTCATGTACTTAGAGTGTTCTCTGCGGGTTACATTCAATAACACTTTTATTACTGACTTACGCGCCTAGTGGCGCGCGTGCAATGAATTATATATGTCGTGATCAAATATAGCATCGTTAGTCCTTTTCCTTGTCGCTTGGAATCGTTATGCGAGCAGTAAATAGACTGAATTGATGCTTAAAACAGAGAAAAGGATGAAATGGGTGTAGCTTGTGCAATTTTGAGCGTACAGTAACCAAAACATGTCTAAATTTGCGAGTTACAGCAACTTAGGAACAACTAAAACAACTTTGTTTTAGCATCTTAGGGCAATGTGTAGTGCGTTTACATGAAACATTAAAACGAAGTGCGCCAATTATTTAACGATAGCCATAAACTAATTTTGAGATTTGGTCTAAAGGATCTTGTTTTTGTAAGGATTATCAAGGAGGAAGCCAAGAGGACCGACGAGCCCATTAGGAGGATGAGTTTAGTGAAATCTCTTGCATCTCTCACCACCTTTTCATGTTGAATGAAACACACTGAAACGCATGCGCAGTGAAAGAGATATTGATAGTGTTAGTTTGTTTATAGTAGTGCACTGTGTGGTAGATACTCAAATTTTACCATGGTTGAGTAACGAACTGCATTCTGTTGTGCTTTTTCCTTTCCTTGCTTTGCTTTGAAGAAATAAAGAGGTTAGTACACTTTTCAACTTGTTCAGTCGTGCAGTAATTGTTATTTTGAAACCTTTCGTTCTTTTCTCTTAATGAAATCATTAAATTTTATTGTTTAGTTTTACATATTCAAATAATCCAATTTTATTAACAGTTTAAAAATTTTTCACTGTCCAATGAAAATGCGTTGCTTTGATAATTTTCATGATGTTATCTATGATAGTGAGGCCGTAAATGCCTAACCGTCTATTTTCAGACCAAATTTTGTATTTGTACTCTTTTAGCATTTTCATATAATCTTTGAAATACCTCCGTGAATACCCAATTAGTGATTCATATCGACGTTTGTATTTTTCCAGAACTCTCCTTAAAAGGAAATTGGTTATGATAGAATGCTGCAGATGGTGAACTTGACAGGTGCTTTTTAATCTTGGATTTAAAATCCATCACATTTTCTTCAACGAACAAGGAAGATACCCCCTGAAGTTTTGCATTCAAAGCTCTGAGGGATGAACGCCATGTGAAGCTCTACCTGGACAAGAACCAAAGATCCAATATATGATTATGAATTCGACTCCAGCCATGTTACCAAGGCAACAAACAAACACCTGCCATCTAGACTACAGTGATTTCAGATTTGAAATGCCAAAGGGTAAAATCTTTGAAGATATTATATTTTATCCTGAACTCTAACCTCCTGATATTTTCGGGTTTTCACAATGGTGTAAAGTTGGGCAATAATGAAAAAAATTTGTAGCTGCTACTGAGATTTTGTGCTTCTTCTTCTGTATTTTTCTCTTACCAAAAGAAAGGAAACCTGTGAAGAATGCAGGTAGTAACTGCCAAAATTTTGCCAGTTGCCGACTAATTTTAAACCCTTGCAATACAGTTGTGAAGCTAGCCTTTTGTGCTCTTCTACAATGCAATATTTTTGTGTTCAATGTAAACACAAAGTATTGAAGTGATTTTTTAAAGATCGAATCAGCTTTGTCACTTTGTGTGTGTCTGTATATCCTGGATAAATACTCATTACTCAATCATTCCTAATTGAATTTCTTTCACATTTAAGAGTTCTCTGAAGGGGAAATTGAGCTGCTGTTTGAGTGCTTCCAGTTGTTGGAAAATCCTTTTGAAGAGTCTCAAAAGTGTGGTGAGGGGACGATTGTTGTGTACCCATGTGCTCAGGATGTACCTCAAGATGACCTACCCTCCACAAGTTCCGGTGTACATACTTGCTATGATTACACGACTCAAATTCCCATCAATAAGCTTCTTGTTGATGAAGGGCTCTATGTCAATATTGCACATGTGAAAATCACTTTAACATTAAAGATTGTCCAAGGTAGGAGCAGTGATGTATCCAGAGGGGAGGCCGGTGTCACCCCCCTCCCTTGAAAAATTCTCTCCCCCCCTAAAATGCCATGTTTTACATATATTATGTTGTTTAAATGACAGTTATGCCACCTTCCCTTTGACTGCTCCCCCCCCCCAATCACAGAAAGAAGTTAAAAAATCTTAAATAAGAGTTTGAGTGATTTGAGTTCATTGCAAACCATACATGAGCTTAAAAACTCCCCCCTGTTCTGAATTTTTAAACGATATAAAGCAGGTGGGAGAATCTAAGCTCATCACACCAAATCTAGTAAAAATATGCATGTATGGTAACATAAACACTCCCCCCTGTTCTGAACTTTTTAACTATACAAAGCAGGTGGGAGAGTTAGAGCTCATCAGACCAAATCTTGGTGAAAGAAATTGCTTATAAGGCCACATGGCACACAAGGAGTTTCGTTTTGACTTGATGCTAAAAATGCTTTGACTCGAGTTACAACAATACCACGTGACTCACGCTTTCGTAATTTAGACGGCATGGAGCTAGTACACGACTATCACGTGATTCAGGCGTGTTAGGTACATGCAGAGAGCAGTTTGGTATTTTTATAAAAGTAGTGTATCAGTGTAGAGACGATCAGTTTTGTTTAGTTGTGATTGTAGAAAGTCTAAAAGGAGTTCACATTTGCGTTCGCAATCTTTAAGCAACAAAAGAACTTCAGAAGAATCTACTTTATCAGAAGAATTTGATGAAAATTTACACCCGTCCATGAGTTCTTCATTCTACATCGAAAAGCTTGATTCAAGCGCTCCGTTGCAAATGAGCGGCTTGAAATTTCATGACGTCAAATGAGCAAAGAATCGCCTCAAGCCTGACTCAGAATACGACAAGTCAGTTAGTAGCTTTTGACAGTAGCTGTTACGACTATAGCTGGGACAGAGTCATGAAAGATACTATAGTAGAAGGTAAGAAATACATAAGGAGGTATATCATTGTAGGTAGAAAAGTAGTTGGAAAGCTAAAGGTGATGATAGGCTTGTATGAAACCAGATTGGGAAATTTTCAACCAGATGGGGAAGGTGTACAATCAGATAGAGGAGGGTGTACAACCAGATGTGGGAGGGTGTACAACCAAATGGCGGAAGAGTTTTTAGTAGAATAGAAGCTATAGGACAGGAGTAGAAATATAAGATTAGAGTTAAATGACTACATACCAAAATATACAGCGATATAAGAAAGTATGTGTTTGTGACAAATAGGAAGTTCTATGACTACACAGGAACGTACACAAGAAGTGGAAGGTATATGTGTGTACGAGTAGATAGAAAATCATACGACTGTGTAAGATAATACACAACAAAAAACATCCAATTCTTATGATCCATTTTTGTAAGCATATCATGGATACATGGAAATACTTCAACTTTTGTTGTTTTAGAGGATAACAATTACGATCAACAAGCCGATACAAACGTGGCTTGTAGAGAAGCTGATACTCAGGTAATATTGACAGCTCACTTCAATTGTATTTATACTCCGAAATTTTGGGAACAGTGTCAAATGGCCGCTTAACAAAGGACGACTGCTTAATACGGTGCTGCTCAATACAGCTTTCTATGTAATCGTTGTGGCAGATTGGGTAGTTGTAGTGGCGGTCGTTGTCCAAATTGAGGTGGTAGTTAGAGTGAAGATGGTTGTTGAGGTTGATCTGGTTGTCATTATGGACATGGTAGTTAATGTAGAGGCTGTAATTACACTGAAGATGAAATGAAAGTTAACGTAGAGATGGTAGTTAAACTGGAGATGGTAGCCGAGGTAGAGATGGTAGTTACACTGAAGATGGTTGTTAAGGTAGAGATGGTAGTTACATTGGAGATGGTAGTTAAGGTAGAGATGGTAGTTACATTGGAGACGGTTGTTAAGGTAGAGATGGTAGTTGCATTGGAGATGGTTGTTAAGGTAGAGATGGTAGTTACATTGGAGATGGTAGTTAAGGTAGAGATGGTAGTTACATTGGAGACGGTAGTTAAGGTAGAGATGGTAGTTACATTGGAGACGGTTGTTAAGGTAGAGATGGTAGTTGCATTGGAGATGGTTGTTAAGGTAGAGATGGTAGTTACATTGGAGATGGTTGTTAAGGTAGAGATGGTAGTTGCATTGGAGATGGTTGTTAAGGTAGAAATGGTAGTTACATTGGAGATGGTTGTTAAGGTAGAGATGGTAGTTACATTGGAGATGGTAGTTGAGCTAGAGATGGTAGTTACACTGGAGATGGTTGTTAAGGTAGAGATGGTAGTTACATTGAAGATGGTAGTTTACAGATGGTATTTACAATTTAGTCAAATCGTGTTTCATAACCAATCAAAATCAGTTAAGTAAGTCTTTTAAAAGCCGTGTATTACAGTAAGAAAAGAAAGCCAAACTATTTTTGGAAAAGAAGTCTGCTTTGTATTATTTAGATTTCAACAGGAACATAAATAGCCCCTTTCCTTCTTTGCTCGCCAATTCAAATTCACAACTCGTTTTAAGCACGTCAAACTACACCACATAAACAACTCCAGGAGGAGAAATTTGCTTGGAGTAAAAATTTTATTCATTGTACTTGATTTCCTATCAATTAGGTCAAGGACGCTGCGTTGCCCGGCAACGAGGAAGGGCCATCCACCAGACATGCTTGTGGCAGCTACTTGAGCGATCGTCACGTGTGTGAAATCATTGTTCACGTGCATAGTGCGTGTGATTTACCATCGAACATGCAGGGACGACCCCCTCAGCCTTACGTCTCATGGTAATAAAACTTATTATATTTATATTTATACATGCGCAGTGATATGTTTTGATTTCCTGCTATCTGATTGGCTGCAGCAGTGATATTCTTTGAGCTCCTGCAATCTGACTGGCTGCAGCAGTGATATTCTTTGATTTCCTGCAATCTGATTGGTTGCAGCAGTGATATTCTTTGATTTCCTGCAATCTGATTGGTTGCAGCAACGGGCGGCTTCTTACGATATCTTGACCTTGGTCGAAAAGTGATAGTTTTTACAGTAAATTTGTTCACAAAGTGAAATTTAGATTTATAAAATTCATTTAAAAGCGATGCAAATTGTTCAAGGAGAAAGCAAAATGTATTCAGATGAAAGTTATCATTTTACTATCCAGACGAAGTAAACTTTGTAGAAAATTAATCCAATTTTAGTCTCGACAAGCCACATCGGCCATTTTACGACGCGAATTTCTTCAATATAAAAATAAAAAAATGGAAATGTTATTAACCGTTTATGTTGCTTCTTGCTCAAAAAATATTTCCCCTTGTTCAGTCGGTCTCAGAAGCGCGCCTCGGAACGCTGTGGTCATCTCTTGTGATATCTCTGTGTTACTCCGTGTTTAGAGAGTATGACTTAGTGATCATCTCTTGTGATATCTCTGTGTTACTCCGTGATTAGAGATTGTGACTTAGTGATCATCTCTTGTGATATCTCTGTGTTACTCCTTGATTAGAGAGTATGACTTAGTGGTCATCTCTTGTGATATCTCTGTGTTACTCCGTGATTAGAGAGTATGACTTAGTGATCATCTCTTGTGATATCTCCGTGTTACTCCGTGATTAGAAAGTATGACTTAGTGATCATCTCTTGTGATATATCTGTGTTACTCCGTGATTAGAGAGTATGACTTAGTGGTCATCTCTTGTGATATCTCTGTTTTACTCCGTGATTAGAGATTATGACTTAGTGATCATCTCTTGTGATATCTCTGTGTTACTCCGTGATTAGAGAGTATGACTTAGTGGTCATCTCTTGTGATATCTCTGTGTTACTCCGTGATTAGAGATTATGACTTAGTGATCATCTCTTGTGATATCTCTGTGTTACTCCGTGATTAGAGAGTATGACTTACTGATCATCTCTTGTGATATCTCTGTGTTACTCCGTGATTAGAGAGTATGACTTAGTGGTCGTCTCTTGTGATATCTCTGTGTTACTCCGTGATTAGAGAGTATGACTTAGTGATCATCTCTTGTGATATCTCTGTGTTACTCCGTGATTAGAGAGTATGACTTAGTGGTCATCTCTTGTGATATCTCTGTGTTACTCCGTGATTAGAGATTATGACTTAGTGATCATCTCTTGGGATATCTCTGTGTTACTCCGTGATTAGAGAGTATGACTTAGTGGTCATCTCTTGTGATATCTCTGTGTTACTCCGTGATTAGAGAGTATGACTTAGTGATCATCTTTGTGATATCTCTGTGTTACTCCGTGATTAGAGAGTATGACTTAGTGATCATCTCTTGTGATATCTCTGTGTTACTCCGTGATTAGAGAGTATGACTTAGTGGTCATCTCTTGTGATATCTCTGTGTTACTCCGTGATTAGAGAGTATGACTTAGTGATCATCTCTTGTGATATCTCTGTGTTACTCTGTGATTAGAGAGTATGACTTAGTGGTCATCTCTTGTGATATCTCTGTGTTACTTCGTGATTAGAGAGTATGACTTAGTGGTCATCTCTTGTGATATCTCTGTGTTACTCCGTGATTAGAGAGTATGACTTAGTGGTCATCTCTTGTGATATCTCTGTGTTACTCCGTGATTAGAGATTATGACTTAGTGATCATCTCTTGTGATATCTCTGTGTTACTCTGTGATTAGAGATTATGACTTAGTGATCATCTCTTGTGATATCTCTGTGTTACTCAGTGATTAGAGATTATGACTTAGTGATCATCTCTTGTGATATCTCTGTGTTACTCCGTGATTAGAGATTATGACTTAGTGGTCATCTCTTGTGATATCTCTGTGTTACTCCGTGATTAGAGAGTATGACTTAGTGGTCATCTCTTGTGATATCTCTGTGTTACTCCTTGTTTAGAGAGTATGACTTAGTGATCATGTCTCGTGATATCTTTGTGTTATTCCGTGATTAGAGAGTATGACTTACTGATCATCTCTTGTGATATCTCTGTGTTACTCCGTGATTAGAGAGACTTAGTGGTCATCTCTTGTGATATTTCTATGTTACTCTGTGATTAGAGAGTATGACTTAGTGGTCATCTCTTGTGATATCTCTGTGTTACTTCGTGATTAGAAAGTATGACTTAGTGATCATCTCTTGTGATATCTCTGTGTTACTCCGTGATTAGAGAGTATGACTTAGTGGTCATCTCTTGTGATATCTCTGTGTTACTTCGTGATTAGAGAGTATGACTTAGTGGTCATCTCTTGTGATATCTCTGTGTTACTCCGTGATTAGAGAGTATGACTTAGTGGTCATCTCTTGTGATATCTCTGTGTTACTCCGTGATTAGAGATTATGACTTAGTGATCATCTCTTGTGATATCTCTGTGTTACTCTGTGATTAGAGATTATGACTTAGTGATCATCTCTTGTGATATCTCTGTGTTACTCCGTGATTAGAGATTATGACTTAGTGATCATCTCTTGTGATATCTCTGTGTTACTCCGTGATTAGAGATTATGACTTAGTGGTCATCTCTTGTGATATCTCTGTGTTACTCCGTGATTAGAGAGTATGACTTAGTGGTCATCTCTTGTGATATCTCTGTGTTACTCCTTGTTTAGAGTATGACTTAGTGATCATGTCTCGTGATATCTTTGTGTTATTCCGTGATTAGAGAGTATGACTTACTGATCATCTCTTGTGATATCTCTGTGTTACTCCGTGATTAGAGAGTATGACTTAGTGGTCATCTCTTGTGATATTTCTATGTTACTCTGTGATTAGAGAGTATGACTTAGTGGTCATCTCTTGTGATATCTCTGTGTTACTTCGTGATTAGAAAGTATGACTTAGTGATCATCTCTTGTGATATCTCTGTGTTACTCTGTGATTAGAGATTATGACTTAGTGATCATCTCTTGTGATATCTCTGTGTTACTCCGTGATTAGAGATTATGACTTAGTGATCATCTCTTGTGATATCTCTGTGTTACTCCGTGATTAGAGATTATGACTTAGTGGTCATCTCTTGTGATATCTCTGTGTTACTCCGTGATTAGAGAGTATGACTTAGTGGTCATCTCTTGTGATATCTCTGTGTTACTCCTTGTTTAGAGAGTATGACTTAGTGATCATGTCTCGTGATATCTTTGTGTTATTCCGTGATTAGAGAGTATGACTTAGTGGTCATCTCTTGTGATATCTCTGTGTTACTCCGTGATTAGAGAGTATGACTTAGTGGTCATCTCTTGTGATATTTCTATGTTACTCTGTGATTAGAGAGTATGACTTAGTGGTCATCTCTTGTGATATCTCTGTGTTACTTCGTGATTAGAAAGTATGACTTAGTGATCATCTCTTGTGATATCTCTGTGTTACTTCGTGATTAGAGAGTATGACTTAGTGGTCATCTCTTGTGATATCTCTGTGTTACTCCGTGATTAGAGAGTATGACTTAGTGGTCATCTCTTGTGATATCTCTGTGTTACTCCGTGATTAGAGATTATGACTTAGTGATCATCTCTTGTGATATCTCTGTGTTACTCTGTGATTAGAGATTATGACTTAGTGATCATCTCTTGTGATATCTCTGTGTTACTCCGTGATTAGAGATTATGACTTAGTGATCATCTCTTGTGATATCTCTGTGTTTCTCCGTGATTAGAGATTATGACTTAGTGGTCATCTCTTGTGATATCTCTGTGTTACTCCGTGATTAGAGAGTATGACTTAGTGGTCATCTCTTGTGATATCTCTGTGTTACTCCTTGTTTAGAGAGTATGACTTAGTGATCATGTCTCGTGATATCTTTGTGTTATTCCGTGATTAGAGAGTATGACTTACTGATCATCTCTTGTGATATCTCTGTGTTACTCCGTGATTAGAGAGTATGACTTAGTGGTCATCTCTTGTGATATTTCTATGTTACTCTGTGATTAGAGAGTATGACTTAGTGGTCATCTCTTGTGATATCTCTGTGTTACTTCGTGATTAGAAAGTATGACTTAGTGATCATCTCTTGTGATATCTCTGTGTTACTCCGTGATTAGAGAGTATGACTTAGTGGTCATCTCTTGTGATATCTCTGTGTTACTCCGTGATTAGAGAGTATGACTTAGTGGTCATCTCTTGTGATATCTCTGTGTTACTCCGTGATTAGAGAGTATGACTTAGTGGTCATCTCTTGTGATATCTTTGTGTTACTCCGTGTTTAGAGAGTATGACTTAGTGATCATGTCTTGTGATATCTCTGTGTTATTCCGTGATTAGAGATTGTGACTTAGTGGTCATCTCTTGTGATATCTCTGTGTTACTCCGTGATTAGAGAGTATGACTTAGTGATCATCTCTTGTGATATTTCTATGTTACTCTGTGATTAGAGAGTATAACTTAGTGGTCATCTCTTGTGATATCTCTGTGTTACTCCGTGATTAGAGAGTATGACTTAGTGATCATCTCTTGTGATATTTCTATGTTACTCTGTGATTAGAGAGTATAACTTAGTGGTCATCTCTTGTGATATCTCTGTGTTACTCCGTGATTAGAGAGTATGACTTAGTGATCATCTCTTGTGATATCTCTGTGTTACTCCGTGATTAGAGAGTATGACTTACTGATCATCTCTTGTGATATCTCTGTGTTACTCCGTGATTAGAGATTATGACTTACTGATCATCTCTTGTGATATCTCTGTGTTACTCCGTGATTAGAGATTATGACTTACTGATCATCTCTTGTGATATCTCTGTGTTACTCTGTGATTAGAGATTATGACTTAGTGATCATCTCTTCTGATATCTCTGTGTTACTCCGTGATTAGAGATTATGACTCAGTAGTCAGAACGTAATTCTCCATTTTCTTTCTTTACTCAGCAAAATGAAGAATGAATCAACGAACGGCATTCAAAACCTATCAACGCATTGTACTCAACACCCGACATATTCTCCATGCTGGGACCAGCTTGTAGTCGTCAAAACATCTCAAGATGAAATTTCTCGTCAAGGTGATTAACTTGTAAAGCGATTTGTGGTTTGTTTCTTATTTACAGAGCCGCCTGTAGATTGCGAGAGGGGGGGGAGGGGTGTAGGGGAGTGTTGTTTTGGACGCTGACCTTTAATATCAACATTACGGATTATTCTATTCAATCATTTGACTTTTAAATTGCATATTTCTGTCTTTTCATCGCAGTTTTAGTAATCAACATCACTGATTATCTCAGTCAATCATTGATAACCAACTATTGTCTACAACTGCTACCGTTTGAACCATTTCGTCCCTATCATCTGGAGCTCGAGCAAGTACGTAAATCGACTTTATTCTGCATGATTCGTGTGATGCGAACTCTCCCTGAACTTGGTGACTAATCCAGCGAATTTATCACTTAAAATATGAACAATGTTAAAATCAATGACCTAGAACCCAGTCTACGAGATATCTAACTCTGCCAAAATTCTACAGTTACAAGTGAGGCAAGCCGCCATCTTGAAAGGTGGCAAAACTGACGTTATTTACGGCAAATTTCGTCTTTTCCTGAGTTGATATACAGTTGCAAAGTTGTTGGTCTTGGTTTGATGCTTAAAATGATCGATATGATTGTTTTTTAAACTTTTTAAACTTGTTTTTCCTTTTTTAAAAAACAAAAGCTTTTGTCTTAAAAACGTCTTTGTGTTCATTTGAGCTTCGAGCATGCGCACTATGAAACATGTCAAAATTTCTCTATTTTCAAGACGGAAGGTGAAAGCAAAGCGAAATTATTCATAACACTGTTAGTGAAACTTGACGAACTAAATCCGCCATCCTTGGCATCGACGATATTTGGGTTAGAGGTAAGTTTTTGTTTACTTATGAAAAGTTCGTACAAGACATAAATTCCCTTCTCCTTGATCTTTTCACGCTTTCTTATACAGAGTTTAGAAACTTTATACATTATATTCAATCAATGTTCTATAATTACTTATGAAAAGTTCGTACAAGACATAAATTCCCTTCTCCTTGATCTTTTAACGCTTTCTTATACAGAGTTTAGAAACTTTATACATTATATTCAATCAATGTTCTATAATTACTTATGAAAAGTTCGTACAAGAGATAAATTTCCTTTCCCCTTGATCTTTTCACTCTTTCTTATACAGAGTTTAGAAACTTTATACATTATATTCAATCAATGTTCTATAATTACTTATGAAAAGTTCGTACAAGAGATAAATTCCCTTCTCCTTGATCTTTTCACTCTTTCTTATACAGAGTTTAGAAACTTTATACATTATATTCATTCAATGTTCTATAATTACTTATGAAAACTTCGTACAAGAGATAAATTCCCTTCTCCTTGACCTTTTCACGCTGTCTTATACAGAGTTTAGAAACTTTGTACATTATATTCAATCAATGTTCTATAATTACTTACGAAAAGTTCGTACAAGAGATAAATTCCCTTTCTCCTTGATCTTTTCACGATCTCTTATACAGAGTTTACAAACTTTATACATTATATTCAATCAATGTTCTATAATTACTTATGAAAAGTTCGTACAAGAGATAAATTCCCTTCTCCTTGATCTTTTAACGCTTTCTTATACAGAGTTTAGAAACTTTATAAGTTATATTCAATCAATGTTCTATAATTACTTATGAAAAGTTCGTACAAGAGATAAATTCCCTTCTCCTTGATCTTTTCACGCTCTCTTATACAGAGTTTAGAAACTTTATAAGTTATATTCAATCAATGTTCTATAATTACTTATGAAAAGTTCGTACAAGAGATAAATTCCCTTCTCCTTGATCTTTTAACGCTTTCTTATACAGAGTTTACAAACTTTGTACATTATATTCAATCAATGTTCTATAATTACTTATGAAAAGTTCGTACAAGAAATAAATTCCCTTCTCCTTGATCTTTTCACTCTTTCTTATACAGAGTTTAGAAACTTTATACATTATATTCAATCAATGTTCTATAATTACTTATGAAAAGTTCGTACAAGAGATAAATTCCCTTTCTCCTTGATCTTTTAACGCTTTCTTATACAGAGTTTACAAACTTTGTACATTATATTCAATCAATGTTCTATAATTACTTATGAAAAGTTCGTACAAGAGATAAATTCCCTTCCCCTTGATCTTTTCACGCTTTCTTATACAGAGTTTAGAAACTTTATACATTATATTCAATCAATGTTCTATAATTACTTATGAAAAGTTCGTACAAGAGATAAATTCCCTCTCCCCTTGATCTTTTAACGCTTTCTTATACAGAGTTTAGAAACTTTGTACATTATATGCAATCAATGTTCTATAATTACTTATGAAAAGTTCGTACAAGAGATAAATTCCCTTCTCCTTGACTTTTCACACTTTCTTATACAGAGTTTAGAAACTTTATATATTATATTCAATCAATGTTCTATAATTACTTATGAAAAGTTCGTACAAGAGATAAATTCCCTCTCCCCTTGATCTTTTCACGCTTTCTTATACAGAGTTTACAAACTTTAAACATTATATTCAATCAATGTTCTATAATTACTTATGAAAAGTTCGTACAAGAGATAAATTCCCTTCTCCTTGATCTTTTCACTCTTTCTTATACAGAGTTTACAAACTTTATACATTATATTCAATCAATGTTCTATAATTACTTACGAAAAGTTCATACAAGAGATAAATTCCCTCTCCCCTTGACCTTTTCACGCTTTGTTATACAGAGTTTACAAACTTTATACATTGTATTCAATCAATGTTCTATTATACCAGGTCGTTTTAAGAAAATTCTCGACGACTGTTGGTGAAAAGTTCTCACATCCTCTTATTGCGTCCATCGTGATTGTGAATGACTCACGTCAATATCGGTGCGTTTATAGTTTTTTTACGAAAGGGGAATTTGGGGGTGATAGGATGACCTAGTCTGCGGTTGGAGGGGGGTTCGGAGGATGATACAGTGATTTATCTTGTCATATAGGGATAGTCGGTAGACCTTGAAATGATAGGGTGATCTAGGAGTGTTGATAGGATGATCTAGGAGTGTTGATAGGGTGATCTAGGAGTGTTGATAGGGTGATCTAGGAATGTTGATAGGATGATGTAGGAGTGATCTAGGAATGTTCATAGGGTGATCTAAGAGTGATCTAAGAGTGTTTGGTGGTTATAGAAATCAAATATGACATAAGAAGGGATATGGTGATTTGGGTGTTAGTAAGGTTCTCTCCGAGTTGATGAAGTTTGCTTGAGGTCGATATGGTTATCTATGGGGTGATAAGGTGATCTAGAGTGTGATAAGATGATCTAGGTGGTAAAATGGTGATCTAGAAGGAGATAATGTGATAAGTGATATAGGTGGTGATAATGGGGTTTTGGGGGAAATAAGGTGATCTAAGCGTGATAAAATGATCTAGGGGTGATAAAGGTATCTAAGGGGAGATAAGGTAATATAAGTGGTTATAACGTGATATAGGTGGTGGTAATGTAATGATCTAGGGGTGATAAAGGTATCTAAGGGGTGATAATGTAATATAAGTGGTTATAAAGTGATATAGGGGGTGATATGGTGATTTAAGGGATGAGTAGTGGAAAAGTGTTTTGCAAATGAAATGAAAGTTCAGAGAGACTATGTACAGAAACATATAACAAGAATTTTGTAATAAACCTGGGCTCTTTCATACCACGAGAATATATTTACAGAATTTCTCTCTAGATTTTCATACATACGTGTTCGAAGAACGCTCCAGATTTTCCAATATACGTTGAACAAAGCTTTTAGCATGAAATAGCCTTGTGAAGAAAGCAATTTTAAGATGACGTTAGGGGTTATATGATACACTAAGGGTTAGTAAGGTATTCTAGTTGATGAGAGGTGGGTTAACGTAGTTTGTGTCTAATGGTATTTCATTACAGAATGAGGTACGTAAATAATGGTCAGGTCGATCAAGGTTTTCAAGCGATGAAGTTAAAAGTTCCATTTGTGGATATCCCAAAATCTGCCAAGGATGATGTTCAATGTAGGATACCTCAGGTTGAAATATGGAAGTCTTTCAACTGAAAGACTTCTTTAATCAATAACTACGCACGATGGTTGTAAAGTTTGATTTGCAAGTAAAATTTAGTATTACACAATTGCATATCTTTAATAATGTTGTTGGTCGAAGAATATTTAGATATAAAGGACATTTTTACTGTCCTGTTGTAGCTCATTTGTCTTCATTACTCTCCTACAGTAGCTCATTTAGCTTCATTACTCTCCTACAGTAGCTCATTTGGCTTCATTACTCTCCTACAGTAGCTCATTTGGCTTCATTACTCTCCTACAGTAGTTCATTTGGCTTCATTACTCTCCTACAGTAGCTCATTTAGCTTCATTACTCTCCTACAGTAGCCCATTTGGCTTCATTACTCTCCTACAGTAGTTCATTTAGCTTGATTACTCTCCTACAGTAGCTCATTTGTCTTCATTACTCTCCTACAGTAGCTCATTTGGCTTCATTACTCTCCTACAGTAGCTCATTTGGCTTCATTACTCTCCTACAGTAGCTCATTTGGCTTCATTACTCTCCTACAGTAGCTCATTTGGCTTCATTACTCTCCTACAGTAGCTCATTTAGCTTCATTACTCTCCTACAGTAGCTCATTTGGCTTCATTACTCTCCTACAGTAGCTCATTTGGCTTCATTACTCTCACAGTAGCTCATTTGGCTTCATTACTCTCCAGTAGCTCATTTGGCTTCATTACTCTCCTCCATTAGCTCATTTATTTCATTACTTCCTTCCATTAGCTCATTTCTTCATTACTCCCCAGTAGCTCATTTGCTTCATTACTCCCCTACAGTAGCTCATTTCATTCTCCTCCTGTAGCTCATTTCCTTCATTACTCCCTACAGTAGCTCATTTACCTTCATTACTCTCCTACAGTAGTTCATTTACTTCATTACTCCTACAGTAGCTCATTTGGCTTCATTACTCTCCTACAGTAGTTCATTTGGCTTCATTACTCTCCTACAGTAGCTCATTTGGCTTCATTACTCTCCTACAGTAGCTCATTTGTTCATTACTCTCCTACATTTGCTCATTTCTCCTTCATTACCTCCTACAGTAGCTCATTTGCTTTATCTCCTACAGTAGCTCATTTGCTTCATTACTCCTCCAGTAGCTCATTTAGCTTCATTACTCTCCTACAGTAGCTCATTTACTTCATTACTCTCCTACAGTAGCTCATTTACCTTCATTACTCCCTACAGTAGCTCATTTGGCTTCATTACTCCTACAGTAGCTCATTTGGCTTCATTACTCTCCTACAGTAGTTCATTTGCTTCATTACTCTCCTCAGTAGCTCATTTAGCTTCATTACTCTCCTACAGTAGCTCATTTAGCTTCATTACTCTCCTACAGTAGCTCATTTAGCTTCATTACTCTCCTACAGTAGCTCATTTGGCTTTTACTCCCCTACAGTAGCTCATTTGGCTTTTACTCTCCTACAGTAGCTCATTTGGCTTCATTACTCTCCTACAGTAGCTCATTTAGCTTCATTACTCTGCTACAGTAGCTCATTTAGCTTCATTACTCTCCTACAGTAGCTCATTTGGCTTCATTGCTCTCCTACAGTAGCTTATTTGGCTTCATTACTCTCCTACAGTAGCTCATTTTCCTCAATAGAACAAATTTTTTAAAACCCAATGCCAGTGAAAGAAAACTATATCCGTTTATCTGTTGCATGTTTATCAGAGAATAGCTTTTCGTTTATTTATGCAGCATAAATGCAGCATAATTTATTGTAATTTATTAATTCTTAAGATGTTTCAGCTTTAACGATGATAAATATACGACTTGACTATTCATCGTTTTAGGTAACCTTTACTTCAAGTTTATCATCAGATCTACCTAAATGGAATCAAACGTTCTTCTTCTCCGTCGATGATTTATCGTTGTTTGCCCCGTCATCAGCATTGGTTATCGAATATTTTAATGCTTTGCAGGGTAATAACTTTCATTCACATATATTACATTTATTCCCTTGATAATAGTTACATTAACAATGTTTTTGGAAATCTTTAGTTGTTAGTTTTGGTCAATGGAGACCTCGCTCACCTATTGGTTACTCTATCCTCGATCTCGATGAGCAGTTACGTCACACATTGGAGAATGAAAGGGCGAGCATGGGAGTGTGTGTGAACAATATCTCAGTATATGTAAGTACTACATTGGATTGTATTGGATTGACTTGGTTCGTTTGTGTAGTATTGTATACTATTGTATAGTAATTAATTTTATTGTATTGTATGGTATTGCATGGTATTGTATTGTATTGCATTGTATATATATGTTATTTACCGGGTGGGAGGTCCGTACGGAAAAATTGAAGGCCTCGGGCCGCTTTTGAGGCCGAGTGAAAATATTTTTTTAAGTACGGACTGAACTAAACGGTAAATAACATGTTTATTTTTTTTATTTTTATTATGAAGAAATTCGCGTTGTAAAATGGCCGATGGCCCGATGCAACTTGATGTTGAGACTAAAATTTGATTGTTTTCTACAAACTTCGCTTCGTCTGGAGAGTAAAATTCATTCTTGCTGTGATAAATTTCATCTGAATACACTTTGCTTTCTCGTAAAACAATTTACATCGCTTTCAAATCAATTTATAAATTTACATTTCACTTCGTAAAAAAAATATGTTGAGAACAAAATTGGATTGTTTTCTACAAACTTTGCTTCGTCTGGAGAGTAAAATTCACTCTGGCTATGATAACTTTCATCCGAATACACTTTGACCACTCGTTCAACAGTTTACATCGCTTTTAATTCAATTTTAAAAACTTACATTTCACTTTGCAAACGAAAACATTGCAAAAAAATTTCGCTTCTGCGATATCGTAAAAAGCCGCCCGCTCAGGCAACCAATCAAATTGCTGGAAATCAAAAAATATCGCTTTGGACCGCTAAATAAAAAATAATGTATTGTATTGTATTGTATTGTATTGTATTGTATTGTATTGTATTGTATTGTATTGTATTGGATTGGATTGGATTGGATTAGATTGGATTGTATTGGATTGGATTGGATTAAATTTTATTTTATTGGATTAGATGATTTTGTTGTTTTGCATGATTTTGTTGCATTGCAATGATTCTGTGTTTATAATATGTTTCCTTTAGGATTCGTCTTTACAGGATCAAAATGGAAGCACACCAACTGTTGACGTTATTTTGAGATTAATTTCTAGCAAAGCAAGTATAATCGTATTTTATCAACTGATATGGGAACTGTTATAATGAGCAAGGTTTACTTTTGGTTAACATAAATTCTTTCAATGATATAATGTTTTTATTATATTTTATTATCCTCCTCTGTATTATGTGTTCATCTGACAGTTCTCAAATCGTGTTTAGCGTCCAGACCCCATGATTTCAGAAGCGCATTTTCATATTTTGCCCGTCGTTGACATGGCAACAAAGTGCTCAACATCGCCTCTAAAAAGATCTGCTGAACCTTTGAATCATGTTCCCCGACCATTTCCGGTGATGCACGAACGCAATCCGTTAAAGTCCGATGCAGTTGATTCCACAACATTTTCAGTGATGGAAAGTCAAACAAAGGTTGGTTGCTTCCTCCGTCTCCCGCCATCTTTTGTTCGTGTCTTTGCTTTCAGCAAGTATTTTCCCATTACTTTAGGAGCTTGAAAAACATCGCTTTGCCATGAAGAAGATGGCGGATGACATACTGAAATTGAAGAGCGAGGCATCGCGGTTGCAGGTCAAACTTTTATTTTTATCGAGGACCTAAAATTTTTTTCACTTTTTATGTGTTCGTTTTGTCTCTCTTTCGAAATCCGTTTCGTCAGAAAGTTTCACACTACCAAAACCTGTAGTTCTTCTTCATTCCTCGTCAAATATGGACTCCTTTTAGTCAACATACTTGTCTTTCATTTTGATGTGCTTATAAAATATTAACAAATAAGTCTCGCGGCAATGCTTTGCGCGCTCGGCTCACTGATATGAATATTTGACTGGATAACGCATCTCTTGCGACAATTGAAGCCGGAAGATCGATCATTTGCTACTGGCTTCAAGGGGGGGTATAGGTCCCACTTTACTATATTTTTGTATTACAAAATCACAGTTTTCGCGTTTTTATTAGAGTAAAACTGGTAGAGTTTTCCTCTACATGTCATACATATCAGTGCCATAGATAGCCATTTTTCTCGGGTCACCCAAAAATGGCGGCATTTTAGGCAGTTAGTGAAGCAACACATCTACTTCTACCCAGTGCTGTAGAAGTGGGGGAGGAGCCCCCTTCTACCTTAAAAATGGGTAATTTTTCATAATTTCATGGCTTCAGCTTCGTCAAGAGAGTCCCCTCTGATAAATTTAGTTCTACAGCACTGCTTCCACCAACTCTTCTCCATCAACGCCAAAGTGTGGTAGCTCAAGAAATGAAGAAGAAATAACGAGATTAAAGTTAAAAAAAATTTATTTCACATTTGGTTGTTCAGAATACAATCCATAAACTCTTTATCTAATCTCAGAAGTTCAATAATACCAGATATTAACACAAGCGCGAAAACCATTACCACGAGACTCATTCTTCAATGTTTATCTATTCCTTTTCAATATTTCACATTTTTGCTTCATTTTTTGCTTTAGTTTCTCATGTGTGTATTAACCCTGAATCTCGTTATTTTTATCTTTCTTCTAATGCGGTTTGTCTTAAAAGCTCGACTTAATCTCTGCCACTTGTTTCGTTACTTTCGCGTCCATTTCTTTAGTTTCAACATTTTTATTTCAATGGTTAGTTTAACTTGCAGGCAGCCAATAGCAGACTTCGTTTGCAACTCGAGAATGACCATTTAGCCAATCACACGATTCCCTTTTCTGGCCAGCTGGAGGGCACGACTCATGGAGAGCTTGTCCAGAGAATAGGTACATACAAAGAATGGATTTGTGGGTGTTTTTGTGGCTGTTAACTTAAGAGTTTGATTTCTTGAAGCGAGTTGCTCCAGCTAGCCTGTTAGAAAAACGCTTAATATCAAGGAGTTCGAGTCATTCGTACCCAGTTCTCTACTCGGTCAACGTGAGCAACTCACTTCAGATAAACCATATACTCAGTATGTATTTTTAAAATCGTGGCCAGAGATTTGCCAGGCGGAAAGCGAATTTTCAATATGAACATAATAGCCCAACATAATACTTTTAAAAAAAGCCATCACAATAATAAAATAGAGAAGGATTTATTAATAACGTTTCGTCTTTAACTTAAGACATCTTCAGATTAATTGAGTTAATTCATATACATGTATTTTTGTTCACTAAAGTCTTCTGTCAATGTTAGTGATCATTAAAGGCAGTCTTGACGAACAAACTGTAATAAACAGAGAACTAAGATTGGAGATTCGAAGTCTACAAAATCAAATTATAAAGGTGCAACAGTATGGCGCTTTGAATTTCTGAAGCTAATGTTGTTTATTGTTTTTTGTACTTCTGCTTCAGAAAAACGAGAAAGAGAAGGAATTTTATAAGTTACAAGAGGCTCATAAGAATCAACAAATGTTGTTGCATAAATTACAGGTACTTTGAATTGATAACATCTGTATGTTTTTGTCAATTTTTTTTTGATTTTTTTTCTCATTTGATGGTTTTGTTCATCTCATACTTATGGTCAGGAAAAACTACGAAGGACCAAGACTGTCGAAGAAACGTGCAAACGCCAAGAGAAGGTAAATAATGTTGTTTATGTTTATGTTGTTCCTAATTATCATTTCGACTTACTTAGTTCCCCTCGTAGTCATTCTTCTCACTTCGATCCCTCGTTATCATTTCTTCTCACTTAGATCCCTCGTTATCATTTCTTCTCACTTAGATCCCTCGTTATCATTTCTTCTCACTTAGATTTCTTCATTTCATTTCTTTCCACCGATCCCTCCATTTCGACCCCTCCATTCCTTCCATTCTTTCTGACCCCGTTATCATTTCTCAGATCCCTCGTTATCATTTCTTCTCCTTAGATCCCTCGTCCATTTCTTTCAAGACCCCTCGTTATCATTTCTTCTCCTTAGATCCCTCGTTATCATTTTTTCTCACTTAGATCCCTCGTTATCATTTCTTCTCCTTAGATCCCTCGTTATCATTTTTCTCTTAGATCCCTCGTTTATTTATCATTTTCCAATCATTTCTTCTCATTTCCCTTTATCATTTCTTAGATCCCTCCATTTCTCCTTTCCCCCTCCATTTCATTCCTTTCCTTCTCCATCCTTAGATCCTTATCATTTCTCCCTTATCATTTCTTCTCGATCCCTTATCATTTTTCCATTGATTGATCGTTATCATTTCTTTAGATCTCTCGTTATCATTTCTTCTCCGATCCCTCGTTATCATTTCACTTATCCCTCGTTATCATTAGATCCCTCGTTATCATTTCTTCTCATTTGATCATTTATTCCTTATCATTTAGATCCCTTATCATTTCTTCTATTCCCCTCGTTATCATTTCTTCTCTTATTTCTTCTCGATCCCTCGTTATCATTTCTTCTCACTTAGATCCCTCGTTATCATTTCTTCTCACTTAGATCCCTCGTTATCATTTCTTCTCACTTAGATCCCTCGTTATCATTTCTTCTCACTTAGATCCCTCGTTATCATTTCTTCTAATTTAGACCCCTCGTTATCATTTCTTCTCACTTAGATCCCTCGTTATCATTTCTTCTTACTTAGATCCCTCGTTATTTTTGGTCGTAAATGCATTCAACACGTAAAAATTTATACGTCTGAAACAACTTCTATTGACTAGCTAGCTCTTTAGCTACAGAAACGTGAATAGGTCTTAGTTGATGGCGAACCAATAAGGATCTAGTAGAATAGAAAGGACCACAATCAACCGTGAACACCGAACAGTAACTTACTTATGTTGTACTTCATTATCCCCCGTTATCATTCATGAAAATCACGTGATGATTTCAGGTGATATTACGACTTGAAGATCTTTTGGCCAACTCTAAGATGAAGGATAAAGATAAGAAAAGTACTGGCAAGTTGATTACTACCTGTACACCACAAGGTTACATTGTACATATTTTTCATCCATCCTTCTGTCGAACGGGCTCTATTTATGGACTGGATCTAGCATTTCTGCAATGGCGTTGTCAGTCCGAAATTTTTCGTCCCGTCTAAATATCAGATTATTATTCATTTCTTAACAAATATTTAATTTGAATTTCACTAGTAAAGTCGAGATACGACGCAGGTCAACCGTACTTTTTCGGTCTATCAAATCTTATCTTTTAATTTCGGTATTGTCAAGCGTGATTTCCATGCGAAGCAGTTTTTTCTCTAGTTTATTTCGTGCATATTTTGTTATGAATTAGAAGATCAAGTAAAAACAGCAGAGGAAACGCTATTAGACGAAAACAAGAGGTTGAGAACTTTGGTGTCAAGCTATGAGGTATCAAATTAAAAGTTTAACTTGTGATGATTTTGAGTGGAAATTTTGTGAATTTTGCTTGTGGATGAAGTAATTATCAACGGATCAACTGAGTTGGGGAAAGTTTGTGTGTAGATGGTTGTGCGACTAGTTGGACATTTATAAACCACGTTAGAGAAATTATGTACAATCCTGGATGACTTATTACCATTTGCGTTCAACAGGTAACTGTCCCGAATTTTTCGCGTTTGTATACGTTTCAAACGTCACGTTTGTCAGACGAAACGTCGGGTTTCAACTGGTAAACATTACGTTTGTTCAAATCGCGGATTTCTAAGTTTTGTAACAGCTCTTTCTTATATTACATGGTCAATTATCAAACTTTGCGAATCGCTTAAGGTATACAGATGTAATTTTCAGTTACTACAGCATTTTATCATTGTAAAATCGTATAAACATGTTAATCACATGACCAAAACCTGTTCAAAATGCTCCTCAAACGTTGCACATTCTTGAGCAAACGTTACGTTTCTAATTTGAAACCCGACGTTTCGTCTGACAAACGTGACGTTTGAAACGTAAACAAACGCGAAAAATTCGGAACAGTTACCAGTTGAACGCAAATGGTAATATTTTCAATGTTGACGTCTTTCATTGTGTATTCAGAAAACAAACAAGACTGTTAAAGACATGGAAAAACTTCAGATGCACGAAAAACTACGAGTAGCCGAGAGCAGAGTTTCTGCCCTTGAAAAAGAATTATTGGATAATGCAAGGAAATGGGCGAGGGATAAAGCAGAATTACAGGTTTTCGTAGTATTAAAAGGGATCTCGATAGGATAAAGAGGGACAATAAAAATTGAATTGAAATGAAATATCGTTGAATTTATGGAATTCAGTTGAAATTTGAAACACGATGATAACTTTTTCTACGTAACTGACGATGTTCACTTTTCTAGCTGAAGTTAAGTGAGAACCATCGTAGTCATCGCGACTCAAGTCTGTGGCAACACCCAAATCATTTGCAAGAGAATTATCGTCTCTTTGAGCGGGTCAGTCTTCATAGCATTAGCGGATCGAACGTTGGTCAAAATAAATTATAGCTGCTTAATTTTAAATTCAAATTAATTTCACAAAAACACTATTGGTTTCAGTTGTCTTTAAGGGGCTTAGAAATGTAAATATATTCCAAAATGTGCTGCAGTAATTTATTTTGTTGCACCCTAGATCCGCCCCTTCCCCCCCTTAGAGTTCATGTCTAGCTACGTCACTGGGTATAGACTATATATAGACTGTAAAGATAGATCGTTTGATCTCTTGAACATATTAGACACTATTGCAATACATACAAGATACTATAGGCTTAAATACACCAAGGTAATCTAAGAACTTACTAATCATGTTTTCAAGACTGAATCTAGCATGTTTCCATGTTATAATATAAAACACATTCGACATAAAATATATTGTAGGATAATGTACTATGTTGAGCCAGCAAACTTGCTGGACTGTAAAATCACCTATATGACCATTTGACCATTCTGTAAACAACATAATAATATGAATCCTGACACGGTCTTTATACGCACGTGATAAACATGTGACTTGGACGAGATTTGAACTCACACCTTCTGGAATACTAGTTCGCCGCTTTACCTGCTGAGCTGCCAAGCCAATAGCTCAACAGGTAGAGCGGCGGAGAGTAGATTATACCGAAGGTGCGAGTTCAAATCTCGTCAAAGTCACATGATTTTCATGGGCCTATAATGACGTTGTCAGAATTTATGATGTTTCTTTGATGATGCCTTTGAAATAAGGTATAAACAACACGAACAGAAATTTTTGGACTCTTCACGCACTCATAACTTCATCGATACAACGAATAAAATGACATGTAAATTTCCAGCTAATGTGGTTAATTTGTATACTTGGTTTGGTAATTTTTGACTATCATGTTAATTGTTATTTACTGTAGACACCACCTGACTCGCTTCTAAATGACTCAGGAATGGCTTCGCCAAAGCTCAATCCTTTGTCCAGGAAATAACTAGGCTTTACTTTGCCGACAGATGGTCAACATCCTTGGTAGAGTGAGTCGCAAAATATGTTTATTGTACGTGAGAAAAGTGACCGATCTCGGAAATTGTCTTATAGGTTTGCCGATTTCCTCAGCGAGAACTTTGTTATATTTGTATAAAACCGGGATATGCATATATGGTTGAACATATTTTATATAGAATTGTACATCTTTTATATATTATTGCATGTATATTTATGTATTTTATGAAAATATATTTCGATAAAAAACTCCCGCTGGTGATCTAATTATATGTCGACATTACAATAAAGGTCTTGTGGTTTTTAATACCTCACGAATCACTCGTTACCTACGCGATATTCGACACGATTTGACCCTTTTAAAGCATCTAAAGACGGCAACTCAAAACACAACTTTACATTGTGAATACTTCCCTTATTCCAAGTAAACCGTTTGGCGTAAAATGTTCGTAAACAAGTGACGTGTTCCAGTCAAATTGTGGCAAAATATTTCACGCATATTTCATAGTAACTTCCTCTTTTGATTTGCTACAAACTTGTTTTCGTGGGTCGCATATCCTATTGTTATGGTAATCGTAATAGCTTGCCGTTGCAAATTTTCGGCGATTTTTTGAGCGCATGCGTCGTACGTGACTTTTGAAGATTTACATTTACAAAACGCGGTGTTTACAGAAATAAGCGAAATTGGCGATAACTTTTTGGCTTTTTACGCCTTGTTGTTGGCCGAAACGGTAAGGTAATGATATATTTACGTCCTGAATATTGTGTAGAGTAAGTATAGCATAGTTTTTCGCCGATTTTCGTTGATAAAAACGAAAACAAATCAATTCGCATTCCATTCGTCTTTAAGAGCAAACGCTTGACCAGTCGTCAGCAAAAATGTGTCTGCATGTATAATTATATTTTGTGTCTTCTTCTCGTTTTATTTGCCTCATTAATTTGATAAATACTTAGTTGCATGTGTCTTGCAACGGATACTATGCTTTTGGAGTTGTTATGTTGTCAAAATTGTTTGAAAATAGCACTGGTTAAAGCATTGAAGTGAACATACCTCTTTAATGTAGTCGCGAGTTTTTGTTAACAAAAACTCCAGCGCTATTAATACCGCCTATCGCGAAAAAATTTCGTGCTTTTGAGCTATTTTTGAACCCAAAGAATACAGCGAATATTTGAAACCTTTAAGGCAATGGCAATAGCACAATCTAATGATCTTATTCTATGAAATCAAGCTAAATTTCTTTCAAAATACCGCGTTAAATGTTGAGGTTAATTTAATATTCCGGTTTCAACTCACGTGTTCATAGGGCAAAATAACGTTGAAATATGCAACAACAAGTTTGTTTTTCTTTGCCAAAATTACTATGCTTTGAATGATATAAAGCTCGCGGATTATAACATGTACAATGCGGTGAAACAAATTCGGGAATTTGCTAGCAAATATGCGATATATTTAGACATGATTATAATAGAAAGTGTCAGGCGTCTAAAGCTTTTTGTTTTTCCAACCACATGCGGAGTTTGAATGAAGTGGAACGTGAATTATGATTGTATGCTGATTCTTGTATTGTCCTTATACGAAGGCATAATCACTAAACATTTTTTGTTTGAAAATTCATAGCGCTTAAACTGAGTTCACCAGTCATCATGGATGAGATGTTTGGTGTTCAACCAGTATCCTGCCCAAATTATGATCAGGTCATGAAAAGTCCAATTGGTAATCCACCTCCTTTGTTGGAATCCGTTGAAAGGTCTGGAGTTCCTGCCATCTCGTTTAATGATAAAAATCTTGTTCATCATGAGGTAATATAATGCTCCTGAACTTTTCACTTTATGTTTTGTGTCTCAATCTTTTGCTCTTGGATTTCTTAAAACCATACAGAATTTTGGAAAGATGCAGTGTGATTCGATGATACCGTCCACTTCATTTGTCAACCATGAGCAAAACATGGAGATTATGTATCCTGTTATGACATCAGTGGATAAACATGGATATAGCAATGAAACTACTTGTGAGCATTGTGGGACAATCATTTCTAATAACCATGATGCCATAGTTTCCCATCTGCAACAATGTACCATTGATGTAAAACCTATACAGACAATGGTAAGAAGAACTAAAGAAATGTTTGTTTCATTTTTTTTCTCTGTACATTTTGAGCTCATTCTTTATTTTTATACCTCAACACAAGGTTGAACATTAGAGGGGAGAGGGGGGGGGGGTTAGGTTACCCACGAAGTGTTGTCTAAATAGTTTTATGTCTGAAAAGTTTTGCGGAATGTGTCTGAAATATCAGTCTATAAACTGACAGATGATGAAAAAAGTCAGTCAAACCAAAATTACTTGCTTTTTCTATTAAATGTGGACACTAGAAAGCAGGACTGTAGCTAGAATGTTAATTTAGGGGTAGGATCAAAACAAGACAAAGTAAACTGTAAATTTTCAACTTTATTTCAAAGTCATCCTCAGACAGAATGATACATGTGTATGTATGGTTTTAAATATCATTCTGTCTGAGGATGACTTTGAAACAAAGTCGAAAATTTACAGTTTACTTCTCATCTTGTTTTGATTCATATTTTGCAATCTCAAGATGTCTTGCTTCTTCGGAATTTGTTTTATATTATACTTCATCTAATTGTCGGCTGGTCATGGTTTTAGGGGTAGGGATTTGCATTCAAATATTCAATTGTGGCGGGCTAATTTCTTCTGAAAGTCAATTCACTTTTAAAAGAAATTATAAGCAAAACAAAGTATATAAATATTCAGTCCACCCACCCACCTCCCCTTGATTACAATTCTTGCTTTGGCCATGCCAATATTTTGCCCCAAGTCCTAGGATGTAGAACACTCCCCAGCCTCCAGTTATTTTTTTATGTGTGTCCCTGTAAGAATACTCTGGTTTGTTATTCATTTTATACATCAACAACCCCAAGAAATTTTCCAGTTATAGGACAAGTTTTAATGAGCCAGAAATTTATATTGCCATTAAAAAATGGTGTAGTTTGCCTCTTGTCAAGTACACTGATCAGACATGACAGATACGTTTTTATTTGTAGATTGAAAAGCCATTCTTAGGTAAAAATATGACAAAATCAGGTGAGAAACAGCAAACATAGTGCATAAACTGGTGTTAACATGATCATTTGTGTAGCCTGTCCAGAAGTTTCCCTTCTGCCATGTCAAATTCAGAACATTATCATGATTACTTTCTATAGAAATCTATTGTTTTTGTGTGAGCAAACTGAGACAAATGTACATAGCACAACCAAAAAAGTGGACTGCCTTTGCCATTGTACATAGTGTTAATTTATTGCTACCATTATTTAAGTTCTGCATTTCAACACTTCATGTAACTCTTGTGAGATGACATTCACCATATTGATCCTCAGCTTTGCCATGCTACCATAGTTAAGTTTTACAGTTCAACACTTCATGTAATTCTAGTGAGAGATGACATTCACCATATTGACCTCAGCTTTACCATGCTACCATAGTTAAGTTCTGCATTTCAACACTTCATGTAATTCTAGTGAGAGAAGACATTCACCATATTGATCTCAGCTTTACCATGCTACCATAGTTAAGTTCTGCATTTCAACACTTCATGTAATTCTAGTGAGAGATGACATTCACCATATTGATCCTCAGCTTTACCAAATGCAATGGGAAAGATACTTGAGAAAACTTCACAACAAGATGGCTGCGGATTATAATTTTTCTAATAAAAGTGTAAGTTGATTCAGTTTCGCTTTTTTGCATAATTTATGTATTCTTGGAACTCTAGCAATCTGGCAGATGGGTGTGAATGAAGTGGAGTTGCCTGTGGTCCCTGTTGCATTCGGAGCACCCAAATGTTGTAAATGGACATGATATTGAAATTAGTTTATTTTTTTGTGGTGGCTTTGTAACTCTTGTTGCAGATTGGATTACCAAAACTCGGTTATTTAATGACAGCAAGGCAAATTGATACGGGCCATGTTTATGGTAAAGTTGTAACACAATTAAGAAATAAAAGAGGTTTACTGTGTTTGCACAGGCTTATGCAAACCTAGGAGACCTTAGGGAGAACTCGAGAGCAGATCAGTGCAAGGCCCAGACCAAAGGTCAAGCTAGGGTTGCACATGCTCTCAAGTTCTCCCAAAGGTCTCCGAGGTTTGCACAAACCTGTGGGTTGCACATGGTCAAGATCTTTTATTTCTTTTATAAAATAACAATAATGCGAAAAAAGACAAACATTTTAATTTTTCCTCTAAAATTTATTCATGATCGATTTGCAACTTCTCTTTGTCTGATTGATTGTTTTGATTGATTTGATTGGTTGAGCTCAGATGTGCTTTGCACTCGCTAATGCAAACTCAGCTCTAGACCAATCAGCGCACGCGTTTCATTGTGTTTATTTTATAAGACTCAACGTTGACCGTTTATATTCAGTTTACATTTGACGTACCCGGCCTTGACATTGGTATGAAATTAGAAGCCTTGGACAGGAATAATCCACAGTCATTCTGTGTTGCTACAGTTGTTGAAATCTTGGGTCATCGTGTTAGAATACGTTACGATGGTTACGGTCAGGATGACTCCAACGACTTTTGGTGTAACTTTCAAGCAGACGAACTCTACCCCATTGGATGGTGTGCACAGAACGCGTACCCATTGCAACCGCCTACTGGTAGGTTTTGGTAAACAGTCTTTGTCGACTTTAGCTCGCTTTGAAATGTCCTGAAATGTCCTGAAATGCGTTTTTAGTTTCAACTGTCAATGCATGTGTGTCAGTTGTAAGGATCCTGTGGTATTTGCGAGTGTCATGTGCAGTAATCTGTGGTAAACATGCAGTTGTAAGGAAATAAACCTGTGGTAAATATACAGTTTAATCCATCAGTGTCGTGTGTCAGTTGTAAATCTGTGGTATTTGCGAGTGTCACGTAAGGATCCTATAGTGTCATGTGTGCAATCCTGATTTGAACGAAAGGGATCCTGTGGTATTTGCGCATGCAGTTGCCTAGTTTTGTCATGTGTGTCAGTTGTAAGGATCCTGTGGTATTTGCGAGTGTCTGAAGCTAACTAGAAACTGCGGATTTTAATAAACTAAAATATATTTTTTCCATCAACATTAAATTGCAATATTTAACGACTAACGACTATAGTTCTTGAGCAATCGATTTGAACGATAAAGAATTGGCGCGGCTAGTTTTCGCTGAAACTTTACAGCGCGCAGGGCTTACTGCAAACTTCTTTTCGACTGCCTGCAAGTAGACAGTAACAAATATTAAAAAGCATGTCTCAACGTTAACGCTTTTGATTGTTTTGTAAAGGAATTCAATGTACATTGGAGGATTGGCGGAGATTCCTGACGAAAACTTTGACGGGTGCCCTCGCCGCTCCCAAACATCTTTTTCCCCTGGTAATTATTTTATATTTGCTATATACTTACGCCTTCTTGGTCTTTTTCTCAGTCATTGTTATTTTTATCATGATAATAAAACATCAATTGAATGTCTCGAACCATTTTACCGCGTCTCCTTTCCACAAACTCCTGTTTATCATTATCTATCCCCTTTTATCATCCACGTCGTTCTTAAAGAACATTATTACCCTGCGTAGTTTACGTCTCGTCTATCATTATCTATCCTGTTGTCCTCATTATATTATCTTATTTCCTTTTTATTGTTCTAATTTATGTATCATATTACTTTTATATAAACATTGTATCACCTATTATTTCATTCATACTGAAGATGGCATCATGAGATGTCGAAACATGTCTATTTTCAAAAAAGTTATCCTGTTGTATCATCATATCATGAATTAAGCTCAGTTAACGGCGGATGTGTTGGTTGCATCACTTCCGGTGTGATTGAAATACAGATGTGTTGGTTGCATCACTTCCGGTGTGATTGAAATACAGATGTATTGGTTGCATCACTTCCGGTGTGATTAAAATACAGATGTAATGGTTACATGACTTCTGGTGTAATTAACATATGTACCTTTGTTAACGTTTTGTTTATGATTTTCTATCCCCACGTATCATCATGTCATCTTTTTTAATGCACATTATCTACAGTAGTTCACGTCCTATCTATCATCTCCTATCCCCTCGTATCATCATGTCATCTTTTTTAATGCACATTATCTACAGTAGTTCACGTCCTATCTATCATCTCCTATCCCCTCGTATCATCATGTCATCTTTTTTAATGCACATTATCTACAGTAGTTCACGTCCTATCTATCATCTCCTATCCCCTCGTATCATGATGTCATCTTTTTTAATGCACATTATCTACAGTAGTTCACGTCCTATCTATCATCTCCTATCCCCTCGTATCATCATGTCATCTTTTTTAATGCACATTATCTACAGTAGTTTACGTCCTATCTATCATCTCCTATCCCCTCGTATCATCATGTCATCTTTTTTAATTCACATCTATCATTTCCTATCCTCTCTCACTCATGAAATGATCATCTCGCGCCCTTTGTTGATCTTCTCTTCTCTAAGCAAAGTCTTTATTCCAAAGCCATCATCAGAAAATATATATAATATAAATCCTAAACACTAGTATCCCGAAGGTGCGAGCTCAAATCTTGTCCAAGTCACATGTTTTTCATGTGCACATAAAACCGTGTTAGGATTTATATATTATATATATAAGCAAATTCTTGTGTATCAAACACAGCTGGAGACTGCAGTCCTATAACTCATCTCATGGTAAAATTTCATATTTCTTCAATATAGGACCATACACCGCCAAAAGTTCATTCATTTGAAATTGGCATGAAACTAGAGGTTATCCACCCTACAAAACCTTATATTATTTGTCCGGCGACTGTTGTGAAGAGCCTGGGACCGTACTACTTTCTCGTCGCGACCGAGCTCTGCGAAAACATACCTGACGTCACAATGTGTTGCCATAGCGACTCGAGTAATATCTTTCCCGCTGGTTGGAGTTATCGTAATGGTATAGATTTGACGGTGCCTTTAGGTAAGAATGTTGGGATAGAGGTTAGTGATTGGTATTGAATGTTCACTGTAGTCCTAGAGGTTAGTGATTGGTATTGAATGTTCACTATAGTCCTAGAGGTTAGTGATTGGTATTGAATGTTCACTATAGTCCTAGAGGTTAGTGATTGGTATTGAATGTTCACTATAGTCCTAGAGGTTAGTGATTGGTATTGAATGTTCACTATAGTCCTAGAGGTTAGTGATTGGTATTGAATGTTCACTATAGTCCCAGAGGTTAGTGATTGGTATTGAATGTTCACTGTAGTCCTAGAGGTTAGTGATTGGTATTGAATGTTCACTATAGTCCTAGAGGTTAGTGATTGGTATTGAATGTTCACTATAGTCCCAGAGGTTAGTGATTGGTATTAAATGTTCACTATAGTCCTAGAGGTTAGTGATTGGTATTAAATGTTCACTATAGTCCTAGAGGTTAGTGATTGGTATTGAATGTTGACTATAGTCCTAGAGGTTAGTGATTGGTATTGAATGTTCACTATAGTCCTAGAGGTTAGTGATTGGTATTGAATATTTAACAGGTGAATTGTATTATGTTTCGTATTGCATTATTGAAAATCATGTAGATTTCAAGGGCCATTATCATGCCTTGTATCATAAGTTAAGTTCTAAAACCTTGTTTTTCCATTATATTGACTATATCCAATGTTACTTTAGGTTATACAAAGAGTTCCTTTACTTGGGACAAATATCTTACGGCATGTCGAGCGATTTGTGCTCCACAAAATCTTTTCAGGGTAATGTCATGATACTTAATACATTTTTTTACTATAATTTCGTACTAACACAAAAGTCACAAGACATTTTAAATGAATGACGATTTTTTAAAGCAAAGATGTATTGGTATACTTCATGTCATCTTCAGTGAAAAGTGGAAGAGATTATTTCAAAAGTGAAGATGTTGTTAGATTTTATTAGCCCTTAATAACCGAGCGCGAGGTCTTCACAGAGAAATAGGTCTTTTTGTAAAGACCGAACCCGTAGGGCGAGGTTTGTACAAAAAGACAAAGGTTCGATATTTCTCAGTAAAGAAGGAGAAAGCGAGGTTTTTAAAAAGCTTAGTATATGGCATTATTTGATCTGAAACGAAACTTGCTTCTTTCTCGTCTTTGCTGTTTTGTACGGGTTGGCTTTCACTTTTCCAGTTTTCGTCCATAAAAAATAAATCGTTTCAAGTATCGTCTGGAAAGTTTAACTGTTTTCCAAGTGCTTTTTCCTTCTACTCACATTTGTAAATGGTTTTTATTTCGTTTTTTTCTCGTTTTGCTGTTTGCATTACGAAGCTTGTTTACATTTGACAGTAAAATTACGCGTTTTGGACCGTGGTCGATTACGGGAAAATAATGGACCGGCATAATTGTTTCTGAGCCAATCAAAGCGCGCCATTTTGCCGGAAGTGACGCTTGCCATATAATAATGATAAATCTTGTTAAATATTAAAAAAAATAAATAAATAAAAGAATAATTGATGCTATTTACAGGTCGATTAGTATTCAGCATAAATTATGTTTGCAAATATTTGATTTGTAAAGTGGATCACTCATTTTGAATCAAAAGAACGTTATCTTTTTTTTAAATATTATATAGCGAGCTTTCGGCTGGCAGACTACGGCCGTCAGCGTGTATTAAATATTAATAGATAAGAAAAAAATTAAAAAACAGCGAACGTCCTTTTCATTCAAAATGTAAATTATGCTCTGCTAATGAAATAATTTTATAAATTTTAGTTTAGAGTAGAAAGTGAAAATGTTCTCTCTCGTTTAAGGTTCGTTCAAATGCTTGAAGCTTTGCTAATGAAATAATTTTATAAATTTTAGTGTAGAGTAGAAAGTGAAAATGTTCTTTCTCATGTAAGGTTCGTGCAAATGCTTGAAGCTTTGCTAATGAAATAATTTTATAAATTTTAGTGTAGAGTAGAAAGTGAAAATGTTCTTTCTCATGTAAGGTTCGTGCAAATGCTTGAAGCTCTTGAAAATCTGTTGTACACGGCCACTTGAATGTCTTTAAAAAAATGAAAGTCATTGAAAAGTGCTTTAAAATTACACAAAATCGAAATGAAATTAACTCCATCATATTCAAACATGACTGAACATGTTGTATGTTTTCATTAGCTAACTTTGTAAAACTATTTGTATAAATTGGAAGACCAGAAAATCCAATCACAGCAAAGTCAGAAACGACCAGATTCTCGAAATATTACCATTGAAAATTTCCACTTTCCCCACTATATTATCTCCAGAAAATTTTATCGTAAAGTGAAGTATTCCTGATCTGTTGTCCTTTGAAACTCCTTAAATATCCTTGATTTTTTTCAACCCAAGCACCGCACAAATCTTCAATTCAATATTTTACTGTTTTCCTATGTCAAAACCTACATTCATTTCAAGACCATCTTGCGATTTTTTTAGAAAGTAAAGGCTCACAAGTTTCGCACGGGACAAAAACTTGAGGCTGTAGATCTTGAACATCCACGGGTTATTCGCGTTGCAACAATCACGAACGTCATGGGTCGAGTTTTACAGCTCTTCTTTGACGGCCAAACTAGATTTCAGTTCATCGAATGTGATAGCCCGGATATTCATGGCTTCGGATGGTGTAAACGGACAGGTCATCCCCTGATTACTCCATATGGACAAAGTACGGTTAAGTTTTTATGGCGTTTGTGGCATGTTGGGTGTTTGGCTGATATATATATACGCTGTATACGTGATCTTCGAGTTTTCAACACAAAATGTAGTGACTTATAACGCAAAGTAAAGATATTCCAGAAGTTCCACTCATCACGATTTTGTATTTCCATAACCGACATGATTTTCAGTTTCATCGTCATGTTTAAACAAAGCCACTAACGAAATTCGAAATTCCAGCTTTGAAAATTTTACCAAACAAAACAGTATAAACTAACTTTGCTTTACGCATTTCTAAATATCAGTGCCATACAACATACGATGAACACGAAAACCTGATTTCTCTACATAAATGTTCATGATTTCGATGTTAGTTCCTATTTCACCACACAACATGTGGTTATAGCTAGTCAATGTGGTTATAGCTAGTCAATGTGGTTATAGCTAGTCAATGTGGTTATAGCTAGTCAATGTGTTTATAGCTGGTCAATGTGGTTATAGCTAGTCAATGTGGTTATAGCTAGTCAATGTGGTTATAGCTAGTCAATGTGGTTATAGCTAGTCAATGTGGTTATAGCTAGTCAATGTGGTTATAGCTAGTCAATGTGGTTATAGCTAGTCAATGTGGTTATAGCTAGTCAATGTGGTTATAGTTAGTCAATGTGTTTATAGCTAGTCAATGTGGTTATAGCTAGTCAATGTGGTTATAGCTAGTCAATGTGGTTATAGCTAGTCAATGTGTTTATAGCTAGTCAATGTGGTTATAGCTAGTCAATGTGGTTATAGCTAGTCAATGTGTTTATAGCTAGTCAATGTGGTTATAGCTAGTCAATGTGGTTATAGCTAGTCAATGTGGTTATAGCTAGTCAATGTGGTTATAGCTAGTCAATGTGGTTATAGCTAGTCAATGTGGTTATAGCTGGTCAATGTGTTTATAGCTAGTCAATGTGGTTATAGCTAGTCAATGTGGTTATAGCTAGTCCATGTGGTTATAGCTAGTTAATGTGGTTATAGCTAGTCAATGTGGTTATAGCTAGTCAATGTGGTTGTAGCTAGTCAATGTGGTTATAGCTAGTCAATGTGGTTATAGCTAGTCAATGTGGTTATAGCTAGTCAATGTGGTTATAGCTAGTCAATGTGGTTATAGCTAGTCAATGTGGTTATAGCTAGTCAATGTGGTTATAGCTAGTCAATGTGGTTATAGCTGGTTAATGTGGTTATAGCTAGTCAATGTGGTTATAGCTAGTCAATGTGGTTATAGCTAGTCAATGTGGTTATAGCTAGTCAATGTGGTTATAACTAGTCAATGTGGTTATAGCTAGTCAATGTGGTTATAGCTAGTCAATGTGGTTATAGCTAGTCAATGTGGTTATAGCTAGTCAATGTGGTTATAGCTAGTCAATGTGGTTATAGCTGGTTAATGTGGTTATAGCTAGTTAATGTGGTTATAGCTAGTCAATGTGGTTATAGCTAGTCAATGTGGTTATAGCTGGTCAATGTAGTTATAGCTAGTCAATGTGGTTATAGCTGGTCAATGTGGTTATAGCTAGTCAATGTGGTTATAGCTGGTCAATGTAGTTATAGCTAGTCAATGTGGTTATAGCTGGTCAATGTAGTTATAGCTAGTCAATGTGGTTATAGCTAGTCAATGTGGTTATAGCTAGTCAATGTGGTTATAGCTAGTCAATGTGGTTATAGCTAGTCAATGTGGTTATAGCTAGTCAATGTGGTTATAGCTGGTCAATGTGGTTATAGCTAGTCAATGTGGTTATAGCTGGTCAATGTGGTTATAGCTAGTCAATGTGGTTATAGCTAGTCAATGTGGTTATAGCTAGTCAATGTGGTTATAGCTAGTCAATGTGGTTATAGCTAGTCAATGTGGTTATAGCTAGTCAATGTGGTTATAGCTGGTCAATGTGGTTATAGCTAGTCAATGTGGTTATAGCTGGTCAATGTGGTTATAGCTAGTCAATGTGGTTATAGCTAGTCAATGTGGTTATAACTGGTCAATGTGGTTATAGCTAGTCAATGTGGTTATAGCTAGTCAATGTGGTTATAGCTAGTCAATGTGGTTATAGCTAGTCAATGTGGTTATAGCTAGTCAATGTGGTTATAGCTAGTCAATGTGGTTATAGCTAGTCAATGTGGTTATAACTAGTCAATGTGGTTATAGCTAGTCAATGTGTTTATAGCTAGTCAATGTGTTTATAGCTAGTCAATGTGTTTATAGCTAGTCAATGTGTTATAGCTAGTCAATGTGGTTATAGCTAGTCAATGTGGTTATAGCTAGTCAATGTGGTTATAGCTAGTCAATGTGGTTATAGCTAGTCCATGTGGTTATAGCTAGTCAATGTGTTTATAGCTAGTCCATGTGGTTATAGCTAGTCAATGTGGTTATAGCTAGTCAAATTTTTTGCACAAAATCACGAGACAAAGTCTTTTACACACTCTCTTACATCAGTTTTCTACACAAAACCTCTGGCACAGTCTATGACACAAGTCTTATACACAAGATCTTTGACGCTGTCTGCCACAAGTTTGAAAACAACATCTTGGACATATAGTCTCCGTGATTGTGCTGGGGACCATAGGCTTTATTCTTTGTGATTAATGACCAGCATGTTCACGAAATCAACATGTTATTTTTTTTATTTTAGTGCCATTCAAAACAAGTTTTAAGTACGAAGGGTATGTGTTGTCACTAACTATTTTGTACTTGATACGAATGAGGGATAAATTTTTGAAAAAAAATGAATTCGAGGTGCAACGTCTCTTGAAAAGGGGGGAGAGCGACTGAGCGTAGTAGAATTTTGTTTCTTTACCTGTGTTCGTCGTTTACAATATAAAGATTAGAGACCAATAGATATTTTAATAGATAATAGACTTAAATTACACGTTATAAAACACCCAAACAAGATTTCAAAGTTTTTTTTTATTATAAATGGTCATTGAACAACAAGACTTAAATTACACGTTATAAAACACCCAAACAAGATTTCAAAGTTTTTTTTATTATAAATGGTCATTGAACAACCAGACTTAAATTACACGTTATAAAACACCCAAACAAGATTTTGAGCTTTTCCTCAACGCAACAGCCATGGAGCTTTTTAAAGAAATGTTAGTTTTATCCTTTTTTTGGCCATTACATCCCATTTTCAAAATTCGGCCAATATTCGTTGGTTTGTCGTAAAACGTTGTTTGGCGATGATTACATCAATAAACATCAATAAACTGCGCATCTTTATTTGATAACTTACGTCATTACCACCTATGAAATATATGTTAGAAAACATAACCAACATCGTTCAACGGTATTTGATGTTAAATAGTCGCTTTTTCTCTTTTTAGCTTGGAGTCTGGCTCTAAACCTCTGAAATTAATATCATTTGATGAAGTCGTCGGAAGAAAGACACTGAGGAAAAATGATTCAAAGTCAGATCACGTGGCTCACATATCTAGAACCCAGACCTCTGCATCTACTTCTGCACAACAGTATAGACCCACCCCCAGTCTACCACAACCCTCTATCCATCGTTACACGAGTAACACACAGTTCGTCGCCCAATCTACTCCACCACTACCCGAATCATCCACAAAATACCCCCATAATCACCCTACATCATACAGCCCCCCACCATATACTCCTAAGCAAGACGATAATCAGCAGATGTTCAACACTTCAATAACATATTCTCCACAACAGAACCCGGAATCAGGTTCCAACTCTCCGACCTATAGCCCACCGCGGTCTTTCTCTCAGCCACTGCCTCCCACCGTTCCCAGCATGTTGGCTACAAGTGGATCCGATGAAACTTTATTTGAAGGTATGTTGATTGTTGCACGCAACATGAATTAAATAGCTCAAGCTTCTAGCTTGTTTAACACAAACATTCAACTTGTACAGAATGAGATACTTCATGCGGTGTGATCTCTATATTTGTGGATTGCTCAGATTCTACCCGGGGGGGAAACGCCATTTATGAATATGATAGGTCTTGAATCGCATTCGTAGATTTTTAGATTTACCTTTATTCGAGAATGATTTCAAGAGTTTATCGTTACATGTTTGTAGATGAAGATCGTCCAGGTTAGTAGAGTCATGAGAAGGACTGTTGGTGTTTATGTTGACTGATGTTTTGACAACCTTAGCGGTAGTCATCTTCAGAGTCAAGTGAGGAGTAAAAGTCAGGTTTGCCGTATTTGTTATCTGACGTTTGCTCTTCACTTGATTCTGAAGATGACTACCGCTGAAGATGTCGAAACGTCAGTCAACATCAACACTAACAGTCCTTCTCAGGACTCTATTAACCTGGACGATTTACATCCACAAACATGTAACGATACTCCTGGGTTCAAACTATTTACTTTAGACTTTATTGTATTAATTATTTAGCTGGTGTGACTGAGGTGGAAAAATCTGAAACGATAAGGTTAGTTTGAACGCAAATGTTCGCGTTTTCTTTATTATTTTTTCATAATCGTAGTCTGTACTTCATTTGTTTTCAGACCTCTTTATTCTTGTGTTGCATCGCTTCTCTTTACTCTTCGCTTTTGCGCGTTTTTTCTTCCTTTTGTTCTTTCATTACTTTTGCCTTTATCCACTCTTCCTTTTCTTCTTTCATTACTTTTGCCTTTATCCACTCTTCCTTTTGTTCTTTCATTACTTTTGCCTTTATCCACTCTTCCTTTTCTTCTTTCATTACTTTTGCCTTTATCCACTCTTCCTTTTCTTCTTTCATTACTTTTGCCTTTATCCACTCTTCCTTTTCTTCTTTCACTCGTTTCTCTCATTCCTTTCAAACAACTTTCTTCTTCTTACATCTTTCTTCATTTATAGAAAATTATCTTCCGTCATTTATTTTCATGTATTTGCCCACCTTCATCAGTACTATTCTCTTCTATCGCTCTTCACATTAACTTCCCTATATTTATCGAATTCCTTTCTACATTCAATAACCTATTTGATCCCATTAAAAGATATCGTATTTTACCACTTTAATTATGAAGTTTTCACTCCTGATGTCAAAATGCATTATCACTCTTAGTCATACTGTACCAGACAGCGAAGGGATTGGTGAGGATAAGGAGAAATGTCCCACTCTATCCCCATCAGATGATGACGAAGATTTGAGTGATGAAGATGTTAGTGGAACAGGTGAGTTTTAATGTCAACACGGTTTGCTATTGTTACCATTCTGTTTCTTGACGACTCAGACTACGTTTACACGATAACGGTACGTTAGCAAAACGTTTAAAAATGAAAACGGCATAAAAAACGAATTTTTATAAAATAACAGTAATACGAAACAGATAAATTTAAAACAAATGTTTTAGTTTTTCCTTTTACATGTATTCACGATTGATTTGAAATTCTCTTCAATTGATTTATTTGATTGAGCTCAGATCGGTTTCCATGGCAATTTAGCGAACGCGTTTTATTTTAGATATTTCATAATGTTGTTTGAATTTTCCATTCAAGGCTCAGAGCGTTTTTACCACAACAAAAATCAGATATACTTCAACAAGTACTGTTGCTGCGGTCCTCTGTTGAACCCGGATGAAGTTAAGCTTCTTCCCCAGGCCACCGAACCAGGAAAGGTAAGCGCAGTAATAAGAATTGCTCTTGGAATGGTCGCTAAATGCGCAAAAGATCCCGAAAAAGTCATGGAGATGATGCAAGAAGGAACCGGCGTTCGATTATCTATTGAACACAATGGGAAAACATATAAAAAGGTATTGATGGACAGCAGTTATTGAAGGATGAAGGGGGAGGGGGCCCATTAAGACTACGTTCACACGATACCGGTGCTAAACTTTACCGGTATAGTTTCATACCGTTTCGAACTGTTCACACGATACCGGTACTAAACTCCTACCGGTATAGTTTCATACCGTTTCGAACTGTTCACACGATACCGGTACTAAACTCCTACCGGTATAGTTTCATACCGTTTCGAACTGTTCACACGATACCGGTACTAAACTCCTACCGGTATAGTTTCATACCGTTTCGAACTGTTCACACGATACCGGTACTAAACTCCTACCGGTATAGTTTCATACCGTTTCGAACTGTTCACACGATACCGGTGCTAAACTCCTACCGGTATAGTTTCATACCGTTTCGAACTGTTCACACGATACCACCGTCAGAGTTTTGCTCCGTTTTGATGTTGTTTTCACACTACTCCAGATTATACATAATTCAAATCCTAACACGGTTTTTATATACACATGAAAAACATGCGCCTTGGACGAGATTTGAACTCGTCTCCAATCCCTGTGGGCTTGGTAGCTCAACAGGTTGAGCGGCGGACTAGTCTCCCGAAGGTGCGAGTTCATATCTCGTAAACTCACTACTCCAGATTAATGCCGGCTTTCAGTTTATTTGAGTTATATTTATTTGAAGTCTTTAAAATTTTTGCTGACCATATTTATCGCCGTCGCGACTTTGTTTGAATATTTTATCGCGTCATTTTTGGCAGAGAAAAAAGTTTCGCCAAACCGTAATAAAACTCTTGCGGTTAAGTGTTCACACGTGACGGAAACGGTGTAGTTTTGTACCGTTTTCAAACTGCTACGGTTAGCGTTGCGGTTTCTTACTTTTTCGCACCGGTGTCTTGTGCACATTGCCCCAAACCTTGACAGTTTTACATCGTTTTCAAACTGCTACGGTTAGCGTTGCAGTTTCATACTTTTTCACACCGGCGTCTTGTGCACATTACCCCAAATTGTTAATGTTTTACATCGTTTTCAAACTTTATCGGTATCGTGTGAACGGGGTCTTAAATGTGTAGTGTTAGTATATTCACTTCCATTAAGAAAACTATCAATATTGAATCTCAAGACTGTAGGAAAATGATTAGAATCGGGAGAGCTCAACGATAGAAAACGACTTTCGTTGACGTTTTAAGAAACAAAAGATGTTTACTGTGTTTGTACAGACTTTATGCAAAACCCGAGAATACCTTTGGGAGAACTCGAGAGCAGATCAGTGCACGCTTTTTTCATTGTTTTTATTTCATAACAAATCTTCAGGCCATATCAAGAGTGGATTCTCGTCCGAAACTTGAACGTTATTTAAAACGGTTTTGCCGACGTTTGGTGTGCTGTGAATACTTCCTCAGTCTGACGCCTCCTACATATCCTTGTCCTGATGACTGCAAGACCGATCGTGAGTAAAATTCTTTCTCTTTTTGCGCACTCCTCACGCTCATCTTGCTGAAGTATATTGCTTGGGAACATCTAAGGTGTCCATGTCAGTGTTCGGGGAGGTATTTTGTTTGGATAGTTAAATCGATTTTGAAAACATTCGCAATATATTTTATCTTGCGAAAACTTCATCTTCGTGGGTTTTTTGGGCCTAGAAGTATTTGACTGTGTACCGGATGTGACGTAAAGGAGACTGTGTACAGGATGTGACGTAAAAGGAGAATATTTTACGTTTACCTTGCTCAACACAAACCCAGATTTATGAAATGCAAAGTAGCAAAAACACATGAAGAGATATTTTTCACGCCGTGGATATTATTACCCAATGATAAACGCTCTACGAGCTTCCATGCTGATAAATCTCTTTAACTGTCAAAAGCCATAAAGATGATTGATTTAGCAAGCTGCGTCATGACCATATGTTATAAAAATATTGATTTCAAATATCTGATTTAGTTCAGATATGTTATGTTACACGTCTGACATAACGATGCTGTTGTCTTTGAAGTAGAAGCGAGGATATTTTGATATTTCGTGTCTGGCACAAGGCTGCGTTCTGCTGTACTGTAGTGAGCTACAAATATTGTATGTTTTCTTAGTAGTGGCGAAGAACTTTTGATTTTTTCATGATTTAATAATGAATTTGTTTTACAATGTTACAAGTTGCAAAATTGAAGATTTCTACCTGTTTTTTGCTTTTGTAGTTCTTGTTTTTTGAATTTTTTTTTCTGTAATTAGCCCTGAATATTCTCGTCTCTCGAGCATAAACACGATGCGCCGGTTGTAAAGTTGTTAGTAATACAAATCATTAATTTTTAATCAGCGATGAACGAAATTATTCCTCAATATATCAGCCATTAATCTGTACTTCATTTAGTGTAATCAAAGGAAAGTATGATTTGTCTTTGTCATCTTGTTAGAAATGGTTAACTTGAAATGAAAATATTGTTTTTGGATAAAATTTCACGATTTAAGGGCTATCTATGAAAATTGCCGATATCATTGTTTAAATTTTGGAAAATTTTCAAATACAGTATGAAAAAATAATCGAAATCATGCTATGTTTCAGTGTTAAAAAACACCAACATTAAAATCACTATGATTAATTTTCTGTGAAATAGCGCTTAATACACATTCAAGGGCAAATAGCAAGTTTTATGCTTATCAACTCATTTTTTTTAAATTTAGTTTGATTTTATTTTAAGATGAATGCTTTGTTTTTGAATAAATTCGATGTTTTAAGGGCTATCTAAGCAAATTGTCGATATTTTTGTTTAGAATTTGGAAATCTTCAAGGACCAAAAGGGATGAAGGCCAAGCGAGCACGCGAGTATTTCGAAGCGAAACGTTCTGGTCATGAAAAGAAGAAACGCGGGCGCAAGCCAAAAATCCCAAATCCTAATGATGCTACTACACAGAGAGCTGCTGCTGCTGGTATCGTGACGTCAGTATTTCCTAAGGGTAACCAAATTCCTACGCCTAACCTCAATGTACCTGTACCGGCAGCCTTTACTGATCACGTGAGGAACACGACAACTAAGGTTCTTCATCAAATACAAGCAAGTAAGTGATGGACTTTTGAGGATGATGATGTACATCATGGCTTAAGAGTAGTTATGATGGACATTTGAGGATGATGATGTACGTTTCAAAGAAAAGTATTAAGGTATATCATTTTTTTAGGTCAGGCAATGCTCCAAGATCACCCAAGCTCATCTATGACAGTAACACAGGCTCAAACTACGGTCAATTCAAACGTATCTCAACTGGGAACCACTTCTCAAACATTCGCTCATTCCGTTCAACCGGAAGTATGCCCAACAAAAACGCACTCACCACACTGCACAACGTCACCACCTACGTCATTACCGACGTCATTACCCACAACTATTCCTACTTACGGTAAACCTCGTATACTGCCATCACCCTATGGTCCGCCACCCGTATCTGTTACTTTGGAACCATTAACAGTCAAAGAAAAACCATCAAGAGCAGGGCGCCCTCCCAACCTTCCACCGAAGAAGATTATACGACCAGTAAGTCTTTCAAATTGGTAGTTTTATTATAGTCGATGTCACCATAGCGTTCCAATCCCGCAAATTTCAGTCCTGCTGCTACGTATATTTAAGATCAATTATCATTATTCATTTCTTCAGAAATCTTTTGTCTATCCTTTGAGTGAATACATAAAAATTTACATGGACAACGTAGCAGGACTGAATAATCGGGCTGGTGTCGTCACTGCTTGATGAGTTTTTTTATTGTTCTATGATTTTTTTGAAAAGCCCTTCAAAAAAGAATAAAAGCTGAAATTTCTTGAAACGCAACTTGAATTTCGTTTTTGTGATCGTGTGATCGTGTTTCCTATCATTAATGAGTCACTAAAGGAATAAATGAATATGAACGAATGAAATCCTGTTCCTAACCTTGATCCTAACCCTAACCCTAACCCTAATCCTAACCCTAACCCTAACCCTAACCATGATCCCAACTCATAAGCAAGCCATCTGCCCTCAGTAATGCAGAATCTATATTTTCTCAGATAATGCCTGCAGTTGAAATGCCGTACATCGAAATTCATATTCCCAAGCAAAACAAGCTTATCTTACCATCACGTTCAAAAGGCAATCCAGTCACTACTGTTGGTGCAGCAACAGAAAACACGACTACCATGTCTGGTAAACCCGTCTTTCAACTTGCGCCAGCAAAACTAAAGTCATTCTCAAAATCGACCAGCGGTTATTCTGGTCGTCTTGTTGCCGTACCTTGTACCTTCGCTACGGGTGTGGATTCCGCAACGTCATTGGTTACTTCTAATAAGCGCCCTATACCCGCATCCAGCCTACACAATCAACCACCTCCTTTAATTCCAGCCCGCGATAAGTTAGGCAATGCGGGCAATAAAACTGTTCAAGTTCTGAGACCAAGCTACATTGAAGGCAAGCTGGTTGCCGCTTCCCCGAATGTTTGCGTAACAGAACGAGGCACGTTTGTTGCTACGCAACTGAACAAAAGCTCTGTATCGTCTTCCGGTGCATCTGTTGTTAACCACGTGGTTGGTCAAAGTGCCGATGCAAATGTCATGATGAATCGAATGTTTAGCGTTGTAAAGACTAATGAAGAAAATAATGGAACTCCCACTCGTTCCCATGCTCCGCCGCAAATCGCACACGTTCAACCCTCAGTTAGAAACTCGAATGTACAGATAAATGATTCAAACAATCTTCGACAGCAGGCGGGTGGTTGTGATGGCAACGCAAATAACTACCTTCGTCACACGGGAACGATTCAATGCGATAAAGCAAAAAAATCGGTATCGAACACTCATTCGTCAGTTGAGAACGCAAACACTGCCAAGGGCAACGCGAATCTTGAAGCTGGCAGCACGGTCGAGGCCACCGGAAGTCGTTTGAAGAAGTTTAGTTTTCATGTCGGCAGTGGAATGGGTGCAGTTACTTCCGTTGTACGATCGGGAAAGCTTATGACACCTACGAGTGGTACTGTTCGTACTGACGATAACTTAGGAGAAAATTGTAACCCATCAACACTGGCAAACGTATCCGACAGGATGACGAATCGTGTCGTTATAAATCCGAAGATTTCCGAGCACATTACGAACCTTGCCGTTAGTGAAATGGCTAATACGGCTGTTTCCGAACGTACTTTGGCTATTTCAGATACATCATATTCCGAGAACGATCCGTTGAAGGATCGCAGAGACAATGCTTTGAGTGGCCATCAAACTTCAAAAACGCATTTGTACCAAAAGAGTCCAAAGAAAGTTCGCTTTGTAGGGGCACAGAAGGATAGCGAGGGATTGCAGCGTGTAGCAGGAGAGGGTAAAGAACATAGGGAGACACTGAAGCGTGGATATGAAGAAGGTAGGGTTTGTTTCAATGACCACTTTTGAGGTGTAAACGTCAGTCGTTACAACTTTCCCCAATTATCCTTATGAGATTCTCTTTATCCATGATGATTCATTTTATGCCAACCTAACTCGCGAGTAGTGGCAGATTTAAGGCATTTTAGCATATTAAAGAGGCTCGTTTTAATTTCAAAATACTTTAAAAACAACGCTGTCTGTTACAAACTTCTAAAGAGAATTTTAAACAGCAGAACGTTGCCAATAATATTTGTTGTAAAGTATTTGAATTTGAAATATTTTCACAGCAATGTCTTCAGACCTGTCATGGATCCGCTGATGCTCCTTTATCTCAATTTTTCTCTCCCCTTTTTATTTCTTTTTAATTTAAAGTTGATGTTTTGCTCTGCACTCTCTCTTTAGCCTTTCCTCGTCATTATTGTTCCTTGTAGAAAAATAAAATTATAACCGACAAACTTAGTGTTCAAAAAACTGCAACATTTTGAAACCAAGCGACATTTAGAATATGCATGATACAGCAGCGATTGAGCCCCAAGGAGACATAAACGCCAATGAAAAAAATCCAATTTGCAGTAGCCGCGAATCGTATGTTCTGTAAACAAAATTTTCCGAATCGTCAACAACATGTATACTGTGTGAATTTCATAATGGTAATTTAACACAATGAATAATATTTCTGTTGTTAATTGAGCCATTTGTAATCAAACGGGTCATCACCACGTGATGATATATTTTATCACCACGTGATGATATATGTACAACTGGTCATCACCACGTGGTGATATATGTACAACTGGTCATCACCACGTGATGATATATGTACAACTGGTCATCACCACGTGATGATATATGCACCACTTTGTTCTAATTTACTTAATTTACTAAAAACTGTCGCAGACAAACAATATAATTATATATATTATGGCTGTTAAGCAAACTATAGGGTTTCAGTTTTTGATGCACTCTGTATCTTGATAAAATTCTTTATTTCTTACAGTTGGAAAAGACGGACATGTTGCTTATTTACATCCGTCAAACAACGATGTTGTCAATTCTAAAAAGGCAAAGCGATCATCCGAGTTGCCGCTCTCGAATGGGAAGTCTGGCACTAGTGACGTAACAAATTCATCCCAAGGGACATGTCCCAAAGCTGACATAATGAAAGGTGTCCACCACGCTGTACAAAGTAGTCAACATCCTTCCGTTAAATTACGACCGCCTGGAGGTAAGAATAGCATTTTGCTGATGTTGCATCTCAACAATGAGTTAAGGATTTTTTATTGGCTTTGGGTACGAGGGGAGGCTCTTCCCGCACTTTTGAATCATATGGTGTGATCATATGGTCACCGTATCGGTTGTATTTGATTGAGAAATGGTTGTAAGCCACTTGAAAAATTCAAAAAAATTTTTTTAATAACGTCACTATGCGGCTGGTACACCTCTTATTATACTTTTTATGACACGTATTATCCCCCCTTATTCTACTTTTTTATGGTACGTCCCCCCTTTATTGTACTTTCTATGATACATCTTCCTCATTGTACTTTTGTACAGCGGTTTCTCTAATGCTAAGCGTCACTATATGTATCAATTAATCTTTAGTCTTTGTGTTTCACTCTTTCGTCATGTGGAATTTTTTTGTCTCATAACCATAGCCGTAAAACAGCACAGCACGCACAGCGGTTTTCCCAATCAAGCCAAGCGTCAGAGAATTCATTATATGGACCGTAAGAAAGTTCGCTCGAGCTTTGGAATCAAGTCATCCCATTCAAGAACATTTTCGTCGCATAAAAAACCCGTGTATGTTAACGCCAGCACGAATACGTCATTTCCTGGTTGCTCTGGTAACAGTTGTCCGTATCATTCTGAAAATCCCAGGCTTTGGACGATCGAGGATGTTGGAGAGTATATACGCTCAACTGACTGCAAGAACTATGCTTCATATTTCATGGATCAGGTGTGGTATTTGGGAGTATTATTATTTGTGTCACTCCTTATCCTTCTTGGTCTCGTTTGCACAAGCAATTTTTATGTGACAATTTTTATATGACAATTTTTTATATGCTCGAGGGTAATTTTACTGATTGGCGATTTCATTTTTTGAAACTTGAAAAGTTTGCGTTTCAGCTTTCATGTGTCAAATTAAAAATTGTCACATACAAAAAAATTGTTTGTCTAAACGGCACGTCAACTAAAATTTGGCGGAAGTGAAGCATCAGAAGTTTTTTGGGCAAATTTTCTTGCGCGAATACGTGGCAAATTTTTGTTGTGCCGACTGTGTTGTTTACACGAGCAAGATAGTTGTCGTATAAAAATACTTAAAGATGTTAAATATTTTTTAAATAGTTGTTAGTTGGTAGATGTTAAATAGCTAAAGTTGTTCTATTTTTTCTAGGAAATCGACGGAGAGTCCTTACTCATGTTAACACGAAGTACACTGATGCAATTTACCAATATGAAACTGGGCCCGACAATGAAACTGAGCAATTACATTGCGCAACTCCGAGCTCGTGTTGGCATGTCAAAAATGACGTAATTTTGTCGTAGAGAGTTTGTTTTTTTGTTTTGAAGAAGCGTTTAAAACGTATTCACTCCTTTTTGCGATTTCTTTCCCGTTTTCAGCTACGAGATGCTTCTTTCTTTTTAAAGTTTCGATAAATGTTTTTTAATTTTTCCTACAATCGTTGAAGAACTTTGTAAACAATGCATTTGTTTTTGTGTTTTTTTAATGCCTTCGCAAACAACATGATTTAATTTCCTCGAAGCAACGAGCTAACTTCCTCGAAAATGAAAAAATGTGTTCAAAACAATGGTCGGCGTCGACTGGTAGCTTCTAAACTAACAGCAAATAATGCACACAGTTTTAGGTCTGTAATAGAGCAGTCCAATCTGTTCCCATTTAGGGCTTTCACAAGCTTCTCTTCCTTCTTAGACTGTTGGCTCAAGAACATGGTGGTTGACCGAGAAATTGTTTATATTTATCTTTTGCATTCCATTCCCTTTTTATTGGTTGCAATTAGAGTCGGGCTGGGGTTCTATTTTAGTCAGTAATAAGGTGGGAGGCTGAAAAATTAGGGGGTGATTTTAATTTTACTATTTCTGGCGCTCTGGCTCTGACTATTCGTAGTCGGAGGTCTGGAAGCTAGAGCGGTCTGAGCGGAGAAAGTCGAAATTCGAATTGAATTTGAATTGTAGTTGTCAAAGCTGCCTTTATTATTGAATTGTGGGACTCGTTCATTGATCTATACTAAAAGTAAACATGAACAAATAGCAAGGCCGAGATTACGAAATACTGTCTATTTAAAGTCCAATTTTATCAAGGTTTTGCAATCGTTCTGAACACGTTGCGAAGGGTCGAATGTCGAAAGGTTTTAGACCTCATATAAAGGTTGCCAATAACGTTAAAGCTAAGAAAAATGTTAATTTGAAACCAACTGCAACAGCATATCTACAGATATTTGGTACTGGCAGTGGCGATACGAATCCGTCAATATTTCTATTTGCAGATTCTCAAAGGTTAAGATTTAACTTTAATGGTTTTGTAGATATCCAAAGTGTGTCAAACTGAGCTTTTTTAAATTCTAATTTTTTTTTTCTTGGTTGCTTTAGATATGTCTTCAGTTGTGGTGAGTCGACGCAGCGTCTTTTTAATGAACACAAACTTAAACTTGGAAAAATCAACAATATATTCCTTACTCAATTAAAATGGCCATTTTTTGGTGGAGTGCCTGGGTTGCTTTTGACTTTACGTGAAGCCAACAAGGCGAGTGTGAATTTGCATGGACCTCAGGGAACGACAGACCTACTGCGTGCAAGCAAAGGCTTTTTGTCAATGGGTAATTTGGATCTAAGGATTACGGAGTATGTTTGCAATGGTGACAAAGGGATATATAAAGATGAGAATATAGTAGTGAAGGCCATTCCAATCAAAGGTAATCGTGAAGAAAATTTTATTGAAGAAAATTTTCACTGTTAGTCAATATCTTGCCTAAGGTGATATGGAAAGTTTTGAATTGTAAAACTAGTATGGATTATATATAATTAAGAATATTGCATGGTGCTGTCAATAAAAAAAAACAATATCAAGGCTTTGTAGACTATTTATTGGTCATTTTCCTCCCTGCAAAGAACTCAATCTGGATAGGGCATATTCTTGCAGTTGTGATTCAATTTGTAAGATGAATTCAGTTGATTTCAATAAAATTTATTGAAGATGTGTACTTAAATAATAGCCCTCTTAATTATTGTCCTGACTACGGCCACATTTGATTTTCTCATGTTTTTGACAACTTTAGTTACCTGATGCTCTCATTATTTCCAATGTAGACATTCCTCGGGATAAACTTTGATAATTGAAAAAGAAAATCTTGCTAATGAAATTAGAGACAATCCATAAATTCAAAATTGATCTTTAGGTGAACCAAAAAAGAATTTTTCGTATGGCTCAGAAATAACAAAATTACTCCAATGTGATGATATGGTTTGAAAGTTGATGCATACATAAAAGTGTAAATCTGAACAGATTTCACGAATAATGATGTTAGCTTGAAAGAGCAAAGCGATTGAAGTGGATATCCACTCGAGGACTGTGGTCAATTATGTGTGAACTTGTGTCCATGCGGGTAAAATGAATTTAAAAAGCTACTGACTTGAATGTTCCCAAAGGACCACTTCTTGGTAGATTACAGAAAGGAGAAGATGTTGTTTTGGGTAATGGCACTAAGGTGAGGTGGTGATGGCAAATTACCTTAAAAGTAAACTGGATATGTTGCAAGCAATACTCAAAATTTCTGTTGCTGCTCGTAATTACATATGTAAGGAGGCAGTAATGGATCTGGGGTTAGGCAAATTCCACTTCAAAACTGTCATTGGTTGTGAAATTCCAATGAATTAAAGTTGACCAATAAATGAGTTGGGATAATTTATTTTGCATATAGCTTGATCTGCCCTCAGCAAGAGGGAAATTCCAGGGCAAGTTGCAATCTACACAGCTTCTGTCAGGGCAAAAAAATTGAATGTTGAGGATTGAATAAGATGCTCAGTAGCGAAGCCAGATCGTTTTTGTTTCTACCATACAAACAGTAGCAAAACCAGTCCCTTTTTTCCTCCTATAATGCAAACATTTTTGAGTTCAATCATTGGAAAAACAATGAATCACTTTAATTTTCTAAAGAAATGAATAATAATTTTGCTGAAAAATTTTCCTTGTAATCATAAAATTTTAGCTTAAGCCACGCATACAAATATTTTTATTAAATAATAAAATAGAGACTTTGTTAGCGGTGACAAATCTGAAAATAGTTCTAAAGATATAAATATAGTGAATGGTAAAAGTAATATAATAAGTTGATAGTTCTAAAGAACCACTTTAAGTAAAGAGCCTAATTTAGAACTGTTGGGTAGAGTGCTCTTTACTTAAAACAGTTCTTTTAAGAACTACCAACATATATATTACTTTTACCATTCACTATGGTATTATATCTTTAGAACTATTTTCATTCATTCATGAAAAACCATGTTTTTACTGGAATTAGTCTTCCAAAGAAATTAGTAATGATTTATTGGAACATTTGCATTGTAGGAGTAGAAGTTTGGTCGGCTTTGCCACTACTAAAGATCAGGTGTTGCTTAAACTCTTATCATCCAACTCGTTGTTCTAAGGTCAGATCTTCGGATGTAATGGAGAAGTCTTCAGCTGGTCCAATATTCTGTATCATCGACTGTCCCAGTATGTACTATCTAAAACAGTTGGTGTCCAATGACGTCCTTCTGTCATGTCAGTTGTACAAAGATAATTTGACACCGATCATCATGATTCATCTCACCCCTGAGGATGTTGTGAAAGAACCAGAATATAAAGCATGGCTGGAAAGGTAATTTGTAATAATTTGTGTCAATTCTCAACATTCCCGATACTGACATACAGTACTGCTCTGAAGTCAGTTTACCGAAAACGCGTTCCGAACTCCTTCCAAAACGCGTTCCAGTTGCGTTCGGTTTAAGTTGGAACGCGTATAAAAACGCATTGTTGGCCGCATCCGATTATTGATCGGTAATCATCATTTATACTCGCTATACAAGTGTTCAATATCGGAAATTTCCATGTTGTACCGAGTTTTTTTGAACAATCTGGAGCGCGTTCAGAACGTGTCCCTTACGTTTTTTTGGAACGCGTTCTGAACGCGTTCCGGCTGCGTTCGAAACGCAAATGGAACGCAAATGAAACGCAAATGAAACGCAAAATGGAACGCAAATGAAACGCAAATGAAACGCAAATGGAACGCAAATGAAACGCAAATGGAACGCAAAATGGAACGCGAATGGAACGCATATGGAACGCAAATGAAACGCAAATGGAACGCAAATGAAACGCAAATGGAACGCGAACGCTGCGTTATGTTACTTCTGAGCAGTACTGTAAATAGCAATGGAAAGTTGCTGATACAACCAACTCATACATTTTACTCACATTTACTCAAATCCTTCCATTCCACTTTCTTGAAAACGTCACAAAAGCCTATACAAAATGTAGAGAGTAAGATCTTTCAAGTCCCAGGCTTGTGATTGGTCTAGCCAATGCTTGTAAAATACATGCGTAAGTTATGCATGTCTTTTAGTATTCAAGTCAATATACTTTTAGTATTTTCTCTGGAGATTATATTATTGATGTACTTAAAATGGCACTAGAGAATTGCTAACATGTACATAGCACTGGACTAATGTTGATATGAACAACACTGGACTATTGCTCACATGAACAACACTGGACTATTGCTGACATACTTAACACTGACTTTTGGCTAGCATACACAAAACTGGACTGTTGCGGACATATATAACACTGACCTTTGGCTAGCATACACAAAACTGGACTGTTGCTGACATATACGACATTGTACAGATTCTAATGCTGACATGAACAACACTGGGTTCATGTATTTTCGTTCAATGATTTATATATATGTATATATAAATACGTAACACTGAACTTTTCTAGCATACACAACACTGGACTGTTGATGACATACACAACACTGGACTGTTGATGACATACACAACACTGGACTGTTGATGACATACACAACACTGGACTGTTAATGATATACACAACAATGGACTGTTGCTGATATACACAACAATAGGATTTTTCTTAACATCCTTTTGCTTTGCCTGGCATTTGTAGATTCGGTCCAGAATGTCAACATTTGTTTTTAAATGAAGTAATGTGTCCTGCAAAAATATCCATGTTATCTCAACTTGGTATCCAATATTGTCTGAATCAACTAAATCCTCGGTTATTTCCACCTTTATTTGCAACAGAGAAGTCAGTAAGTTCTATAAAACTTCATAAAGAAGTCAGTAAGTCAGTAAGTCATAAAACTTCTATATTTCCGTAGGTAACATTACCATTTGCAAGCGACCGTCAGTGACAAACTATTTTGTGCCTTGTTTTACGGCTTAAACACTAGGTTTTGTACGTTGTTTTACGGCTTAAACGCTAGGTTTTGTACGTTGTTTTACGGCTTAAACACTAGGTTTTGTACGTTGTTTTACGGCTTAAACGCTAGGTTTTGTACGTTGTTTTTCGGCTTAAACACTAGGTTTTGTACGTTGTTTTTCGGCTTAAACCCTAGGTTTTGTGCGTTGTTTTACGGCTTAAACGCCAGGTTTTGTACGTTGTTTACGGCAAACGCCAGGTTTTGTACGTTGTTTGCGGCTTAAACTGGGTTTTGTGCGTTGTTTTACGGAAGCCAAACACTAAGGTTTTGTACGTTGTTTTACGGCTTAAACGCTAGGTTTTGTACGTTGTTTTCGGCTTAAACACAAGGTTTTGTACGTTGTTTTCGGCTTAAACGCCAGGTTTTGTACGTTGTTTTACGGCTTAAACACTAGGTTTTGTACGTTGTTTTTCGGTTTAAACACTAGGTTTTGTACGTTGCTTTCCGGCTTAAACGCTAGGTTTGTTACGTTGTTTTCGGCAAACGCTAGGTTTGTACGTTGTTTTCGGCAAACGCTAGGTTTTGTACGTTGTTTTCGGTAAACACTAGGTTTTGTACGTTGCTTTCCGGCTTAAACGCTAGGTTTGTACGTTGTTTTACGGCTTAAACACTAGGTTTTGTATGTTGTTTTTCGGTTTAAACGCTAGGTTTTGTACGTTGTTTTTCGGCTTAAACAGGTTTGTACGTTGTTTTCGGCTTAAACACTGGGTTTATTACGTTGTTTTCGGCTTAAACACCAGGTTTTGTACGTTGTTTTTCGGCTTAAACACTAGGTTTTGTACGTTGTTTTCGGCAAACACTAGGTTTTGTGCGTTGTTTTTCGGCAAACACTGGGTTTTGTACGTTGTTTACGGCTTAAACCTGGAGGTTTGTACGTTGTTTTACGGCTTAAACACCAGGTTTTGTACGTTGTTTTCGGCTTAAACACCAGGTTTTGTACGTTGTTTTTCGGCTTAAACACTAGGTTTTGTACGTTGTTTTTCGGCTTAAACACTAGGTTTTGTACGTTGTTTTTCGGCTTAAACGCCAGGTTTTGTACGTTGTTTTCGGCAAACGCCAGGTTTACGTTGCTTTCCGGCAAACGCTAGGTTTGTACGTTGCTTTCATTAAACGCCAGGGTTTTATTGCGTTGCTTTCCGGCAAACGCCAGGTTTGTACGTTGCTTTTACTAAACGCCAGGTTTTGTACGTTGTTTTCGGCAAACGCTAGGTTTTGTACGTTTTTACGGCTTAAACGCTAGGTTTTGTACGTTGTTTTACGGCTTAAACGCTGGGTTTGTACGTTGTTTACGGCTTAAACGCTGGGTTTTGTACGTTGTTTACGGCTTAAACGCCAGGTTTGTACGTTGCTTTCCGGCTTAAACGCTAGGTTTTGTACGTTGTTTTCGGCTTAAACACTAGGTTTTGTACGTTGCTTTCCGGCTTAAACACTAGGTTTTGTACGTTGCTTTCCGGCTTAAACGCTTCGGTTTGTTACGTTGTTTTCGGCTTAAACGCTAGGTTTGTACGTTGTTTTCGGCAAACACTAGGTTTTGTACGTTGCTTTCCGGCTTAAACGCTAGGTTTGTACGTTGTTTTTCGGCTTAAACGCTAGGTTTGTACGTTGTTTTCGGCTTAAACACTAGGTTTTGTACGTTGCTTTCCGGCTTAAACGCTAGGTTTTGTACGTTGTTTTACGGCTTAAACGCTAGGTTTGTACGTTGTTTTTCGGCTTAAACGCTAGGTTTTGTGCGTCAAACGCACACGATAAAATGTATAAAGTAAAAAGTTTGGACTTTATGATGATAGCGCTTGACATATGTCGTCTGTCATGTTTTTTAAAAAAGTCATTCAGAAACTCCAATATGGTGAGATTTGTGATGAGAAATTGATTTCGGGGGGGTCTCTGACGGGGGAAGGGGCTTCTTTTGGTGATAGGCGAGGTCTCTGACGGGGGAGGAGGGCTCCTTTTTAATGATAAGTGTATTTGTTGAGGGGGGGTAGATTCATATATTGGTCAATGGTTGAATATAAACAATTGTCAGTATCATTGAACTGAGTATAACTGGACGGCTACTTCCCGCCTAAATTTCAAGCCCGTAATTTAACTAGTCCCAATCTTTCCATTCACCGTCGAATTAGCAAATGAGACAAATGTGTAAAATTTGGCTTCATACAAGTATAGGCATGTTTATATAAAGGTAGCATTCCAGTTATATATTTAGTTCAATGGACAGTATTTACAAGCTGACCAGCTAGTCTTCATTTTTACGTAGAATCACGATGATCTCCCTGCCAACTGGAGTGTTGGTGAGCCATATCTTATATACCATTTACGACCTACTACTATACAAGGCTATGATCGTATTGAGATCAGTAGAAAATGGGATATGCTTACGAGTAAAGTAACGGAGAGAATGAAATGTTTAAAATCCTCTGAGGAATTCACGTTGCTTCAAATGAGAAACGCTCTAAATCAATTTATAAATCCTGAGAAGTTTGTGGAAATAGCGAAAGAAAAAATCAAAACTGCGAATGAAAAGAGACATATATCGAAGGAATCAAATGAAATGGACAAGGAACTTTCTGTCGTCTTTTTGGGAACTGGCGCCTCACTCCCGTCAAAATTTAGAAATGTTAGCTGTATGCTTGTTCATTTGAGGTGAGAAATGTTAAGAAACTGCGTCAATCAGTGGATTAATTATACTAGTATGGTTTGTTGTTTTGACAGCGATGAGCAGTCGATACTTTTGGACTGCGGTGAAGGCAGTTATGGACAGTTATATAGACATTATGGTCCGAACTTACATAAAGTTCTACTCCAACTATGCTGCATATTTATATCTCATATGCACGCTGATCATCATTTGGTGAGTACTGCATGCTCAATTCTGCTTGTAGCGCAAAAGAAGTACGACTTTCATTTGATCTCGTTGGAATCGTACTGTTACCTAATATTTGTTGAATACTCTGGCACCCGAATGTTGACCCAGTGCTGTAGAACTAAATTTATCAGATGGGGGGCTCTCTTGACGAAGCTGAAGTCATGAAATTATGAAAAATTACCCATTTCAAAGGTAGAAGGGGCTCCTCCCCAAGCGCCCCCACTTCTACAGCACTGTGTTGACCTACATTAAAAATGGTATAATTTTGTCAATGGGTCACCCGAGTGTCAGATCGGATGTAGAAATCCTAGATAGCCGCATTTCTTGAAAGCGTCTGAAGCTAACAACAAACAGTGGTCAAAGAATGAAGTTATCATTTCTCCGAAAACGCTTTGCAAGGTTTACATATCACACTTCTTGCGTCATTGTGTTTGAATGAATAAGAAAATATCAAATTGTCGCTGTTAGTTTGCAGGTTTACTCGACAATTTTTGCTAAAAAAGATGCGAAAAAAGCAAATACACTTAAATGACGAGTCATGTCGCGAGTTGCAAAAAAAAACCAGATGTGGGCCGGTCAAAGCAATGAAAATATTCCGTACATACGTGGGTTTCACTCACGATTGGGGACTGCAAAGTGAAATGTGATTTTGCTTTAAATACTTTCTCTTATTTCTTTAAAACTTTTTTTTGTCTTCTATCCACTTATATCTACTTCTATCCACTTATATCTACTTCTATCCACTTCTATCCACTTCTATCTACTTCTATCCACTTATAGCCAGTTAAAGAATTTACATCGATTTCTCAAAGTGTTCTTCCTTTTAGGGTCTCATCAGCGTCTTACAAGCCTGGAAGCGGTGTATTGATTCTTGCCCGGTGAGATTCATGTAATTTTATTGATTTTTACACAGATAGATCCAGGATTATTTTGTTGGTGGGAAGGAGGTGATGCTCTAGTTTTAATTAGTGTGAAGGGGTGACAGAGGCGTAACTAGAACGTTAATTGGGGGAGGGTGTATATTCATGTATTCAGTTGTGCCCTACTGATTTCTTTTGAAATTCAAATCACTTTCAAAAGAAATCAGTAGGGCACGACGAAATATGAATATGCACCCTCCCCCCAATTAACGTTCTAGTTACGCCTCTGAGGGGTGATGCTCTAGTTTCAATTAGATTTCGGTAGATACTTAGCAAATTTTATCGTGCAATGTAAGAATTTATTGTTTTGTTTAATTCTGATACTTTGAAATCATGGCTTGGTAATCATATTTTATTGAAATGTGTTTAGTTCATTACAAGTTCAACGCTGTATTAATATTTTGTTGAACAACGTTCAGGACAGTCCTCTGCACTCCACCTCCCAGTAATTCCATATCTGTAGTTTTCATGCCTGTTATCCATATATGCCATTCTGCACTCTACCTCCCAGTAATTCCATATCTTTAGTTTTCATGCCTGTTATCCATATATGCTATTCTGCACTCTACCTCCCAGTAATTCCATATCTGTAGTTTTCATGCCTGTTATCCATATGTGCTATTCTGCACTCCACCTCCCAGTAATTCCATATCTGTAGTTTTCATGCCTGTTATTCATATGTGCTATTTTGTTTATTCTTCCGTAATAAACTTAGAAACTGAAAAATTTGAATGCTTTTCGAAAAGCCGAGCTTTCATTAGCCTGCGCTAGTCGATCTGAGCTCCATGAAATAAATCAACTGAAGAGAATTTCCCATCGCGAACACATCTTACAGGAAAAATTAAAAAATTTGTTCGAAATTTATCTGTTTCGCATTATTGTTATTTTATAAAAGAAATAAAAGATATTTTTCGTGTTTGCACAAGCTTATGCAAACCAAGGAGTCGTTTTCTGACAACTCTCGAGCATGCGCAACCTCGACCTTCGGTCCCAGGCTTTCACTGATCTGCGCTCAAGTTCTGAGTTTTCATTAGCCTGTGCAAACACAGTGAACATAGTGTTACAGGCAGTGCTGGCTGATAAAATGAAAAACTTAGCCTATAGTAGTACATGACCCCACCTTTAACGATGATTTTGTTGTGAAAATAAAATGATAAGATGTTCAATATGTCACAAAATTTCGCATTTCATGTAGCGCGAAGAAAGACCAGAGCCCATTGTTGTTATAGCTCCGTCATTTCTTTATGATTGGTTACATTACTACGGAACTTTCTGCGATACCTTAAACTTCAGGTGGGTGCAGGCATATGAGGCTACAACGGGCTTAAGGCAGTGAACTATAATATCTACTGGAACGCTAACTCCAATACTAGGACTAGAGGCCATAGTGAGGCAAGCTATGATGCCTTTTTATCTGCGTTTTTTAGGCATATTACCCAATCTTGTGAGGTAAAATTTATCGTGGCCATTTGTGCTACTGTATTTTATGTATATCGTTGTTAATTTTTTAAAATATTTTGGAACTTCTGAAAACACAGAAAAACTAGCATCAGTATTGGCTTCAAAGATGGCGGCGCAGTTAGCGTTCCAGTTAATATTACAGTTCACTGGTCTAGGGGTGTCAGATCCTCCCCCCCCCCCTCAGAAATTTCATTATTATAAGGTCCAGTCGTCGTCAGGCCCAACTATTTTTGTCGCTTTGAAATCACTAAGAAACGAAATGAAGCAAATATGCCAGTTCAGCAATGTTGATTTAGCCAGTTTAGACCATTGAGTTCTATAATAACTGGAGAACTGAATGGTTTCATAATAGAACTCAATGGTTTAGACTGGTCTATTTAGAAGGTTTATCTTGATTGTTTTCGGTATACATTCGGATTTTAGTCGGTACATCACGACATCATTCGGTACATTTTGACTACAGCCGATGCATGTAAACTATAATCGTTGCAAGCACTAATTGACAAACAAAATGTGAAACTTAGTTGTTTATCATTTTGCTTTGTATTGTGTCGCTATCTTCTACACTTGCAGCTGTTTTTTTACTGTTTTTTTTTCACTTCGACTTTATTCTTTTCGTGCTCATAGGTTTTACGATTCGCGAAAGTTCGTTGCTGGCGTACAAACGGAGGCCGACAATATCCTTTCGTCTTTGTTGCATGCAAAGGTTTGTTGCTTAAATGAAATTATTTGTTTTAGTGCTTGTACATGTTTGAGGGATACTTTTGAGAAAGTTGCGAAACTAGAGTTTAATCAATTTTTGAGAGAAACAGTCTTTGTTTTACTTCCCCCTGGTCTCTATTCTTGCCGAGATGCTTTGGTCTTCGGATTTGTTTTTATTGATCTCGTATTTTTGACACGTGTGTTGACCGTTGGAAAGGTGAATTGTTAAAAGAAACAGTCTTTCTCTTACTTTCCTCAAGGTCTCCATAGTTCCCGTCGTACATTGCCCTCATGCTTTTGGCTTGGTGTTAAGCCACACGAAGGGTTGGAAACTAGTTTACTCTGGGGACACCAGACCGTGTGAGGCTCTGATCAAAGAAGGATTGGACGCTACTCTTGTCATTCACGAAGCTACATTGGAAGACGACTTATATAACGAAGCTGTTGCCAAGCAACACAGGTCAGTGTTATTTCAAAGGCAAAGTTTCTTAGATTCCTTTCGTTAAAGGAAAAGTTTGCAGGAAACAGTTGAGCAGCTATGCTGATATTGGGGCCTTGTTTTTATTACCTGAGTTCATGCGGGTGCTCAAAGTCCTTTAGAGGACCTTGAAGTGAAAAATCAATTTTAATTGCTCTTAAAAAGCGTTAATAAAAGTAAAAATGAAGTGAAGGAAATACTTGAAAAGTGTTTAATGACTACACAAACTTTATGATTATTATGAAAGGTTTTTAAATGAAGATATGATCTTCGCACTGCGACTATGCATAAAAGTTTTTCAGGTTCATGAGACAATTTAAGCAATTGTCTCATGAATCTGAAAAATTCAGGTGACTCAACGGGATTTGAACCCGTGACCTCTGCGGTGCCGGTGCAGTGCTCTGATCAACTGAGCTATGAAGTCACACAATGGTGAGCAGGTCGATTTTGTTGGTCAATATTGTTCAAAGTGCGAAGATCATATCTTCATTTAATTTCAAACACCGCACTGCATAAAACATTCATACGACATTCCTTTCACGAGAAAACATGAATCCAACAATATTGACCTGCTCACCACTGTGTGACTCCATAGCTCAGTTGGTCAGAGCAATGAAAGGTTTTTATTATCCATCTTCAGATTAAAAAGTACGATGAATTTACATTGATTTTCTATATATTTACCATACTATACTAAGAATTACATTTTAACTTTATTATGTATATATTTACAATAAAATAAAAGATTGTTTATGGCGTTTCGTCCGAGATAAAATACTATAAGTTTTACTCTTATGCAGCTCGTGCAAATTTTCTTTGGGATAAGGTACTAAAAATTTGCATGGATGATCAGGCTCCGCTATAATCCTTTTGATTTCTTGGGTAGTTGCTAGTTCACGCCTGCTTTTTAAAGATGGCAAGTAGTTTTTATCTAGTTGTAAAATTCTTAGACTTCTTGATCAGTTGCTATGTGAACGTCGATCCTCTGCAGTTATAGTTGCTGGAGGCTTCAATGACTTAAACTTGACTAATTTGTGTAATTGTTTCAATTTAAAAAAATCTATCCTATACCCAACCAGAGGAAAAAACGTTTTGGATCAAGTCTTGACGAATATGCGAGATATGTACAAACCAACACATCATCTACCACCTTTGGGACGTTCTAATCACCACCAATGCCTTCTATTAGTGCCAAAACAGAAAGAAAAAATAACAGCAATTCCCAGATAGGTTAGACTCTCAACATCTGGAAATCTAAATGTCTTATGCAGAAAACTTATTCTTGAAGATTGGTCGGAGGTCTTTAATGTAGAAGATGGCAGTAAATTTGGCAGTAAATGCTGAAGAACATCCATGGTAACGTTGCCTGCAACCAGGCCCACAGCATCCCGGGAAGATGAATCATCGGCACGATCGCCTGATATACGATGTTGTATACTTTTTAATAAAGATTTCATTCGCCTCTCGCGCCACGGTCGTCTTGAGGCAGCGGTCTCCTCATCTCCATCATTGGTACACGCCTCATTTGGTTCAACATCATTCGAAATTACGTCATCGTTATCGGGATCGGAGAATACCGGAAGTTTGTCGAGAAGTTTATCGTTGCGCTGGTTCTTCAAACAAAACCAAAGAGTTATTTTTCACTTTTTTGTCACATGAACTTTTATGTTGTTTGTACAATATACATAAAAGTTTTTCAGACTCATCAGACAATTGACAATTTAAGCAATTGTCTCATGAATCTGAAAAATTCATGTGACTCAACGGGATTTGAACCCGTGACCTCTGCGGTGCATGCAGTGCTCTGACCAACTGAGCTATGAAGTCACACAATGGTGAGCAGGTCAATTTTGTTGGTCAATATTGTTCAAAGTGCGAAGGTCATATCTTCATTTAATTTCAAGCACCGCACTGCATAAAAAAACATAAATGTTTTTAGTTGTTAAATTTCTTAAACTATTTCTGTATAACGATATAAATCGCAAGCATAAAAAACCAATCCTACAGAAACGCTATTTGACTCGTGAAAACTTTTGACAGACCAAAGCGTAATATCTTTAGTAAATTAAACGTTATGAATCGTGCCCGTAATATTTTCATTTTTTTTTTCCTAAAAATATCCATGTTTTTTCAAGGTGAGTACTGCGCTAAGCCTGATCATGTTCCAGCTGTTTAATGATATGAGTGGCGAAGTCTTAGGGCGATTCTTTTTCTGCTTTATGTATTGTTAAATTAGTCATTATTTTCTGTTTTAGTACAACGTCTGAAGCCATTGAATGTGGACAGAAGATGAAGGCAAAATTCACGTTGTTGACACATTTCAGTCAACGCTACCCCAAGATCCCCATTTTTAATACAAAATTTAATGACTGCGTTGGCATTGCTTTTGATCACATGATGGTATGGCTGCTGTTGACGTATACGTAGGATGTTTGTGTGGGAAATTGAATGATAAAGGGGGATTGGATTATGACTGCGTTGGCATTGCTTTTGATCAAATGATGGTATGACTGCTGTTGACGTATACGTAGGATGTTGGTGTGGGAAATTGAATGATGTAAGGGGATAAAGGGGGATTGGATTAGAAAATTTTAATCACGATCATTTGTCCTTGTACGCACATTTATAACTGGTGGTGTGGAAAATTGAACGACAGAAGAGGATAAGGATGGATAAATTATAGTCTTCCAAATGTGATCATATGCCTTCGTATACACATTTATACATGATAGTGTGGGAGATTTAACGTCAGAAGGGGATAAGTAGGGATAAATTATAGACTTCCAAATGTGATTATATCCCATCTTATACACATTTATACATGATAGTGTGGGAGGGGATAAGGAGGGATTAAATTCAAGACATCTAACTGTATACATTTGCCTTGATACATGCATTTATAAGGAATTTCCATGTGAAGTTTATTTCAATGCAGGTGAACTTTGACAATCTTAGCGATTTGCCACAGCTACTTCGACCCCTGAAAGCCATTTTCAAAGAGGAATTTGATGAACAAAGTAAGTAATTGTGCTGGAGTTTCTATCCTGTAGCAAACATTCATTAATGGTAACCTTAAAAATAATTATATCTTATAGAAACTCAAGATTTATCAACAGTCTTCAAGTAAATATTTATTGATGCCGTTGAGTGAAATTCGCTGACCGAACTCGGCAACTCGTGAATTTTTATACATTTTTTTTGTTTGGATGTATAAAATAAATAGCGAAGAGATTTGTGTTATAAAAAAATTTGTAAGAATTTAATCTTGTTAATCATTGTTGTGCATCATCGTTTACTTTTGTGAATTTTCTTGCGACAGCATATACTGTATTCATGGTTGCGCAAACAATTTTTGGGGCTTGGGACAAAACTTTTTTGCAGCGTGGCTTTCTCTCCCCAACCTCACAACAGTAAATCAGCGTACTTAGAAATTTACTTATTAACTGTTACTATATTTGCACTTATTTTTTGCTCAGCAATATATTGTTGTTCTTATCTTGCTTTAGGGACCTCAAAAAAGCCTTTGGTGTGGGGAAAACTGGCCCTTTCCACCTCCCTCCCTCCTGTATCTTGTTGTACGCAATGCGTATCTATTTTTACGGATATAACAATTGTATTCTTGCGAGATTTTAAGCATGTTTCCTTACCATCTGGCACCAGCCTGCACCTGCAATAAACTTCTTTGTTGACTGTTTTGTATTGAAAATGCTTATGGCCTTTGTTGTTTGAACGCTCTGCGACTAGGCTATTGAAAACCTTATCTCGACTTCTCAAGCTCCAAAGGTAAAAGACAGGTGATAATTTTATTTCTTCCTATAATCAAATGTGTTTTTTGTTGTGTTTACTATGAATTAAGTCAAACTTTTCTCTTGATTTTTTGTTTTCGCTTTACTTTCTGCAGTCTATTAAAGCACACGTTGGAAGAGTATCAATGATGCTGCATCAATTGATGGTCGGGTTGCTTTGTTTTGCATTTTACTTCACTTTGTCGCAGTCAGACAAACCAAGTGGACTATCTCAAGGTATTACTGTCGTAACATATGGAATATTTTCAATTGCAAATCATTAACTTTGTAAGAAAGCATGAAATTTAGTCAGTACTGATCAATAAAGCCTACTCTCCATGTGGTCTTGACGTTGTTGCAACAGTATCTCTAATGCATCATTGTTATGACAAACTTTTAACCATGTTTACAGTATAGGGAGTATACAGTAGGTCCTCTTCGCTGTGCAACTGGCTGCTGTTTATTTAATTAGTTTACAGGCTACCGTTTGCCATATCTTCAATCCTATTGGTCACTCAATGCAATTTACTGGCTGCCACAATGGTAATCACATGCACAATAAGATATGTGTGGCAAAAAAGCAATGGAGTGGCTCTACTGTATGTTCTCCATACTGTGCCGGGATTAAGCAATAAACCTGGAGTAAACATTCAACACTACATGGTTAAATAATGTTGAACAAAGAGTAGGGGCACTGCATTGAATATTTTTGTCTTATGTATATCTTATTCCACAGAAAGTAATCTAATTTAATATGCAATACCATGTTGCCCAGCAAAGGGGTACTACTGTTAATCACATCAAAACCATTGTTGTCAACCATTGTTGTCAATGTTTTCTTTCCATAATTGTTAGTGTATGTTTTAGACAATCAGCAACATTTCAATTGAATTAATGTAAAATGTTTGTTGATTTTTATGTGCTGTGTTAATATGCACACAGTATTTTCTCACTGAAACTATGCCTCGGCCAGAATCTTGTAATTCATAGTCCAGGTTAACATGAGATCATAATATGATGAAAATATTTATGATAGGTATATACTGAAGGATGTGCTGCTACAGTAAAAGGTACTTTGTTATCTGGCATTTTATTGTTATTAATGTTATTTGTGTATAGATCCCATGTTCAAAGGGGGAGTTTCAAGTGTGGGTTTGCCCTCTCTGTCCAATCTTTGAAGCACAAAGACATCAAGTGTGGCAAATCACTTTACCTGACTCATGAATCAACAACTGGACAATCACACCATAACATGCCCTGCAACTTCAATGTAATTTAATACTTTTCTATTCTATTTTTCTAATCATTTGAAGCAGTGTCTAAAATTTGCAGTATCCTCAAATCTGCAGGATGGTGAAATTTTGTTTTTGGATACCAAGATTACAGTTGAACCCAAGATCAGTTTACTAGCTATCCATAGATACTGTATTGAAATGTATTACAGTTGAAACCAAGATCAGTTTACTAGCTATCCATAGATACTGTGTTGAAATGTATTACAGTTGAACCCAAGATCAGTTTACTAGCTATCCATAGATACTGTATTGAAATGTATTACAGTTGAAACCAAGATCAGTTTACTAGCTATCCATAGATACTGTGTTGAAATGTATTACAGTTGAACCCAAGATCAGTTTACTAGCTATCCATAGATACTGTGTTGAAATGTGATAATTAAACAGCATTTCACATGTCAATTTATTGCAAAGTGGAAATTCCTTTTACTGATGAGATTAAGCAATGGGTTACATTGTATTTGACTCCATGATTAGAAAAGCAGACTAGTTACGTGTCCAGATTTCGGATACCTGTAGTATCCCTGTGGATACTTGAAAAAAACTTAAATTTCAGACCCTGTGAGGTATTTTGTAAGTGTCTGCAGATCATGATGTCAGACATGTGTTTGTCTACAATTTTGGTGTATTTCATGTATCATCTTCTATAACATAAGTCATTCACTGGCACCAATCATCATCAACCGCAGCAATGCTGATGCTAAAATCATAGTATATCTAGTGGTGCACATTCCAAAAAAAATAGGGAAGTTTTGCATTTTAGCAGAAACTGGGACAGGGGGACACCCTTATGCATACCAGTGAACATAACTGACTGCTTGCTAAATATTGCTAAATATTGCTTGACTTTTTAAAACTATGAAGAAAACACGATCATAATACTCTTCCGTCTTCAGATGGGAGAAAGACTCGGGGTCTCACACCCTCTCTATGACAGCAACCACATGTGCCCTTCGTAACTGACCTCTTAATGAATTGATGTTCCAGAACTACTAAAGAAAGTCAATGACAAGACAGGAGAAAGTCAAGTTAAGGTCATAGAAGCAATGGAAGATATCTGCAATCTACAGAATTTCAGAGCTTATGAATATTCACCTCCAAAAACTGGTCAAGCTTGCAAACATCTGATTGGTCAGTAGCAATGTACCTAATTGTTGTGGTTTTTGAATAATATTTTTTTCATGAAATTTTGTTTAGAGAACTACGATGAGGAAATCGAAAATATCCTTGTTGAACAAAAGGATGTTGACTTTGAACAAAAGATTTGTTTTGATCTCACAAAAGCATGCGAGGGAGTTGATCGAACAAAGAAAGAAAAAGAAGAACTGGAGGTCAACATTAATGACAAAAAACAAAAAGTTCAGTCAGGTAATGGACCCGAGCACTTTCATGTGAACATTAACGAAGAAGGTGCCGCTGAAAAGCTGGTGAATCAAATAAACATGGCAGTTGGTGAAAAAAAGAAAAGCGAAGATGTGGATGGTGATGGTAAGGCAGATGATGAAAGTGATGAAGAAGATGATGAAGATGATGAAAGTGATGAAGAAGATGATGAAGAAGATGCTGAAACTTTAATTGATCAAGCAAAAAATCAAAAAACCGAGTTATAGTCAAAATGATCATCTTGTTTAAAATAACAAGTTAGGAAATGTACATAGTCAGAACAACTAAGCCTAATGTGCTTACTATATTACCATTATAAAGTAGATAAATACTTTGTTAAAGTTCCTATTAAAATGACCTAGAGATTATTGTTACACTAGTAAATTAGGTCTGCTAATCCAAAAGTTATCTTTAATAATGTCAATGTGTAAAGTTACAACTGTGGGATGTGCACGAACTATCGCTTTATCTTTCACTGCAACAGTCTTCTAAAAGAAAGCAAGAAAATTGACATGAATTAATGAACAAGAATACTAAGGAAAAAAACAGTAATTTTGTATCACATACTTGTTCCCAAAGCAATATTGATCCTTTTTTATAAATCTCTGGCAGTTCATTGTAGTTGATATTGAACTCAGAGAAGAGAATTTCATTTTTGTCACTAGACACTGTGCCCTAAAGTCACACAAGACTAGAGTAATAACATTGGTTTATACATGCAAAGTAATGACTGGCTACCTACACAAAGTCGTTTTTCTGCATCTTCAGGGCTAATACCGGCCTTCTTTACAAGATTCCAGAAACATGTATTGTACAAATTGTTGATGTGACCTCTCAAAAAATGATGATAAAATATAAGATATTAATATTTACCTTAAGAAGTTTAATATACTTGCTAACAATATCACAACACGCTTCTATTCAGAAAGTATTGTCAAAGGAGCCACTTACAATCTGCTTGTCGCCAGCTGAGGTAATCTCTTAGATTAGTTTCTGTGGGATAAAGAATCACTCTACCATCAAAAGTTGGAGGATACTCGAGTCTTTTTTCAACAAAATACTCTGGCCAGTGAAAAACATAACATGATGCAAAGTATGAGGCCAAATTTGTCATGAGTTTGCTGTTTATAAAAAAACAACAGTTGGTCGATGTCCAGTTAACAATTCTCACAACTTGAAAATGTGATAGGAGCATAATAGTAATAATAAGTTGACTATGTTGACATGATAGAAGATAATTGTCATACCTGGCCCTTCTTTTGAATAGTGTGGTAGATCGCTTGAATACAAAACTAAGAATGAATTTTAATATTAAAGTCAAAACCACCACAAGCCAACACTCTTCACACAAAAACCTCATGCTTGGTTATGAAAAGTTATGAGGGGTAATAGTACATTGGCAATGACCTTATGAGAGTTCTTGGCCTCCATAAGGTATTCTGGCAGAAGTAGAGGTTCAATAGTATATTGCAGTTTATATATGGTTGACTTGTTCATGCATTCACCAGCCAAATAAACGACAAACAACCTGTAGGCTACAAGGTTGATTGTGGTTCTCAAAACTATTTAGTGCTTTTGTACTTTTATAGTCATTCAAATATAACCTGAAATCAAGTCATGCAGACTCTAAATGTTGTTTGTGAAGTAAATGTGATGGTACATACCTGTATTCATCACTTTGACCATAGGCAAGAATAAGATCCTGAAATTCCTTAAGCACCTCTTTTGCACATCTGTTCATCAACTTAAGTGCATTTTCGTCATTTGGTTTCTCAAACTCGTGGCAATCAGAAAACCTGTAGAAGATTTGGCAAAGAGATTAAAACTCACCATGCAGTAAACAAAATGATTGTTGTCGGCTCAGATTTATTGAGAAGTAAAAATTTGAGTGGTCCCCACACTTTTATTCTTAATAAAGTAAATGGTTTGAACCCAGGAGCTCTGAAGATGACTAGCGCAAAGGTTGTCGAAACGTCAGTCAACAACAACAACAACAGTCCTTCTCAGGACTCTTAACCTGGACGATCTACATCCACAAACATGTTACTTTTATTCAAACCACTCACCGATGAAAGTTTCGTCCGTCTAACCGTACAACAATGAAGCAGTTCAACAAGCAACTGTCGTTGTTCTCAAATTTTCTTGTATATTCAAACTTACTTTTAGCCATTGAAAGTTGTAACAGTGGACACACGTGTTATTGGCTTTTGTATCCAAATATCTAATCTATCCTCGAAATGGGAATTCGGGTGAGAAGTTATGATTTTTCAAAATGAATCTCCTCCTTGGCAACCGAGGAATATTGTAGAAAGGCCAAGGAATTCTGTAAATATAACGTAAGCGAAGCATGAGTGACCGTAAATAACAAAGAGATAAAGAGACTTTAAATGCATAGTGTGACTCGACATTAAACAAGTTATTTTGCATTCTTTTTTCTTGTGACATGAGCGAAGAGGAGAAAACAGAAGTCAGTACCTTTGTAAAAGGTTATTGTGTTTATAAACACATGACAAATAAGTAAGTTCAACCGAACAAATACTCATAATGTGTGAAGTCGCTTCATAAATTTTATAAATGACAATAATGACAATATCACGTAATTAACCGTTCTTGGGTTTGAAGTAGATCTCGCAACTTTTTTTAAATAGTACAGTATGTTACAGAATGTTAACTGCTTTGCGTCTTTAGTAGTTAATGGTTGTAAGTATTTTATGGAAGGGCTCAGCAAGTGTGCGTTGACTGTGGCTTTTATAGAGGGTTTAATAAGAATTTAGCGACCGGAAATAATATGAATATTTTATGTTGGGGGAGGGAGGCATTACGTTGTGTTCTTGGTCTTACAACTGACTAATTGCTGGACCATATGAGCTGGGCTGGCTATGGGAGGCGTGCTGGCTTATCTTACAAAGCATCTTGCTTAAGAAAAGCAGTATCTCTTCTTAAACCAGTTAATGTAAATGCATAAGGTGGGCTTGCTGCCATGCAAAGCCAAACAGTGCACAAGCACATCTTCATAAAAATTAGTTCAATGCAAAATGTTGGGCAAGTAAAAAAGACTTTAGCTGGACCATGACTTTCTTTCAGGCTATGGAAATTACAGGAAATATCAGGGTTTAGACATAGAAGCTATATCCAGTTTATTATCAGATCAGTGGTTTAGACTTTTATGCTGCATGCATTGATAAATATCTATGTCTGTATTTGCTGGGCTAGCCTGCCTTGTGTGAATCAAATAATGAACTGGCTATGCAGAGCACCGTGCCTAGTAAAAATGATCATCCTGGCTTGTGTGAGTATTTCCATTTGGGAGAATTTTATATAAAGCAATCAACAAGCAACACTGCTTTTTGTAACAAGTGATCGCAAATTTCTGATACATTTAAATATAATAGCCACACTTTAGTCATTTTTGCACTGAATTTTCATTCATTCTTTAGCCCATTGCCGAGGGCCAATGAATCCTGCTGCCCAAAAAGTGTGCCAAAGGTGCTTGCAGAGATGTCCACATTATGCCCGAACTTCAGGTCCTTGTGATTTCAAAATTGAAATGTTCTTTCTTGATGAAAATTTTTATTTCAAAATCAAACTTACATTTCATAATTTGTTTTAGCTTATCATTGCTTCTAACTGACCTAAAACCCGAGCAGGAATTACCGCTGCAAGATTTCCTGATTAAACGGCTTTCCCGTAACAACATGTACAACAACACGACAGGCAGTATTGCAACACTTAGCAACTCGGATATATCGGAAAAACCGGTGATGTGTTTCTTCAAACTGATCAGAGGTTCTACAGCTGCTCAGAAGGAAAGCGATACCGAGGCTTCGTAAGTAATATGAGATTTCATCATCAGGAAACAATGTTATTGCGATAGAAAACAAGTATCTTTCATTGATATTTTCTCGAATTTTTTTGTAGATATGAAAACGAAGATTTGTCGCGACCGTGTTCGCAGGGTTCCTCTTGTGTTTCGTTGCTAGCGAAGAAAAGAATTTATATTTATATCCTTTTCGCTTGAAGATTTTTTTCCACCGTTTTTTGTTGTTGTAAATATGAAAATTGACCACTTCATACAAATTTTCCTGACATAATCTACGTTCCAACAAGAACTTGAGGCATTTTGCAAAGGTTATGAAAAATCGCTTGAAACTCCCTGCAAGGTCGGTACTGGCTTTCAGCGACGAAACACACTCAAAATTTATAGCATCAAATCATTTTCTGTGTTTTCTGCCGGAATTTATAATGCGTAAATTAAAACAAAGGGAGAAGTCAGCGTTCTACATTTAAGGAAATTTTTCACTATGCGGAATATTCAGTGCTTTAAAGCTGATAACGCGCGTGATTGGTCGATGATGTCGTCAGTGTTTTTTGACAGCCAATCATTTTACAAATTTCACTTTACGCACCGAAAATTCCGCTTAGTTGAAAATAGGGTTTACGTGGAAGGTGAACGCATTTTCTTTCGAAAAGGTGCAAAAAATAAGTTGATAAGTAGCCATTGTTATACTTACTTTCATAGGCGTACGGAAGCTTCTGTATCCGCAGGGTGTGCTGGTAGTTTACTTGTCAGAATTTCTAACATATTTAATCTTAATTTAGGAGCCATTTGATGTAGTATTTTCTAATCACAGGCGCGGAAGGCGCGAGGATTGATGATCCCCCGGGAAATTTCGATTTCCTAAACCTGTTATTCGCTGTTCACTGCGTTTTAAAGACTCTTTCAAACCAGAAAATGCTACATAAAAACAATGAAAATAATCGATTCAAAGCTTTTCGTGCCAAGTGTGAAACCGCCATCCTAACGTGCTTTCAAATCTTATTGGGGTTACTGCCCGTTCAATCATCCCCTCCCCTCCCCCTGTTCCTCGCACTTACTCCAATTTTATCGCTTTAATATAGGTGGATAAAAAGCCAAGTGAAATTTTCAAAGATTTCGATGATTGGTATGATATAAACGTAAGAATGTTACATATGTGATGTACTAAAGACTTCTTTTGTTTTGATCGTATTGAAATGTTTGTTTGTTTGTTTTAGATCAGTTACGTGTCCAGATGTGTAGAGTTTTTAAACTCACATTTGGCTACTGTTATAAACATTGTAAGTTCTGAATGAAGAATTTTGCTACCAGTTAATTTAAGCCAATGTGGCCAGCCTGCAAGTTTGTTCGTGCTGAGTAAATATATTAGCGTTTACTCATTGTAAATGCGATAGATTTCTAACAAAATTAATAATGCTGATGTTCTCAAATTTACACAGTAGGACTAAAACTTTGCGAAATGACTTCGCTACTTGTTTAAGCACGACCTTATATCTATTGATGGTAAATTTTAACCTTTTGCTTAAGAGCAGTTGCACTAATTTCCCATAGGACCAACATGACAATGTAGGCAACAGCCATATTGATGTACCAAAACATAAAACTTCATTAAAATGCTTTTCAATAATTTCATCGACTTAGCGCCAATGACGTCGAGTGAAAATGCTGTATTGAATTTTAAAAAAAACTTGAAAGCTTTCTTTGGGTAAATGCACTTCCACGAAGCCAATTTTCGCCTCCAAACACATTGTAAAGTTCTGAATTTTAGCTGATTTCTCTTTTGGAGGATTGAAACTAATTGAGATGCTTGTTTAAAATGTTGGCGAGAAGGATAGCCTTTCAATTTTATCCAGGTCAATCTGGTTCAATAGAACGCTATCTGGAGCAAATAATTGAAGTCAAATTTTTCACCCAGACACGCGAGATTACACCCAGACACGCATGTTTAGTGTTTCGAGATTCTTTTGCGGAGTAAAAATTGAATGAACTACACACGCGTGTCTGAGTGTAAGATTTGGCTTCAAAAAGTTATTAGGCTTTTCTGTTACAGGTAGCGTTCCATGTATTTTAGTTCAATGGGTTCAATGGCTTTAGCTCGTAAAATGAAGCCAAACTTGGAAGAAAGTGAAAAGTGCTTTTAATTAGAGCCATAGAAATAGACCAAAAATTGTAAAATTGAATTTATTGTGACGTTTCGTCTTTACTCGAGACATCTTCAGACAATTAATTAATAGGATGTTAAGACAAGATATTATAATTTACAAAAGGTGCAGTAATTCCTCCTTTAGTAGTAATTTAACATCTTTTGTAAATTATAATTATCTTGTCTTAACATCCTATTAATTAATTGTCTGAAGAAGTCTTGAGTAAAGACGAAACGTCACAATAAATTCAATTTTACAAATTTTGGTCTATTTCTATGGCTCTAATTAAAACTTTATGTTGGGCACTCCTTTTTATTACACGAATTCGATTTCCGCTCGGCAAATCTCTCGCTACTATTTTAAAAAGTGCTTTTGTTTACTAAATCAATTAAAGTAATCCAGTCGTAGTTGTGTAAAATAAAAAAATATTTTAAATCCCCTAAACATTTGTACCTTGCCTCCATAATTCGAGCTTTTATTTTGTGGAAATGGGTTGAATATTTTGGCATTCTTCAGGGTTTGGTGAATCAATCTCTAGCAATTGAGGGCTGTGATGAACGATGCAAAGAGGACATACAAAGGTCAGAGGTCAAATAAATTTTTTTTAATCTTTGGCCCGTTTCATACTTCGCATTTCACATCAGCCGAACGCATTAAAGACAAAAGCAAATGAGATAAAATTCCTCATTATCTTTTGTTTTAAATGCATTCGGCTCATGTAAAATGCGACGTATGAAACAGGCCTTAGGATGGTGGTTAAAAGTTCATTCCATTTCAATTTTGATCTCGTTTTATGACTAAGAAAGTTGTGCAGGATTTTAATGTGGAACTTGAATGTGCAATATATATTATTTTTGTGTAATTTTCCATCAGATTCGTCAGCGCGTGTAGTTTATCAAATTTATTGAGCATTCCGATGATAACGGTACGCAGTTTTGATTCAAGTTTGTTTTTCTCCTGAATGTTAAATTATTAAATGCACTTAAGGTTTTGGACATAAGTGTTTGACAACAATTTCATTTAATGATTGACTACTTGACATTGCTTTGGCAGTCCCTGTAGACCTCAGGAACCATTAGGAAACTGAGATATCTTCATTAAAATTCTATTTGGCCAATTTATTCAATAAGACCCCGTTCCGCTATTTCTGGGTAAAAACCTTGCGTTTGTTTATTGTTAAGAACACTGTTTGGATAGAAAACCTCTTCTTAAAATGCGTCCATTACTGATGCGTCCAGCATTTTTAGAGCTACGGGCATGTGGTGCGTGAAAATATTTTTCTTGTATTGTTGCTTCACTCTAGGATAGCAATTGTGAGCTGTTGAAGCAATTGTATTTAAAACAAAAAGAAGTCAACACATTGAGAATCGCAGAATCAACTTTCAATTTTGATCTAAAGCTAAATGAAGGTTAGTGGTTCGTCCTTATATGTGACCGCAAGTCATCATGGGAAGAATTTCTCAACTTTTGATTTCTCAAAACGTCTTTCGTCTTTAAAAACAGGTCTTTAAGAACTATTGGGTTAGTATATAATATATTAATCCTAACACTGTTTTTTAATATGCACATAAAAAACATGTGACTTGGACGAGATTTGAACTCGCACCTTCGGGATACTAGTCGGGATACTGGCGAGAATCTCTCGTCCATATGCAGTTTAAAATAGATTTAACTCGTTTCCAATCGCTGTGGGCTTGGTAGCTCAACAGGTAGAGCGGCGGACTAGTATCCCGAAGGTGCGAGTTCAAATCTCGTCCAGGTCACATGTTTTCATGTGCATATAAAAACCGTGTTAGGATTAATATATTATATATATTGGGTTAGTGTTCTGGTTTTGAACAGTTCTTTTAAGAACTATTAACTTATTATTTTTACCATTCACCATGGTACATGCCGTTTTTCAAAACCGATTTTTATATTTAAAGTAATTCCAGCAAATGCTAATGCAACGTCGTAATAAGGTAACATATCTATTAACGTACCAAAATATTTCATTTCGAAAAAAAGTATCGTTTCTTACTTGTATTTGCTGTTTTTACTGAAATTCATGAATATAATATCTGAACAACGCAAATTAATTCACTAGAAACGTGTACTACAAAATACTTAAGGGTCCCCCTCAATAAGAACTAGATTTTCTTGCAAAAAACGGTATCACAGTTAAAGTGCTTTAAAATATCTCTAGACCACGTTTACTTATGTCATGATTTTTCCATTACTAGAGGTTTGTGATATATGTAAAAACTGGGCTAACACGATGACAGGTGGCAATCAAAATGATCCCATCTTTCTGCGACAAGTTATGGAGAATTACAAACTAAAAGTATGCCGGTTTACTCAAGTTTAATGTGAGATTTTATCATTTTAACGAATGGTTGGTGTTTGACTGTTACCACTGAACTAAATGTATAACTGGAATGCTATCTTTAGATAAACATACCTTTATTTTTCGAAGCAAAATTTTATCCCCAGACACCTCTAGATACTCCACTGAACTAACTATATAACTAGAATGCTATCTTTAGATAAACATACCTTTATTTGCATGAAGCAAAATTTTATCCCCAGACACCTCTAGATACTCCACTGAACTAAATATATAACTGGAATTCTAACTTAAGATAAACTTACCTTTATTTGCATGAAGCAAAATTTTATCCCCAGACACCTCTAGATACTCCACTGAACTAAATATATAACTGGAATGCTATCTTTAGATAAACATACCTTTATTTGCATGGAGCAAAATTTTATCCCCACACACCTCTAGATACTCCACTGAACTAAATATATAACTGGAATTCTAACTTAAGATAAACTTACTTGTACGTAGCCAAATTTAACCTCCAGACCAGCACACCCATACATGTAAATTTTTTTACTAGATGTAGTGTGACGAACATAGACTTCATATAATTACAAAATTCAGAACAGGGGGAGTGTTTATGCTGATCCGACTAGAAATGATTAAGAAAATTTGCACATGTGGCCACACTGCGCCAGACACGCATGTTGGAGTTAGCGCTCCAGTTTATTTTACAGTTCATCGGATCCATATGATTCAAAGTCTTTTGCATTTTCCATCGAAAAATTACCGTATTCGTCGATTGAGCGACGGATTCCAGGATTTGAAAATAGTCAAAGATTGTTGCGACTCTTACTCAAATAACTACAGAACATGCATGGAATTTTAGAAAACAAGATGGCTGAAATTATAATTTTTTAAATCGGCTTTCTCGGATTTAAATTTTTACTTTTTGTCCGGAAAGCCAAATGAAGATGTAGCTATATGCGTATGTTTAATTGATAGAATGAAATTTTCTATATTTCCGTTAATTGTGTATTCAACCTCTGTCGAATTAATGCTTTTGCTTAAAGCTAAATGGAAGTTTTTACATTCTAGGTCATTCAAGATATGAACTCGTTAAAACGATTGTTAAGGGAAGCTGAGGCAGATCATTATGCTCTGTTCAAGTATGTATCACTAAGCCCTTAATAACCAAGCGCAAGGTCTTTGCTGAGAAATATCGGACCGAAGTTTTTTTGTACAGACCGAGGTTTGTACAAAAAGACAGAGGCTCGATATTTCAGTAAAGATCGAGAAAGCGAGGTTATTAAAAGGATTATTATATGGCATAATTTGACCTGAAACGAAGCTTGCTTTCTTTCTCGTCCTTGCTGTTTTTTTTTACCGGTTGCCTTTGACTTTTCTAGTTTTCGTCCGTAAAAAATAAACCTTTTCAAATTGTATTGTCTGTATAGCTAAACTGTTTTCCGAATGTTTTCCTTCGAATCACATTCGTAAATGGTTTTTGTTTCGTTTTTTCTTTTACTGTTTGCTTTACGAAGTTTGTTTACATTTGACAGTAAAATTACGCGTTTTGGACCGTGGTCGATTACGGGAAAATAATGGACCGGCAAAATTGTTTCTGAGCCAATCAAAGCGCGCCATTTTTGCCGGAAGTGACGCTTGCCATATAATAAAGGCAGATTCTTGTGAAAACAATTGTTGAAAAGGATTTCGCAAGAGTTATATTTTAACAATACTGCATATCAATGATGACGAGCAAATCTTGCGAAGTATGTTGACGGAATTCAAAATCCCATGTGAAGTCATTTTAAAGTTTGCTTGAGATTAAAGATTGACCCTCTCCCCCAGATTACGTTCTTTTAAGGCCCGTTCACACGATCCGATTTTGTCGGCTTCTAGAAAAGGATCGTGGGAACAACACAAATAAAGTGAGCCTCCGACAGTCGGATCTGTCAATCTTAAAGAATGGATGGTAATATAACTTGCTCTATTTTCATCCGACAATATCAAAGGAATAAAGTAAATAGTATGAAGCCGGGAGTATCGTTACATGTTTGTAAATGTAGATCGTCCAGGTCGGTATAGTCCTGAGAAGGACTGTTTTATTTGTTGTTGACTGACGTTTCGACAACCTTAGTGGTAGTCATCTTCAGAGTGAAAGCAGTCTTTCTCAGGACTATACCGACCTGGACGATCTACATTTACAAACATGTAATATCAAAGGAAGCCGACTAGTCAAATTACATAGATTTGAAAAAGACTTGGAAACAAGAACAAATATACGAAAAATATATCGATAAATGTACTGCATAACACAAATGGATGTTCAAACGACTATAAATATCTAAATGAATATAAATATGAACCCTCTTATTGGACCGTATGAACTAGTAACCAAAAGTCAGAACGAAACGATCGGATCGTGTGAACGGAGCTTAATGACGGCCATGCGCCTAGTGATATTTGAAATGGGTTTAGGGAAGGCTTACCAATTTCCCTACTAAATACTAAACTATACCAATTGCACACTTCTAAAAATCTCCCAATCATAACAAAAAGGTAACAGAATTCAATAAAAAGGGTCAGGCATGGTACGGCAACAACTAGCCACCTAAATCAACCTCCCCCCTTAAATCAAATCCACCACCCCACCCCCCCTTCACATCCTACAGTGTGACGTTTGGAACCAATATCTTATTTTCAATTGTGTAGGGCTTTCGTGTTTCTTACAAAGTGCCCCAGTAGCCCTATTGTGATGTGGCACATTCGTATATCTTATTTTCAATTGCATAGAGCTTTCGAGTTTCTTACAAAGTGCCCAGTAGCCCTATTGTGATGTGGCACATTCGTATATCTTATTTTCAATTGTAGGGCTTTCGTGTTTCTAAGAAAGTGCCCCAGTAGCCCTATTGTGATGTGGCACATTCGTATGGAGGCGCTTGTGTCTATGCCAAGGAGTATTTGTTATGTTATTGCTGTTTTGGATGAATTCATCACAGACAAAGGAGGATTTGCTAAAATACGCGCTGGCCCAGCGATGCCTTAATCGATGCCTCATTTGGCCGTTTCAAATTTTGTCGCCATACGTTTCTATTCTTAAGTATTTTCTTATTATGAATACTCGATTGATATCCAAATTTATATTTTTTCATCCAATTCCTTCCTATTGTGGACGTCTGAATTCGTCACCAACACAACTTCTGTTTGTGATTAGCGAAAGTAGAGTAAGATATACGTCATTTTGCAATTTCCGCCGTCTTCACTCCAACATTGCCGATTTTGGCAACAGTTTGTCCGATTACGTCAAAAAGACGTGCCATTTATGTGAATCGTGTACAGTCATAGACAGACGTGAAAGCAATAATGGGTTATGTTTAGATTTCGATATACTTTTGAACAGCAAAATTGGCTCAGCGACATCACCTTGAAGTCTGGCTGTCACTGTTTAGCAACCATTTCTAGAATACATTATTTGTTTCTTGGTAGAATAATAAATAAACTTTTTCCTTTATTCATCACTACCTCTACACTGAAGTGAATTTTTTCCTACTCAACGTATGAATAGACGCCCACACTCACAAGCAAAACGTACTTCCTGAGCTTATAATTTGCAACAAAATTACTCCCCCGTGTTTCGATGTGTGTATATATAATTTGCAACAATATTACCCACCGTGTTTCGATGCGTGAATATATAATTTGCAACAATACTACTCCCCCGTGTTTCGATGCGTGTATAAATAATTGCAACACTCACTAACTTGCGATTTATCAGTTACGTGAAAATTGGACGAATAGGTGACTTGCCTTGTTTACGTTTTGTTGGTAGGCAAATTAATCTCAAGAGAGGGTTGACCATTGTTGCTGTGTTGTACAAAGCTACCCGACCAAATTTGCCTGCCAGCAAAATGTAAACAAGACAAGTCGTCTATATTGCAGGAAAACGAGTGATTAAAATGCGAATCTCTATTTCAACACGTTGAACTTCATTTGATGTTTTTAAATAGAACTAGTCCGCGACACTCCTTTCGTAATTAACTCCCACACTGTCTAATTGTTTGTGTATGGTTGACCTTTAGACGGCGAGTATTTGTATTCGAGCCTAGTGATCTTCGATATTCGTGTCCCGAGACATGTCGTGGATCGCGTATTTTGTATGTTATTTATGAAGCCGCTGACCATTAAATATTGCAGTAATTTAGATTTGAACTAAAAAGTCTTCGCTACTCCACATGATGCATTGGAGCGCAAGGTTCACAACCGGATTCATATTATTAAATCTGTATTTTCCACATTTCGTTAGCTATGAACAGATAAAGACATAGACGGTGTTAGAGTTGGCAGTTGTGTAAATAAATTTATGGACGGTGTAGGTGTCACCTGTTTTATAGATAAATATATGGACGGTGTTGGTGTCACTTGTTTTATAGATAAATATATGGACGGTGTTGGTGTCACTTGTTTTATAAATAAATATATAGACGGTGTTGGTGTCACTTGTTTTATAGATAAATATATGGACGGTGTTGGTGTCACTTGTTTTATAGATAAATATATGGACGGTGTTAGTGTCACTTGTTTTATAAATAAATATATAGACGGTGTTGGTGTCACTTGTTTTATAAATAAATATATAGACGGTGTTGGTGTCACTTGTTTTATAGATAAATATATGGACGGTGTTAGTGTCACTTGTTTTATAAATAAATATATAGACGGTGTTGGTGTCACTTGTTTTATAGATAAATATATGGACGGTGTTGGTGTCACTTGTTTTATAGATAAATATATGGACGGTGTTGGTGTCACTTGTTTTATAGATAAATATATAGACGGTGTTGGTGTCACTTGTTTTATAGATAAATATATGGACGGTGCTGGTGTCACTTGTTTTATAGATAAATATATGGACGGTGTTGGTGTCACTTGTTTTATAAATAAATATATAGACGGTGTTGGTGTCACTTGTTTTATAGATAAATATATGGACGGTGTTGGTGTCACTTGTTTTATAGATAAATATATGGACGGTGTTGGTGTCACTTGTTTTATAAATAAATATATAGACGGTGTTGGTGTCACTTGTTTTATAGATAAATATATGGACGGTGTTGGTGTCACTTGTTTTATAGATAAATATATGGACGGTGTTGGTGTCACTTGTTTTATAGATAAATATATGGACGGTGTTGGAGTCACTTGTTTTATAGATAAATATATGGACGGTGTTGGTGTCACTTGTTTTATAGATAAATATATAGACGGTGTTGGTGTCACTTGTTTTATAGATAAATATATGGACGGTGCTGGTGTCACTTGTTTTATAGATAAATATATGGACGGTGTTGGTGTCACTTGTTTTATAAATAAATATATAGACGGTGTTGGTGTCACTTGTTTTATAGATAAATATATGGACGGTGTTGGTGTCACTTGTTTTATAGATAAATATATGGACGGTGTTGGTGTCACTTGTTTTATAAATAAATATATAGACGGTGTTGGTGTCACTTGTTTTATAGATAAATATATGGACGGTGTTGGTGTCACTTGTTTTATAGATAAATATATGGACGGTGTTGGTGTCACTTGTTTTATAGATAAATATATGGACGGTGTTGGAGTCACTTGTTTTATAGATAAATATATGGACGGTGTTGGTGTCACTTGTTTTATAGATAAATATATGTACGGTGTTGGTGTCACTTGTTTTATAGATAAATATATGGACGGTGTTGGAGTCACTTGTTTTATAGATAAATATATGGACGGTGTTGGTGTCACTTGTTTTATAGATAAATATATGGACGGTGTAGGTGTCACTTGTTTTATAGATAAATATATGGACGGTGTTGGTGTCACTTGTTTTATAGATAAATATATGGACGGTGTTGGTGTCACCTGTTTTATAGATAAATATATGGACGGTGTTGGTGTCACTTGTTTTATAGATAAATATATGGAATGTAATATTCATTTCTACATGTATGATTTATTACATTTTGATGACTTCAAATAAGAACAAAAGCTTTAGACGTTGAGACCAAGAGTCCTTTTACGGCAAAAGGACGCCCACTTACAGGTTATTGACAGTTTCCACGAGCCTCGACATTGTTTCTTCCTGTTTGATCTTTAAGTCTCAATCGATATTATCATAACAAACACATCGTATGGTGTTTGTTCCTAGTGGTGTTCGGTTTACTTTGTCCATACACTGTTGTACTGTACTTGTGTATACGCATTGGAATAGCGACAATGTCATCTACTGAAAGTTATCGAGACCTTTTGGAGGAAAAGCGTCTTGAGATTATCAAAAATGTAAACTGCGAACGAACACGACTTCTTGATCATTTGCGTGCCAGTCGCCATTTTGATCAAAGTGACTGCGAGCTTATAAAAGCAGAGATTACAAACGATGCTCGCGTTGGTAAACTCATTGATTTCCTGCTTCTGAAAGGACCCGATGCTTTTCAGTGCTTTGTCGATGTCATGCAAATAGAAAATCCATCATTGTATGAGTTGCTTACGGGAGAGAAGCGACCGACAGTAAGTGACAACATTTTGCTTGAACTTCTTTAGAATAAGGTATTTGACGTGTATTTTACTCATATTTATAAACTGTTGAACATTCATTTCTGTGGTATATTTATCTTTGAAAATACGTTTAGCTTTAAGCAGTTAAGCAATATTGTTATCGGGTGTTTAACAATTACTTGGTATGTTTTGTTTGACATTTTTGAGGTCGGAATTGCATAACTGATTAACGGATTTTCGTGTTTTAAGAGATTGGATTCCTCCATAAAGTTATCTAACATACGAGCCCGTAAAGATTACTCGGTTTAGAATTTTTGTTGCTAAATGCACGATTCGGACAAATTTAGTTGTAAATTGTTTCGGCTGCACCTTTTGTGTGTTTTGTGGCATAATTAGTGACGAAAGTGCCTGCTGTTGTTCTTTTTCAATAAATGATGGCGATCACGAATTAGTTTAGTTTTTTCAACATCTTTAGCCCACGTCGACAGTGTTAAAGTATGGACGACATTCTAGAAGAGGGAAAATTCGTATTTCGGCATTGCTCCCTATGATTGTACGGAAAAAGCCTTTGCGCTGCCAAATTTCAACTTCCGATGGAAATGTGCCGCGCAGTTTCTGAATGATATTTGTACAATCAAAAGCAACAGCATTTTTTGTCTTCCGGTTGCTATATATGTTATATACTCACGAATGTAGCGCTTTTTTATTGTGCAAATCGCAACTTGAAAAAAGTTCAGCGTGATGTCGTTGTAGGGCAATTTTTAATGGACGCTCGATCAAAATAAATTGACGGCGACGGCCTGTTAATGAGAAAGCGTGAAGTAAAGGAAATCAGACAGATAATTTCGATATTTATCTTAGCAGTGGGCTATCCGCCTACGTAAAATGCTATGATTAAGTGATTTGGACTCGAAAGATACATAAAAAGTTACCGAAATGTTTCAAATTTGATATAAAAGTCACAGTCTTGTTAGTTCGTTTGAATGGTACCAATTAGTCAATTACTGCCAAACAAGGTTATGCTGTTCGTTTTTGACGTAATGGCCACAGGGATCTTCAAAAGCGGCAATATTGAAATGAATACGGCCAAATTGCAAAATGACGCATATTTTACCGTAATTTCAATTACAACACGACAATGGATATGTTTGGTCGAACCATAGAGTATCACTGCTAAGAACTCTCTGATATATATTACTAACATCAATACTGCACTAGCAAGGAGGCTGAGAATGCCCTCCCCTCTCCAATACACCCCCCGTGTTTGCAATTGGTTGTACGGGTGTTGCTTATTCGCTACAGGTAAACGACGAAAAAAACTTCCACTTTCCACAGACTTCCCTTTTTCCTTTTTGCCTTTTCTAAGTTTGTATTTCAAGTGACATTTGACTATTTCTATTTTTGAAAAATCATTAAAAGTAAATGTTCGGAGTGTAAGGACAATGAAGGATTTAGGGGGATTTTTTTGCTTATACCTTAATCAAAAAGGAAAGCTTGCACTCATCGTTTTTCGATAGCTGATAACGAATATCTCAACATATGAAGCACATGCGCAATACAAGTTGTCGAACGCTCGATGAAGAGAAGATATCGTTTTCTGTTTTGTAATGCATGTATAGGCTCTCAGAAACGATCTTTATGAAAGTTTATACACACTGTAGTGTATATTGACTGGATGACACATGTGATGTGAAATCAATGCCCGAAGTTGGCTTGTTTGTATAAGTTTTGTTGCTCGCACTTTCCCATTCTTTGATGATTTGAATAATTCACAGATCTGTTTTTCCATTTGATGGTATTTTTTCTGTACCAGTAGGGATGTTTCGAAGGAATAAAAATGCTTCAAAGATCTGTTTTTCTATTTCAGTAATGTGTTAAAGGAATTAAAATACTATACAGATCTGTCTTTTCTTTTGATGGTATTTTTTTCAGTGAAGTCTTAAATGTTTCAAAAACCTAAAATTTAGAGTTTGGATTACCAAATCGTGGGAAATTGGGAACGATAAACTATAACCTAATGAACCGACTTCCGGCTTCCATTTTCGTACTGTAATATATGTCTGGATGCGTTATCCAGTTGATTATACATATCAGTGGTTACTCCTGCTGTCTCTAAGTCTAAAAATAGAGAATGTTTTGGGATTGAACAGTATAAGAATGTATCGGTGAAGGATATTTGGGAAGCGACAGAGATACCTTAGATTATTTATTTGTATACATTGTACACGATGTCTTACTACCGTGTCAAGATGAGGCAAGGATGCCATCTTCGAAGAAAGCGAAAAGCGAAATTCAAATTAAAAAGTAATTTAAAACAAAGTATAAAAAACCCATCGTATCAAATATTTTAAGAATCAAACCTAAAGACTATCAATTTTGCGACTCTATATCAAGTCAGAAAAAGCAGATATTAGTCGTAAATATCATCAGTTTTGGCGAGATTACACCCAGACACGCGTGTGTAGTTCACTCAATTTTCACTCCGCGAGAGAATCTCGAAACACTACTCAGGCGTGTCTGGGTGCAAGATTTGCCTTCATTTATTTGCTTCGGTCGCGTTCCATTAGTTTAATGTTGCTATACAACTTCGGCGGAGGCAGATATCTAGAAGATTGGGTTCTAGGTCGTTGATTGTACATAGCTTAGCAAAAAGGAACGCTAACAAAAGTGATACGCTCGAAATGTTTCATATTTTTGGTAACTAATAAAATATGTGACTATTTAAAGCAGTTTCGATACGGAAGTCAATTGTCAAGGGTTTTTGAATTCAAGATTTAAAATACCTCTCTTCTTTTGTACATTATTAACACTTTTATAAACCTTTTGTCGTCCTGTTTGCACTGAAGAACAAAACTATTTGATGGCGATAAATACGCGTCTTATTTTTCGAAATGTTTTTGTCGGTAATTTAGTTTATTTTCTCAATATTACTTGAAGAGGTGACAATTCATAACTTGTAAACCGAGTGAAGACGGATTTCTACTGCTTAACTTCTGCTCAAATATTTCTCAAATAAGCCCATCCATTAACGAAAATTCGAATTCAGTCCTTGGCTTACTCTTCTCGAAGACAGTCCGTATTTTACAAAAAAATACCATCGAAGCGTATTTAAGGCATTCACTAAAATGTAGAAATAGTAAACAATACCGTTTGGGGGTACATACTAAACGAACAAACTTTGTTATTTAACTTCCAAAAACAATAATTTTTGGCCAATTGATTCGCTACTTCCGTCAACACAAACCACGTGCTCCACCCGCGGTTCAAGTTCCGGTTTCGATCCGGAAATTGGTCACTACTCCACCGACGGCGAACCTGACAATTTACGTTCTTGCAACATTTTTCATTGGCTGCCTTTGTGTGACATCGAGATGGTAGTAACTCTTTGCGAGGACGTATAAAGCTGATAAGATCTCATAAGGGAATTTTTTATTAAACATGGACATTAGCAGTTATGAAATTTGGTTCCTTCGCCAGGTATCGTTTGTCGTCGTAGTACGAAACGTAAACAAACGTATGTGCTATTGATGCTTGGTAACTTCGTTCTTACATAACGTAGATTACATATTGTGAACAAGCGTAAAGTATCTGTAACTTTAAGGTTTTAGCTGGCTAAACAACATCCTTATTTCATCGATTCTGATAGATTTTAGCAATTTAAGGTGGCGCGAACGAGTTTTGTTATTGTAATGTGTTTTGTTGAGAATTTACGTTGGAAATCGAGTTTTGGTCGTGTCTAGTTGTCTGCCCGCCACATTGTAACTGTATTACAGGAAATGTTCAGGGATGACATCAAATTACAAGTGTAAAATGCCCAACTGTGTGACTGTAGTGATTTCATCAAATACTATGATATAATCGGTGTTCGCTTTGACTAGTTTATTGACGACAAACAACGAAATGTTTGCTCCTAAAAATTCCACGATACTTTCTTGGCTAAATATGATAATATTCATCGCCTAAATGTTTTTATCAGCAAGTCAGCTGAGTCTCGCGAAGTTTCTTTTTTATAAACGATTTTACTATTGCTTCCTTATTCTGAAAAACGTCCTGTTTGAATGTCGCAACAATCCAAATTAACATTCTATCGTTATGCTATTAGAAATAAACTTTTCCTAAAAGTTTGTTGTCAGTCTGGACTCGTTGTATTTCTAACTCTGAAAAATGTAATTGTGTTCATTTTTTAGAAGTTTCATCGTTGATGAGGCAAATAGCATATGCAGACGTTCGACGTAAGTATCAAAGAGTTATTATAATAGTTTGTCAACTGCCTAATTACACCTATTGTTAAACCTTTATGGAATCCATTCAGCTCGGTATAATAACGAAAATTAGTCCTCCTCAGAATGTACTGGAATGTGGACAATCGATACCAGGAAAATTTGTTCCTGGAATATCAGTTATGGAGAAATTTAACTTTTGGTTCTCTTTCGAATTGCGATTGGGGCCATAGTCGCCCGGTTTAAAGACGCGGCTGTTTGAGCCTAGTGTTTCTTTTCTATTGTGCAATTTCTTTCTCCTACATTTTTGTACCAGCGAAAACTAATTCTGCGGGTGGAAATTTATGATGAGAAATTTGCAAAAGTTGTTAGACTTGGAAAAAGTAACGACAGAATGAGCAAATACGAATTTTATGAGATTAAAATCAGGACTTTAAAAAGTATACGCTTAATGAAGAGCTGCTTAAATTAGTTGAATATTACAGGTTGGAGTGTGTTGAGTTTTTTGTTTATCCATAACTTTGAAGTAGGTTTTCTTGCCTTTTTTGATTCTGAAGATAATTTTAAGCTAAAGATAACAGTTGTATTTTGTTTTGCTTCTTTTCATCATCATCGTTAAAAAACCCGTATTCATTTCTTACGGGCTGGTTTTTCGTGAATAGCCTGTACGCAGGCTATTTCAACCACCATACTGTACAACCAAAATAGGTACGAGTGCGTACATTTGGGTTGCCTGAATTGACAGCAATTAAGATTGAACTTATGCTTCCAATCGCTTGCAAAGCATGCTTTAGTATGACATCTTTAGTATGACAGATTTTGGTTGTTGCATTTCTTTAGTCGCAGCATTAGAAATGTCGTTACTACATAAATTTCCGTTTATGTGTCTTTGTTAAAAGTGGTTAAAAGTACATTATGTAAGTTCTTTGTGTATTTATGTATCCATTCCAGCATAGAGATCAAACTGATCAATTGTATGGATATAAGCCGGTCGGCTGCATACATGCTGCCCACGATGGCCGGCCTACCGACCTGCTTTCGTCCAGGTTATTGATCTCTATGTTCGAACTGGATGTGCAAATAAACAAAGAGCTTACATAATGTAGTTTTATCAGCTTTTAACAAAGACATATAAACGGAAATTTACTAGAAACGATATTTCCAATTCTATGTCCAAGGGAATGCAATAACCCACATCTGTTTCACTGAAAGTAGTCAAGACAAAACAACTCAAGATGTTAGACGAACGCAAACTTTGCAAGCGATTAAAAGAATCGGTTACATCTCCTTGTCGATTCAGGCTACCCACATGCACTCTCTACTTACTTATAGTTTAGTATTATTTGTCACTTTATGTCATGTTTTTTCCCGCTTTTTCCTGATTCAGTTGGTGATGTCTCTCAGCTGCAGTCCATGATTGACTATCAAGAACGAATTCTTCGAGATTTGGGCGACAGCAACAACCGATACCGCGAGGTCTTAAAGGCGAACGAAGCCTTGGAAAAAAAGCTAGAAAATGCCACCAAAGATTTGGAGTCGGAAAGAGCAAAACTAGCGCATTGCGAGAGCAGGTTGATAGTTTTCAACGTTTTGGTGATTTTGTTTTTCTTATTGACACAAGAAAACCAATGAGCCAGAGCCAACACGAAAAACATCTTTTATTTTTTTATAAAATAACATTTTGCGAAACGGATAAATTTAAAAGAAAAGTTTTAATTTTTCGTTTGACATGTATTCATAATTGATTTTCAAATTCTTTTTGATTGATTTGATTGGTTGAGCTTAGATCGATTTGCATTGGCTGATGCAAACACAGCTATAGACCAATCAGCGTACGCGCTGGTTTTTCTTGTGTTTTTTTAAACTCGGAATAATTTAACTTCATTTTCTCCTCGCATGCATAATATTTGAGTTCGTGTTGCCATTTGAATTTGTGTTTCCATTTTTGTTCCTATACCTATTGTATTATTACGTCTTTATCATTTTGCAAGATTAACTCAAGATCAAATGGTTGATGCATCTCTACTGAACAACGAAATGTTATTGTGTCGTGAATACGATGAGTTGGAGAAGGGAATTTCAGACAGAGATGTTTACATCATCGTACTGCAGATGAAACTTTTGGCCGAGAAAGAAGAAGTTGAAAAGTTAAAGACAACTATCGTTGATTTGGAACATAAGAACGAGAAAATGTCTACGGAACTGAAAAGAATGTCTCAAAGTTATAACCAAGAGAGGTTAGTGTGGTGCAATGTAGGTGAAGTGTGGATGTTGAGGGATGCAGAATGTTTGGTAATTGTTGACATGTTTTAAATGATTGAAGACGTAAATTACTCTGAATATATCTCTTACGAATATCTTTTTTATCTCTGTTTCAGTCATTGAACTAAATATATAACTGAAAAAATGGTTATGAATAATAAACATGCCTGTTATTGCATGAAGGCAAATTTTACATGAGTAAAGTCACGCGTTTAACTTCTTTGAGTCGTGCGTGGGAAGATTGGGACTAGTGTCTAGTTAAATTGCTGCTTTCAAATTTTGGCGGGAAATACGCCGTCGATGTGGTCCGGTTCTATATAGTTCAATGGTTTCCTATAGCGGGTAATGGCAAAAAGTTTAGCGAAAACCAAAGTTTCCACGGCAACGATGCCGTCAGCCAATTTAGGCATCCAATGATTTGGTTTTGTTGCAAGTTTCAGTTTCTTCTTGTTTTTTAGATGTCAATCGTTAAAACTAAGCGAGTGTATTCGCCTTCAAGGAGACGAGATTCAAAAAATTGATCAGCTGCGAAAAGAACTCCGTGAAACGAAATATCAAAATATTATTATTATGGAGGAAAGAGACGCAAGAATTCAGGAGTTAGACGAACTGAAGAAGTGGGCCGAAGCATTGAAGACAAGATTTGATGTCGTCGAAAGACAAAAAAATACATCGATTCAAAAGACCGAGTTTGTTTCAAATAACTGCGCAGTCCTGCAAGACACCATTAGGTTGGCTATGATTTTTCTACAATTCGATAGATGGTTTTGTATCATATTAGAATTTAAAATTTTTATTTTCTGTGTTAAGGAATGGGTCCTAGGGTAATTTTTTACGTGTCTAGTCAGCAATAAACAGCTATTAAAAAATGTGTGTCGACCAAGATGCATTGCGCGCTTTTGTTTACTCTTTGGTGTTGATGAAGGTATTATAGATGTAGCCACTAGAAGGTATTAACCACCCCGTCCCAGGAGGGGGCGGGTGGCTGAATGGTTAATTGCGTGAGCTGTAGCCAGACGGCGCGGGTTCAATCCCGGCTCGTGGCACATTTGGCAATGTGTCTGTAAACCTAGCCCGGGTTGACCAAAGCCATGTGAGGGAAATTTGGTAGAGGAAACTATGTCCTCGGATGGACTGTATCTGCATCTGCAATGTTGCAGCCTTGTCACACTGTGTCACGCTGATATCAGCGTTGTGGTTGCGTGAAGGGTACGAGTGATTGTAGTCTGGTCAGCTGCCTTCATTATAAGTGACCAGGATGTTCCACTTCGCGGAACCCTCATACGTCGAAATCGACGGAGTCCATTATTATTATTATAGATGTAGCACTAACTACACGTTTCTTTTCACCCAAAATTTGAAGTAAGTAGGTAGCAAATTCATTGTGCGTCTGTTCTGCCATTCCAGTTAAGCCTTTTGTCTCAACAACTTTTTGTAGTTGAACATCAAGTTTTGGCCCTCCACATTTAGGGAATAACGCCATTTCAAAACACAAGTTTTCAAATTTTCTTAAAAACCCTATTTTACTGTAATTATTATCGTTTGTCTAAGTTGCATGCATTGAACTAAAATACAACCAATCATGGGACAAAGCTACAGGAGTTGTCCTTCCATATGTAGTTTAGTTCAATGGTTGTATGCACTACAATAACAAAATCCGCCATTTTCTCGACCCACAAAATGGCCGTCACGCTGTGATTAACGCGCAATGCATTATGGTTAACACATATTCTTTGATGTAATGATGTAACATCGTCATAAAATGTTGTTGTAGTGGTGTTAAAATTGTCATAAAATGTTGTTGTAGTGGTGTTAAAATTGTCATAAAATGTTGTTGTAGTGGTGTTAAAATTGTCATAAAATGTTGTTGTAGTGGTGTTAAAATTGTCATAAAATGTTTTTGTAGTGGTGTTAAATTGTCATAAAATGTTGTTGTAGTGGTGTTAAAATTGTCATAAAATGTTGTTGTAGTGGTGTTAAAATTGTCATGAAATGTTGTTGTAGTGGTGTTAAAATTGTCATAAAATGTTGTAGTGGTGTTAAAATTGTCATAAAATGTTGTTGTAGTGGTGTTAAAATTGTCATAAAATGTTGTTGTAGTGGTGTTAAATTTTTTTTCTTGTATACTCGATTTTGTATTTTCTAGGAGCTTAAAACAGAAACTGTCGACGACAAATTTGGAACTGGATGAAACAAAAAAACGCAACGAGCTTCTTGTGAAGGACTGTGAACTATTTAAAAAACAAAGAAATCATGCTCTCGAAGCTCGACTCGAAGCCGTGAACACACGTGATTCAATTGCTGCTGAGAAAGATTCCCTTCAATCAAAATATACTGAAATGCTTGCGAAACGAGAACGGATGAACGAAGAACGAGCTAGCTTGATACAATCGTGTGATACATTACATGCCAGGTAACCTGTTTTTCTTCTGTTTTATTTCTGGGGATTTGGAAAGACAAAAAGGGACCTTGGCATCGTACAAATTTTGTGTGCATTTTCTGTTTTGTGCTTGCTTATCATGTTTGAACGTGTCAACTCAACGAAGTTAATGTCTACGGTTCTTGATAATTTTCAATCGTTTTTGGATTTTCGTTTTTGTATATAAAATGAATTCAATACAAACCTCAACTCTTAAGACAAGCCAATAATTTATTACAGATAAAAACTTTGATATACATACTAATAGCTCAAAATGAGTGGATTAGTATGTTTAGTTGGGGGACCATTGACTCCATTGCAAGAAAGGTCGGGAGCTCAACCCCCCCTAATCCCACGTATGGAATGCATATAATCATGCTCACGGTAAATGAAATTTACCATAGATATGAAAAAGCCTCGGATGACGTGATCCGCTTTAAAACATCTCTTAACGAAAAAGAATTAGAAGTAGAAGATTTGGCAAGACGACTGAAGTTGGCAGATGAGAAGGTGTGTACTTCATGTTAGCTATTCCTGTATTGTATACCGGTTAAATTTTCGAGCTGGTGTCGCCCCTGAAGGCCACTGTTGTAAAGTTGTCTTATGTTGTTTTTCTGAATTATTGCGTTAAAAATGAATCTTTTATTCGGAGTATAATTCCTTTTATATTCAGTACCAATTGCTATGCTCTTTTGGTTCCGACTTTTGGTTGCCTCTTCATACCGTCCGATAGTCTTGTTGATGTTTATTTTCGTTTAGATATTTAAAGTCGTAGGAGCAGCCATTTTTTTCGTATTTTTGTTATTGTTTCCTTATCTTTTTCAAATGTAATTCTTCGCGCCAAATCAAAATTGTATGAAATATGAAGAGTGAGAAGTCTGGGACTAGTCGGCTTCTTATGATCTTGTCTGATGAAAATACAGCAATTTCTATTTCCATCCGATTTTTCATGTGTTCACACGATCTTTTTTTAGGATCCGACAAAATCGGATCCGACAAATCGAATCGTGTGAACGGGCCTTTAACCGAAAAAAGATTGGACCGATGTGTTTTTGTAGCCTGAGCCCGAGAGGTTCACTTTTAACGTGAGAATGAGTCGTCGCTTTTGTTATGAAAGTTTTCGTACTGTGTTTCTTTCGTTTTTGTGTTGTTGGAATTTTACGAAAAAATGGGGGGGGGAGTTGTACCAATAATTCAACACGTTTCAATTTGTCAAAACTATCCCATCAATAATTTTGTGTTGAAAAGTGACGTTATGAAATTTTGCACTTGTATTGCAAATGATTGCGACCGTTCCAGAAGCAAAATTTTGTTCAACGTTTGTTTGATATGAAAGAATGTTTTAAGCAGTGCGGTGTTTGAAATTAAATGTAGATATGATCTTTGCACTTTGAACAATATTCACCAACAAAATTGACCTACTCACCATTGTGCGACTTCATAGCTCAGTTGGTCAGAGCACTGCATGCACCGCAGAGTTCACGGGTTCGAGTCCCGTTGAGTCACATGAATTTTTCAGATTCATGAGACAATTGCTTAAATTGACAAGTGTCTCATGAACCTGAAAAACTTTTTTGTATATTGTACAAACAACATAAAAGTTCATGTGACAAAAAAGTGAAAAATAACTCTTTGGTTTTGTTTGAAGAACCAGCGCAACGATAAACTTCTCGACAAACTTCCGGTATTCTCCGATAACGATGACGTAATTTCGAATGATGTTGAACCAAATGAGGCGTGTACCAATGATGGAGATGAGGAGACCGCTGCCTCAAGAAGACCGTGGCGCGAGAGGCGAATGAAATCTTTATTAAAAAGTATAAAACATCGTATATCAGGCGATCGTGCCGATGATTCGTCTTCCCGGGATGCTGTGGGCCTGGTTGCAGGCAACGTTACCATGGATGTTCTTCAGCATTTACTGCCAAATTTAAACACGCGTCCCAGTGGTATAGTGGATATTGCGCAATCATCGACATTAACAACGCGCACAATGCAACGTCAAATGATGTTGTTGAAGAATCCAAAGGGTGCGTGGGATAAGACTGAGCGTTCTAATACGGCGCCGGTGGGAATTCAAAATCTTACCACTTATGGGGAGGACAATAAAGATGAACTTACGAAATTAAGAAGTGCAAGTTCTTCTTCTGATATTGAATATCCCGAGGACGTTAATATTGTGCCTCGAATATTTCGTTGTCGGTCGGGTGACATTACAGCTAAATTTTCTCCTGTGTATAAACGGACGAATTCTACTCAGTAACGCTTCTTGGAAAGATTGAATACAACAATAGCCATAGCCCGAATGTTCTCCGATTGCGAGCTGGTCAAAGACGTTAATCTCGATTTTTTTATTGCTTTGTCCTCTGATCGCTGATGTTTTCCGATTTTATTACGGCAGTTACCGACTGTGTGCCGAGTAACAATTTTGTATAATCAACTTGAAAGTCGTTGAATTGACTTCAAATATCTTATGCACTAATTGATCATAAACAACACTTATATTCAGTGTGGCCAACTTTGGGATCATATTTCCACACTTCGGGATAGGATTGGTTTGGGATTTATTTCTTTTAGGAGTAATTCTAGGGATTTTTATTTTTGAAAAGGAAAATTTTAAGATTTTTTGTTTTCCAGGAATAACTTTTTTGGGAAGATTGATAGACTAACACACGATTTTTTCCCCACGTTTTCCAGATAGAAGTACACTCTGAGTACACTTGCTTCCAGAAACAGTAAGCTAAAAATAAAGCGCATTCCTCTCTCTCTCAGGGAGACTGGGAAAAAATCTAGGAAAAATGGCAATTTTAGGAAATTTTGGATGTTTTGGGAGCTTTGTTGTGATTTTATGAAATTTTAGTTGGCAATATTGGTTATTTCATATTTACTGTATTATTTGTTCAATATCATATATATTTTACTAATTTATAACTTATTTGTCAAATGCAATTTGTCGTACAACGGCTAAAATTTAGTAACGAATGCGTGTGTTGTTAAATAACTTTATACTGAAACCGTGTTTTTATTAAAATGTATTTGTAATTAAAGAACATGTCTGGTTTACGTCACTTTTTTCCAAAACTTGAAGAATGTATATTCATATAGAAATGCAAATATTTTTCAAGCGTATACTACTGATCAATGGTAACGTTTGAATGCCCCATGTGGCTTGACAAACAATATTTCAACATCCTCAGCGGATATCCGACTCACAATTTCAAAAAACGTTTTGAAAAAGCAGGAGAAAGCATTTGTTCAACTGCTTTTTGCTTTGAGAATTTTGCTTTGTGAATATATTGATTATTTTCATTTAAACCGGGTTCAACAGTGACTAATGATATTTCGTTTCGTTGTGACATGTTTGTTTGAGAGTTTAAAAGTCGTTGCGTTTCCTTTTACTTAAATTTGAATATGGGAAATTTATTCATGTGTTGTGTGTTGTAATCATATGTGCCAAAATATTTACTTAAGTCAAAACGCACGTTTTTCTCTCGTACGAGTGCTCAAAAATAAAACAAGGATTCTTTTATTATTTAAAAGCGGTGGAAACGAGAACAATCTTAATTGCTTTAAACATCGGAATTACTGAACGTTAAATTCAAATCGTTGGAACGTGAGAACAACAGGGAATGCTAAATAACTACGGCGACAATATTCACTTAAAGTCATATGATTGTATCAGTGTACACTTAATTACACACGCTGTGTTTTACGATGACTCAAAAATATATGAATGATAACGCATCGACCAAACTATCGTTTGCTTGAAGTGACTTTTTGGCATTCAATAAAATAGCCGAGCGTTGGTCGTGTGGGTTCAGTATAAACATCGTAAGTATTGAATACGGCTTATACGGTTTGTCGTAGCGTGCTACCAACTTCTCTCTGTAAGATTCGCTTCATAAAGAACGCGTCATTTGAAAAGCTTCGTTCTGGCATCATCTTCGCTGCCATTTTTTAACGGTTGAAGCGTTATTAATACACTAACGGTTTTGATGAGAAAGTCATGGAGAAAGAGGATTATCGGGACATTCTTGAATCCAAACGCTTAGAAATAATACAACATTTACAAATTGATCGAAACTTTGTTTTTGACTATCTTCGTCATAAAGAAGTCCTTGACGGAGAAGATTGTGAATTGATTCTCAGTGAAAAGACGACCTCTTCAAAAATCGGTAAATTTATCGATGTTTTATCGAGGAAAGGGCCAATGGCTTATCAGCACTTACTGGAGTCTCTACAACTGGAGCATCCTGTTTTGTACGAGAAATTGACTGGGAATCAGGCAGATGCGAGTAAGAATTAGACTTAATTTTTCATTTTGGTACTATTTTGGCACCGAAATAGGCAGGATAGTAAAGTTTCAGAACTTGATCTCTCTTGATTACTGTGTAGGGGCTGATCTATACAATCTCTGTGGTCACAATACAGCAAGTTATAGAATATGGCATTGTCTGAGGGTTTTTAGATATGTTTAAATGATATATTGACAAGTTTGTTTTAAACATGCAACGTTATCTGCAATTTTTGCTTGAAAGAAATAAAGGAACTTGCCCTCCTTAACTTTATTATGAGAGGAGTTTCTAAGGAACGTTCTATGAAACAAAGAGCTTTTTTCATATTACTATTACGTGTTTGTTCCAGCAGTTAGTGACTGAGGGCCCATATTATTCAATAATTTCACTAACTTTTACATCGTTTTAGCCTTTACTTTCGTTCTCTCTGCTTTAATAGTAATTTAATAGTAGCATTGATTGATCTATGCGATAGCCAATTATCGTTACTTAAATTATTATTGATAATTAACAGTATAGTCAATTTCTTTAATAATTAGCACTTGTCTACCGTAGTTATACACGAGAAAGCCTAGTCACTGAATTTTTATACGACATTTTTCTCGTTTCATAGCAACCAGTCCAATCTTAACGAAACTCAAGAAATCTTTCATTGGTGATGGAGGTAAATTTTTGCGTGTGAGCTGAAAGCTTTTCTTTCAGACTTTCCTTGATTCATGAATGCAAAATTTGCATGTGATTGTTGCGCTAGCTGGCTGGTCGTACGTCAAAGTCAAAACGTGTAAGGCCTTTTATTCAAAAATTATCATTTGTATGCGATATTTTGTAAGCTAAAAGAAAAGGTTCTGTTCGTAATGATGTACGTTATGTATGAAAATTACAATTTTTAGACAAAGAAAACAAAAGATTATATATATTTTTAATTAAGTGACGTTCACACTAAACAATGTTCAAGCAACCGGCTCTTAACACAACTGGAATGTTATCTTTAGATAAACAAGGCTGTGCTTGCGTGAAGCCAAACACGCGTGTTTGGGGATAAGGTCACGCATTTTAGCTAACAAACTGTCATAAAATGAACTTTTATTGAGCCGTGCGTGGAGAGATTGGGACTAGTTAAATTGGTGATTTCAACAATTTTTGGTTGTAGTTTTTTCTTTTAACGCCTACTAAACGCCCACCTTATTGCTGGTGTTAAATGTTTCAAATTTAATAAAGTGTCGCAAGAACAAAATAGTTGAGCTCTTTCATTACATTAAAAACCGCACGAAATGAGTCACGTTTGGAAAGTAAAGTTCGCAGTAATAAATTTAGCAGCAAAAACTTGGAGCGTGCAGTGCTTATAAGGTCTCAAAAATCTGGATTAAAGTTCGATGATTCCACACAATTTCTTTGTCCATTGTCAGGTACTGCAGGTACGGCGTGAAGGGGCGTGTTTACTAACTTGTCCTTGGAGTCGTCGTGTTCGGCCTTTGCTGACGTCAACGACATTCGTGATGTACTACGATTTAGACACTGCTCAGTGATAAAAATAGTGATTTAGGTTTTTACAACACCATTAAAAATTCCACGTTTACTTGATTAAGAGCCGCGATGTTTTTTAAATTTACAAAGCTAACATGCGGTGCTCACTTGGGGGCGGCATTTCTTTTTATATCGCGCTGATTTGGGAGCGGTGTTCATTAATCGAATTTGTATGTAGGGTTGATGAAGTTCGTACTTGTGAATTTTACCGTTAAGAAGTTTTAAATGTTTTTGATTTTAAAAGTGTCCAGTTGCTGATAGAAATTTTTGTGAGTTTCTAAAATATCAATGTCGCCGTCATCTTCATCTTCTGAGTTCGACTTCAGCCACCGCATCGCAACTGTTAATGACTTACTTCATCGAGAGTGGAAAAAGTAAATTTGTGCGATTTTTTTTTTATTTGACTTCTTCGAATCTGAAGATGACTTGTTTAAACCGCATGGCATTATAAGCTAATTGCAGTGTTATACAGCTGGGAGGGTTGTAATATTTTCAAAGTCACAGTGAGGGCTCACTCCGGGAGGGTGGGGCAGCAAATGCAGCAATTACGCAATCATTATGGTCTTAGATCCTGACTTGGCAATTTGATTGAATGAAGAATGAAGTTCGCTAAAATGTGTTGAACTTTCGAATGAAATTTGAAACATTCATGCAAAAGTCGTGTGAATATGACTGCAAAGAACAAGAATTTGACTTGGAAATTTTTCAAAATTTAATATTACAACTGCAACAGTTTCTATAATGTAATGTAACGTAACGCAACAACGTTATTTTACGAGGGAAACACTACTAACGTAGTTTTTACTAGCAAACCTGCCTCTCTCGTTGTGTAAGACTTCACTGTTTTCGGTTGACATTGTTTTGTGTCTTGTAGGACCGCTGGTCAATAGTGAACTTGAAATTCTTACCCGACATTTGGAGCGAACGTATGGAGACTTGCACGAGATGTCGAGGAGATTCGAGCAAGTCGTTCAACGCAAGAAGGATATTGAAGAAAAGCTCGAGACGACTACGACAGACCTTGAAAGACAAAAAGAAACTGTGGATTTATTAAAGAGAAAGGTTTTTAGATGAATACGTTGATTTTAGGACAAGACACCTAGTAAAATTAGTGCAAGAAAAGTTTTTTTATCGGTCAAATATTTACGAATGAGATAAAAAAGATTCGGAGCAGTTGAAGAGCTTTTAAAACGGGCTAATTGCAAATTTACCTCTATTTCTTCAATGTACTTGATCGCAAGTGCAAAGATATCGCTTGTTTTGATATTTGGTAAAATATAGAAAGTAACTTCTAGGAGACACCTTTTAATGAAACGTTATTTCAACATTTTAGCAGAAAAGCTCAAATGTAATTGAAAGTCAAAGCAAAACTAAACTTGAAGAGTTGTGTTTTTGCCATGTGAAACTAACACTTACTCAAGCCTGATTTTAGGGTCGGCTGACAGGCAAATAATTAGCGTAAAGTAGGCTGGTCATTTTCCATCATTTAACATTTTCCCTTTCCATAACTACAAAAGTCAAAAGCTGATGAAATTTTCTATATACACCGCATGAAAAGTAAATCATCTTAAAAATCATCGCATGCTCATTTTTAGATAAACAAACAAAAGGTCAACACTTTACCTGGAAAGTCAAACGATTGGTCGCAGTTCTCGCAGTTTGTTGAGAGCATGCGCAAAGAAATATCCGACCGCGACATTTACATCATCGCCTTGCAAACAAATCTCATGAGTTCAAGGGAAGAAGTCACAGCGTTAAATAAGAAAAATGAAAATTTACTTGCGAAGAATGACGAACTTCATAAAATGGTTGAAGAGGTCAGAATTTGAGATAGTTTATTAATATATTTTGTTAAAATGCTTTACTGGTATATTTTACTGATATTATAAAACTGCCGTCGAAAGATACGTTGAATGTTCGTAAAACCCGTTTTTCCACAATGTTATATTGTTTTCTTTATTGATACGTTTAGCAACCAATCACAATGTCGGGAAATGCACTCATTGTGATGCGAAATTTTTTATTATCTTAAATAAAAGATCTCGTAAACTTTAATGAACTTTCCTTTTGATATCAATGTTTGCTTGCCTAGTTTTGTGTTTTTATCGAAGTTTTTGTGATATGCAGAGTATTTTCAGCATTTTCTGATTAACATATCAGTTATTTGCATTTATGTCAGCCAAAAGTAAACGAATTTGCTTTATGTTAGGTGCGTTATCAGTTAGCTTGGCATTAAAATAAATTTGATAAAACCCAAGCAGATTTGTAGTGCATCAACGAAATAAAACATGATCTTAACATAGTATAAATTAGAAAACGACAGAATATAAATTGTTCAATTTACCTATCACTAAAACTATAATAATTTCTGAAGCAATCACGTAATAAAGGATTTGGAAAAGAAAGCCCATTGCAGTTTTAGGAAAAGAAAGCCCATTGCAGTTTTAGGAGATCTTTTATTCAAGACGATTAAAAATTTTGTGTCATAAGCACTTGATCAACGAGATTTGATTTTTGCTTTTCTCCCCACGATGAAAAGTGTTCATATTCCTTATCGCGTGGGAGGAGAGAGAGAGAGGAAAGAGTTAGCTTCTAACTTTATAAATTAAAAGCAGCGAAACGCGTGCGGTGATTGGTCTAGAGCCATGTTTGCATTAGCCTGTGCAAAACACATCTGAACTCAACCAATCAAATCAATCAAAACAATCAATCAGTCAAAGAGAATATGCAAATCTATCATGAATACATTTTAGAGGAAAAATTGAAATGCTTGTCTTTTTCGCATTATTGTTATTTTATAAAAGAAATAAAAGATGTTTTTCGTGTTTGCGCTGGCTTATGCAAACCTCGGAGACGTTTTTGAGAACTCTCGAGCATGTGCAACCCTCGACCTTCGGTCTTGAACTCTGCTCTCGGGTTCTCCCAAAGGTCTCCTCGGTTTGCATAAGCCTGTGCAAACACAGTAAACATCTTTTTAATTATCATGCATAGGCCTTTTAAAAAGCTAAACGCCGAAAAAAGAGTGATATTTTTCGTACTTATTTATAGTGTTTTGCATGCCATCCAAACAACCATAAAGTAGTTATTTCATCGAATAACTTGGCAGTTTTGCGAGTTAATCCTTTTAATTTTCATTGATAACGAAGCTAAATACGTGTTATTTTGCAATAGTAATTTCACAGAAATTGTCATTTTTACTTTTTTTTTCTTTCCTCCTTCAGATGAACGAGAGTTATCAACGCAAGAAATGCGAGTCGATGCGTTTGAGCGAACGTGTCGAGCGACAAGGAAATGAAATCAAGAATGCTGAATTAACGACGAGAAAATACCGCGAATGTCAATTTCACAACATGAGGCTTCGCGAAGAAAAGACCATTTACAGGAAGAATTGGACGAACTTAAAAAATGGACCGAAGCATTAAAGGTAGAAAATAATGACTGATGAATTTCAGTGGCTGTCCTTCTTTGTATAAGAAAAGTTATCTAATGTTGTGATCGCGTTTGTTCCTAAATTTAGTGTCTTCATCAGGAGTGATCTTATGTTGAAACTTAAGTTCTTATATACTCTAGTCTAGTGTCTTTATCAGTAGTGATCTGATGTTAAATCTTAAGTTCTTATATAATCCAGTCTAGTGTCTTCATCAGGAGTGATCTGATGTTGAAACTTTAGTTTTTATATACTCTAGTCTAGTGTCTTTATCAGTAGTGATCTGATGTTGAAACTTAAGTTCTTATATACTCTAGTCTAGTGTCTTTATCAGTAGTGATCTGATGTTAAATCTTAAGTTCTTATATAATCCAGTCTAGTGTCTTCATCTGGAGTGATCTGATGTTGAAACTTGAGTTCTTGTTTACTCCAACCTAGTGTCTTCATCAGGAGTGATCTGATGTTGAAATTTTAGTACTTATATACTCCAGTCTAATGTCTTCCTCAGTAGTGATCTGATGTTGAAATTTTAGTTCTTATATACTCCAGTCTAATGTCTTCATCAGTGGTGATCGGATGTTGAAATTTTAGTACTTATATACTCCAGTCTAATGTCTTCATCTGGAGTGATCTTATGTCATATAAACTCTCTTTTCCTATTCAGTATGTCATATAATGTTTTAGACGCGATTGTTTTTTGTATTCTACAATATTTTTAGACGCGATATGATATCGTTGAGAACGAGAAAAAAGAAGACACTGAGTGACCACACAGACATAATGGCCGACTATGGAACTTTGCAAGAGGAACTTATGAAATGTCGAGAAGAAATGAACGAAGTAAGTCACTTTCGTTTTATTTCCTCTTAATTATTGTATGTTTCATCTAAGATTTTTTCGCACAGGTACAGTTGAATGCCGCTGATCTTAAAGATCGCGTGCGCCATTTGGAGCAAGACAGACAAACTCTTAAAAGGCAGCGAGACGGTGCGTTCACTGCGAGACGCGAAGCAATACTGGACCGCGATAAAGCTTTCTTAGAACGCGATCAAGCTTTCAGGAAATGTAATGAAATAAAAGAGAGACAAGATGCTGCAATCGAAGAAAAGATTTTACAATTAAAGGTATGCCTTTTCATGCTTGCTTGCTTTGTGGTGTTTAATTCTACTTGAAATTTTCCATGCGAGAAATCTAAATCGACGTGAAGGAAGTAAATTTGTTGCCTGTTATTCTATGTCCCCCTCCCCGAATGACAATATAGAATTTTGGACTGATCATACAGAGGGTGCATATTAGGGGATTGGGACGGGGGTAACACCCTTAGCTTTGTAAACATGTATAAAAAGTCTTTCTATAAACTGATAGCGGACGACAAAAGTTGTTGCGGTAAAAACTGTGGGCTTTTCCGTCAAGTAAAGACTTTCCTGTAAAAAATAGGCTCCAGCCCATTTTTAGATACTCAAGATTAGATGGATACTAGTAGTTACTCAAGATTAGATGGATACTAGTAGATACTCAAGATTTTTGCGATGCACCCCCAATCACATCGCGGCAAATTAAAAACACTTTTTCACTTTTTATAATCACGGCAATAATATAGTTGCATAACCAGGACAAGCAGACAATTTCAAATAATACAAAATAAAGCAAATTCCGAAGAGGGTTTTTGAACCATAAGTCTGATGATGTCTTTGGAATAAAGACGAAATATTACACATTATTTTGTTTCAAACTCTTGTAATATCTTGAATATCAAGAAAACGAGATGTCCCTCTTCGGAATTTGCTTTATTTTATATAGTTGCATGAATTTGATCGCGCAACTCGCGACCATATTATAATTTTAACGGATTCAATTGTTCTCCAACCAAGAATTTTGATGAAATTGTGGCCAGATGTGACGTCATGGAGGAAGAGATAAACCACGTTAAAATGAAGTATCGACAAACTTTGCGACAACTTCATGAAATGAAAGGAAAGTACGGGATCGAAGAGGATCAACTGAATGAAATCAGCAGAGACAAAGTGAGTGAAATGTGCTCTTGCTTGACGTTAGTTGATCCTTAAACGTTATTTTAAATGTTTTTTTTTCAACGAAGGAACAAAGTGTGATATCCCAATGTGAAATAAACATCACGAATGATTTAAAAAAGGAAGCACAGGGTAATTTACCCGTCGAAAGCGGAAACACCAAACGATCTTCATCTAATACCATAGTTGAAAGCATCAAACGTCGCGTGACGTCACCGTCTACTCTCTTTGGTAATCCTGACCCACCAAATTTTCCCACATCCCCTGTTTACATGGGTAGTTCCCTACCCCGTACCGAGCATATGGTCTACCCTTTTCTCCACTCGCACCGCTCCCCCACAAGCCCTCTAAGGGACGCAACTTCAAAAGAGGGAGGACTGGATCGTAAAGGTTTAACGCGCATGCCCATTAAGATGAAACAAAACGGTCGTGACGACACCGTATCCAGATGGTCAAGTAATGAAAGTTTAGGTCAATCTTCAACTTTGACCGAAGAACACACTGAAGAAGCGACCTTTACCACGAGCTCCGCTACGATTATGCATAACGGGGAACATGAAAGGGTACAAAGAGTAAATGGGGATGAAAATGGTGAGGCCGATGGGCGTATTATTAATGGTCACACAGACAACAATAAAGTTATACGTTATCTATAGTGTTACATCAATCATTTTATTCTTTTTAACAATTATTTCATATTTATTTCAATGTACGCATTTTTCATATCAACATGTAAATGTTTGCGAACGTGTTTCACGCTTTTAAAAGAAACGTTGAAAGCGTTTTCTTTGCATCACCAACACTAAAACAGTTTTCAACGAACACGTTTTGCATTTCAGAGTCCGATGTATTTCTCAAGCAACTCTCAAGAAAAACTGCAACTTCCATTGATGGCGGCTTTCTTGCAAAAACTTCATGTAGTAATTTGCGTTGACGCATTCCCGAGCCACGCAGCACACCCGCGAGAAGCGTGTGGTAAAATAAAGAGATCTTAACGACAGAAAACAAGAGTATATACAATATACAGTCCCTTTTAAATACAATTAATATTTCTCATTAGATACATTATTAGCCATAAGTAAACAAACTTAATTATTTCAAAAATCGAAAACAACAATCACTAGAAATGTACTTGCGTTACCTCGTGACTGGTCGTAGAGGATCGGAGTATGCCGTCATAAAACTCAAGCGCCTCTTGCCAGAGTTGCTTTTGAAGCAACATCTCAAGGGCATCTTGCGTTGCGCCAAGTTGACGAAAAATGTCCGCTTGTATCACGATTTGATTTTTGCCACAATCTTCGCTCCAAATATTGGGTAGAAAATCCGCGAAGAAGTCACGAACGCATTCCTAGAAATAAGTAAATTATCGTAAATGTAAAGAAAGCGTCGTATGCGATTTTTAAATCGGTTCCAAAAGGATGGTCGTCAGTTAGTTAAAACGTACTGGAGAACTGGCGACTACAGTAGGAAATAAGCGGAAGGTATAAGAAAGGTTTCGTTTTATTTGATAATTGTGCGTTATATCAAGGAAGGTTTCGTTTTATTTGACAATTGTGCGTTTTATCAACGAAGGTTTCGTTTTATTTGATAATTGTGCGTTATATCAAGGAAGGTTTCGTTTTATTTGATAATTGTGCGTTTTATCAAGAAAGGTTTCGCAACTGAGTGAAAATGTAGGCATACATCATTTAATTTTGAAAACAAGAAATCTCAGGTCATTTTTCCTTCAGAGATTTCAAAGAGAAGAATCTTTCTAAATACTCTATCCCTTATATCTAAGAATTTAAATATTCTTTGATATTGGAGTGGGCAGTCAGGAAATATGCTAAACTCCATGACAGGGCTGAGGATTGGTACTATCATGTAAGTGCTAGCAAACGTTGGCACGAGTTGTTGTAAGTTTTCACTTTATAATAGTGCTGTGCACTTAAGGTCAGAGTTAGGGGGGAACTGCGGCGTTTTTTGCCTTCCGGAGCCGGAGTTTGTTCATCTCCGGCAAAACCCAGGCAGCAGTTATTTGTGCTGCAAAATACTGTCAGACTTCGGTAAACGTGTCTGATCAAAACATTTTTGTATCAACGAACGATAACTATCGGCTAAAATGGAAAAACTTGCATGAAAATAATCGTTTTATGCATGGCTCAACACTGCGTTGACACATGTTGACTTCTGTTTGAACAGGAGCTAAAAAAACTGGAGATTGCACAGCCCTCTTTTATAACTTACATTTGAAACAGTAACGGTTCAGCGTTAGTCAAAATAAACTATAGCTCCTTAATTTTATATTCAAGTACTTTCAGAAAAACACTATTGGTTTTGAATTTCTAAAGAATATAAAAATTTCACCAATGGATATACTTCAAAGGGCCGTAGAAATGTAAATATATGCCAAAATGTGCTGCTGTAATTTCTTTTGACTAACCCTAGATCCGCCACTGTGTTGAAATAAAGGAAAAAGTTTATAAAGACTCAAAACTTCGTGCAGATCATAGAAACACAAACAATTGATAGCTAATGTCGAGGTGATGGTTTAACCTTCATTTCCTGTTGCGTAGTCTGATCCTTATTAGCTCCTTCGTTGATATATTGTCTTGACAGGTCGAGTACATCATACAACCGCAAAGGTTGATAACGATGAAGAAGTTGGAAAAAGATTCCTAATAATATCGCATTTTCTTCGTTTTGTCGACGCTTCCACTTTCGGTCTCTCAGCTCCGTCCTGGAAATGAAAGACGGAAAACTGAATGTAAAAGACGCAAACATTTGTACGAGACAGAGAAAGAGAGTGAGAGACTTAGCGTGTGCCACGGTCCCTTGTTTGTCAAATTCTGTTAATCTAACGTTATGATTGTAAATACTTTTTAGAAGTGTGCTCCATTTAATACAAATCAAAATTTTTCTGTTTAATTGCTTGGTATAATAGTATTTCGTTGGGACGCGTTGTAACCAAGGCTAGATAAGGTGACCAGCCCTCGAGTAAAGCAACCGATGAGTGCGTTAAAGTTAGTTCAGAGAAGCAAGCAATGATGGAATCCAAGTAGACAAATGGAGGTGTATGGCAAAGGCACGATTCTTCATTGTCTATTTAATGGCGCTACAACTTAATTAAACAAACAATACTATTTACATATATTTTTAAAAATGAGGAAATTTAAATCTTGACTAACCGAGCAACACTCTCACCTTAATAGATCAGTAATATTGTCTGAGAACAACGGTCCGTCCTCCAAACCCAGATTATCTTCGCTCACTTCATAAAACACTTTAACTAAGAGCTCGGGATGTTGAAGATTTAGTAGTTCAATTTCCTGTAGCGCCATCGAATCATCGGTTTCTGAAAGAACGTTTTAACTGACGAATTAAATATCTCTGCAATGTTTTTATTGTAGACCTTCCCCAACGATCTTAGATCACCCATAGAAACTATTGTCTGTTCTAACCAACGCTCTTGCAATGTTTTTAAAAATGTCAAAACGTTCGAAGTCGGAGTGTAAATCGTCTCTAGTGTTGTTGAAGATGATTTTGATCAACCTCGTCCAGAAATTCCCTCATCTCATTCCTACATTTATCTCTAAGCTCTAAATCCTCTTCAAAAAAACTCCACATTAACGACGAGCTCCCTAAAACATCTTTAGCCAACGACTGTAACAGCTCTAATACAATTTTAGGGACTTTTGAATCAATTTGTCTCGATTGCATAACATATTGAAAAAGAAGGGAAAGTGACGAGGATTTGAGACCGTAGAAAGATAGCCAGTTAACGACGTCAATTAAATCAATGTTAGCATCGGTAGTTCCGTTAACAAACGCGACCGCAGTATTGGCATCGTTCTTTCCTTCAAGATCGTTCTTTCGTTCAAGAAAACTGTGTCTTTTTTTGGTTAAATCTTGCCTTTTGCTCGGAAAATGTTCTGCTGTCCTTCGTGAATCAACGGCTCTCGTATTCAACTGCTTTTCATCCTCATACCGTAATATCAGGTTATTTTCTGAACGTTTTGCTTGTTCAATTATATCTTTAAAAGACAAACAGGTTAACAACCAAATACCGCGTGAAGACCAAAACGTGTTCAAGCCATCATCCGCACTACAAGACAAGACAGTGCGTTCATGAGCAACACCATCGAACTCGCGCATGGTTTGTAAAAGTTTACCGCTTGTAACATCGTAGATATGTAAACAAGATTGCCTGTCGATCAATCCAAATAGTAAACCATTTGCAAACACGCTGATGTGTTTAGAATTTTCCTTGATACACACTGGTAAATATCTTAGACGACTCATACATTCTAGCTTTATTAAAGTGGCACAGTAAGAAAGACGAAATACACAATCGGACTTGCTCAACATAAGCAATTCTTTTGATGTTGGATGAACAGTCAAGGCAATGTCGCTTGTTGTTCCTTCGTCGTAATCTTCAATCCAAGCCCCTACCAAAGCTGCGGAAATATCACGAAAATCTGACAAATTTAAAACAGATTCTTGAACTTTGCCCTCCTTGATCGTTGCAGCCTTGAAAAGCAAAAAATACAGTTCATAAAGATGCAGGAAGTCATTTGCTCAAGCTAAACTTATTTCGATTGAATACCTGGATATTTTCACATTCATCACACCAAAATATAAGAATGTTTTCCAAGTAAACCATACATGGCTGAATGCAAACACCACCATCAAAGGCAAAGATATTAACTGAAACACAATTGTGTAATATTGCTTGGGTTGCACCAGTCTCAATTGTGAGTTTGCCTTCATTGTACTTCATGTAGATATTTCGACAACACACACAATATGAATCAACAGCATGCCCTCTTTTTTCACACCAAAACAGAATGGTCGTTGCTTCATGCCATTTTACAGTCATTACTTCAGAATTCTTTGCATTGCTAAGTTGGATGGTTTTATGTTTGAACCACGTCAAGGATGGTTGAAGAAATTCCCAGAAACCTGTAACTCCATTCTTATATACAATGAGCAGTAATGAAGGCTGATTTTTCAGGCATACTATATCAACAACTGAATCGGCATTTCTCTCCAAAATACAATCTAGGTAATTTTAGGGTACATCAGTTAGTGAAGAAGGGTAATGCAAGGTTAGCAGGGTACATCTATTAAGAAGGGAAATGCAAGGTTAGTAGGGTACATCAGTTGAGAAGGGTAATGCAAGGTTAGTAGGGTACATCAGTTGAGAAGGGTAATGCAAGGTTAGCAGGGTACATCAGTTGAGAAGGGTAATATGCAAGGTTAGCAGGGTACATCAGTTGAGAAGGGTAATATGCAAGGTTAGTAGGGTACATCAGTTGAGAAGGGTAATGCAAGGTTAGCAGGGTACATCAGTTGAGAAGGGTAATATGCAAGGTTAGCAGGGTACATCAGTTGAGAAGAGTAATGCAAGGTTAGCAGGGTACATCAGTTAAGAAGGGTAATGCAAGGTTAGTAGGGTACATCAGTTAAGAAGGATAATGCAAGGTTAGTAGGGTACATCAGTTGAGAAGGGCAATGCAAGGTTAGTAGGGTACATCAGTTGAGAAGGATAATGCAAGGTTAGTAGGGTACATCAATAAGTGCAAAATTTACAGTATAAGGTCCATGCAGGGTTCGCAATGAGCAGGAACTAACAAACTCATGACCACAATTTATGATATTACTTGTTCTATCTGTCAAGATTTCATCAAATATTTTTAATTTCGTCATTAAAATTAAAGTGAAGCACGGTCATCATCACATGCATTATAGTATCATTTGTAAGTATTGATAATTGTGGTATTTTAACATGTTCCTATTATCCCCCATTTGCCCCTCCTAGCCACACATTGGTGCCAGGTCCGGGTTTGATAGTCACATGACATAATGCACGTTGGCCAACGGACCAAGGCAAATACGAATGGCTTCTATATGGCCTGAATATACAACGTGAATTATAAGTCGTTCCCAAAAAACAAATAACGTTCGCACAATAATTCAACAACTGAAAGCAAGTTTCCAATAACAGAAAAATTGCTCAATCAATCTTGAATCACGAACAATATAAACTTCTATCGAAATAAAACAAAGAAAAATGGATATGAATACATTAAGAAATGCGTTTCTAGGGAGAATTATAAAATTATTCAAAGACCAACCGTCTACGCTCGTAGTTACGGGGCGATACCATTTTGTTTGAGGTACAAGATAAAACGTGTATAGACATTTGTCTTCTTTCACAGTCAAAAATACATGATTGACAAGCACCCAAACTTTAGAAATCTTTGCTCTGTCTATAAATTCAGAAAGGACTTCTTTTCCACGGAACCGCGATCCCGTATCACACAATGATACAAGTGAGAACATTTCCTCAATGGAAAATTGTGCGTCGAGGTGGAGAACCGTATGAATTGTTTGTATTTAACATTGCGCAATCTCTCAGGTTCGGTATTCCGATTATATGACGACCACTTTCCGATTGCAGTTGCGCGGTCGCATAGTGCCGACGTGGCGAACGGAGAAGAAAAGGACCTTGAGAGACTAATTATTGTTCATTTAATTTTAGCTATTTCTCGGTTGACTTGTTCGTAAAATGAATATATTTCGGCTCGTTGGAGACTTGTCCCATCTTCTTGCTATACTTTTACTTCTCTGGAAAATATGGAAAACACGCTCCTGTGCTGGTAGGTTCTTTGCTATACTCGTTTTGAAAGATGCTCTATGGATGATTGATCGTGTACGATTATGATTTATTGTTGAACATTTTCAGTCCGCTCTTTTGATCTTTTTTAACTTCTTCATTTTCTTATTTCGTTGTGTTGTCAAATATGGCTTTTCAAAACAAATTCCTAAGTATATATTGATAGTGACAGCTCGATGTGTACATTTTAAAACCTGTCTTTGACTGCCGTAACGATACTTAAAACCACTCAAAAACTGTTTTGATTTTCTCTCCAAAGTATCAGTCGGAAAGTATCGATCGTGTTTTTCAATTTTTGATCAACCTCAGCGGTCAATCTTTTCGTTTTTTGAACTATTGATTATTGTTGTTTAACTATTTTTTGTTGACACGTGGAAATGTGGCCGTGGTTTTTCATAATTTCATTGCCCTGGTAACGAATTTAGTCGACATAGAGGAGCATTGTTATAAGAATGCAAACATTGGTAATATTGTCCATCCTTGTTGCATTATATCCATCTTTGTAGCAATATATCCATCCTTGCAACAATATATCCATCCTTGTAGCAAAATATCCATCCTTGTAACAATATCAATTTATTTATCTATTTTAAGACGTCAAGCATTCTGTCCCAGAATGAAAACATATCCATCCTTGTAGCAATGTATCCATCCTTGTAGCAATATATCCATCCTTGTAACAATATATCCATCCTTGTAGCAATGTATCCATCCTTGTAGCAATGTATCCATCCTTGTAACAGTATCAATTTATTTATCTATTTTAAGACATCAAGCATTCTATCCCAGAATGAAAACTTTGTTGACTGCACGTGGCATTTCGTTTCAACCATTTGTGCATGTGACCAACAGTTAACATGCACTAATTATTTTCTAAGTGCCACTTTCAGTAGATGCCATTTTCTTAGAAGTAGGTGTATCATCTTAGTTGTATTTAAATAAACACTACTCACTGTGGATTAGGTGGCAGTGTTTTTGTGCATCTAGTGCTTGATAATCCTATGTGCACAAATAAGCCGAAATCAGCACACTAAGCAAAGGAAAAATAGAAAGGTATTATGTGAAACTCACATGTAACTCTAAAAGTGCACTTGTGAAATTAATATTGCACATGGGAGTTGTGTGCATTACGGAGGTCCCAGTCTGGCTTCTGGGAATATGTCTATCCTTGCAGCATTAGCAATATGTCCATCTTTATAACAATATGTCAATCCTTCTAGCAATTTGTCCATCCTTGTAGCAACATTTCCATCCTTTTAGCAACATTTCCATCCTTGTAGCAACATTTCCATGCTTGTAGCAACATTTCCATACTTGTAGCAACATGTCCATCCTTGTGGCAATATATATCCATTCTTGTAGAAATATATCCATCCTTGTAGCAACATATCTATCCTTGTAGCAGCATGTCCATCTTTGTAGCAACATTTCCATCCTTTTAGCAACATTTCCATCCTTGTAGCAACATTTCCATACTTGTAGCAACATTTCCATACTTGTAGCAACATTTCCATACTTGTAGCAACATATCCATCCTTGTAGTAACATGTCCATCCTTGTGGCAATATATATCCATTCTTGTGGAAATATATCCATCCTTGTAGCAACATATCTATCCTTGTAGCAGCATGTCCATCCTTGTGGCAATATATCCATCATTTTAGCAATTTAGCTATCTTTGTAGGAATATATCCATCCTTGTAGCAAACCTGCTCATCCTTAAGTCCATTTTATTAGTGAGCAATGTAATCATGAAAATATTTTAGGAAGCAACTAACTACTTCCTCTTTCCCTAACCCTTCCTGGCACCTATATTGCAATCTTGATATGAGAAATTCATTTTATTTGTCATGAGAAATATCTGAGGCTTTTCATGAAATCTTTATCACAAAATTTATCAATTGATTTTGTATAATTCTTAAAATAAACACTCTTCATTTGTATTTTTTTCAGGGATCTCAGGCAAAAGTCAATTTCTTTTTGCTTTGGTGTTTACAACACGATACCTGGATCTTTTTATGACATTCATATCTTTATATAACTCTGTGATGAAGTGCATATTCATCGTGTGCTCATACGCCACCGTTTACTTGATTTTTTTCAAGTTTAAAGCGACTTATGATTCGAATCATGACTCATTCCGAGTGGAGTTCATTATTGTCCCTGTGGCAGGTCTGGCTGTTCTTGTCAACCATTCATTGACAGTTGTTGAGGTAATTTTTTTTTACTAGAAGAAGCTTGAGTGGGTGATTTTAATTAAAGCATTATATCGTCAAAAATGTCAAATTTATACTCCAAGAAAGTCTGACCATCTTTTACGATTTCTGTTTCATTTCTTTCCCCAGTGTATTATTGATATCATGGAAAAATCAATGCTTTTGCCAGCCCAATTACTGGGTGGGCCAAAATTTTTCATTCAAGTTTTGCCATATTAAACACCTTTTGAAATCAGTTGTTTTCAGCCAATCATAATGTGCACGTGTGTATATTGCCCCCATCCCACACTACTGGGTGAAATCTCCAAGATGGATACATACTAACTGGATAAGATAAATTTTAAAACTATGCAGGATCCTAGATAAGATCCTGTTAGGATCCTAAGTGGGATTCTAGAATCTTTAATCCAAGTCAGTACATTTACCTAGGTATGAACAAAATCGGAAATCAAATAAAAGCATAAAATATCAACGGAACATTTGATGTTGTTTTGTTAGCAAGAATACCTGTACATTATACTTTTTGTTAAATTATGAAGTTGAGAACATTTTCATTATTTTCTCTTGACTTTGCTTAGGTTTTGTGGAGATTTTGAATTTGCTTATAATCTTTTGCCATTCTTCCTCAACTTTTTATGATTTCAAAGCAAATTTTATATTATTTTCTGTTGACTTTTTATAGGTTTTGTGGACATTTTCCATTTACTTGGAATCTTTGGCCATTCTCCCACAACTTTTCATGATTTCAAAGACAGGGGAAGCTGAGACCATCACCAGTCATTATCTCTTTGCTCTTGGTTCATATCGAGCCCTGTACCTTGCGAACTGGATCCTCCGCTATGCCACCGAAGGATTTTATGATCTCATTGCTGTGGTTGCTGGTTGTGTGCAGACGATCCTTTATTGTGATTTCTTTTATCTTTATATTACCAAAGGTAGCTTCTTATTTTGGTGTTTGGCGGTTAGGTTAGATTTTGATTGCTACTTTGTAGATGTTGCCTTGTAATATCAGACATGTTTCAAATTGTTTAATTCTGTCAATTTTATACTATGTTTAGTATTGTTTAAAAATAAAAGTTTCTCTGGATTTTATTAATAATTTTATTGAGCTTTCGACTGGTTTCTTTGAGCCTTCATCAGAATGAGGAAATTATCTGGCAAGTGTAAAGAGATATTTTCTTCATTCTGATGAAGGCTCAAAGCAACGAGTCGAAAGCTCAATAAAATTATTTATCAAATCGGGAGAAACTTTTATTTTTAAGCAATATAATGCCCGGATTACTAATCTTTAAACATATGTTTCGTATATATTTTTGAAGGTGTGTTTCACCAAATATAAAGCGCAATTGTTTTTACTTAATTGGTTGACGTGTTCTATGTTTTATTCCTTCAAGGATTGCATTGATTTCAAGTAATTTTGACCTTCTCTTTTTTTTTTAGTTTTGAAAGGAAAATCTTTGAAATTACCTGCGTAAAGAACTGTGAGAAAACAAAGTTTATTAGAAGATAATCAAAAGACATTTAAGATGAATACAAAACGTTGATGGCATGAGTAATATGTGAAACAAATGCCAATTATTGCTCCCCCAGGTTTTATTTTCTGTCGTAGAACTTGTTTTTTGCTTCAAGTAAATGTCAATTTGGGATTGTTAAGCACATGCAACATGTATGAGAAAGCTTTTATATGTCATTTTTGCATTTCTTTGTCTTTCGTGTCTTTCTAATCACTTTGGTGGTCAAGTACAACCAGAAAAATGTTGGTGAAATTTAGAAGTAGTGTATTTTTGTTCGGCTGAGCTTATTCTTGTAAAAAATTTGCAAGCTGTACATTTCTTTTTAAGATCAACAGTTAGTTGTTCATGTGTGTGTTTTTTTTTCTGTAAAAAAGGTTTCAAAATTCAAGGTTTTCTTAGTCTCCAGTTTCTCAAATCTCAATTTTCCGTCAGTTCAATCTTTTTACAACAAGGGATACCAGAGATAAACTATGAGATGAGGATAATCCGCGGATTAAGTTAACCTGATAATCCGTTATGCTGGACTTGCGCATGTGCAATTTAACTTCTTCGGCAGAGACATCAATCAGAAGCCGCAAAATTTTGTTTTTCTGAACTTGTGTTGTACCAGTAATTTGTATTTTACCTTTTTGGAGACGATGTAATGACACTGAACGCTTCACTAGTAAACAATAGTTCTCAAAATGGCCGGAAAATGAAAAGATTATAAAAAAGTATGTTTAAAATGAACGACAGGTTATAATAGATGAAGCCAAAACTAGAAAAATGCTCGAAGACACTCGTTCAAATGATGTGATGGACACAGATGCATCGCATTGCGTGCCAAAAGTTGTGAAAAGTTTTGGAATTTCTATCGATTCCAGTAGGATTAACGAAGTTTCGTTGCAAGACCGTCCCGACGATTTGAGTGGTTTAGAAGTGAACATCTTTGATCAAGATGTGTTCGAAGAAGCAGTTTTACAGCAAGTTGATGAGGCTATTTCGAAGCGGGAAGAAGCCTTGAAAAAGGAGAGGTTGATTAAAGATTTGAAGGAAATTGAAGATGAACTTAGGTAGGAACAATGCAGGCAGAAGAGTAATTAATAAGGGTGGCTCAGATTCTCCCATGTACATTTCCTCTGTTGTCTGTTGAGCCCCCATCAAAGACACAATGTTATGTAAAATGTTAAAGTGTTTGGGAGAATATGACACGAAATTGTATCACGAAGTTATTTGCTTGACCACCCTTGAGCTCTCTAGTAAACGCCACGTATAGGATTTGTTTGGATCTGGATTCATATTATGGGTACTTCTGAGATTGTGATACTTCAACATCGATAAGCTGATATTTTTATTGAATTATCACAACAGTAAAAGAAGGAATACACAATAGTGTAGCCAGCACAACTGTTTACTCGTGCTATGTAAATACTCTTGTGTTCACTGATTGTGGGAACAATAGATTTTTAACGTAATGAATCGCAGGAATCCTTTAGACTTTACATATATAGCAGGAGCAAATCTGCATACTTGCTACGCTATTGGGAACACCTACATGATATGTTTGTCTATCTTGGGAGATGATAAAGTAAATGGTTTGAATCCGGGAGTATCGTTACATTTTTGTAAATGTAGATCGTCCAGGTTGGTATAGTCCTGAGAAGGACTGTTTTTGTTGTTGTTGACTGACGTTTCGACAACCTTAGCAGTAGTCATCTTCAGAGTCAAATGACATTTCCAAACGTCAGTCAACAACAACAAAAACAGTCCTTCTCAGGGCTATACCAACCTGGACGATCTACATTTACAAACATTTATCGAGAGATGATGTTAACTTTTTCCTAACAGTATAAATATCGCATGATTTTAAACTTTACATTAAGCAGACATTGACATCTGATGAGAAGTCTGCTGAAATACATAGTGTCTTTTGGCTTACAAAGCAGTTCTTTTTGAATTATTTGGTTAGTGTTCTGGTTTTAAACAGTTCTTTTAAGAACTATTACGTTACTATTTTTTACCATTCACCATGGTACTTGCTCTTCTTAAAACAGTTCTTAGATAGTAAAGATGTTTACATAAACTAATCAGGATCATATAGTTTGAGCAAATAGCAAAAATTATCAAAAAGTCACCAAATAACTGCAGACTGTATTATTCATGTTGGAATTGTTAATTGCTAGGCTATGATAGCTTAAAAGCTATCTGATTATTCCAATATGACTGAAACAGTATGTAATGGCTCAGTTACAATATTACTTATACACTGTGGTAATAATCCACTTTCAGTAAGATTTCAATTATTTTTAAATTTTATCCGGTTGTATCTGCCGGAATAAGATAGATAGCCACTTGAGCTAATCATTTGTGTTCTTTTAGTAATATTCATGGAAAGATTGCTTGTGCCAAGCAACATGTGAAAGAATTGATGGTATAGTATGTTTTATTGTAAAGCTTAGTGATGTCACAGTTATGTAGAAAATACTTTGCATAATGTTAAAGATGTGTATTTTTATAAATTATGGTAACAATGTCACAATTATAGATATTTTGTCAGCAATGTCACAATTACATAAATTGTCGTAACAATATCACAATTATAAAGATATATTGTCAGCAATGTCACAATTACATGAATTATGTTAAAAATGCCGTAATTATAAAGATATATTGTCAGCAATGTCATAATTACATAAATTATGTTAACAATGTCACAATTATAAAGGTATATTGTCAGAGATATTCACAAAATGAACAATGTCATGATCATATTGATACAAAGTCACAATTATTTCAAATATTATTAGAAATACAGTATGAATATGATTATTTAGTGAAGAATTTTTTCAGATAGCTAAAGTTGACGAATTAACCAGAAGAAAGAATGAAATTGAACAAAGATTGCTTGCACAATCAAAAGGTTTTCTATTCTTGCTATTTCAACGCCATCAATTTCATTAACATTCAGAATATTTTGGAAGCTTTCAAGAGTTTATGCCATTTTAACTTTTTTTTGGACGTTAGGAGAGTCCTGAGAAGGACTGTTGTTGTTGATGTTGACTGACGTTTCGACAACCTTAGCGACAACCTTTGACTGTGAAGATGACTACAGCTAAGGTTGTCGAAACGTCAGTCAACAACAACAAAAACAGTCCTTCTCAGGACTCTACTATCCTGGACGATCTACATCCACAAACATCTAACGATACTCCCGTGTTCAAACCATTTACTGTGTTAACTTACAGTATATTGCATTTTAAATTGTTTCAGAACATGTTGATGATGAAGATGTTCCAACAACATCCAGAGAAATTGATTGTGAACATCACGTGAACTCAATTCTTCGTCTTGATGGTCAGTTGGAAACGGAAACTGAAAAGCTTGTGCGCCTCGGTGAAATGACGCCGTTTGGTAGTCTTGGCAACTACACAGCCATGGCAGTCAATACCAAGAGTGCCGATGATGACATCATCCCTAATGTTACGTCACTAACACGTCATAAGGGTTCTATGATATCGAGCAGGACTAGTAATGATAGCAGTGTTGAACATGTGAAAGACTCCTGTAGCGTCAAAACTACATCATACTATGAAATGGCAAACAAGGATGTGGGTGATATGAACTTAAGTGGTGGTGCGGACAGTGATTGCGATTACGTACCGACGAATGAAGAACTTATATCAAGTTTCAATGATGATGAAGATGAAGTTATGCTGTTTGATGAGGACGAATGTTTGGATAATGGATACATCGACGAAAAGAAAAGAAGACGAAATGGGAAAGAGAAAGTTGAGAAAGGCACGAAGAAAATGATGCAACCTACAAGAGATGATGGAGATGATAGGATATATGAAAGGAGAATAAGGTATGTTAATTTTTTGTTATAGTGGTTGGTTTTGTGGCTCAGCGGCTGTTTACATGAGCCCACCGTCAGCACCAGTGTGCGAATTAACGGTGCGCAATGTGCAATTTGCACATCGTTTTAGCTAAAATGAAAACAATTGCACATCACTTTTTCAAACCATGTGCAAAAATCAGCGGTTTTAAAGAAAAACACTGTCGTAAATCATATGAATTTGTTCACGTTTGAAAATATTAATTTAGCAATTAGCACTATATAATAATTAACGTAATATCTATTTGATTATGCCTATAAATAAACACTTTTGTCAAAAAAATTGCACATCGTTTTTTCTGAACTAATTCGCACACTGCTCAGCACCATTTACATGAGCCCACAATCCCTATGCTTATCGATTAAACTAAAATACATGGAACGCTACCTGTCATAGAAAAGGCTGATAATTTTTTGAGGCCCTAATCTTACATCCAGACACGCAAGATTACACCCAATCACACGTTGTATTTTCACACGCGTGCCTGGGTGTAACCTTCAATTATTTGCTTCAGATGGCGTTCCACGTATTTTAGTTCAATGTGCTTATCCCACTTGTACATTACTGTGCATGTTTTACATTTTAGAAGTTATTTCAAGGAACTGAAAAGCTTTTGTGCTTGTAACAATTATATGTGATAGATATTGAAAACATTACAATACGTCAATATATAAAAGCCCATTCACACGATGCGATTTTTTCCGATGCTAAAAAACCGATCGTCAAACGCACATATAAAGTCAGCATTCGACAGTCGTATCCTCCAGTCTGAAAAATCGCATGGAAATAGAACTTGCTCTATTTTCATCCGACAAGAATTGATTTTGCGCGAAAAATTAGATTTGAAAAAGACTTGAAAACAAGAACAAAAATACGCAAAGTATATCGATAAATGTTCCGGATTGCACAAATGATTGCTCCCAAGACTATAATTTTATCTCCTAAAATATCCTGCCGACAAAATAATCTGACTGTCTCAACAAACAAACAAAAGTCACGACCGAAACAATCGGAACCCACGAATTGAATCGTGTAAACGGGCCTTAAAAGTCTTCTTTTTTTGACACCATGTAAATACTGAAGATAATAGATCAAGCCGAATTTCTCAATAAAATTCACACTATAAATCTCAAATATCAACATACGTAAATGCTTTCAATCTGGATGGCTTATGCCTATGATACACGATTGTAGGACTGCTTTGAAACTTACTATTTTTCAAGGGAGTTCAAGTTAAAAAAATCACTTCGGGAAAAAGGCATTTTTTACGAAGGTCAAACAGGTGAAGAAGACGACTTTGAGAACGAGAAAATCGTGGACGAAGAGTTTGAGGGTGGTTTCAAAATGCCTGCAGTAATTTGGAAGAAACTTTTCAGGTTTTTATTCAACAGTTTTTCTTATCATTGTCTACGTCAAAGCAACTGTGGGTGTTTGTAAAGCAAATGTGCACAAGAAATGGCTATACAGTGTATAAAAAGTTTATCGTACTTTAATATGCTATCGTACATTCGATATTGTATTTTACGCTAATATTTTTATAAAGAAAAAGAATAGAGCTCTTTATCATTTCATATCATTGTTAACCACGATTTGTTTCGCATCAGAAATGATTGAGCACTCCTCAAATAAAAATTACAAGTCGAAACTGCATTTTCCCATCTTTACAACAACCATTCAACACAAAAGAAAACGCGCTGTTTCCTAGCTTTAGTTTGAAATGACAGTGAAATCTGATCAACTGCACTCATTTGCCAACCTTGGAAAAATGCAATTTCGACTTCTAATTGTTATTTGAAAAGTACCCGATCATTTCTGATTCTTATGAAATGAAAAACAATTTCATTAAAAAGAGGAAGAGTTTTACTCTTTTGCTGTACAAAAATACGAGTGTAAAACACAATATCACTTGTAAAGTTTACACCCAATAACCATAGGCAATTTCAAGAAAGTTTGCTGTCTTAACGAGCGTTGTTTCCACATGATCAGCTATGAACGTACAATTCATTTTTTATTTATCGATTTGTCTCACACAGTACCGCTGTTGAAAACAGTGTTGCGGTATGTTGTTTAAACTAACACATGACACGAAAATACCTAGAACGACTAAGAATACCGCTATTGCGCCCATCTTTAATCAAATGCACGATAGCTTAAAGTTTCGTACACTTTTTTTGTACACACTGTAGTAATCATAGTATGGTGTAATTTTTGATTGTTCAAAAGCTAAGTCCGTTTGTGAAGGACTTTTACTTATGTCACAGCTCTATAATTTTTTCCTAACTGCACTATAATCACAATATAGGAAATGAACAGAAGGCCAACTCAGGGGTACAATGTGTCCCAGATTTTTCATGCGCTTACGTCAGATCCGCCATTACTCTGGCAAGTACTGCGGTTGCTAACTACTATAAATTATACAGTACAATGGAATATTTGTGTAAGAAAATCGCGCTTTGAAAGACAAATTGCCAGTATTTACATTGTATTTTGAAGTTGTGATAATTAAAACGCAGATTTCAAAAGTAAACCTTTACAATGTGAAAATTAATGTTCTCACACAATACAATTATATACAAATTCCTTAACCAGTACCATTCCAAAGTAATGGCGGCCGTCGAATTTCTAGCATGCGCAATGAGACATGCGCAAGGGCACTGACTTCAAAGGCTCCGACACTAAGTTGACCTTCTGTTCATTTCCTATTCTGCTCTATAACTAATACATAATGTCATTTCAAGAAAAAGAGTTTTGGCTTTATAATTTCTGTTGGTAAAATTTACGGAGTTTGAGAACACAAATACAGATTGAAATTATAAGGAGAGATGCAAATTCGCGACTTTATTTGTCGTGTATTCAGGTACCAAAAAACTGGTGTTAAATGGCTTTGGGAACTTCATACTCAGCAAGCTGGTGGGATAGTTGGGGATGAAATGGGATTGGGAAAGACCATTCAAGTCATATCATTCCTAGCTGGTCTGAAATATAGCAAAATAGGACGGCAATCATCCAAGTATGTTATAAGCAGTTATCCTACCGTGTTAACAATGCATTAGACATGAAGTTTGATGTCCATAAAGGTAGACATAAAGGTAGACATGATGGTAGACATAAAGTTAGACATAAAGGTAGACATAGAGGTAGACATAAAGGTAGACATGAAGGTAGACATAAAGGTAGACATGAAGGTAGACATAAGGGTAGACATAAGGGTAGACATAGAGTTTGTTGTCCACAAAGGTAGACATAAAAATAGACAAAACAGACATAAAGATATACACAGAGGTAGACACGAAGGTAGACATAAAGTTAGACATACGTAAGGGTAGACATGAAGATAGACACAAAGATTAACATATAAAGGTAGACACAAGAGTAGACATAAAGGTAAGCATAAAGGTCGACATTAAAGTAGACATTAAAGTAGATATAAAAGTAGACATAAAGTCAGACATAAAGATAGACATAAGGATGGACACAAAGAGAAACACAGGTAGACATCGAGATAGACTTAAAGGTAGACATAAAGATAGACTCAAAGATAAAGATAAATAAAAATGTTGACAAAAAGATAGGCAAAATGTAAGCACATTTACTAATTTCCGTTATTGTTTTCTTCAACAGACAGAATTGTCTTGGTCCTGTTCTCATTATCTGTCCTGCCACAGTTTTGTTTCAATGGGTGAGGGAATTTCATAAATGGTGGCCAGAATTTCGGGTTGCTGTTCTTCACAACACTGGATCACATAATGGATCAAAGGTACGTATAGCGTTATTATGTGCATTCTATGACTTTACGACTAGTAAAGGTGATTAATGAGAGGGATAGTGACTGGTAAAGTGGTTAATGAGGGGGATAGTGACTAGTAAAGGTGGTTGATGAGGAGGATAGTGACTAGTAAAGTGGTTGATGAGAGGGATAGTGACTAGTAAAGGTGGTTGATGAGGGGATAGGGACTAGTAAAGTGGTTGATGAGAGGGATAGTGTCTGGTAAAGTGGTTGATGAGGAGGATAGTGACTAGTAAAGGTGGTTGAGGAAGGGGATAGTGACAATAAAGATTGATGAGGGGGATAGTGACTGGTAAAGTGGTTGATGAGAGGGATAGTGTCTGGTAAAGTGGTTAATGAGGAGGATAGTGACTAGTAAAGGTGGTTGAGGAAGGGGATAGTGACAATAAAGATTGATGAGGGGGATAGTGACTGGTAAAGTGGTTGATGAGAGGGATAGTGACTAGTAAAGGTGGTTAATGAGGGGCGGGATAGTGACTTGTAAAGGCGGTAATGGATATTTGTGCAAAAATTGTATAGACTGTGTACACTTGACAAATTCAAAATTCTATATTAAAGACTTGTTATTTTTTAGGAAACTCTAATTACTAAAGTTCGTAACGAACCTGGCGTGTTACTTACAACATACTCTGGTGTAAGGTTAAATCAAGACTCTTTACTGCAATCACGTTGGGATTACGTCATCTTAGATGAAGGTCATATTATACGGAACCCGGATGCTGAGGTTACACTGATCTGTAAACAGGTTGATTATTAAGTGTTATGACAATTGGGGGGAATTCGTGAACATTCGGTGAAAATAGATGAACATTTGGGGAAGTTGAGGAGCATTTAAGGGAATGGTTAAACATTGACGGAAATGGGCAAATATTCGGAAGAAATGGGTGAACGCAGAAATTTTTCATGTCAAAAGATGTACATCTTATTTTGTTGCTTATATGCTTCGTGAATATGTATAAATACATATTTTTATTCGTATTCTTTCAGTTTCGAACGCCACACCGTCTTGTGTTGTCTGGCTCACCGATGCAAAATAATCTTCGTGAATTATGGTCATTGTTTGACTTCGTTTATCCTGGAAAACTGGGAACATTACCTGTGTTTATGCAAGAATTTTCCGTACCAATAACAATGGGAGGATATTCAAATGCTTCCTCTGTTCAGGTATGCCAAGCAATGGAGTAGTTAGCTCAATTTTAAGGCGTAAAAACTCGGCCTGGCTACACCATTCATGTCCACATTGATAAATTATTTGACATTGTGTTGTTTATTTTTACATGGTAAAATATGTACCACTGCCTTGGCGAGTTTTTAATCAACTGCCGCAAATTGTTCATTTTTACGTGGTAAAATATGTACCACTGCCTTGGCGAGTTTTTAATCAACTGCCGCAAATTGTTCATTTTTACGTGGTAAAATATGTACCACTGCCTTGGCGAGTTTTTAATCAACTGCCGCAAATTGTTCATTTTTACGTGGTAAAATATGTACCACTGCCTTGGCGAGTTTTAATCAACTGCCGCAAATTGTTCATTTTTTCGTGGTAAAATATGTGCCACTGCCTTGGCGAGTTTTTAATCAACTGCCGCACATTGTTCATTTTTACGTGGTAAAATATGTACCACTGCCTTGGCGAGTTTTAATCAACTGCCGCAAATTGTTCATTTTTACGTGGTAAAATATGTGCCACTGCCTTGGCGAGTTTTTAATCAACTGCCGCAAATTGTTCATTTTTACGTGGTAAAATATTTACCACTGCCTTGGCGAGTTTTTAATCAACTGCCGCACATTGTTCATTTTTACGTGGTAAAATATGTACCACTGCCTTGGCGAGTTTTTGATCAACTGCCGCAAATTGTTCATTTTTACGTGGTAAAATATGTACCACTGCCTTGGCGAGTTTTTAATCAACTGCCGCACATTGTTCATTTTTACGTGGTAAAATATGTACCACTGCCTTGGCGAGTTTTTGATCAACTGCCGCAAATTGTTCATTTTTACGTGGTAAAATATGTGCCACTGCCTTGGCGAGTTTTAATCAACTGCCGCAAATTGTTCATTTTTACGTGGTAAAATATGTACCACTACCTTGGCGAGTTTTTAATCAACTGCCGCACATTGTTCATTTTTACGTGGTAAAATATGTGCCACTGCCTTGGCGAGTTTTTAATCAACTGCCGCAAATTGTTCATTTTTACGTGGTAAAATATGTACCACTGCCTTGGCGAGTTTTTAATCAACTGTCGCAAATTGTTTATTTTTACGTGGTAAAATATGTGCCACTGCCTTGGCGAGTTTTAATCAACTGTCGCAAATTGTTTATTTTTACGTGGTAAAATATGTGCCACTGCCTTGGCGAGTTTTTAATCAACTGTCGCAAATTGTTTATTTTTACGTGGTAAAATATGTACCACTGCCTTGGCGAGTTTTAATCAACTGTCGCAAATTGTTTATTTTTACGTGGTAAAATATGTACCACTGCCTTGGCGAGTTTTTAATCAACTGCCGCAAATTGTTCATTTTTACGTGGTAAAATATGTACCACTGCCTTGGCGAGTTTTTAATCAACTGCCGCAAATTGTTCATTTTTACGTGGTAAAATATGTACCACTGCCTTGGCGAGTTTTTAATCAACTGCCGCACAGAGTATTTTTGAATAAACCCTGTGCCTAGTAAAAGCCTGTTCGTGTGAACAGAAGCTGAGCGAACTTTGTTTTTCGTTTTTTTATATGTATATCGTCCATGTTAGTGTATCCCGAAATGGACTGGTTACCACAGAATAGGAAATAAACAGAAGGCCAACTCAGGGGTGCAATGTGTCCCAGATTTTTTATGCGCTCACGTCAGATCCGCCATTACTCTGGCAAGTACTGCGGTTGCCAACTACTATAAATTATACAGTACAATGGAATATTTGTGTAAGAAAATCGCGCTTTGGAAGACAAATTGGCAGTATTTACATTGTAGTTGTGATAATTAGAACGCAGACTTCAAAAGTAAACCTCCACAATGTGAAAATTAATGTTCTCACACAATACAATTATATACAAATTCCTTAGCCAGTACTTGCCAGAGTAATGGCGGCCGTCGAATTTCTAGCATGCGCAATGAGACATGCGCGAATACACTGACTTCAAAGGCTTCGACACTAAGTTGGCCTTCTGTTCATTTCCTATTCTTCGCTATAACTAATACATAATGTGATACAGTAAAATTATGCAATGACGTCATTATGACGTATAGCGCTAACTTTTCATTGAGGAAAACTGTGTAACTTTGAATAAATTGTTTTCAAAAAGGACATCAATTAAAAAAATACGGGATTTATCTAAATTGAATCAAACCCCATCTTTTCGTTCCCAAAACGAAAACCAGTGTTATCGCGGTCAAATTTGACACAGATCTTGAACTTTTTTTCAGGTACAAACAGCATACAAATGCGCATGCATTCTGAGGGACACGATAAACCCGTATCTTCTAAGGAGAATGAAAAAAGATGTGAAAATGAAATTGGATTTACCGAACAAAAATGAGCAGGTCGGTATGGTTGAGTTACATGTGCTTAGCATGAACAGTCAGTCCATCAGTTTGTCAGTCCATCAGTTTGTCAGTCTTCGTGTCTGTTAGTCTTAGCGTATCTGTCAGTAGCGGATCCAGCGTCAGTCCTTATAGCTCCTTAATTTTACATTCAAAGTACTTTCAGAAAAACACTATTTGTTTTGAATTTCTAAAGAATATAATTTCATCAGTGCTTTATTTTGTCTTACCTTAGATCCGCCATTTGTGTCTGTCAGTGTTAGTGCATGTCAGTTCAAGTGTCTGTTAGTGATAGTGCTTATCAATTTTAGTATCTGTCAGTTTTATGTCATTTCTATTGTGTTTGCCTGTCTAAGTGTTTGTTAGTCTGATTGTCTGTCAGTGTTATTGTCTGTCTGTCTTAATGTCTGTCAGTGTTATTGTCTGTTTGTCTTAATGTCTGTCAGTGTTATTGTCTGTCTGTCTTAATGTCTGTCAGTGTTATTGTCTGTCTGTCTTAATGTCTGTCAGTGTTATTGTCTGTCTGTCTTAATGTCTGTCAGTGTTATTGTCTGTCTGTCTTAATGTCTGTCAGTGTTATTGTCTGTCTGTCTTAATGTCTGTCAGTGTTATTGTCTGTCTGTCTTAATGTCTGTCAGTGTTATTGTCTGTCTGTCTTAATGTCTGTCAGTGTTATTGTCTGTCTGTCTTAATGTCTGTCAGTGTTATTGTCTGTCTGTCTTAATGTCTGTCAGTTTTAGTGTCTGTCTGTCTTAATGTCTGTTTTAGTGTCTGTCAGTCTTAATGTCTGTCAGTTTTAGTGTCTGTCAGTCTTAATGTCTGTCAGTTTTAGTGTCTGTCAGTCTTAATGTCTGTCAGTTTTAGTGTCTGTCTGTCTTAATGTCTGTCAGTTTTAGTGTCTGTCAGTCTTAATGTCTGTCAGTTTTAGTGTCTGTCTGTCTTAATGTCTGTCAGTTTTAGTGTCTGTCAGTCTTAATGTCTGTCAGTTTTAGTGTCTGTCAGTCTTAATGTCTGTCAGTTTTAGTGTCTGTCTGTCTTAATGTCTGTCAGTTTTAGTGTCTGTCAGTCTTAATGTCTGTCAGTTTTAGTGTCTGTCTGTCTTAATGTCTGTCAGTTTTAGTGTCTGTCTGTCTTAATGTCTGTCAGTTTTAGTGTCTGTCAGTCTTAATGTCTGTCAGTTTTAGTGTCTGTCAGTCTTAATGTCTGTCAGTTTTAGTGTCTGTCAGTCTTAATGTCTGTCAGTTTTAGTGTCTGCCTGTCTTAATGTCTGTCAGTTTTAGTGTCTGTCAGTCTTAATGTCTGTCAGTTTTAGTGTCTGTCAGTCTTAATGTCTGTCAGTGTTATTGTCTGTCTGTCTTAATGTCTGTCAGTGTTATTGTCTGTCTGTCTTAATGTCTGTCAGTGTTATTGTCTGTCTGTCTTAATGTCTGTCAGTGTTATTGTCTGTCTGTCTAAATGTCTGTCAGTGTTATTGTCTGTCTGTCTTAATGTCTGTCAGTGTTATTGTCTGTCTGTCTTAATGTCTGTCAGTGTTATTGTCTGTCTGTCTTAATGACTGTCAGTTTTAGTGTCTGTCTGTCTTAATGTCTGTCAGTTTTAGTGTCTGTCTGTCTTAATGTCTGTCAGTTTTAGTGTCTGTCTGTCTTAATGTCTGTCAGTTTTAGTGTCTGTCAGTCTTAATGTCTGTCAGTTTTAGTGTCTGTCAGTCTTAATGTCTGTCAGTGTTATTGTCTGTCTGTCTTAATGTCTGTCAGTGTTATTGTCTGTCTGTCTTAATGTCTGTCAGTGTTATTGTCTGTCTGTCTTAATGTCTGTCAGTGTTATTGTCTGTCTGTCTTAATGTCTGTCAGTGTTATTGTCTGTCTGTCTTAATGTCTGTCAGTGTTATTGTCTGTCTGTCTTAATGTCTGTCAGTGTTATTGTCTGTCTGTCTTAATGTCTGTCAGTTTTAGTGTCTGTCTGTCTTAATGTCTGTCAGTTTTAGTGTCTGTCTGTCTTAATGTCTGTCAGTTTTAGTGTCTGTCAGTCTTAATGTCTGTCAGTTTTAGTGTCTGTCAGTCTTAATGTCTGTCAGTTTTAGTGTCTGTCAGTCTTAATGTCTGTCAGTTTTAGTGTCTGTCTGTCTTAATGTCTGTCAGTTTTAGTGTCTGTCTGTCTTAATGTCTGTCAGTGTTATTGTCTGTCTGTCTTAATGTCTGTCAGTTTTAATGTCTGTCTGTCTTAATGTCTGTCAGTTTTAGTGTCTGTCAGTTTTAGTGTCTGTCAGTCTTAATGTCTGTCAGTTTTATTGTCTGTCTGTCTTAATGTCTGTCAGTTTTAGTGTCTGTCTGTCTTAATGTCTGTCAGTGTTATTGTCTGTCAGTCTTAATGTCTGTCAGTTTTAGTGTCTGTCTGTCTTAATGTCTGTCAGTTTTAGTGTCTGTCTGTCTTAATGTCTGTCAGTTTTAGTGTCTGTCAGTCTTAATGTCTGTCAGTTTTAGTGTCTGTCAGTCTTAATGTCTGTCAGTGTTATTGTCTGTCTGTCTTAATGTCTGTCAGTTTTAGTGTCTGTCTGTCTTAATGTCTGTCAGTTTTAGTGTCTGTCAGTCTTAATGTCTGTCAGTTTTAGTGTCTGTCAGTCTTAATGTCTGTCAGTTTTATTGTCTGTCTGTCTTAATGTCTGTCAGTTTTAGTGTCTGTCTGTCTTAATGTCTGTCAGTGTTATTGTCTGTCTGTCTTAATGTCTGTCAGTTTTAGTGTCTGTCTGTCTTAATGTCTGTCTGTCTTAGTGTCTGTCTGTCTTAATGTCTGTCAGTGTTATTGTCTGTCTGTCTTAATGTCTGTCAGTTTTAATGTCTGTCTGTCTTAATGTCTGTCAGTTTTAGTGTCTGTCAGTTTTAGTGTCTGTCAGTCTTAATGTCTGTCAGTTTTATTGTCTGTCTGTCTTAATGTCTGTCAGTTTTAGTGTCTGTCTGTCTTAATGTCTGTCAGTGTTATTGTCTGTCAGTCTTAATGTCTGTCAGTTTTAGTGTCTGTCTGTCTTAACGTCTGTCAGTTTTAGTGTCTGTCTGTCTTAATGTCTGTCAGTTTTAGTGTCTGTCAGTCTTAATGTCTGTCAGTTTTAGTGTCTGTCAGTCTTAATGTCTGTCAGTGTTATTGTCTGTCTGTCTTAATGTCTGTCAGTTTTAGTGTCTGTCTGTCTTAATGTCTGTCAGTTTTAGTGTCTGTCAGTCTTAATGTCTGTCAGTTTTAGTGTCTGTCAGTCTTAATGTCTGTCAGTTTTATTGTCTGTCTGTCTTAATGTCTGTCAGTTTTAGTGTCTGTCTGTCTTAATGTCTGTCAGTGTTATTGTCTGTCTGTCTTAATGTCTGTCAGTTTTAGTGTCTGTCTGTCTTAATGTCTGTCAGTTTTAGTGTTTTTCATTTTTAGCTTTTGTCTGTTTTAATGTCATACTTGAATTTTCTAAATTTTGCTTCAGGTCTTATTTTGTCGTTTGACTGAGGAACAGATAGATCTGTACAAGGAATACCTTTCATCAAGAGACGTCAGTTCAATTCTTTCGGGAAATATGAAGGTACACTTAACACTTGTACGTCTCGTCTTACAACAACATCATTTGTGTAAGTGATGAAGTTATTGAACTGAACAGGCTAAACCATCTTGTATTTATCTAAGATGCTTTTGTCCATTTAATGGGCGAATTTTCCACAGGTTTTTCCCGGTTTAATCATGCTTAGAAAGATTTGCAATCATCCAGACCTAACGAGCGAGGCTGGTTCAATATGGAAACTGCGAAAAGATTGCGAGGCCAAGCAGACTAATGTTTCTAATTATACAGAGGGAAATGACGACGGCTATGGAGACTGTAAACGGTCTGGGACCAAGCATAACAGTGCTTCTGATAATTCGGAGGGAATTGACCTCGGTTATGGGGACTGGAAACGATCTGGAAAACTCATAGTTGTACAGTCTTTGTTGAAACTATGGAAGAAGCAAAGTCATAAAGTATTGCTTTTCACGCAAACTCGTCAGGTGTGAATTCGATGATGCCGTTCAACTAGTGAATTGTAGAATCAACTTGAACAACAACTCCATATAAACGTTCCTCGGTTAGATGTGTGTACTGGAAAGACTTGAGGATACTTGCGATTTTGCACCGTATTTCAGTGAATATATTTAACTTAAACTCAAAGACATTAACTTGCTGAGACATTAGCTTGCAAAGACAACTAAAAGCAGCATTTTATTATGTTTTTGTTCGCTATTTCCTTTGCTACTTGGGGTGACATTCATCGCCACCAAACCCTGGTTTTAATATTCCACCCCCCTGACTAACCGTTCTAGTGTATGTCACAGCTCACTGTATATAACTGGGTCATGTCGAACTAAAGCACTTCTGTTTTGTAGATGTTGAAAATCTTTGAAATATTTGTGAAATCTGAAGGTTACAATTATTGTAAAATGGATGGCACTACTTCAATTTCTTCTCGACAACCGTTGGTTGAAAAATTCAACAAGGTTCAGGCCTTTTTTTGTTTATCATTGTTTATATGTTAGGTTTATTGCATTGTTTTTTGTTTATCATTGTTTATATGTTAGGCATGTTAGCCTGTGTTTGTTCGTTTTATTCTGAACCAGCCTGTGTTTGTCAATGTTAGTGTTTTTTATTGTTTGGTGTTTGTCAGTGTTGGTGTCTGTCTGTCAGTGTTGGTGTCTGTCTGTCAGTGTTGGTGTCTGTCTGTCAGTGTTGGTGTCTGTTTGTCAGTGTTGGTGTCTGTCTGTCAGTGTTGGTGTCTGTCTGTCAGTGTTGGTGTCTGTCTGTCAGTGTTGGTGTCTGTCTGTCCGTGTTGGTGTCTGTCTGTCCGTGTTGGTGTCTGTCTGTCAGTGTTGGTGTCTGTCTGTGTTGGTGTCTGTCCGTGTTGGTGTCTGTCTGTCAGTGTTGGTGTCTGTCTGTGTTGGTGTCTGTCCGTGTTGGTGTCTGTCTGTCAGTGTTGGTGTCTGTCTGTGTTGGTGTCTGTCCGTGTTGGTGTCTGTCTGTCAGTGTTGGTGTCTGTCTGTCAGTGCTGGTGTCTGTCTGTCAGTGCTGGTGTCTGTCTGTCAGTGCTGGTGTCTGTCTGTCAGTGTTGGTGCCTGTCTGTCAGTGTTGGTGTCTGTCTGTCAGTGTTGGTGTCTGTCTGTCAGTGCTGGTGTCTGTCTGTCAGTGCTGGTGTCTGTCTCAGTGTTGGTGTTTGTCTGTCAGTGCTGGTGTCTGTCTGTCAGTGCTGGTGTCTGTCTCAGTGTTGGTGTCTGTCTGTCAGTGTTGGTGTCTGTCTGTCAGTGTTGGTGTCTGTCTGTCAGTGTTGGTGTCTGTCTGTCAGTGCTGGTGTCTGTCTGTCAGTGTTGGTGTCTGTCTGTCAATGTTGGTGTCTGTCTGTCTGTTTTGCAGTCATAGCATCTGTCAGAATCAGAGTCTTTGTGTTTGTTAGTTTTAATGTCTACCAGTTTTATGTAGTGTGGGACACTTTCATTTTCTGTTCGTGTGTCTGTCTGTCTATATATGTCGGGCTTTATATCTATAGAACCGTGATGTGTGTTGTTCATCGTGTGTCTGTCAGTCTATATATGTCGGGCTTTATATCTATAGAACCGTGATGTGTGTTGTTCATCGTGTGTCTGTCAGTCTATATATGTCGGGCTTTATATCTATAGAACCGTGATGTGTGTTGCTCAACTCCCTTCAAAATGCTCCATTCTTAGGATGATTCAATATTTGTTTTCCTTCTCACAACTCGTGTTGGTGGACTGGGCGTGAATTTAGTTGGTGCTAATCGTGTCATCATTTACGATCCCGACTGGAATCCTGGAACGGATATGCAAGCGAGGGAACGCGCGTGGCGCGTGGGACAGAAAAAAGACGTCACGATTTACCGTTTGTTGACCACGGGAACTATTGAAGAGAAGATTTACCACAGGTGAAAAACATTAAAACAGCCATCTTGGTTGATTACTAAAGCTCTGGGGCTGGTTGCACAAATGATTGTTCGTTAGATTTTCGATTCCAGATTGTTTCATTTTCACCACGAAGCAGTTTACATTATATTGCACAGATTGTTTCATTTGCACCACGAAGCAGTTTACATTATATTGCACAGATTGTTTCATTTGCACCACGAAGCAGTTTACATTATATTGCACAGATTGTTTCATTTGCACCACGAAGCAGTTTACATTATATTGCATAGATTGTTTCATTTTCACCACGAAGCAGTTTACATTATATTGCACAGATTGTTTCATTTGCACCACGAAGCAGTTTACATTTTATTGCACAGATTGTTTCATTTTCACCACGAAGCAGTTTACATTATAATGCACAGATTGTTTCATTTGCACCACGAAGCAGTTTACATTATAATGCACAGATTGTTTCATTTTCACCACGAAGCAGTTTACATTATATTGCACAGATTGTTTCATTTTCACCACGAAGCAGTTTACATTATATTGCACAGATTGTTTCATTTTCACCACAAAGCAGTTTACATTATATTGCACAGATTGTTTCATTTGCACCACGAAGCAGTTTACATTATATTGCACAGATTGTTTCATTTGCACCACGAAGCAGTTTACATTATATTGCACAGATTGTTTCATTTGCACCACGAAGCAGTTTACATTATATTGCACAGATTGTTTCATTTGCACCACGAAGCAGTTTACATTATATTGCACAGATTGTTTCATTTGCACCACGAAGCAGTTTACATTATATTGCTCAGATTGTTTCATTTTCACCACAAAGCAGTTTACATTATAATGCACAGATTGTTTCATTTTCACCACAAAGCAGTTTACATTATATTGCACAGATTGTTTCATTTTCACCACGAAGCAGTTTACATTATATTGCACAGATTGTTTCATTTTCACCACAAAGCAGTTTACATTATATTGCACAGATTGTTTCATTTGCACCACGAAGCAGTTTACATTATATTGCACAGATTGTTTCATTTTCACCACAAAGCAGTTTACATTATATTGCACAGATTGTTTCATTTGCACCACGAAGCAGTTTACATTATATTGCACAGATTGTTTCATTTGCACCACGAAGCAGTTGAGGATTTTATTGCATAGTATATTGGTCTAACACGAAAAAATGGCAATACAACATTCGGACGTTGGACAGTTCATACTGATTCGAAGTTTATCTATACGGGATTAACGTGTAGCATTGAACTAAATATACAACTGGATGGCTTCCTTTAATTAAATATGCATGTAGTCACGCATGTCCATATATTCATCTATGTTTCGGCCGTGCGTAAAAAGACTGGAACTAGTTAAGTTGCCGGCTTGTGGCATCGAGTTCTATAATAACTATAATAACTAATTAATCAATGGCTTGGGGCTTCAAGTTACAAAATATCACTCCAGTTATATTCAGTTCAGTGTTGTGTAGGCTGCCCATTGAACTAAAATACATGGAACGCTATCTGAAGCAAATAACTGAAGGCAAATCTTACATCAGACTCGCGAGATTTTACCCCAGACACGCGTGTGTAGTGTTTTGAGATTCTCTCGCGGAGTAATAATTGATTGACTACACATGCGTGTCTGGGGTTAAATCTCGCGTGTCTAGGGTAAAATTACGGCTTCAAAAAATCATTAGAGTTTTGTATTACGGGTAGTGTTCCATGTATTTTAATTCAATGAGGCTGCCAGGTTACCTAAGCCACTGTATGGCTATTTTCAAGAAGATGTTATTGAGCTTTTTTATATGTTTGAATCCTAGGCAAATTTTCAAGCAGTTCATAACGAATCGCGCGTGTCTGAAGATGTTATTGAGCTTTTTTATATGTTTGAATCCTAGGCAAATTTTCAAGCAGTTCCTAACGAATCGCGTCCTGAAAGATCCAAAACAGAGACGTTTCTTCAAATCCAATGATCTTTTTGAATTATTTACTTTGGACACATCTGACAACAAAAAAACAGGCACAGAAACAGCCGCCATATTTGCGGGTCTTGGTTGCGAAGTGCCTGTTCCTAGGAAGTCGAAATTGAACAAATGGAAGCACAAGAGTACTCGAGAAAGAAAAACTTCAAAAAGCATCCAGGAACGAACCCAAGAAATTCTCAGAACACAATTTCCGAATCGGATAATGCAGAAACAGAATGAAAAATGCGATGATGAACTAAATGAAAAGGATGTTTCGTGTGAAAAAGGAAAGTCTGTACTCGATCCAAATGAAGTGACAGAAAATTCTTTAAAAGAAGAAGAATTAAAAAAGCAAATAACTGATAGCAGGAACGTTTTTGAAGAAAATACAATGAAACTGTCCGACAATTCACGCAATTGCTCGACTTCGGAAGAAGATCGTATTTTTTCGCCCAATGCTCGGCTACATACTGATCCAAATTCAGGTTGCTCAACCTTGGAAGAAGATCGTATTTTTTCGCCTAATGCTCGGCTACATACTGATCCAAATTCAGGTTGCTCAACCTTGGAAGGAGATCGTGTTTCTTCGCCGAATGCTCGGCTACATACTGATCCAAATTCAGGTTGCTCAACCTTGGAAAGAGATCGTGTTTCTTCGCCCAATGCTCGGCTACATACTGATCCAAATTCAGGTTGCTCAACTTTGGAAGGAGATCGTGTTTCTTTGCCCAATGCTCGGCTACATACTGATCCAAATTCAGGTTGCTCAACCTTGGAAGGAGATCGTGTTTCTTCGCCGAATGCTCGGCTACATACTGATCCAAATTCAGGTTGCTCAACCTTGAAAGGAGATCGTGTTTCTTCGCCCAATGCTCGGCTACATACTGATCCAAATTCAAGTTGCTCAACCTTGAAAGGAGATCGTGTTTCGTCGCCCAATGCTCGGCTACATACTGATCCAAATTCAGGTTGCTCAACCTTGGAAGGAGATCGTGTTTCTTCGCCCAATGCTCGGCTACATACTAATCCAAATTCAGGTTGCTCAACCTTGGAAAGAGATCGTGTTTCTTCGCCCAATTCTCGGCCCAATATTTCTCGGAATTCTTGCAGTACTGATAAGGACTGTGCAGAAAAGCTACGGATGTCAAATGATTTTGTTGTGAAAGATGTAAAAATAGATAAAAATGAAACAAGAAAAGGAAAAGGCGGGAAAAGCTTAGAGAAGCGAAAGAAACGAAAAAAGCGAAAACGAAACGGTTTGTTTAATTTAATAAAGCTTTCGTTGATTCATTCATTCATTCATTCATTCATTCATTCATTCATTCAATCATTCATTCATTCATTCATTCATTCATTCATTCATTCAATCATTCATTCATTCATTCATTCATTGACTTACTGAGTGACTTATTGAGTCATTGATTGAACGTGAATTGCTGGCCTTGCCCGGTCTCTAAAGTCTTTGTGCTAACTGTCGTTTGTAATTTTTTACTTTTATTCATTCAAATGAAATATTTGCTAAAAAAATTCTGGTCAGTTAATATCGCTAAAACTTATTGCAGAAATTTAAATTTTATAGTTTTTAGTGCAAATTGTTGCAAACATGTGCACTATTGCTATGCTTAGAGCGTGAAGTAAAATAACTTCACTTTCATGTAAACTGTAGACAACCCAGACAATAGCTTGTTGTAGGTTTTTATTAAAAATGTTTTTATTTGCGATAAATTCAATGTATATTCACCTCCATAATACTTCGTTGTTTTATAGAAATCGAAGGTGTACGTATTAGTCAGTTGAGTCATTCTGAGCTTTACGAGGATAAGAAAAGCCTGGAAAATGTCGAAAACAATTCAGATGATGATTACATATTAAGAAAGCTATTTAAGAAATCAGGTTTGGATTTTTCCATCAGTATAAACGTAAAATGAAATCTTGCGTTTTTAGTTCTTTGCAAAATAAATTTTTTAGCAATGTTTCAGGGGCTTCAAAATATTTTATGTTTTTGTAGCAAAGCAATAACTTTCATTCTTTCTACTGACATTTGAATTTCGGGTGATAACCAATGTGGTATATACTTGCAGGAAAGGATATAGGATGATTTTGTGTGTGCGGGGGGCGGGGAGAGAGTGGTGCTCTAGTGTTTACAAGATGTCAGTCAGTCTAGTTTCGATTTTATTCCAGCGGCTCGTTTGAGGGTGTTTTTATGTGATTCTAGCCAAGGCGACGAACACCTCCTCAAAATTCATAATGATGTAATAGTATTTATAAAATAAACACAAAATGGCTCTGACACAAAAAACCGATCTGAGCTCAACCAATCAAAATAATCAATCAATCAATGAGAATTTGCAAATAAATCATAAATGCGTGTTAGGGGAAAATTAAAGCGTTTCTTTTAAATTTGTCTGTTTCGCATTATTGTCATTTTATAAAAGAAATAAGAGATGTTTACTGTGTTTACACAGGCTAATGTACACCTCGGAGACTTTTGAGAACTCCCGAGCATGTGCAACCCTCGACCTTCGGTCTTGCACTGATCTGCTATCGATTTCTACCAAAAGTCTCCTCGGTTTGCATAAGCCTGTGCAGTGACTGATTACTAATTTCGGGGCCTGTAGGTTGAAACAAAGTTTTGGGCCTTTAAGCAATATCCATTCCTCCCACTAAGTTCAGTTTCCTCTGCTTTTGCATTTCCTGTTGGTAACTTCACGGGGTAAAGTTCATTTTAAAGTTCAAGCAAAATTTCGAAAATCATTGACTTGGTCTGAGCATTGCGAATTTGAACAGTAGATAGTACGAAAGCCATTTTCCTTCTGCATTCAGTCGCCAGTATGGGTTTTCATCAGCATAAATGATTTAAGTTAAGCTCATTTAGCTAGTCCGGAATGGCAAAAACGTCCAAATTCTAATAACGTCTAGATACAACGAGCCTCTCGAAAGCCCGGGCCAGTAGGCGCCTACTTAGCCAACTGTGTAATCCCCCCCTGAGCCTGTTCAAACACAGTAAACATCGTTTATTTCTTAAAAAATTGTATATACTGGTTTATTATTTTATCCATCTCATCCATGGTTCATCATACCTGCATTCAGGTGTTCATAGCGCCCTTCAGCATGACACGATTGTAAACTCGGGAAGGGCTGACCATATCTTGATCGAAAACGAGGCGAAGCGTGTCGCAGCCGAGGCGACCGAGGCTCTCAAACGGTCACGTGAACAGTGTCAACAATTGAGAAACAGTGGTTTGCCCACGTGGACGGGACGATCTGGTATCGTGGGTTCGCCCCTTGTACCACGGGGGAGGTATGTTCCTTTGTCGAACAAAGCCACTTTTTCCGGGGGGTATCTTTCTTTCGTTTATGGAGAGTTTCAAAATCACTTTTCTTATTTAGACGTTTATTTGGTCCCACATCTAACGTGGAAACAAAGTGTGAGGTTTGTATTAAAGAAAGCAACGCGCATGCGTCGTGTACACAAGCGAATGACGTCATATTTTGAATCTGCTTTCAGAATGGATCAAGTGTGCCATTTAGTGGGAAGTCATTCGAGCATAATAATGGAATAGAATCGTCCAATTCTGGTCTCGGGTTACCTATGTCTTCCACGCAGCTACTTGCACGAATGAGAGCCCGCAATTCGATCGGAGGCTCCAATGTAGCTGGAGACATGCAGTCTGGCGAACAAAAATACTTCGAAACAATGATGGAATTGCGAAACTTTATTGCTAGTGGTTGCTCGTGCCCAGGTCGCGCAACCACACAGGAAATTCTTGCTGAATTTTCTAGTAGACTTTCCGCTGAAGACAGTGCAATATTTCGACAGCTGCTTAGAAGTATTTGTAATTTTAATCGATCAATGTCCGGAGAGGGATTGTGGATGTTGAAATCAGAGTTTTCTTGAAGTTATACTTGTTAATAATAGTTATATTTTGAGTTGTACTAAGTTACATATTAGTGCTATACATATAAGTACTTTATGGTTGACCTGCGGGCTCAAGCTAACTTTTATATTTAGGTTTTTTGCTAGTTATATGGCAATGTTAATAGAACTTTCATTTACTATGTGATGTTTTCATTCAACACAGTAATGATCTTCCAAATGTTAAATTATAAAGTATAAGAACAATTGTTCGCCTTCTAATTCAATTGAAAGAAAACAAATGTGTGCGTTGTGACCGTGAGCATAAAGGGGGAAAATAGTGCGAATTAAAGTACTTGTAAATCATTAATATTTTATGAACTTGACATGACGCTTAAGCTACGTGCAAACGCGATGAACAACTCAACATTGTCTTGCTCTTGTTGTGTGATGTTTAACGATGTGTTTAAACGCTCTCAACGTGTTGAGCAATGTTGAGCCTATGAGATAAAACATTCCACGATGCTTAGCAACGGTGGGAACTATAAATACATACATAGCTCAGTGACGCCATTTTTACAATAATATACGCCGCAGTTAGCGCATGCGTTAGCTCAACATTTTAGAGTGAGCTGTGCAAACGAACTAAACAATGTTTAGACACGCGTCGATGAGCGCGGAACAAAGAAAACTTGTTCAAACTTCTCTCAACAACGCTCAACACCTCTCAACAACGCTCAACACCTCTCAACGACGCTCAACACCTCTCAACACCTCTCTACACCGCTCAACACCTTTCAACACACCGCTCAACAGGTTGTGCTAATGCGCTCAACATATTGAGTCTAAAATGTTTTAGTGAACATGTTGAGCTAGTTTGCACGTAACTTTACAGTGCTGACAGAAATTGTTTACTTGTGTTGGTTGTGACCAGGGCCCTCTAGAAATCTTCGGAGACCTTGGAATAGCTCGGAAAACATCGGATTAACTTGAAAATCCTCGTTGTTTTAAAAGAATTGTCGAGCTGTGGAGATTGCCCAGTCATTGAACTATGATTTGTCTATACTTTCTTTGAAAATACAAAAATTCATAAAATTTTGAAAAGTTCACAAAAAGTTCACAAATTCATAATGTTCATGAAGAGAGCTAAAAGTTCACAACTCTGTGAACTTTGTTCACGATCTGGCAATACTGAGAATTGCAGATATCGAGAATTATTTACAGATAGTTGACCCACCAATCAAAAGCGAGATTGCTTTTATAGTGAATAATAAATGACATTAATGGTGATGTACAGCGGTGTAAGGGTAAAGACCGTAAAGTGCATCAAGTACTCAGCTGCCGTAGCAAACCGATTGTTTCGTCCTGCGGTGAAGTTTTTAACTTTTTTTCCCGTAAAATATACATAGCAAAACTGAACTTGCAGTTCTTACGCGTCTAGATCACTGTTTGTACAGAGGGAAGCAATTACCCTTATCTTTTCTTTTCAGGCTGGGTGTTGGGAAGCATTGATAGTCAAATTATAATCGCAAATAACAAAAGAAATTGTCTAAAAGTCATAGAAATTTCGCTTGACTTCGTCCGTTTATGTAATTACTGGCGCAATTCTCATTTCTCCCTACAAACGGACCCAGGTACTGGGTCTTAGTATACCACCGGAACTATCTTCCAAGGGACGAAACTCGACCTAGACACGGACAACAAAAACATCTACTACAATCTCCAAGGACTGACAGACATCTTGCTGAAAATTATCGGTAATTTTCTTTGAAAACATGTTTGTTTTTGCAGTTCAAGCATAATGGACATCTCTAAAATCAAGGATGGAGAGTATACTTCGTCAATTTACTCCATGGTTAGTATTTTACAAACTTTTACAAAACATCAAAATATATGAATTACGATGTATATCAGGTCGATTTTTGTGTGATTCTGGTTTTGGTTCCCGCACTATGTGTAAGTACGAATCAACGATGATAAAACAAACAGACTTGAACACATAACACTGAATGTTTTACTAAAGAACTACCCAAGACAATAGCACGCTCAATTATCTAACATGCATTGTTTAACTATTCAGATTAAGGATCAAAAATTTGACGATGCCATTAATTATCTGTCACTGGAACTTGAAAACCATCCAAAGGTAATGAAAAGCAGGGCTCTACCTAGAAACTTAATTGAGGGGGAGTGCTTCATTCATATCTTCAGTTTTGCCAGACTTATTATTTTGAAAGCAATTCACTGAAAGTATTTAAGCAAGACACATCAGAATATATGAATAAGCACTCCCCAATAATGTTTTCAGAATGGCTCTGACTAAAAGAGTGACCAGAAAGTCATGATACACATTATTTTTCTGAATTTTTAGCTTAGTTGGTACACTTTGCTCACAAGTAAGGACTTAGGAAATTTGTCCACCTATAACACAGAGGTCATCTTTGGGTGATCAACACCCCAAACACCATAAGTTTTTGTTCCTGAAATATATATTTGAAATATGCATCGTGAAATTGCATCATCACTTAAATAATTCAAAAACAAATAAAATTTATGAGAATGTTGTACAAGTTTTTTTCAGACCAATATTAAGTATGCAATACTTAATAAACAATTGAATATTTATAGATCAACTACACATGTCAGCCCATCGTACCTTAGGAGCTACACATCTTGCCATTTTTCTTCAATGCAACACTGCATTGTTCAATCTCGGTCCAGTGAGTCACTCATATCATTGCATTAAAGCCCAGCAAAATAACAAAACAAGTTCCCACGATTCCCTTCACAATAAACAATACTGCTGTTATTCAAAGCAGGTGGTTATTGCCTCATTAAAAAGAATGTTGTGAATATCAGGGTGAAAATTGGAAATTGTTATTTGAAAATTTCCGCCCACCCCTGTGGTCTATGCAAAGTTTGTAGTTTAATGCAAACAAAGTCAAATAGGTAAAAATGGGAAACAAAATAACAGATGTTTGTTTCATCAAATATTTATGTTGAACCTCTTGGTTAGCAGATTTTTCATGTATTTACCTTTACATAAATATTCAATTCCCTTTGTAAAATTCATAAATAGACTTACATTCTATTTCTATGGGACATTTGTGAGATTTTAGATGTTGTGTCATGTTTGTTACGTTATGTGCTTCTTAAGTAAGAAGACATGAAACATCTACATGAGACTTTTCATTATTTCGACGACAATTGTTTGACAAACTAAATTATTAGTGAACAATATATCATTCATATGTACAATGTTTGAAAATTCTATGTTGTCATTTGCAAAATAAAATAATTTGCTTTTGAAAATATCAATTTTCTGCACTAATTTGAACCCCTGGGCAAAAACCCCAAAAAATAACTCTCACATTTCACATTTGCTTTATAATTTTTGTTTCGATCTTTTAGTCTCGTGCCGCACTCTCTCTGTTGGGTTACTGTCATTTTCAAGTTCAAAATTTTGAAAATGCTTCTGAATGGTAGAAAGGAAAATACATTGACTTAAATTGTTTTGATTGATATAAATTTATAATGATATTTGTTTGTTTAAGCTATGAGCAGCTTGTCGAAACAAATCCTGAAATGGACGAATATAAACTTGCATATGCACAGGTAAATGACTTCTAGTGAAAGATAAATTTTTCAATTCAACCAACTACAAAAGTTCTATTATTTCCAATGTTTAACCTGTCTGTATAACATCTTTACTGTAGTCTTTATACAAGGCATTCAAGTATCCAGAAGCAACAAAGGCAACTTTTCAAATCGAGAATCCAGCTTATAAATCACAGGTTAAAAGCATGACCTTCGAACATTTAGATCTTTATCCTTGTCTTAATCAAACATCAAAACTTAATTTGATCTCTTATTTTAATGCAACATGTTATCCAACCTGTTGTCTTAACTCAACTTCATCTTAATCCAATCTCAAATCTTTGTCCAACCTCTTGTCTTAATCCAACTTCATCTTAATCCAAATTTCAAATCTTAATCCGAGTTCAAATCTCAGTCCAACCTCAAATCTTTATCCAACCTCTTATCTTAATCCAACTTCATCTTAATCCAATCTCAAATCATAATCCAAACTCTTACCTTTATACTACCGCAAATCTTAATCTAAACTCTTATCTTAATCCAACCTCAAATCTTAATCGGACAAGACAGTACTTGAGCGGTACCCCCGTTTTGTATGTTACATGCATTATTGTCATGGCAACAACAACATACCCTACCATAAATGTTGCAGGTTTTGAAACTACAAGCTGCTATAAAATATGGCGAAGAGGATTTGCAAGGAGCTAAGGTAATGTCTAACATAAATATGACCACAAATGGCAATCACTTCTCACAGCACTTCAATATTCAATTATAACTTTGCTCTGACCAAAATTCATTTCTAGAGCATGGTTGAACAATGCCCAGGTGATGATCCTGATGTTGAAATAAACCTTGGCTGCTTACTGTATAAGGTAAATTGGCTGCAGCAGCAAGCGGCTTTTTACAATAAATTTGTTTACAAAGTGAAAGTTTAATTTTTAAGATTCCAGGGTTGCATAAAATATTTATTTCATGAGATCATAGCGCCAATGAAAATATTTCCGCTAGAAAACGCCTCGTTGGAATTTTCACTTACCCAATATAAATGAAATCACATTTGCATCACTTGCTGCTATTTAAATACAGTAAATGAAGAAATGCTGCGACAGGCAGGCAGTCTGCCTGAAGCTTATTCTACCTTTCTATTTTCCCTTTCTTTGTCGATCCTGTTTCTTTTCTATGAGGATTCTAACTTTTGTACTTTTAACCAAAGTTTTTTTCAACCAACCTCAAACATTTTCCGGCAACAACGGTCCCGCAGTTCGCTATATTATGCAGGCACGTAAAATTAATTTGTGAGGCACGTAAAATTGATTTGTGAGTCACGTAAATTTGATTTGTGAGGCACGTAAAATTGATTTGTGAGGCACGTAAAATTGATTTGTGAGGCACGTAAAATTGATTTGTGAGGCACGTAAAATTGATTTGTGAGGCACGTAAAATTGATTTGTGAGGCACGTGAATTGTTGCAGGAGAAAGGAAAATTTATTCTAATGGTATTTTTGTGAATTTTACTATACAAACGAAATGAACTTTAGTCTCAAGAAGAAGCCACATTATGCAGCCATTTTACGACGCAAAGTTATTCGTTATAAAAAGAAAATTGACATGTTATTTACCTTTTAGGTTGCTCCGTACTTAAAAAGTATATTTTTTCAGTACGGACCTCAGAGCCGATAAATAACATATACATATATATCTACATACTTTTAAAATAACCATTTCACGTGTATTGTACTATTCCACTTAAATTGCCATCTCTACAATTTACAATGTAGACATATCATACTGTTAGACTCTAAATTAAGATCTCTATTTTGTATCGTAGTGTTGCGATGATTTGAATGGTTCTGACTCCATCATCATGCCTGTCTATTTAGGAAGAACGTTACTCAGAAGCATGTCAAAAGTTCACCACTGCAATGAACATTCTTGGTTATCAGGCTGGTTTGTAATGTACATTGTAACTTGTCTTAAATTACGTGTTTGTAGCTAGATCAGTGTTGCCACTCTGTGTATGCACATTTCACCTACCAAAACTTTATTTTCCCCCTACCTCCCCCTACTATGATTTTCCTTGTTTTCCCCTACTTTTCCCCTACACAGCAACATATCCCCCTATTATATACCTACGTCGGGTGGGACAATTGAATTTTTTAGTCTGTTTTTAAAAAATGCATACAAAAAAAGGTTTATAGAAAAACTAAAAACATCTAGACGACAAAGTTAGAATTTGACATAGGAAGTGATGACATGCAGGTGGTGCAAATGACACACTGAGTTTATCTAAATTGCTGATCTTCTATTGCCATATATGGTCACAAAATGTGCCAAAAGAAAGATTCTGTTACAATCACTTGCTAAATGGTGAGAACACAGGAAGAAAACAGTATTTTGGGCAAAAATGAGGCTCATTTTTAAACGATTGTCTTTTCTCCCTACAATCCCCATACATTTTACAGTTTCCCCCGTAGGTTTCCCCTACCACCTACAAACCACTAAACCCCCTTACTGTAGGGGATTTCCCCTACGAGTGGCAGCACTGCTAGATTTAGATCATTTATGTATAGACAACTCTTAGAAGAACTGTCTGCGTTTTTGTTGTCTGACGTTACAATAATTTTGTGCAAGTCATAACTTGAGTTGAAATTTGTCTGTTCCACGTTCGTTTTTGCTTAATTATCCCCACTAAACAATTCTTAATAATATAGTGAAATGAAAGTCTTACGTCCCATGCCTGAATCTCATATTGTCTTAAAAATTTACCAAATTACACTAACCTCCTAAAAACCCGCGCTAACAATAATTTTTACCACAATGAAGTTAATCAACTATTATTATATGGCAAGCGTCACTTCCGGCAAAATGGCGTGCTTTGATTGGCTCAGAAACATTTTTGCTGGTCCATTATTTTCCCGTAATCGACCACGGTCCAAAAGACGTAATTTTACAGTCAAATGTAAACAACTTCGTAATGCAAACAGCAAAACGCAAAATAAACAAAACAAAAAAACATTTATGAATGTGATTCGAAGGAAAAACACTTTGAAAACAGTTAGACTATTCAGACGATCCCAATTTAAACGATTTATTTTTTATGGACGAAAACTAGAAAAGTGAAAGCCAACCCGTAGAAAACAGCAAAGACGAGAAAGAAAGTAAGCTTCGTTTCAGGTCAAATAATGCCATATAATAAACCTTTTAATAACCTCGCTTTCTCGGTCTTTACTGAGTCTCCGTAAAGACCTCGCGCTCGGTTATTAAGGGCTTAATAATCCCTTTGTTATTAACCGGAAATCATGGTAAATCATTTGACCAACCAATCACATGATTAGCTTATTGTTGATAAGACTAGACTCTTCAACAACCTTGCCAGTGAAGTCACATTCATAATGCATCATCATTTTTCATCAAAAACAATTGCTCTCTAGGAAAATCTTATCTCCATTTTAGAAGTTATATCTCTTTTGTTTTTATTGTTTGCAGATCTCTCGTATAACATTGCTTTATGTTACTACAGTATGAAGCAATATGCACCTGCCTTAAAGCATATTGCTGATATTATTGAGAAGGGAATTCGTGAACATCCAGGTAATCATTTAGTTCAACGATAAACGTTGCTGTTTTTACCAAAACAAAGAATTTAAAGTTTACAATTTGGCGTATGTGATATTGCTGACAACACGGATCACACAAACATAAAATGCCCGCAAATTTTGTCGTGTTATGCGAATTTTTATGTGTTTACTTATGTTTTAACAACAGATTCCTAATGAAAATGTTGTGAAATATACATAGCAGGACTAAAACTTGCGGGCTGGTTGCAGGAGCAAGACTTGCGGGCTGGCTGCTGGAGCAAAACTTGCGGGTTTGCTGCAGGAGCAAAACTTGCGGGTTTGCTGCAGGACCAAGACTTGCGGGTTGACTGCAGGACTAAAACTTGCAGGCTGCAGACAGCGCTACAGCATACAATATAGCTATTAGCTAATGTGCTAGAAACATGCTTACGAGGCAAAAGATACGTTTCCTTTAAAATGATGAACATTTTGAGCAAATAATGGAGGGGGATAAAATCTGCACTCAGGGGGTGCAAGCCGCACTACTAGCTCTTACTCTAGAGCTTCTGACACACGGTTGCAATGTAATACATTGCTATATTGGAGGACACATATTCATGTATACATGTTATAATCCGTATAAAACAATGGATTTGAAAGGAATTTAGTACGGCAAGACATACATATATAAATGTACCCCTCCCCCTGCGATAATACACTATCTTTATATTACTTACTTATTACTTTATATTATTTTACTGTGGTAGACTGGTATTGTGTATTATTTTACGTCGAAAACTTTAGTTCATTCAACTTTATATTCTATTGATTTTTATACATAGAGCTCAGTGTTGGCATGACAACCGAAGGTATCGAAGTCCGAAGTGTCGGTAACACTAAAGTCCTTCATGAAACTGCTCTAGTTGAAGCGTTCAATCTAAAGGCTGCAATCGAATATCAATTGAAAAACTGTAAGTACAGTTGAAGGAATGACGTGTTGTCTTACATTTGATTGGCTGTCTGCAATCAAGCAATATCAATTACCTCATTTCCCGCCATAGATGAGGCCGCACAAGAAGCTCTCACCGACATGCCCCCAAGATCTGAAAACGTAAGTAAATATACAACGTGAGTTCTCGAGAAGAAACTGAAGGTTGCCTTTAGATAAACATGTTCATACTGAAGGTTAACTTTTGATGAGCAAGATTTAATTCTTGTCTTACAGGAGCTAGACGCGGTTACATTGCACAATCAAGCTCTCATGAATATGGAAGCAAATCCGACTGCGGTAAGGAATTGTTAGCATTAATAAAGGTGGTTTGAATTATAGAAAAGTATTATGAAACGAACTCTCTATCCACTTTCCTTATATCCAAAACAGCAAAATTAAACACCTGCTTCAACTAATTTGTGACCGTCTGTAAACATGAAGGCATGCCGACTAAGTACTCTTAAATTATTTTTTTATCTCTCTGAAGACGGCTTTAAATTAATTTTCTCTTTTCACGTCTGAAATAAATCTTACCGTTTGATCGTGTCGACTGTTGAATCACATCGATCTTTCTGGGTTTTTTAGGGTTTCGAAAAGCTGCAATTTCTTTTACAACAAAATCCTTTTCCGCCAGGTATAATTACACCTGCACCATCTGCTGGTTTATGTTTTTTGATTTTTATTGAAACATTATCACAGTTAATCAACACGCTAAAACAAAGTACATTTACACCTAAACCATATGCTGGTTTTTTGTTTTTTTGTTTTCATTGAGATATTTGTCACAGCTAAGCAAAACACTTTAACAAAGGACGAGTACACCTACATCATCTGCTGATTTTATTTTTTTCACTATTCGTTGCAACACTCTCAACAATCAACGCGCTAAAACTAATTCTAATATATGTAAAAATGTCACAGTTTATTTACTCCGTATCGTTTTTGGCGCTTACAAATATACATTTGTTTATGTTTCAAACTGTTTTCCACTAGCCACGTATCGTAACGTATCGTAGTAAAACGTAACATGGCGCATGCGTGCTTATGAATTTGGTGGTCAATATGCACAAGCACGCATGCGCCATGTTACGTTTTGCTGCGATACGTTACGATACGTGGCAAGTGGAGAACAGGCTTTATGCTCAGTTTAGAAGTAGATTTACGCAGTTATTTTTTGCTTCATTTAACGTACTTCTGAAACAAATGTTTACATTATAAAATTGAAATTATCTTTAATTTCAGAGACCTTCGGGAATCTTTTGCTTTTGTATATAAAATACCAGGTATGATCCTCTCATATCCTTTGCTTTTGTACTTATTATATCAAGTACGATCCTCCCATATCCTTGATCCTTGGAGCATAAATGTACTACTAACCTGTATATGCTCACTCACTGATAGTGAGAACAGTACCTGCGCATAGTGCTGTGTACAGGAGTACCGGAGGCCGGAGTCCCGGTTATTTTTGCCTTCCGTAGCCGGAGCGGGAGATTGTTCACTTCTGGCAAAAACTCCGGCAGCAGCTGTTTGTGCTGTAAAATACTGTCAGACTTCAGTAAAAGAATCCCATCAAGACATTTTTGTATCAACGAACGATAACTATCGGCTAAAATTGAAAAACTTGCATGAAAATAAAACGTTTTATGCATGACACAACATGACGCCTGATTAAAGTAAATGGTTTGAACCCGGGATTATCGTTACATGTTTGTAAATGTAGATCGTCCAGGTTGGTATAGTCCTGAGAAGGACTGTTTTTGTTGTATTTGACTGACGTTTCGACAACCTTAGCGGCAGTCATCTTCAGAGACAAACATGTAATGACGCTAGATTGCGTTCACACATGCTAATTTATGATCGAAAGCCGGAGTTCGGAAATTTAACTTTACATATAAAAATTTTACTAATAATATATCTTAAACTGTTGAACAGTGACTTGCAAAATTAACCAGCCACAACTAAATATTCGAGTTATAAAATAACCGGAGCCGAAGTTTGAAACGGGAGTTAGTACAGTCCTACCTGCGCTCCTAAATAAATGTTGGCTACTATGTTAACTTTGTAATAGATATAAGAGTACACATATAGTTTGACTCTGAAGATGACTACCGCTAAGGTTGTCGAAACGTCAGTCAACAACAATAAAAACAGTCCTCAGGACTATACCAACCTGAACGATCGACATTTACAAACATGTAACGATACTCCCGGGTTCAAACCATTTAATTTAGTATAGATATATACAGATTATAAAAGTTTAAAGATTGGTAATCCAGGCATATTTAATGTATAAAAATTAAAGTTTCTCCGGAATGTATATAAAATGATTTTATTGAGCTTTCAACTCGGTGCTTCGAGCCTTCATCAGAAAGATATAGGAAGTTATATACAGTTGTTTTTCATCTGTAAGTTTTTCAAAGTATAGATATATATAGATTATAGAGTATAAATATAGTCACGGTAGTATAGATAAAGTATAGATATATATAGATTATAAAGTATAAATATAGACTACAGAGTATAGATAAAGTATAGATATATATAGATTATAGAGTATAAATATAGTCACGGTAGTATAGATAAAGTATAGATATATATAGATTATAAAGTATAAATATAGTCACGGTAGTATAGATAAAGTATAGATATATATAGATTATAGAGTATAAATATAGTCACGGTAGTATAAAGTATAGATATATATAGATTATAGAGTATAAATATAGTCACGGTAGTATAGATAAAGTATAGATATATATAGATTATAAAGTATAAATATAGTCACGGTAGTATAGATAAAGTATAGATATATATAGATTACAGAGTATAAATATAGTCACCGTAGTATAGATAAAGTATGGATATATAAAGATTATAGAGTATAAATATAGTCACGGTAGTATAAAGTATAGATATGTATAGATTATAGAGTATAAATATAGTCACGGTAGTATGGATAAAGTATAGATATATATAGATTACAGAGTATAAATATAGTCACCGTAGTATAGATAAAGTATAGATATATATAGATTATAGAGTATAAATATAGTCACCGTAGTATAGATAAAGTATAGATATATATAGATTATAGAGTATAAATATAGTCACCGTAGTATAGATAAAGTATAGATATATATAGATTATGGAGTATAAATATAGTCACCGTAGTATAGTTAAAGTATAGATATATATAGATTATAGAGTATAAATATAGTCACGGTAGTATAGATAAAGTATAGATATATATAGATTATAGAGTATAAATATAGTCACCGTAGTATAGTTAAAGTATAGATATATATAGATTATAAAGTATAAATATAGTCACGGTAGTATAGATATAGTATAGATATATATAGATTACAGAGTATAAATATAGTCACCGTAGTATAGATAAAGTATGGATATATAAAGATTATAGAGTATAAATATAGTCACGGTAGTATAGTTAAAGTATAGATATATATAGATTATAGAGTATAAATATAGTCACGGTAGTATAGATAAAGTATGGATATATAAAGATTATAGAGTATAAATATAGTCACGGTAGTATAAAGTATAGATATGTATAGATTATAGAGTATAAATATAGTCACGGTAGTATGGATAAAGTATAGATATATATAGATTACAGAGTATAAATATAGTCACCGTAGTATAGATAAAGTATAGATATATATAGATTATAGAGTATAAATATAGTCACGGTAGTATAGATAAAGTATAGATGTATATAGATTATAGAGTATAAATATAGTCACGGTAGTATAGATATAGTATAGATATATATAGATTACAGAGTATAAATATAGTCACCGTAGTATAGATAAAGTATGGATATATAAAGATTATAGAGTATAAATATAGTCACGGTAGTATAGTTAAAGTATAGATATATATAGATTATAGAGTATAAATATAGTCACCGTAGTATAGATAAAGTATAGATATATATAGATTACAGAGTATAAATATAGTCACGGTAGTATGGATAAAGTATAGATATATATAGATTATAGAGTATAAATATAGTCACGGTAGTATAGATAAAGTATAGATATATATAGATTATAGAGTATAAATATAGTCACGGTAGTATAGATAAAGTATAGATATATATAGATTATAGAGTATAAATATAGTCACGGTAGTATAAAGTATAGATATGTATAGATTATGGAGTATAAATATAGTCACGGTAGTATAGTTAAAGTATAGATATATATAGATTACAGAGTATAAATATAGTCACCGTAGTATGGATAAAGTATAGATATATATAGATTATAGAGTATAAATATAGTCACCGTAGTATAGATAAAGTATAGATATATAAAGATTATAGAGTATAAATATAGTCACGGTAGTATAAAGTATAGATATGTATAGATTATGGAGTATAAATATAGTCACGGTAGTATAGATAAAGTATAGATATATATAGATTATAAAGTATAAATATAGTCACGGTAGTATAGATAAAGTATAGATATATACACTGATCTGATATTAGACTGGGTATAGCTTCTATAGGAAGCAAAAGTGAAGCCTAATTATATATGCAAAATGCACTTCCGGGTACCACAAGAAATACAAATTTCTATAGAAATGTATGGCGGGGTAACGTTTACATACAAGGATTTTCGAATATTTAAGGCATTTCGTGACCTTTTACTAATCTCAAACATCTGTCATGTATAAAACAAGTTATGTTAATCAATTTGACATCAAAATGATACCAATATCTGCAAAATATTGGCGTTCGTGTTCAATTGAAAATTGCGCGTGCAAGAATCGAATTTGCCCCATCGTTGCGAAGGCAAGATAATTCACAGCTTATTTTCCAAGTTCAGAGGCAGTTATGATCTAGAATGAGTTTCGATGCTTAAAAAATTCGTTTAGTACCTTTCTTTTATCATTCTTTATTATCTAGACATTGTTGTATGTAACTTTTGCCGTGACTTCATTAGCTGGGTACTGTTGTTGTAGGAACAAGACAAATTTACTAAGCTTTCTTCCTCACTTTATTCTTATTTTCAATTCTGTTTTTATTTTATATAAATAATACAATCATCACACCTTGCTGTAGCATTTGTATATAGCCATGAGTAAGTATGGTTGTTATTGACAAAAGTATCCAACATTTTTATCAATTGCAGTCTATACCGTAGCATCAGGAATTGTATTCCTATGTGGTAAACTGCCATCTGAAGTTAAAAGCACCTTTCTGTTTCATTGCATACTTGAATAACAATAGCTGTTGGTTTGAATCAAAGTACTCATGTCTTTTAAAGACAGGAAAGCAGATTCACTTTAATAATTTTTTTCAACCAACAGCTTCTTAACAAGTAGGGCAGGTGGTTTTCTTTGGCAGCATCTGCCTATAAAATTAGCCATGTATGGTATTGCAATCACTTTAAATTCAGAAACAATGGAAAAGCAGTGTGCACTACTATAATCTTGATAATTATCACAGTATATATTTTGTCTACAGAAGTAATTTGTTTCAAACCAACAGCTATCGTTATATCAACATGAAACAAGGCAGGAGGGTGTTTTCAGCTTCTGATGGTAGTTTATTTCATGGGAATACAATTTCTGTTGCTGAATCTTAGTATACAATGCAATTGATGCACATGTTATGTCAATAACAACTATACTCACTCATTGATGAAGGCCATGTCCAAATGTATTAGCACAGCGTGGTGATTAAATTATCTCTGTAAAATAAAAACGGAAATGAAAATAAGAATAAAGTGAGGAAGAAAGCTTAGTAAATTTGTCTTGTTCCTAAAACAACAGTACCCTGCTAATGAAGTCACGGCAAAAGTAACATACAACAATGTCTAGATAATAAAAAAATGATAAAAGAAAGGTACAAAACGAATTTTTTAAGCATCGAAACTCATTCCATATCATAACTGCCTCTGAACTTGGAAAATGAGCTGTGAATTATCTTGCCTTCGCAACGATGGGGCAAATTCGATTCTTGCACGCGCAATTTTCAATTGAACACGAACGCCGATATTTTGCAGATATCGGTATCATTTTGATGTCAAATTGATTAACACAACTTGTTTTATCCATGACAGATGTTTGAGATAAGTAAAAGGTCACGAAAGGCCTTAAATATTCGAAAATCCTTGTATATAAAAGTTATCCGCCATACATTTCTATAGAAATTTGTATTTCTTGTGGTACCCGGAAGTGCATTTTGCATATATAATTAAGCTTCACTTTTGCTTCCTATAGAAGCTATATCCAGTCTATTATCAGATCAGTGGATATATATAGATTATAGAGTATAAATATAGTCACGGTAGTATGGATAAAGTATAGATATATATAGATTACAGAGTATAAATATAGTCACGGTAGTATAGATATAGTATAGATATATATAGATTATAAAGTATAAATATAGTCACCGTAGTATAGATAAAGTATAGATATATAAAGATTATAGAGTATAAATATAGTCACGGTAGTATAAAGTATAGATATGTATAGATTATGGAGTATAAATATAGTCACGGTAGTATAGTTAAAGTATAGATATATATAGATTATAGAGTATAAATATAGTCACGGTAGTATAGATAAAGTATAGATATATATAGATTATAAAGTATAAATATAGTCACGGTAGTATGGATAAGGTATAGATATATATAGATTACAGAGTATAAATATAGTCACGGTAGTGTTGATATAGTATAGACTACAGAGTATAGATAAAGTCACGCTATAACAAATAAAAAATTCAACCAACTGTAAAAATACTTTATTTTATAATTTTGCAGTATTATGATTTGGCAGCAGATGTCCTTGCCGAAAACGCTCACCTGACGTATAAATTTTTAACGCCTGTAAGTTCAAAAGGTTTTTCCTTCACACTTTACATTGAAATATGAAAACAACGCTATTCAAAAATGTACATATATATATATATATAAGTTTGAAAATTTGTAATCCAGGCATTTAATACATAAAAGATGAAAGTTTCTCCGGATTTTAAGTGATTTTTATTGAGCTTTCGACTCGTTGCTTCGAGCCTTCATCAGAATGAGGATTAAAATTCTGATGAAGGCTCGAAGCAACAATAAAATCACCATCAGAAAATCTTTATATATATATATATATATATATATAATATTATTATGGATAATATTCCTGGATAAAAGAGCGCTCAATATTCTATATATTAGAAGAGCGTAAGATAAAATGAACTAAAATAAAATGGACAATTGTTTGCTGTCGCTACTCAGAGTTTCACGCCGTAGGGCGATCTTCAGGCAACTGACAGATAATATTTTATTTGCTGACTATATACATCGACTAAAAGGTGTTAAGTTACATGACGGCATGCACTAAACATATCGGAACGTTTATTTAAAATGTTCTTTTTACGTCCTTTCAGGATAAGTAGCCTTTCTTCAAGGCAAAGACGGCAGGTTCTTTGGTTTTTGTTCGGAGGTGGAAGTTGTTTGATGAAGTCCCATTTAATGTTGTAGTTACGTTTGTTTTCTTTCAGTGTCCACGTGTATTTAGAAAGTTCTGTCTCGTTGCGGTATTTAATGTTCGTAATTGATTTAATGTGGTTTCGATATCGTGTCTTAAAAGCGCATGCAGTAACACCTATGTAAGTTTTTGTTTCGTTGTTGTCAGTCGTTGTCACGTCGGCTTTGTAAATCACGTTGGGTTTCAGGCAATTGCCATTTGTCGGGCATAGATGTTTCTGTCTGCAGTTACATTTCTTTGGTGGGTTGTTCTTGTTCTGGGTTGTGTCTGGGTTAAGTCTTTTTAAAATAGTCTTGTTGTGTCTGGTTATGAAAGTTTTCATGTTTTCGCCGCAGCTGTAGCTTACGCGTATTGTGTGTCGGTTGAATATCTTGAATAGCTTACGCGTATTGTGTGTCGGTTGAATATCTCAACCGACACACAATACGCGTAAGCTACAGCTGCGGCGAAAACATGAAAACTTTCATAACCAGACACAACAAGACTATTTTAAAAAGACTTAACCCAGACACAACCCAGAACAAGAACAACCCACCAAAGAAATGTAACTGCAGACAGAAACATCTATGCCCGACAAATGGCAATTGCCTGAAACCCAACGTGATTTACAAAGCCGACGTGACAACGACTGACAACAACGAAACAAAAACTTACATAGGTGTTACTGCATGCGCTTTTAAGACACGATATCGAAACCACATTAAATCAATTACGAACATTAAATACCGCAACGAGACAGAACTTTCTAAATACACGTGGACACTGAAAGAAAACAAACGTAACTACAACATTAAATGGGACTTCATCAAACAACTTCCACCTCCGAACAAAAACCAAAGAACCTGCCGTCTTTGCCTTGAAGAAAGGCTACTTATCCTGAAAGGACGTAAAAAGAACATTTTAAATAAACGTTCCGATATGTTTAGTGCATGCCGTCATGTAACTTAACACCTTTTAGTCGATGTATATAGTCAGCAAATAAAATATTATCTGTCAGTTGCCTGAAGATCGCCCTACGGCGTGAAACTCTGAGTAGCGACAGCAAACAATTGTCCATTTTATTTTAGTTCATTTTATATATATATATATATATATATATACAAAGTGTATATACAATGTGCCCTCCCGGCTGTCACCATTGTAAAATGTTGACTCCTGCACTTGGGACACAGGATGTACGGTTCCACATTGTATGGATTGTTTTGTAGAGTCACCAGAGTGCTCAAACCTATAAAGGTGAGCTTTGCATAAAGCGAAAGCGGTGAACGTCTCTTTTTGAGACTCTCTACACAATCCGAGAGCGCTCAAATTGCGCAAGCGCAGCGAGCGTAATATATATATATATATATATATATAGGAAGATTTTGTGTAATGATTCTCCGTGAAAAAACAGTGCTCGATGCGCGAGAGCAGAGCGTAAATATATATATAATCCCCTGAATAGTGAGGTAAATATATACTTTTGTCTTTAGTACTTATACGAGTTTTTGGATGCTACAATTACAAGACAGACATCACCAGAAGAGGTAAGAGAAAAATCAAGTGACTTAATTATAAATCGTTCAGACAAGTTCTGCTCAAATGAAATGTGCTTTCTGTTTGGTTTGTTTATTAAAATCGAACATCAATGGCTTATTTGTTGCATCTCATCCTTCCTTCTTAACATACTTTGCACATTCTCCTTCCATTGCAACATATCCTTTGTTCTCCTTCCTCTTCCAACATACCCTACACATTCTCCTATCATCCCAACATATCCTGCATTCTCCTTCCTCTTCCACCATACCCTGCACATTCTCCTACCATCCCAACATATCCTGCATTCTCCTTCCTTTTCCAACATACCAAGCACATTCTCCTTCCTCTTCCAACATTTCTCATCCATTCCATATGTCCATTCTCCTTCCTCTTCCAACCTTTCTCCTTCCATTCCATATGTCCTGCATTCTCCTTCCTCTTCTATTCTCCTTCCATTCATGTCCTTATTCTCCTTCCTCTTCCAACATACCCAGCACATTCTCTATCCATTCCAATATGTCCTGCATTCTCCTTCCTCTTCCAACCTACCCAGCACATTCTCCTTCCATTCCAATATGTCCTGCATTCTCCTTCCTCTTCCAGCATACCCTGCTCATTCCCCTCCATTGGAACATGTCCTTTATTCTCCCTCCTCTTCCAACATACCCTGCACATTCTCCTACCATCCCAACATATCCTGCATTCTCCTCTTTTGTATATTATCCAATTATTCTATATTTTCATCTTGTCAGGCTTTTCGATGTTTCGATGAAATGGCTACGAAACAAACGGAACTACTTCGAAAATTGACGAAACAGGTCAACCATCTATGTCTTGCTCTTTTGTAATGTCATTGACAGTAATGTCATTGACAGACAGTAATGTCATTGATTTTAGAAAAAGCGATCATCAACGACGTCAATAAACTTTTTCTTAACGACTTAATACTTAATGTAGTATTTGCAAACAGGTACAAGAATCAAGACAAAATCACGACGACGATGCGGTTAAAAAAACTGTCAATGAATACGACGAGGCCTTAGAGAGGTGAAGAATTATTTTTCTCACCATTGTAGAATGTTCCAACGTATGTATATGGCATTGTTTTTGTTTACTTGAAGGTATATTCCAATATTGATGGCACAAGCAAAGATTTACTGGGATTTAGAAAACTACCCTCAAGTTGAAAAGGTAAAAAGAATAGCATTAACAGGTCAATGAACTATAGCATTAACAGGTCAATGGACTATAGCATAAACAGTTCAATGGACTATAGTATAAACAGGTCAATGGACTATAGCATAAACAGGTCAATGGACTATAGCATAAACAGGTCAATGGACTATAGCATAAACAGGTCAATGGACTATAGCATAAACAGGTCAATGGACTATAGCATAAACAGGTCAATGGACTATAGCATAAACAGGTCAATGGACTATAGCATAAACAGGTCAATGGACTATAGCATAAACAGGTCAATGGACTATAGCATAAACAGGTCAATGAACTATAGCATAAACAGGTCAATGAACTATAGCATAAACAGGTCAATGGACTATAGCATAAACAGGTCAATGGACTATAGCATAAACAGGTCAATGGACTATAGCATAAACAGGTCAATAGACTATAGCATAAACAGGTCAATGAACTATAGCATTAACAGGTCAATGGACTATAGCATAAACTGGTCAATGGACTATAGCATAAACAGGTCAATGGACTATAGCATAAACAGGTCAATGCACTATAGCATAAACAGTTCAATGGACTATAGCATAAACAGCTCAATGGACTATAGCATAAACAGTTCAATGGACTATAGCATAAACAGGTCAATGCACTATAGCATAAACAGGTCAATGAACTATAGCATTAACAGGTCAATGGACTATAGCATAAACAGGTCAATGGACTATAGCATAAACAGTTTAATGGACTATAGCATAAACAGGTCAATGCACTATAGCATAAACAGTTCAATGGACTATAGCATAAACAGGTTAATGGACTATAGCATAAACAGGTCAATGGACTATAGCATAAACAGGTCAATTGACTATAGCATAAACAGGTCAGTGGACTATAGCATAAACAGGTCAATGGACTATTGCAGGGGTCTCCAACCTACGGCCGCCGGGCCAGATGCGGCCCGTTAGGCCTCTCAATTTGGCCCGCAGAGACGCTTGAGAAAAAAATAATAATATCATTAAACAAAATAAACTTTGTGCATAAAAGAAAAAGAAAAGTAGATGATGAATGTCGGCGATTTCAAGAAGAGTGAAGTGTAAAATACTTCTTCATCGCTCTTTGACCAGCGGTATACGGTTCGTCGGCCCTCAACATGCTGGATGAAAGTTCATGTGGCCCTCTGGCTGTAAAGTTTGGAGACCCCTGGACTATAGCATAAACAGGTCAATAGACTATATCACAACAGGTCAACAGATTATGGTACAAACAGCTGAACGTAGCTAAATATTTACAATCCTAACTCCAGAAATAAATAATAAATCTTTTTTCTATCTCAGATATTCCGAAAATCAGTGGAATTTTGTAACGAACATGAAGTGTGGAAGCTGAATGTTGCTCATGTGCTTTTTATGCAGGTTTTGTAACAACTTGATCTTTGACTTTTCACCCGTGGGGTTTGTACATCTGTTTAGTGCGGCTGCGTTTCACTTTATGCAGGTTTTGGAACAACTTGATCCTTGACATTTTCACGGAAATTCAACCCGTGTTGTTTGTACATCTGCTTAGTGCTTGTACGAACCAGTTTTGTTATATTCAATCAACTCTCCATGCATAAAATGTAATAAATATATTTAAAACAACAGAACAGCAATCATAAGCTTGTTTTTTCTCCACGATACGCTTCGGATTTAAATGCCTATGAAACGAAAATAAATTATGTTGTTTTAATTATATTTGACTCTGAAGATGACTACCGCTAAGGTTGTCGAAACGTCAGTCAACAACAACAACAACAGTCTTTCTCAGGATTATACTAACCTGGACGATCTACATCTACAAACATTGTTTAATTATATTTTCATGTAACAGAACTTTTAAAACGACAGTGTACTTTCTTAAACAGTTTATACTTTTTAGTCACACTTCTCTCTTTTCATGCTCAAGATGTCGAGGGTCTTGTGATATTCAATTCATGCAACCGGTAACATCCAATTGCAAAAAGAGAACGTGAATAATCCGGAACATTTGTGAATGTGTAAACATTTGTGAACATTTGTGAACATTTGTGAACATTTGTGAATGTGTGAACATTTGTGAACATTTGTGAACATTTGTGAATGCGACTTAAACCGAGCCGAGTTCCTTTTGATTGGAAATGTTAATGGGATAAAATTCTTTCTAAGCAATTCATCAAAAAAGATGAAATTGAAACTGAAGGATAGTTGAAACTTTTTGACGCGTATGACGTCATTAGTGACATGTGTAACGTCACTAGTTATGTAAATTGACCTTAAAAAAACTTCGGTATCTTGAGAATGCAAAGAGTTGTGCGTAAATAGTTTTAAAAATGCATTATCGTTTTAAAAGTTCTGTTCAATGAAAATAAAATTTAAATAGCAAAATTTTTGTTTCCTAAGCATGGTTACATTGATCAAAGTGAATTGGATCCGTCAAACGTAGATTATGTAAAGTTTTGTGTCGTTTGTTAATCAGAAAAATAAACAATTTTTTATGATTTAGGAAAATAAATACAAAGAAGCCATTGGATTTTACGAACCAATTGTCAAGAAACATTACGATAATGTATAAAATTATTTCTTTTGCATATTTCTTATCATACCTGTGCACAAAACTTTGAAATGCACACAATTAATGGACAGTTTGTGATGTTTAGATTCTTACAGTGAGCGCCATTGTTCTTGCCAATCTCTGTGTGTCTTACATTATGACAAGTTGTAATGAAGAGGTACGTGTGTCCTATGGAGTAAAATAGAGTCCCACATCAGTGGAGTACACTGATCGCAACTGTTTATTTCTTCTCTGAAACGTTAAAATTGTATAAAAAGTTACAAATAATTAAATTCCGCGAATTGGTTTCGTCCAGCCAATCATAGTGCTTTAACTAAATAAAGTTATTGTATCCAATAGTTTATAAGTTCCAATAGTTGTTGAAATTGTTAATTTTTGAATTCATGTAAACTCGACCCAGTCCAACCCATAAACTATATTTATGTATTCTTTAGTCATCTTTTTTAAGTAGAAGACCGTTAATAACCGTTCAACTTTTGCTGTGTATGAGGAAGGGAGATCATATTTGCATGAAAATATCTTCAAGGCTTCAAGCAGGCAGAGATGAATTCATTTGGAAGTGGTGTGAAAGGGGGTGTCAATTTCCCTTGTAACGTACCAAGCAATTGTGATTTGTGTTTAATGGAGCACACTTCCAGAAAAGTATCTCCAAAACTTGGTATACGTAACAGTAGCAGAATTTAATAAAATATGTCTGACATGACGTGGTAACATCTCTGACATGACATGGTAACATCTCTGACATGACATGGTAACATCTCTGACATGACATGGTTACATCTCTGACATGACATGGTAACATCTCTGACATGACATGGTAACATCTCTGACATGACATGGTAACATCTCTGACATGACATGGTAACATCTCTGACATGACATGGTAACATCTCTGACATGACATGGTAACATCTCTGACATGACATGGTAACATCTCTGACATGACATGGTAACATCTCTGACATGACATGGTAACATCTCTGACATGACATGGTAACATCTCTGACATGACATGGTAACATCTCTGACATGACATGGTAACATCTCTGACATGACATGGTAACATCTCTGACATGACATGGTAACATCTCTAACATGACATGGTAACTTCTCTAACATGACATGGTAACATCTCTAACATGATATGGTAACATCTCTAACATGACATGGTAACATCTCTGACATGACATGGTAACATCTCTGACATGACATGGTAACGTCTCTGACATGACATGGTAACATCTCTGACATGACATGGTAACATCTCTAACATGACATGGTAACATCTCTGACATGACATGGTAACATCTCTGACATGACATGGTAACATCTCTGACATGACATGGTAACGTCTCTAAAGTAGTCACTAAAATGTAATTCAAACTTTAACTCCATCACTTACAATATTCTTGGATTCGTCTCTGCTAGCAGGTCAATGTTTCTGAGTCTATCAAAACGCGCTATTTTGCCGGAAGTGATGCTTGCCATATGGTAAAAGCATTTTTATTACTTTTTCATTCTCGCTATTATTTTTAGGCCGAAGAGTTGATGAGAAAAATTGAGAAAGAAGAGGTTAGTTTTTCAACAAAATTATCGTCGTAAATATTCATGTTGTTCGTATATTTTCTTCACGAAGTTTTTTAACCTAGGAACAAGTTGCTTACGATGACCCGGATAAGAAAATTTATCATCTTTGTATCGTGAATCTAGTCATCGGGTGCGTTTCCAAGTTCTCTATAAACCGAGGTTTACACAGGCAAAACAGGCAAACACAGTAAACATCTTTTATTTAAGAAATAAAAGATGTTTACTGTGTTTTATGTAAACCGAGGAGACCTTTGAGAGAACTCGAGAGCAGATCAGTGCAAGCCCGAGACCGAAGGTTGCACATGCTCGAGAGTTCTCACAAACGTCTCCGAGGTTTTCATAAGCCAGTGCAAACACGAAAAACATCTTTTATTTCTTTTATAAAATAACAAAATGCGAAAAGACAAACATTTTAATTTTTCTCTAAAATGTATTCATGGTCGATTTGCAAATTCTCTTTGACTGATTGATTGTTTTGATCGATTTGATTGGTTGAGCTCAGATCTGTTTTGCACAGGCTAATGCAAACACAGCTTTATACCAATCAGCCCACGCGTTTTATTTTATAATTCTTTATAAAATAGCAATGATGCGAAACAGATAAATTTAAAACAAATGTTTTGATTTTTCCTCTAAAATGTATTCATGATTGATTTGCAAATTCTCTTTGATTGATTTTGTTGATTGAGCACAGATCGGTTTTGCACTGGCTAATGCAAACACAGCTATAGACCAATCACCACACGCGTTTTATTGTGTTTATTTTATAAATCTCGTTTTTATTGTTACCAACTGTGCTCTATAAATGGTTAAATACATGTTAACCAGCCTCCGCCCATTGTTACGCCACTGATCTCAACTGTTCATTTCTTAAAGTCTCTGAAACCGTCAAATTGAATAAAAACTTACAAATAATTAAATTCCGTGCATTGGTTTCGTCTAGCCAATCATAGTGCTTTAACTAAATAAAGTTATTGTATCCAATACTTGATAAGTTCCAATAGTTGTTGAAATTGTTAATTTTTGACTTCATTTAAACTCGACCCAGTCCAACCCATAATCTCTCGACTAACCCTCAGCAATTATTTTATTGATAACAAAAAAAAAGTGTTGGTTACAATTTAAAACATTCGGTTTGTGTGTTTCATAAGTAAGGTAGCGTCATAAGTTTTATGTAGCATGTTTTAAAGATGGTATATTTGTGACGTAGTTATGATGAGGTTGCAAGGTGTATAATTTGTGACGTAGTGATGATGAGGTTTCTATATGAATAATTTGTGATGTAGTTATGATGAGGTTGCTAGGTGAATAATTTGTGACATAGCTATGACGAGGTTGCTTAGTGAATAATTTGTTTGAGGCGGGAGGGGAGAGAAATGTTTTGTGTTAATCTGTCACTTCACAAAATCTGTCTATTAACAAAATTATTTATTTACGAAGTCATAATTTATTTCACTTTTAATTGTTCCAACAAAGTCACATTTTAAATTTATGTAAATTTATGTAAATGTTTTACGTTTTAGGACTTTGTATTGTGCAAAGGAAACTACGAATTCGGAATGTCCAGAATTATAAAAAGTGTTGAACCATACGACAAAAAGGTATTTCCTACTTGTAACTATATTCCTGCTGTGTTAAAGTTTTTCACCTTATACAAAGTTTTGAACCATACGATAAAAAGGTATTTCCTACTTTTAACTATATTCCTGCTGTGTTAAAACTTTTCACTTTGTACAAAGTGTCGAACCATACGACAAAAAGGTATTCCCTACTTGTAACTATATTCCTGCTGTGTTAAAACTTTTCACTTTGTACAAAGTGTCGAACCATACGACAAAAAGGTACTTTTTTAACATTTAAGATGAAAGATAATAGAAAATTTGTCTTTTTACCTGAGTACTATAAATGCTTTCAAATAAACTTCATAGAAATATTGCCCGAGGATTTGAAGGGTATAATTCTAACGTTCAAAGGCAAAACTGGTGTGTAGGCCAGCTTCATTAATTGCCCTACCCACAATGAGAAAAATATAACTGAGTATTTTGTATTTTTCTCTCAGCTTGGTACTGACACGTGGTATTATGCAAAAAGATGTTTTATCAGTCTTCTGGAAAACATGGCCAAGCATATGATAATGTTGCGCGACAGTATCACTCTGGAAATTATACAATTTTTGGAGCATTGTGAAGGTAATATGACTTATAGGTGTGAAGTTTTGGTGGGGGGGGGGGCTGAGGAAATTTACTTAACATTTTTTAAAAAAGGAGATGTCTCATCCAAACATTCACGACCCCCACATGCCTTGCTCGTTGCCCCCCCCCGCTCTTTGAGAAAAATCCTACAACTAGACAAATTAACTTTTTAGGTAAAATTTGTTTCATTGTTTATTTTCCTTAAAAATTCGTCATCTGCAGCCTTTCTATTCCTGTCTTTCTGTTTCTTTAGCACATAAATACAGTTTGGAAACTTAATTTACATAACAGACAGCGTCGCGTAGCTAGAACACCAACTTGTTCATGCCATGTAAATATTGTAGTTTGCACTAACTAGAAAAAGAATGGATTTCTAAACATCTGAAATTCACCTAGCACGACGAAACTTGCTGTCTTGTTACCCCGAGGGCTATGCCTGACTGATAGCCAGCTTTCGCTGTAATATAACATGCCTTGTTTTTTCAGTCTATGGTCGAAACATACCCGCGTTGGTTGAGCAACCTTTGGAAGAGGAAAAATTACATCCCGGACGAAACACTGTCACTTACGAAGCTCGTTTGCTGAAATGTTTATTTCTGAAACTAAAATAGAGCGTTGTCATTATATGTTTGTATGTAATATAAGCTATTTATTTTTTTCTGTCATGTTTGAATGAAAAGCTTTATGAAAAAACTGTTCGTTATTTTCAATATTTTGTTGCAGTTATTAAACACCATTTTGGGATCTTTTGCAGCCCGGCTACGTGCAAGTGTCTTGAACTAACTGCAAACCGCGTTCAAAAGAACTCATGCACACTTTAAGACTAGAAAAGTCTAGAAATTCGTTAAACAAGCTTCATTTTTTATAGACCGGTGTACTCAATTAATGAACAAGAGATGATTTTTCAGCACTGAATAAGATTTTCGGTATTTCACTGACCGGATGTGACGTCAACATTTTTGTGTGATGCCAAACAGGTTAAGTCATCGTTGTGAACTCTGCACGCAGTTTAGACGTTAGCTGTTAAGTAACAGAGATAGTTGTAACAAAAATTCGGAATAAGATAGAAAATAAACACACTTCTCTTTTGCTTGAGCGAAAAATCTTTATTTCAATTTCAGTGAATCAAAATCAAGAAAATAAGATGAAAGATTTTTGGCTAAAAATCTTTCTTTTATTATGATAAAAGAAAAAAATAGAAAACATTTGCCCACCTTCGTTTGTTTTGAATAATGTTGCAGAAAGCACGGTTCTGGAAAGGGAACACCCTGGGAACGAGTTATGCAAACAACACTGAAGCTGAGATTTGACATGTTTTTGAGCGCCGTCCGTTTCTAAACAAAATGGCCGACCAAAGTTAAGATTTTTGGTCTTTGAATCGAGTCTAAAACTTGTGAGGATTAACTACTGGCCCTCAAAAATAAAAATTTATTGCACGAGGGCATCTAAACTGCCCGTTTATCGTAGAGTGGAAGAAGATTAGTGTTAGTTCTAGCGATGAGCTCAACCGCTTCTAAGGTGAGGAGCGGGCGATTAAACTCAATATGTTAAATTATCTTTGACACAAAGAGATGCTTGAATGTGCTATTGGCGGATTTAGTTCTATCTTTCAGTGTGTTTCATTATAACATAAAAAGCTTTATTGTGTGATTGAATTCATACTCTCATCCGATAATACGTATTTCTTTGTGAATATTTAGGTCGCAGACATCTTCACGGCAGCTGGTGCTGCCTTCAACCGTCTTGGTGAACTCACTGTACAACTTCATCCATTGAATGGTGATGGCTCATCTCAGAGCAGGTCAGTGGTTGATTGATTGGGAATATTTTAGGCGGAAACCTGTGTAGATTTGGGATGGGGGGTGGGGGACTATTTAAAGAGAGAACTATCATACAATCTTAATGTTACAAAGACAACCTTCAATCTTGTCTTGACCTTGTTGTAATAATTTACTTGTTCTTCATTACCGTTACCTGTCTCCCTCATTTGCTATCCATCATCCCTGTGTTTAATTGCTACACAATTTGAAAATTCCATTTTAACAAGAATCTTGTTGTTTTTTCTCTCCCAACCCTCGCCACTCTTCAATCTTCTCACAGCTTTTGTTACATTCAGCAATTTTTTCCTATTACATTATGAGCTGGATGCTTGATGCGGACACAACTTGCCAAAACTATTCTCAAATGAGAAAACTTTCTTGAACTTGTTTTCCAAAAATGATACTTCACACTACAATGAAAAATGTAGAAGTTCTGGGTTGAAATACATCAATATACCAATTGTCAAAAATTCATTCTCGTAGGTGATAATGAGCTGCTTCTGATACTCTCCCAGAAGTAAAAATGAGCTGCTACTGCTACTCTACCCTCTCTCCCAGTATTAAAAACAAGTTGCTACTGCTACTCTCCCCTCTCTCCCAGTATTAAAAACAAGTTGCTACTGTTACTCTCCCCTCTCTCCCAGTATTAAAAACAAGTTGCTACTGCTACTCTCCCCTCTCTCCCAGTATTAAAAACAAGTTGCTACTGCTACTCTCCCCTCTCTCCCAGTAATAAAAACAAGTTGCTACTGCTACTCTCCCCTCTCTCCCAGTATTAAAAACAAGTTGCTACTGTTACTTTCCCCTCTCTCTTAGAAGTATTAAAAACAAGTTGCTACTGCTACTCTCCCCTCTCTCCCAGTAATAAAAACAAGTTGCTACTGCTACTCTCCCCTCTCTCCCAGTATTAAAAACAAGTTGCTACTGTTACTCTCCCCTCTCTCCCAGTATTAAAAACAAGTTGCTACTGTTACTTTCCCCTCTCTCTTAGAAGTATTAATGACCTTCTATTGTTACTCTCCCCTCCCTCCCTCCCCATGGCAATAAATATCATTTCTCCATATTATTTAGTGGCAAATGGGGTGAAACAGAGATAAACATGTTGAGAGATGCTGTGAAAAGATTTGGTGAAGATTTGAAGAAGATTAGCGAAATTATTACCACGAAATCTGTGTAAGAAACAAACCATTTACTGTCAAACGTATTTCTATTTCTTAGTTGAATGTACAGTCATTAAACCTAAATGATCTGGCTTTGTAGTCCTTATGGTTTTGGTGTGATAAGGTTAGGGGTTAGGTTTTGGACTTTTGGTCAAGCTTGTGCAAATTTTCCATCTAATTTCTTAGACACATGACTATGTGGTCACATGATTGCTTAGACACGTGGCTATGTAGTCACATGATTGCTTAGACACGTGGCTATGTAGTCACATGATTGCTTAGACACGTGACTATCTAGTCACATTATTGCTTGGAGACATGACTATGTTGCTAGATGATATCTTAGACACGTAACTATGTAGTCAGTTTATTGCTTAGACACGTGACAATAAGTCGAATGATTGCTTAGACACGTGACAATAAGTCAGATGATTGCTTAGACACGTGACAATAAGTCAGATGAATGCTTAGACACGTGACAATAAGTCAGATGATTGCATAGCTCTGGCGTGCACATTCTTGGAACTTTTGAAGCAACTTCTTCTCCACCTTTAGAGCTCAAATAAAAAACGCTTTAAAGCAACGTGTTCACGAACAAAAAACCAGCAAAGACTCCGGTAAAAAGATTTCGCAAAAACGAACAGCACCTCTTGATGAAGAAGTAAATGGAGAAACAGTACTATCTACTCATATCTCAAACAATGGCGTGGCTGTTAAGAAAATCAAACGAGGTTAACTAATGCTTGTACACAATGGCGTTGCCAGCATCGATAATTGTGGAGGGAGGGGAGGGCAATATTCATGTATGCAAGTAATGAACCACAGAAAACACTTGACTTCTAAGGCACGGTCGAAACACGGTGCCATCCAGTAACTGCTATCGTGGCGAGAATCTCTCGTCCATACTAGTTTTAAAAGAGATTTGACTCGTCTCCAATCCCTGTGGGCTTGGTAGCTCAACAGGTAGAGCGGCGGACTAGTATCCCGAAGGTGCGAGTTCAAATCTCGTCCAAGTCACATGTTTTTCATGAGCATATAAAAAAACCGTGTTAGGATTTATATTATGTATAATCAAAGGAATTTAATATCGCAGAACATGAATATATCAAACTTGTTCCTCTCCTTTCTCATCAAGCTGGCTACCCCAGTTCTTTTACGTAAGAATACTAGTGGACGCTTACGCGAAATTCGGAAAGATAATCATTAATCCCTTCATAATTTGTCACCCTGTAATGAGAATCATTTGTTGTGTCCTATATTTAGCATCCTCAGAAGTTGTCGTGTCGAAGGAAAGAGAAAAGAAACTCGTATCACCTTCGAAAGAAAATCAAATTAAACTAACATCACCTTCGAAGGAAACTGAAAGTGAAGTCGACATTGAAAGTATCGATGAAAATAGTGCGACGAATAAAGAAACAGGAAGTATGTAACTTTTGACCAACCTGACAACCTTAAGGCTCTTTTCCACTCATCGCAAAACGTACTCGCAAGCTCACTGCGAGTGCCTGCGAGTTACTCGCAGCGAGCTTACCATGACTTGCAGCATAGTTAAATTAATTGAACAAAATTTTTTGATCGCGCGAACAGACTCGCAAGCTCGCAGCGAGAGCATTTTGCGATGAGTGGAAAAGAGCCCTTAGCGGTAGTCATTTAAACATGTTGACTGGTATTTCGATCCCGACAACCTTAGCGGTAGTCATTTTAACATGTTGACTGGTATTTCGATCCCGACAACCTTAGCGGTAGTCATTTTAACATGTTCACTGGTATTTCGATCCCGACAACCTTAGCGTTAGTCATTTAAACATTTTGACTGGTATTTCGATCCCGACAACCTCAGCGGTAGTCATTTTAACATGTTGACTGGTATTTCGATCCCGACAACCTTAGCGGTAGTCATTTTAACATGTTGACTGGTATTTCGATATTCTTAGCCAGTGGTGCACACTTTAAGAAATATGTGTGGGGAGCTCGTCCTGAAGGCGTGAGATTTTAAGGAAGATTTCAGGACATGCGTATTGGTATACATTTAAAATTTGATCTCCAGAAATTTGACTTAAGGATTCCTTCGCACACATAATCCTACACAAGTTTTAATATGTCTGCTGGTACGTGTACGTTACAAAAGTTTATCAAATAGTTATTATTTAACTTCACTGTTATGTTATGTAGGTGTGATTTGAGAGAGTTAACGCAAGATTTTAAATCTTTGAAAATTATTGGGGGAGGGGTGTTTAAGGCCCCCTCGCCCTTCCTTTTACATGTCGACCACTGTTCCTCGCTGTAAGTTGGCAAAACGTCATTCGGTAGCAACACTGGTCACCAGTCCTTCTCAGAACTCCACTAACCTAGACGATCTACAAAGTACGAACATCAAACTATGCTCCCGCGTTCAAACCATTATATAACAAAAACGTCGTACATTACGATATTGATATTATAGTACTTATAGCAGTTTTCCTTTCATATTACTGTACAATAGCATGTCATAAAAATAGCAGAGAAATAACGATGGCATCAAAGATAAACTTTTGTTAATTGCCTGTGTGAAATAATTTTCGCCATGGGCATATTTTCATCCCTCAAATACCCTCACTCCCCGCCAATCTCATTAACTCCAAAATGTCATCCTCAATCCCCCAAACTTTTGTTTCACTATCCTACATTTTCCCATGCTGTACCAGCATATCCTTAGTGGTGGCTGTATGCCGTCTCTAACAAAACTTATTAACCCCTCCTCCTGAAAAATAAGTCTTTGGTTGCTGGCATCCGGTAAAAGTCTGTGTGATAATTTATTTTTAGGTACTTCAGAGATAGATAAGTCAGAAGAAGAATCTGCGGATTCGACGGCTGCCGTGGCGTCGTCGGCAGGTGCCGTGGCATCGTGAAACAAATACATTTCAACACCAAATGGACATCAGTTGGATGGGGAATAAAAGCATTTGAAAATAATCTTTTCTAACAGCACGCAACAACAGTTTACTTGGGGGAAAAAACAGTTTCCTGGCCAAATTTAGCAGTCTTTTCAAGAACCAGCTTCTGTTAATGTGTTCTGCCATGACGCTTGCGCTTCCAAAATCGTGGTTAGGTCGTCCTGGATTATTATTTCGCATTAAATCCAACCATTTGATGCAAAGTTTTTACCTATGAAAAAACTGAGCATAACCTTCAGGCATCACAAACTATTTTTTAGCGAGTTCCTTTGTCATGTCTTTTTGAATCATTTAGATTAAAAGATATATATTATAGAGAAAACATTAGGACTATTTCGTTGCGAAAAGTCACAAAGTTAATCAAATATGTAACGATTGAAAGAAATTAAACATAGCAGAATCTCGAAGCATTGTGGTGATGAAACCTAAATAATTTTTAGCTTAAAAATTATTTCTAACTCTTCGTTTCATGTTTGTGTAGGAAATTTTGATTCAAATATTTTATGGGTGAACTTAATTGCGTTTGACTTGCTCGTAATAACGACGGCTAGACTGCAGTTTAGCCGCAGAATAATGATTACACTGAATGGTCACTCAGGTGTACAACGCGTCCTCATGTCGGCCATTATTCCAGCCAGATGATTAGGATTTCTCACTTGTTTCCAACCATTAAAATTACATGACGTCAATACTTAATAATGAATTCAAGTATATTTTTTTTGACTTAAAAAATGACTTTGGATCATTTTAAAGGTTTGGAAAAAGTCAAAAACCCTAATCATCTGGCTGGAATAATGGCGGCCATCATGCGCAGCACGACTTGCGCGAGGACAAAAACATCAAAGGTTCCGACACGAGTGACTCTTCTGTATATTCTTATTCTGTGGTTTAGCGGACACCCGAAACGCTTATATGCGGAGCGCGGGCTCGTTTTTGGTTAGGGTTAGGGTTTGGGCATGCGTCTAAGGTGTCCGCTAAACTGCAGTAGTCCCATAACGACTAAGCCGAAAAGTATTTTAGTAAAACAAACACTCAGTTTGAAATAAACATTCTGCATAAAGTCTACTAATCCAACCACTCCATTATTGTTTAACTTTTGCTTTTAGAAATAAGAATTTCTGTTGAACTCTCAGGAGCAGAAAAGGTTTTGTGCTACTAATAAAAATATGCAATATAAAAGCACACATCCGACGATTAAGAAATAAAAGATGTTTACTGTGTTTGCACAGGCTTATGCAAACCGAGGAGACCTTTGGGAGAACTCGAGAGCAAATCAATGCAAGCCCGAGACCGAAGGTCGAGAATTGCACATTCTCAAGAGTTCTCACAAACGTCTCCGAGGCTTGCATAAGCCTGTGCAAACACGAAAAACATTTTTTTCGTTTATAAAATAACAATATTGCGAAAAAGACAAACGTTTTAATTTTTCCTCTAAAATTTATTCATGATGGATTTGCTAACTCTCTTTGACTGATTGATTGTTTTGATTGGTTGAGCTCAGATGTTTTTTGCACAGGCTAATGCGAACACGGCTCTAGACCAATCAGCGCACGCGTTTCATTGTGTTTATTTTTAATACTTCATGCACCCGTGGACTGACAGTCATTGAAATTATAAAATCAATCACAATACGTTTGTTTCTAAAATTTTTTTATCTTACATGCTGCAGAAATCTCGTTGTTCATATTTACCCTTGTTAACGTTATGAACACACCCAAAGGAACTTCATAAATTTTATAATTATATAAATAATGCAAAAAACGGTTAAGGGACAATGAAATAATTTCTACATTGCTTATAAAAGAGCAGAGATTTAAGACTTGACCTATTATTCAAATTTCAATGCTTCATGAGTATGCTAATCCTATTGGCGACTAACTGTGCATTTTTGTGCTGTTAGAAATTGTGCATTACTCCCAGGAGCAGCAAAACTTTTGTGCTTGTGAAAAATGATTGCTTGTTTGCTCGTAGCTGACAATATTTCATGCATACTTATAGTTATTGAAATTATAACAATATAGCGATTTTTCAAATCAACCGACGTTTATAATTTGCATGATTCAGCCAGAATTAATCCCCAAGGAGGTGTAAACGTAATTGGAACCAACAATACATATGAATTGCAGCTTTTTTACATTGTAAATTTCAAGGTTTCTCGAATCATGCCAATTGTAGCTAAACCTCTGCCGCTTTCAAAGAGAAACAGTTTATTGACACACCCTGTGCTGTGATTGACGACACGCCTAGGAACTGACCAATCAGCAGATAACACGTTTATGAAACTTCTGACGTATTCAAGATTAAGCGAGACAGCAAACAGGTCGTATGAATCATTTCATCGGTTCATGCACGAGAACGGTTAGCAGATGGTTAAACCACTTGCCTTGATGCGAGAAATTATCTCTTTGAGTTCTTTGAAACCAACTTTAGGTAATTGTGTTTTTGATGTTCGATTCAACAGAGTACTCTTTCTTTGCTTGTTGTTCAAAATATGAACGACACTGTGGTTATTATTCATGATACACAATGGGAAACTTAAACATTCTTTTCCTTTAACTTCTACATTTCGTCGCTTATGTTAGTTCTATCCTCGATTTTAGACTTGAACAGTTTGATATTGATCACGACAAATGATCACCAAATAAGAATGAGAAACGAATGAAGAAATATTGGTTGGTGTATCTTCATGATGACGGAATTAAAGAAAGTGTTTATAATCTAGCGGGGACGTGGCGTTAACCACCTTCCTTCAGAATAAGCTACACACAAACAAACAGCTTGAGCTATGTAGCCTTATGAATGGTTGAAATTCAACTTCCCCTGAACTGCTTTAAGCATGAGCAAAATGTTCAAAGTAAGTATCGTTTTATTTTAAATTTCTCGTTTTTGTCGGCAATTTTGCAAGAATTGTACTATAAACTGACATTACTTTCGATTATTTCATTTAGAATCTTCAGAAAAATCATCAAGAATGAACAATATACTAAATCAATGATGTCCACTGAACAATGATCAAGAATGGACGATATACTTTAATGAAGTCTTCTGAACAATGATCAAGAATGAACAATATACTTTAATGAAGTCCTCTGAACAATGATCAAGAATGAACAATATAGTTTGATGAAGTTCTCTGAACAATGATCAAGAATGAACGACATACTTAAATGAAGTCTTCTGAACAATGATCAAGAATGAACAATATAGTTTGATGAAGTTCTCTGAACAATGATCAAGAATGAACGACATACTTAAATGAAGTCTTCTGAACAATGATCAAGAATGAACAATATACTTAAATGAAGTCTTCTGAACAATGATCAAGAATGAACAATATACTTTAATGAAGTCCTCTGAACAATGATCAAGAATGAACGACATACTTAAATGAAGTCTTCTGAACAATGATCAAGAATGAACAATATAGTTTGATGAAGTTCTCTGAACAATGATCAAGAATGAACGACATACTTAAATGAAGTCTTCTGAACAATGATCAAGAATGAACAATATACTTTAATGAAGTCCTCTGAACAATGATCAAGAATGAACGACATACTTAAATGAAGTCTTCTGAACAATGATCAAGAATGAACAATATACTTTAATGAAGTCCTCTGAACAATGATCAAGAATGAACGACATACTTAAATGAAGTCTTCTGAGCAACGGTCAAGAACGGACAAACTATACTTTAACGAAGTTGAAAATGCGTGATTTCTTTAGTCCACCATGCAGTCTACATGACAAACTACGAAAATGCAAACACAAAATGTTGCTATTAAACAATGTTTCCACCTGCACCTGTGGCTGTTCCAAATCGTGTTTTCTGGTCATTTTTCCTGCTAAGAGTACGATTCCGAACTCGTTAATCAATCGCAAAGACAAGTCAATTACAAACAACGATTTGTCGTGGTAAGCATAAAAATCATAGTTTAAATAAATACTCTTTTCACGGAAACAAAATATACTCAACTAAGCTCTTAAAGCCCATTCTCAATTTTCTAAATACACTTATTGTGTAAATTACCATTATTTTATTTCCTTTGCAAATAAATAAAACCACGCCACTGTCGAATGCTCAAGTTTCTAGATTGTTTAACTGAAATGAAAATTTTCGGGTTAAAAACATGGAATTTTTCGAGCATGAAAATATTAAACCTAAAAGTCCTAATTATCCGACTGATTGTCAATTTTTTCGGTTATATGCCGTATGCGACATGCGCAGTTGTAAGAAATGGCCAATCTTGCTTCTGTGCTTGCCGTCGTCGACATTAAACTGGAAATTTTCGTCAATTAGCCAGACAATTGGACACGATGGATTTTTTCCATCACTGTTCTGAATATTTCAAAAAAATATTTTGGGCTTGAAAGTGGTTGTTCGCGCTCAGCATCCAAAACTTCATTGTAAAATTGGGAAAGGATTCCTTGTCTATCGTAAACTTAGCTCTGGATCCGTCTTTCATCGTCATCTGTCGTAAAACTTCGCCAGGGATTCGTCGTTCATCGCCGTTTGTCGTTAAACTTGGCAAGGGATTCTTCGAAAACTGTAAGTGTAAATATTAAGTATTTTTTACATAGTGTAGCCTGCTAACAGGCAAGGTCTCCAATGCAATTCGGGCAATAGCAACAAAAAATCCTGGTGTTGCAGTATATTCCAAAGTAAGGCTATTTTTCAATGCAGAGATACAAATAAATGCATTTTTTTCTTCATAGAAATCACCTCTGCATTTTTAAAAATAGTCTTAATTAAGAGTTGCGACAAAAGTTTTTTCTCGCAAAAAACGATTCATTTGTGTTTCAGTGTAGATTTAATAATGATCATTAAAATTTGTACATGAGCAAGCGTGACGATCGATTAACAATTATTAGTTGGTGTTTAAGATGCAATTGTGTTTTTTCTATCCAAAAACCTCTGTGTGAATATACTGCTTTAAGGAGCTACGCATAATCGCAGCGGTTGTTGCCTCGCAGAAGGATAGACAGGACCATAGATCGGAAATGCAAGTGAAGTTTGGCCAGAGGAAGGCAACTTCAACTTGGGGTTAGTGGGTGCAAATGGTACCTTAGCGTAGAGGATGCAAATAGCATCTGTAAGAAGACCTTTGAAGACTGGATCAAGCGAGCAAGACCTGTCGAAGACAAAGGAAAGATGGTGGTTTTGGTGGAAAGGAAAAATATCTCTCCCCTAGTACGGTAAGAGCATGCAGTCGTTGTAGTTAGCCAATTTCATGAACGGCTTTCTACAGTGACTATTAAGGCACTCCTGGATCCCCAATAATGCATGAGTAGCTCAACCCACCCCGGTTGGAGGTCACCCGTAGGTGCAACATGCACTAGGTTAGGTTAAGTTAAGGGCATGATGGGTTACCTCCTTCAAGGGGCATTCCTTTTCAGGGCGGAATTC